CATAATAAATACTCAGGTAAGGAAAAGAGACGGCGGGAGATTCTTTTAAGTATGTATTGTAAGTAAAAAATTTCTGGAGAAAGAAATTCGTCGTGTATACTTACATATAAAGTTTTCGCGGCATGAAAAGGAAATCATGTTATATCCCGAAACGAAGCGTTTCGCTGTATACTCGACTGCAAAGTGCAAACAAGAATTGATGATTGTGGCTCCGTCTGGTAGTCAGCTAACAGGTGACAGCGTTCGCGTCGCGGTCATCGTAAAAGATGGCAGCTTCGATCATTAGGGCTTGATCGTCCTTTGATAAAACGGCGCTTTTATCCCAACCGCCTTTAATCCGACGTTTGATATACGAGTTTTCCTATGGCTAATAGGTTTCGACGCTCGAATCTTTCCAAACGCCCTCTCCCCCCCTTTTCTTCATCAGTTTGTGTTTTAAGTGGCACGAGCGACAAAATCACTCAAGTGATTTCGTTAGCACTAATTACATACAAGGTACTGAAGTGTCTGCGTTTATTAGAATGTTTATATTTTACTTTCCTTACCAGCGTAAAATTCTTAGCGACAAGTTATATAGGCAATAAACCGGCCTATGCCTTGTTAATTGACAATATCCAGTATATATATATATATATATATATACATATATACTGTATATATACTAATATTCAACGTGAAATAACTAAAACAACTTGCGTATACTTTAGTAACGCCCTCTAGCGAATTGTTCACGTTCAGAAAACGCTTCAAACACACATAAAACCTCGATATTTTATTAGTTGATTATCAATTTTGTTATTAAATAACTCGAATAGTCTGTTTTTGCCTTGAGCATTTTCTCAATTTATCATCGGTGTTCAACAGGTTAATTGCATCTATTCTACACTTTTGTACTTAACAGTGTATATTTTTTATACTATTACTCTCCCTTTTATCTTATGTACTTGCGTCTTTCTCACTTTTAAGAAAAGAAGGTCAGAATTAAAACTTTGTTTTCTGCATTTATCATCAATTTCGTAGAGGGAGAGAAAGAGAGGAAAAGAGAGAGAGAGAGAGAGAGAGAGGGGGGGGGAGAATGGCGTAAAATACACAGTGATTTATAAATATTTTCAGGTATTCTAAAAGTAAGAACGACTGTAAGTTAGATAGATAGATAAGTAGGAAAACAGAGAAAGAGAGAGAGAGAGAGAGCGAAACCCAACCTGGAAAGAGAGCGTAGAGGAGAGGAGGGGTTGGGAAAAAATAACAGAAATGAAGCATCTTTAGCAAACTTCTATCATCGTTGAATACTTTTTAAAAGGATAAAGAAAAAACCAAGAGAAAAAAAAATCCTACTAGAACGGAAATAAATAATAAATGAAAAAAAAAGAATACGTCAAATGTTACCAATTAGCGGACAGGGTTTATATTGTACTTTCAAAGCCCATTATTAAGCTTTTTCCATGAAAAATCTCTGGAAATTGTACTTCTTTAACCTTCGTTTAAAAATCTTATTAGTTCCTTTTTTTTCTACTTGTACTAAAACGAGTAAGAAAGTTATAGATAGATTTGAGAAGGGTAAAAAAAATCTACTCCCAGCAACGTTGCCTGGATTATTTAGTAAAGGTAATTTATACACAATATATTTTATATGGGTATATAAAAAAAACGTTGATTAATTAACATGAACGATTTCTTGGACAATTTATAATATAATTTACGAAGAAGGGAATAAATTATCCAATATAATTAAGGATACAATTATTTCAATTCTCATTATCATCCTTCTTCTCGTTCTACTTATTACTATTATTATACTATTACCCGTGTCATCATCATGTTCCTCCCTTCCCATTCTACTATTTTATTTTTTGTTGCCTCACTTCGCCTCCCTTTTCAATTATAAACGATAATTTGAAGAACTAGGAAAGTGAGAGTTGGTCAGCACGAGAAAAAAACGAAGGATAGAATTGAGAAGAACTTTCAGACTGTTCATTAACCATCATTAATAAATAAACGCACAAACTAATTACTTATTACCTTAGTTTTTTCCTCTATAATTAAAAGAGGAAGAAAGAAATACTGTTTAGATACAAAGCCTTTTCTTCATTTTGTTTTTTATTTCAACTTAAATTATATAGTGTGTTACAGGTAGAATAAGGTTTCTGACAGAAGAAAGTGAAGTTGAAGCCTTTTTCTCCTATTCAGTTTACTTTTTAGTTTAAAGACATAAAGAATGAAAATACAGGAAAAGAGATTGAGAGAGAAAGAAAGAAAGAGAAAAGAACTGATGAAAAAATATATACTAATGAAAATGTTAGTCTTTTATATTAAATTAATAAAGTGTAACATTTTGTAAATACACCTTTAGAGGAGTATTAACAAAGATCTAGGACTTTTGAAAGAATCTTATAATAGTATATCGGATATAGACGAATGTTGAGGAAATCGACGCCGACAATTCCATCTCTTTGATCTATTTTAACGAACGCTGCTCAGAAATCAAATTTGTCGATTTTCCTTCCTTTTCAATGACATGTTGTGAATTGAAAAGAATAGGCGTATCCGACTTGAGCGACAGGGCATATCGCTTAGAATCGTTTAAGGTTGATTCATATGGAAAAGATGCTAAATGTCTGAAGGTAAAATAACTGATAATGAAACTCGATCAAGGATCGGTAATAATTAATAGAAATACCAATCCCTGCATGTATTACGTTTTTTAACAACATCGAACATTCTGCTTTTAGACTAATAAATGGAACGCATTTATTATATCTCATTCCGGACTTTGTTGTCAAGTCGGCTTTTTAGATAATTTCGCTGTCATCCTGGGAGTTCAGCGCCCTATGAGGACAAACGGAGGGATCAGGGAAGGTCTTTTCCTATAGAAAAGACCAATAAAACGTAAAAATAACTAAAGTATTAATTATTTATCAAGAATGCCCGAATAGGCTTGCTTTAATATCGACCAAAAAAAAAATTATATTAATTCCTCTTCGATTATAAAATACATCGATACGGATCATTAGGTTACTAAACCGATGGAATATTTTCATATATGACAAAAAAAAGTTTCAATTTCTTTCCAATTAATTACATCAATATGTTACAAAAATTCGAATAAAATACAGAATAAGTGAAGAAACGAGAGAGAGAGAGAAAAAAAGAAAAAAACAGAATAGCATAAAATATAAAATAAATACTTCCTAAGTTCGGATTTGAAATTTTCCAGCTCTGGTTACGTACTTGACTCCTTTAAATGGCTTATATTTCTGTAAGAAGGGTAGAGAAGAGCCAAAAAAGAAAAAGAAAATACAATTTAATATATTAATACATATATATATATATATATATATATATATATATATATATATATGTACTGTATATATTGCTTTTTATTAAAGCAAAACTAGAATTATTCTATTTAAAAATAATAAATAAATATATATATATATATATAAATATTGCGTTCATATCCAATCCTTTATATATAATATACAGTATAGTAGAAAAACTTCCATATCTTATATATATATATAATGTATTAATTTTTTCCTTTATTATATATAAAGCTATAAATAATAATTAAAAAAAAATTATATAAAAATCTTTATTTATATATTTTGTGTTTATTTAATGAAGGAAGCCATTGCTAAATCATTAATTATTTCTTTTTTCTCTAACACCCTCCCCTCTCTTCCCTATTGAGTATATTTCAAAGATTATCTTAAAATAAAAAAATCCACCTTATTGATAAAAGAAACCAAACCAGTTTTTTGCCTTACCCCATTAAGAAAATCAACACGTTTTCCATTCTGTTATTTTAGCAATAGCAAAAGATATGTAGATATTGAGCATCTGCATTTACCGTCTAACGATCAGTTCGAATTATTTTCTTCTTTTTATTTTCGTAAATAAATAAATAAATATGCAATATATGTTTCCACACATAAGGGGATATATATATATAAACAATAGTTTATATATTGATATGTGCCATATACTTGAATATTTATTAAACTACGTTTAGATATGTGTTTATTAACAACAATATAAGAATAAAGGTATAAAATAAAAGAGCTTATAATAGTTTCCTTCGAATATCGACAAACAAACTAATCGGTAGACGGCGTAAAACATTCAGAGGAAAACGTAAAACGTGAGTATTTAGCGTATTTCCTCTGAAAAGCTATTCATTTTTTTATCCTTATATATACAGTATATATATATATATATATACTGTATGGAGAGAGATAAATAGATAGCAGCTATCTAAAGGATTTATAGTGATGCATATATAAAAGCATAACTTTTAAAAACTTATAACCTTATAATACTAATACATAATAATAGTATATAAGATTTAAACCATGGATATAATCCAACGTTTGATTAAAGAGAACAGACGATTTTTATATTAAATGAAAAGGAAACTTACCTCTCCGTACATATCCAATCGATTTACTTTTATGCCCGACACTGCCAATTGACTAATAGAAAAGTGTACCTAATGAAAGAGAATAAAGATAGAATGAAAAAAAAAGAAAAAAAAATAACCATCTATGTATATACAGTACATTAAGAATAAAACACAAGAAGTGTACTACATACATACTACGGTATATGTACATTAATGCATTTATTAATGTATAGCATATAGTCACACCTTCTGCGCTTAATATTTACAATTTATTAAGTATTTACGCTTGATTAAGTTTAGTTTAAAAATATTATAATTTCATATTTTACCGATATTGTTGGATTTGAATCAGGAATTGGGCATCCGGATTGTAAAGTTATCTGTAAAAACATCACTAATTACATCGCTAAAGCCGTACGTAGTTGAATGTATTGGTTGGAGGGCAATAAATAAATAGGCCTAATTTGACTATCATTAGTATGTGACGGGTACAGGCTCTTACTGAATGAAATTAGGCCAATTTTATTTAGCGTCAAGTGGTTTGCTATGCGAAATGTGTGAAAGTAATATGCGCTAAAGGTTAATTGTAAATTTTTCTTTAAGAGAGACAACTAACATTTCCTCGGATAGAAGGCAACTTCTGAACATCTATTTTACCAACGTCCCAATTCATAACTTTTGTAACAGGATCAAAAGAATATTTTCCCTGAGTAGGTGTGAGCGAAACATTTAATATAGACTTGCTGAATGGAATTTCTATGGAAACATTATCGACCTGAAGAATAAATAAATTATTCAATTTTCCTTTAATATGACCATTTAATCAAGTATTTATTTTTACAGTTTTTCCCATAGTCTGCTTAGGGGCAATAGACATTTCTAGTCGACCAGAACTACCTTCTCTAAAGGAAATATTATGACGAACCATTATGGGAATGGCGACGAGACTGTTTTAAAAAAGAGAAAATATATATATTACATATAAAGTAGTACAGAAAAATAAATTACAAGATGTTTAAGTACAGGGTACTGTATAAGGTTATTGGAAAAAGAAAATTTTTCTATATTGCCGTATATATCATCTATATTATAATTTATATTTGTAATATGAAACTTAAACCATTCAACTTACTTTTGACTGCCAATGTGATACGAAATTAGTCTAAAATTACCATCTGGTGGCACGAATGATAAGACTTTCTCACTCTGTAAAATGTAAATACGTAAAAAATTTAAGTATTAAAGCAATATATCGCATACAATACTATGTATACGTTATAATGCATGCATATATACAGTATATATCTTTAATAATAATTTATAAATATTCACCTCCCAACGTTTGAACCTAACGCAAGGATGAAAGCTAATATCATCCAATAATCGAGGGTTTGTGAATGTCAATGTCAAGTCAGGCATTCCAGATAATTTAATTAAGCAATCGATCTAGTTGAAACAAATTAAGGAATTTTAATAATATTATATAGAGGTATATATAACTACATATATATATATATGTATATATTTACACTAATTAATATTATACAATATATCAAAGTATTCTGCTATATTAACATACTTTATGTACTACATTAAAAAATGATGTATAATAATAATTAAATACTTACATAACCTTCGATTTCTGCGGTAACAGTCGATCCAGACTTATCGATAATTGCGTCGATTTCCTCTATCAAATCGAAATAAGCCTCGTTATTTGTGTACTTAACCCCTGTCCTTCGCCATGGAATGTTAGACAATTGACCAGTAGGCAAAGTTGAACTTACGCTGAAGTTATAAAATAAACAATTAAATTATGCTACTAAAAAGTAGAAATCACTAATAATTAGAGTATACTTAAAAAACGAAAAAAAGAAGATAAAAGAGAAGAAGATTTGCATAGAGAAAATTATACTTATATATATATATATACTGTATATATATAGTGAATAAATATATAAGGAAATCAGATTTGTGTATCTTGTTATCTATAAAATATACAGTACTATAAGAAAGCTCATTCTCTATATAAACTGTATACTGTATACATGTATATATACTGCATATATAGATGTAATCTTTGAGTATACACATATATAAACTATCTACGTACGACGTGCTTTTTCCAGTAACCGTGTCTGTTAGTGTTCGAAGAATATTTGGTGGTCTAATAAGCTCTTTTAAGATGTTTGATTCAGTTGCCAAAGGAAAGCCATTATCCAGCATCTCATCAAGCAGCTGTTCATTACATAAATCACCCATCACCAATAGCATAAGATCATTCAAGTATTTAAAACATATGCAATAATAATAATAATAATAACAGAATAGAATAAAAGAGTAGAAAGATAGCAGATATTATAGATCAAACTATAAATCACGCTTTTTGTCTTCTCTATTATTATTTCCTCGAATTCGTAATAAATCTTTCAAAGATATATTATAAATGTATAAGTATATTAAATTACAATATATGATTAATAAAACTAAGAACTTTTTAAGGATTCTATCGTATTTAATTTTTTTTAATCTTTAATGAAAGCCTTAGGACGGATTCGATTATTGAGATTTGATAAAAAGCTGATCAATTCCTTCAAGAGCTATAAAATTCCCATAAAAAAAATCATTCTCTTAGCAACTCACGTATCTGAAATACCAGTTACTTTCGATTTAATTTTACTAAATCGAGAAGGTCTTTTTATAAGCTCTTGTAAAAAGTTACTTTCCGTTGCCATTGGATAGCCATTATCTAACATTTCGTCCAGGAGCTTATTTCGAAATAGATGGTAAAAAATCTTCAATACGTCTATCACCTTACCTCATAGACAATAACGTAGTTATCCTTAATTGTAGCCTCTGTACATTCGGTAAAGTAGTCGGAGAATGTGTCAACTACTCTATGTAGAAATTCAATTACGAAGAGAGGAGGAACTTTATTGTGGAAGGGAAGAAAAATATTTTTTATTAACTTTTAGAACTTATCGAAAAACTTATAATCAAATAGTTCGCTTTAGAATATATAGAATCGCAATCGAACGATTTATCCAATTAGGAATAGTTGTTATTAATTACATCAGAATATTACATTTCTAATCTCTATAAAGTTGCTATAATTTCCAATTACTCGTTTAATATTTTCTTTAAATATTGACACTATTATTCTTTAATCATATTGTTAAGTTTACCTTCTGTAGTTACAACTGCGACCAAAAATATCTTGTGTTTATATATATTAATCAGATAGTGATGAGGTGTTGGTATAACTGATGGAACATCCTCTGGAGTTGCAGCCTATTTTTAAATTTAATTTTAATAGGATATAAGATTAAAACGGAAATTGCCTGAATACCTTCGTCTGAGCTTCAAAGAAATAATCGCATATTGATCTATGTATTATACTTTTCCAATGCTTTTCCATAAATACATCCCTATAGAATGACCCGTTTAGTAATATTTATGCTTATTCAACACGTAATTTATAAAAACATGTTCAACTACATTACAAGAAGAACAGTATTTTTAAGTCAAAAATTTTATTTTGGAAGTATTAATTCTACTGACCCAGATCCATTGATAATAAATAAACTATGAATCATGTTTTTGTTGAACGTCAAAGGTTTATAATTGAAATTCGAATATTAACACTAATAACTACTATAGTGTTCCCAAAACTGCGGGTGAACAGAAACGGAAATGCAATGTGTAAGTATAAATATGGTTCTTGTATAGACTAATAATTTGTCGTAAAACTAATATGGTTTGACGTTCTAATCCCGTTTATCTAAAATAAAAATTCACGAGGAATCGGATACCGTATGATATAGTTATATTTTACCGAAATTATGGTAATTCTGATGAATTTTGAAGAATTTAGTTTTAAATGCTAATACTTAGTTGTCTTATCATGACGTTTTATGTCAACTTTTTCCTTGAAAATTGGAGGAGAATTTCGGTTAGCATGATTAATTTAACCTAGTCAATTTTATTTCTAACGAAGCCATGCAATTCTAAAAAAAAACCGCTTATTGATTATCTGTTGCTTCAGCATTTTAACATCGTCTAATACATCTTTACTAATAATGACAAGGTTTGGAAAATACCTCATTCATGTAGTTAAATTCACCTTAGTTATATATATATATATTTATAAACTGCAACACGAAATTTAGATTCCCATCCCCTCCCTTAAATATTTCAATGTTTTCACTGCCCTGCATAAATTTCCATATCAAATCTTAAGCAACGAAAAAAATTCTTAATTTTACTATTATTACTTATTTAGCGTTACAAAATCGGTCCAGCTGGATGTTGTGGAGTTGCTCAAACAAGTCCTTCAATGGACTCCATTCTCTAAACCTGGTCTCAACACAGCTCTGTTACAAGCCGCTAAAGTAGGATCTACTGGTTGCGTGAGGGTCTTACTGAGTGCTGGGGCAGATGTCGATTATGAGGATGAAGTAGGTGATACAGCCTTTGTACACGCCTTTCGAGCTAGGCATTCTGAAATAATGCGCGTTTTATGTGACGCTGGAGCAACAACCGAAATAGCTAAAATGAGTGTTGCACTTGCAACACGTGATCCTGAATTTGTAAAATTATGTGTTGAATTAGAAATACCAATTGAAAATGAAGATTGGAATAGTGCAAGTGGTGAAGAAGTTCTTATACTCCTTCGAGATCTGCAAATCGATCCATTCTGTGGAACTTACGGATTGCACGATTTTGCCGATAGCCCCTTTATGTACTTGGTTCAAGAGGGAAAGCCAGAAATTGTTCAATTATTATTTGATCGACATCCTTGCATCGACAAATACAGTGAAGAAGATTTACAAATGAAAATGAACCAAGCTCTATGGAAAGCTATAAGATTCAAAAGATTAGATAATGTCAAAGTAATTGTAGAAAGCTTACATGCCGATATAAGAGCCATGGATGCAAAGGGACGTTGTGCAGTATTGATAGCTTGCGAACACGATGAAACCATTGCCAAGTATTTCTTTAAAGAGCACGGTGCAGATCCTAATAGTATAGATTCTAAAGGTTTAGGCTGCTTACATTGGGCAGCTCATGTAGGCTTGATCTCACTCTGTGAAGACCTGATAAATAGGGGCGTCTCCGTTGAAAGAGAGGCGTCTTTAGGGGCAACCTGTTTAATGGTGGCCTGTTCTGGTAGTCATACAGAGGTTGCAAAACTCTTTCTGGAAGCTGGTTGCGATGTGAACAGAGGAACACCGGAAGGGTGGACAGCGTTGCATGTTGCGACTCAGGCTTCTTCTCCTGATCTCGTTCAGTTACTGCTTGAAGCGGGCGCCGAACCAAACGTCGCCTCTACTGCCCTTACTCACGGAGACGACGCTGTCTGGGCCAGTACACCTCTTCTCATATCCATATCACTTGGAAGTAAAGAAATGCTTCGACACTTACTCGATTATAATGCTGCTATGGACCAGGAGGGTTTGGTTTGTACTAATCCTACTGTTGATATAAGAAAAAGATCTCCTCTACAACATGCTGTACAATGCAGAGCATGGGATATTGTTGAAGTTCTTGTGAAAGCTGGTTGTGAAATTGCCAGTATACAAGACTGGTTAGATGCTGGTAAGATTCCCGATAATTTTATTGAAAGCGATAAGATAGAGTGGTTAAGACGTTTAGCCGTCAATACTCGTCTACCCTCTTTGAAAACGTTAGCAAGAAAAGCTGCTAGAGCTAAATTTGGAAACGAATTGAAGAAGATGCTTGATTTTCTTAGACCGTCAACAACCGTTCGACGACTACTTCTACTTAGAGACCTATTTTCAGATTCTAGCGTAGAAGTTTGACATTTTTCTCCTTACAAAATATAGCTTGAAAGTGTTAGTTCAAGTGATAAATTAAAAAAAAACTAGAAAGCTGAAACCAATCAACGATTTACATTTGCCATAGGCACAACCTTATTAATTTATTTATTGTTAATTTAAACTTCTAAAACCACTTGGAAGCCTCAGTGCACGACCTTTTTGTTCCTCCCATACATATTTATACTAGATCACCCCTTATCTAACAGAATTTTAATTTTCTTTCAACTAAATAATTCTTTAGTAACAAATATTTCGATCATTAAAACCTTTAAAAAATACTTATTTGTTTCTTTTTTCGTTAAAATGTAAATAAATTGTTTTATTTCTTTACTAGAACAGGAAATAAACATCTAACAATATTTAAAAATCATAAGTGACAAGTTAGTTACGCTCTGCATATTTTTTTTAAATATCTGTTACAATGAACGATTAAAAATTTCGACAACACAAAAAAGAAGAAAGAAAACAGTTAAATGCATAACGTTAATAAGTGTGTTTTTCGACAATAAGGGCTTAAAATAATATCATAAATTGAACATATTTGTTATCGACTAGAAGAATTAACTAAATATTTTGAAAGAAATAAGTTAAATAGCAAATTATGAACATAATACAGTTGGATATTATAAAAAAAAAGCCTAGAGTGATGTAAAAAAAAAGAAACAAGTTTGAAATATAGATATATACGTGTACACAGCACAGCATGTATATCGTCTATATATAAAAAAAAAACAAGATCCAATATACCAAAAGAAGTATATAGTTCTAGCAAACAAAAAAAAAACATAAAGGTATAGAAAACTGTTAAGTGGGAAGAACAAGAACTAAAACAAAAACGACATCGGATCGCAATATTTCAACTATCTTTTCTTTTTTTTTTTTTTTTGCTAATGAAATACGGAACATCAACCAAAAATGATTAATTATTTACATTAGCTATTGTTCCAACAACCCATTTACAATTGCCGCTTTTTTGTGTTTTAAATAACTAACTTTAGTTACTTTTTTCATTCTTCTCTTCCTTGTGTAAACCGTTATGAGCATCAACGTTAACCTGCCAAGCCGCTGGCGGTAGTAACTTTTTAGCGATAAATGTGTATATTTTTCCGTGCAATAGAACGACTACCGTCTGGTGGGCTACAGCGCACATTCTATAACCTCGACCATAGAATGGATCGCTAACAGCTGGACACATTAAATTATTCAGATTGACATGTGACAGCTGTAAGAGAAAGGAAAAGAAAATTTTGAATAGATTAAAATGTTGAATCTCATAAATAATGTACTTACGATAGCCAACGGCTGCATAATAAGCCAATGAAATAGATACAAAAAACTTTTGGTCGCAAAAGCCCAAGAGAAATCCAAAGTGGCCTCAGGAACGTAAATACCTTTTTAATAAGAGAAAGTACACTTAGGGATAAATGAAAAAAAAGAAATTAACCTCCTGTTCTCATAAGATAAAACGGTATGAGCAGCATTAATCCATGCTGAATATAGTATACTTCAGTTTCAAACGGTAACTGTGTTTCAGCAAGTTAAATTAGTAAATGAGTAATGACAATAGAAAATATTAATTTTTGATAATTAGCATTTACCAATCTTGTGTTTATAACTGGAAAAAACATTGCAATTGTGGCTCCACTCAAACCGTGCATTTGTAATCTTAAGAAATTATATTTATTAAATTACAAAATTGTTACACAAAATATGAAATTAATACCGGAATATAGCCATTGATATCTTATTTTGAGGGGCGGCTAGAAGCCATATTTGAGACATAGTTATTAAATGACATGGGTTCAAAATCCATAGCATTTGTCTTGTTGCAAATTTAAAGCCCAATTCAATACCGAAAACAACGCACATTAATACCAACATCAGCCTCTTTGCTGCAGAGTCAGGCTTTGTAACTGGTGGGATATGCTTAGGCAATGTCATATGGGTATAGGCGTAAAACATCTCACATAAACCAAGCATTGTAACAAAACTTGTTTCAACTATCTTTTGCCAATAAGGGATAAAGTTAATGCAATCAATACCCCCATTTCCAGGTAGGCTATGATTTACACCAGCATAGGTCCACTCTAAATTGTCCCATATCGACATCTTTCTGCTAAAATTGATAAATTTTCTTGAGAAAAAATCATATTCTACTTAGAAGAAGCGGATTGACAACTATAATAGATTGTAAAATCTTTTCTAAATAGCGCTTTCATGTTGAATTTCTAAGATTGTATAAAGCAATTGTATATAAATTATCTAATATAATCAATGTAAACAAATCTAAAAGACTTATTTAATAAGTAATTAATCGAAAGAGTAGATTTTTTTGTTAAATTTCGAAGAAATTTGGATAAGTTCCAGTATTACTTTATATAAGGATCAGCTGCTTATTGATGCTTTCAAATTAAAAATTGATTATATTTTTAGCAGTCTAAATTAATTTAGGATAAATATATGTTTCTCCACTTTTGAATTAATTATCAATCGTTCTTACCTAGGCAAATAAAAAAAATAAATCAAGAATTCAACACTACGAATTTTTTTTAATATTTATTATTACTGCTACCATCGACATCCAAAATAGCTCCGGAAGTTGTAAGCATCAACGGGAAACGGTTCATGGACACTGCCTTTCCATTTCAAATGGAATTTATTTCAAATGTAAAGTGTTTTCATAATACGATTAAATCGACTTACTTTCATTTTTCATTAGAAAATTAATATTTTTGATTAAAGTTTTAGTATATGACTCAGATATCAATCAATAGCCTCCTCTAATTCAAAAAACTTTGTACATGCAAAGTTCAAATGGAACGTATTCTCACAAGCTCACTTTTATATTGTAGAACTAACGTCAAATGCAGAACAATTACCTTTATTAGATCTTGCGAATAAAGTCTCTCTATATTGCATAATTAATCTGTATTTCCCAGTTATTATCAAATCCGTCTACAAGGTGAAAAATAACGTCAAAGTTCATTAGTCAATGTACAAAGAAATTGACATCAAGTTTAAATTACTTTTTTGCTACTTTATTTAAATATTATTCTTTTTGTCTTTTCTATAAAATGGAATACAAACATGTGGTGATGAAATACATTTAGATGATTGAAAAGAAGAAATAGAATTTTATCAACAATAAATATATTGGTCTATAATTACTCTAATAACTAGATTACCAGGTGAAACTACAATAGGTTAATAATTATTTACATCTACCTTTTACATATATAAAATAGAAGTACGCTAATTAAAAGATTACATAAGAATAAACTTTAAGAAGAGAAGGATCTTTTAACTATCTAATTGGATTTCTTTATGGGATGGAAATAGAGAATAAAAAATTATAAAGTTGGTTAAAACTGGATAACTAAAATGTCTTTTGCTTTACCTTTGCGTGCGTAGCTTCTGCTTAAAAAGGCTTTAATGAGGAATACTAGAGTTGAGGAATTGCATAGAAAAAGTAAATTACGTATTGAAAATTTTGTGCTTATGTTGTAGATTTAACTCTCTCTCTCTCTCTCTCTCTCTCTCTCTCCCCTCTCTCTCTTTTAAAAGAAGGACTTTTATTTTCAAAACTCTTAATAATGATATCCTTAAATGAATTATACGTTGAAGATGTTGAGAAGATATTTGATTATAGATTTAAAAATAAAAGCTTAAATGCTATATTCTTAAATCCTTCCTGCAAAACAAAATTAATTCTTTCTAGCTCTAAATATTTCAAAAGCTGCCATTCTTATAATCAAATTACTAAAATAATTTGTTAAAAGGTTAATACATATTTCATTCTTCACGTCTTATTTTTAAAAATGTCCTTTCTGCTTCCTCTCCCACATATTTTCTCAGCACGTAATTGATCATTCTCTTAAAATAGTCTTGTTTATATTTCTTTCAGAACGAAATAATTAATTTTGTATTATTCCTATCTTTTTAAAAGGAAAAGTATTTGTTTCCAATTTGGAATACGTTTTCACTGCAACAGGAAGTGACTTCAACAAAATGGCGGCAGCGCAGAATAAGTATTAACTTTATTTTTACTTTCTTCTCGTCATCAATTGTTTAATATTTTATAGGGTTAAACTTTTTGAAAACGTGCTAAATCAAGAAATTATTTCGTTGGAAGAAATAAAAAAGTTGTGCTTCAGTGGTAAGTTACACTGTATTTTTATTATTTTTGGTGGGTGTTTTCGTCACATGATTACCTAGCAAGAGAAATAAATTTTCAGAATTTAATACATAATGATAATTTTGGGCGTAAATTGATATATTTTTGTGAATAATTATCATGTAACGGTCATAAAAGCTAAACTATTCATTAAAATAGGATGTCCTGAGGAAGCAAGTATTAGGGCTACGTGCTGGAAGGTAAGATGGAAACTTTTCATCTTTTTTTCATGATAGTTTTAACCAAATGTCAAAGAATGCTTTTCGAGCAAAATTTAAGGCATAGGCTTGCAAAAATACAAATGTTTGATCTAAACCTCAGCTAATTTAGTTAATATGTATTTTCTGTTTTTGATGTGAATATTTGAGTAATTACTTTTCCTTAGTTTTTCAATTTTTATGATCAATTAGCTGTAAATTTTATTACTATGTTTCAGCTCTTACTCAATTACATTCCCCCAGAAACTGCAGATTGGAAATCTCACTTGAAAAAGCAAAGGTAAGCTATTTTAAAGCTTCTTAGATTTGCGATATACGATATTAATCTTTCTACAGGGAATCCTACGCAAAATTTATAGATGAACTGGTTCAGAATAGCGTTGAAAACGACAATGATAGTTCCACGAAAGATCATCCATTAAATACAAATCCTCAGTCTGACTGGAACCAATATTTTAAGGATAACGAGATGTTGTGCCAAATTGATAGAGACTGTAGACGATTATCACCTGGATTAGCATTTTATCAGTATGAAACCAAGTATCCTTACGGTAAGATATTTAAATCGAATCACGAAACGAATCCTTTGAGGAAGAGACTGGCAGGTATTGCTTTGTCTGCCGAAGAAATTCATACGAATAAAGTTGGAACCTTTCAAAAAAATGTTTGTACTATATAACTAAGTCTGAAAAGAATCACTAAGCATATAACTGACATTTCATTCCTTTTATTATATCAATAAATAGAAGGAAATAAAAAAGAAAGCTCCCGAGCAACTTTCTGACGGTGAAGAGTATCATTGGGAAGTAGTTGAACGAATCTTGTTTGTTTATACCAAACTCAATAAGGGTCAAGGCTATGTTCAAGGAATGAACGAAGTTATTGGACCTCTATATTATACATTCGCTACTGATCCTGATCAAAGTGGTCAGGAAAATGCTGAAGCTGACACATTTTGGTGCTTTATGAATTTGATGTCAGAAGTTCGAGATAATTTTATAAAGTCTCTAGACGAGTCCAAGGTAGGGATAACGCATAAAATGCAACAAGTTATGGAGGTGTTAGAGAAAATTGATACTCCTTTATATATCTATTTGACAAAAAATCTGGAAGTAAAGCCACAATATTTCTGCTTCCGATGGATTACCGTTCTATTAACTCAAGAATTTGATTTACCCAGTTAGCTATTTTATCAACAACTAATAGTAGAAATTTCATTTCATTTATATTTTAGATGTCGTTCGAATTTGGGATTCTTTATTATCTCACGAGAAGCGTTTTGATTTCTTAATATATATTTGTTGCGCAATGCTTAAGTAAGTACACAGTATATTCTTATATAATAATCTAAATAGATATTATTAAATGTATCCCCAGATTGATAAGAGGAGATATCCTCAAAAAAGATTTCACCGCTGCTCTAAAGACATTACAAGTAAGGCTATATTAAGAGATGTTGAAGAAACAGTATATTGTATGCTTTTTTTCCATCAACTACAGAAATATCCGTTCATTGATGTATCCACGATTATAAAAACTGCTCTGGAACTAGTTCAACAATGTTAAAATTTTTCACATATTTTTGGTGCTATCGTGATTAATTACAAATATTGTCTTTTTTATGCTGTTAAAGAATACTTTAATTTCTTAAACATCATCGTGAAACATTAAAGCATATAGGACTATTGTACATATAAAGAGAAACTTTATATATATGTACATTATAATGAATAGATATGTATACAGCTATTATTTTTAAACAGTATGTTCTATATTCCATTGTTATTATAAAAAATTCTTTTTGACAGTTATGCCAAGTTATTAATTCTCATAATGATAATATAAAGTTATTTTGTTTTAATTTTAAAGAATAATCTACCTGAATTTATTAATAATAATGATAAAGTAATTGGAAATTTAATTCTATTTCCCTTAAAAGTTGATAATTGAGTACCTTTTTTTTCTTTTAGGAGCTTTTTACACGGTTACTTCGGTTATAAAAGGGGTGTTCGTAGATGCATTGCACCTCATTAACATTATTATATGTAATTTTTTTTAACAAAAAGTAATAAAGCGCAAGTATATGATCTTTTAATAAGCTGTCTTGTTGTTAAAATTTACCGTGTATAGTAACTATGATATGATCAGTTTCAGTAATTAATGGGAAAGACTACTCATATTTGAAATAAATGGTATTTTGTAGAAGAGTCTCATAAACAGGTGAAAATGGAAATTTCAAATTTGAATATATACAGTATATACTATATATAATTTATAAATATATATATACTTTAATATTTTATATCTCCCAACCCTGGGGTTAATTGATTTTAGTTCAGTACGCAAAGCATAAACTCTTAATCAGCTCTGTTTACCGTCAGATAAATGTTAATTTCTAAATATAGCAGCAATGCAATACTGTCTGTATACTGTACACTGTATACTTGTACTTATAAACAGTGTATGCACAAATATTTTCTTTCGTTATATAGATTTTTTGCTCAACAGTATCGTGCCAAAAAATAAACAACGTACTCTGATAATGAAAATACATTGTAATCAAAGTGGCCTTTTAAAAAAACTTTTGTTTTTATACTTTTACATCAATTCTATATTTAGATTAGATAACACTTAACTTTTACCATGTATTTTTGTAACACGTTTCTCTTCATTGTTTTGCCAAGTATATTTGGAATATTTTTTATATAAAAATCTATAAAAAAAACAAGTTTGTGTGTTTTAAAGAAACATGTAGTTTATCTTGATTTTCTCTCTGTCTATTTTTTTTCTATTGAAATAGAATATTATCCTTGAAAATAGAAATACGAAGAATAATCTTTTTAAAGCTATTATTTGATAATTTACAAAATACGATAAATTAGCAAATGGAATTTTGTAGCTGGTATAAAGACAATTAACCATAAAGTTAATGTACAAGAAAACATTTAATTTCAAAATTTTTGTTTGTTTACATACTATACACAATATATCATATATTGACTCGAATATCATTCCGATCTCTTTCTGTAGTCCATAGCCCAAATTTCGTTTTGTTCTCATCTAATCGAAGTATTTGTCCGAACAAAGTGAGTCATTTAGATAATGCATATCTGTTAATTGTTTTCTTTACCTAATCAAAAATCTTAGATTTAATTATTGAAGTGATATAAAAGCAGTATATTTTACCACTGCTTGCAAGGCCTTGATGCCTTTTTTTCATTTACGCAGTTTCATAGATGTGAATGTTTATTTATGCATCAAATAATATTTCGTAATTGAGTACAAATACTTGAAACAGATGAGTTAATACGAATTTACTATGTCTGAGACTCCAATAGAAAATGATGAATTAGCAGAATTATCCAATTCGGTTTGTACTTTTACCTTTTAAAACATGTATGTCCTACAGTTGCAAATAGTACATTTTTAAAAATATTTGGATGAAAAGAAGCATGCTGTTTAGCTTTGATTTTGTTGTTGTTGTTTTATTGCAAGATTAATTGGAAATAACACTTAATAGATCTTTATATATATATATATATATATATATATATATAAATTTATATACTTATATATATTTACATAAGAATAACTTTTGTGATTTCTATTCGTTTGAATATATGATATATTCAATATATTGAACTATAAAATACTTAACATTTCCATATATATTTATATAAGTATTATACACCTTTTACTTCTCAAAGTCATATGGTATCTATCATTAGTGTAGTTTATCGATTTCAACAAAAAATATTAGAGCCCTAAAATAAGACAAGACGAACAATTAAATTGTATAATCTACTTGTACTATCTCTATCAACCTTAAAGCACTTTGAGATAAAATATATTTTTGTTCTTGATATCGGACCTGGCTAATCAGATACAATGTTTTCTCTATAGAATGTAAATCAAACGATGAAGATGCTTTTGGGTAAAAACCTATGGAGAAAGGCGAATAAATGGTCGAATTCGTTATATTACCATCTACAGCCAATATTTAGTGCATCTGTTGAAGCTCCCACACCCTCCAATATCATCTCTAACATTGGTCAAAGACTATTCAAGGTGAGGAATATAATTGTTACTATTGGGCAATTGTGAAGGTGAAATTTGCAACCGTGTTCTTAGAATCCATTTTCAAAATCAAGGTCACCTGTCTGTATAGTATAAGCATGAATATATAAATCGATTTTATTTACGCCAGACTGTACAATGAAATTCCCAAAGTTATTTTTAGTATACAATATAGTACTTGTAGTTATAGATATAGTTCTATTATTTGTAATAAAAAGCATGCCATTCTAATAAAATCCTTTTACTTTATAGATACTTGAAGAAAGAAACAATTCAAATGTTAATAAAGTAAAATTAAAATACTTTAACGAATTTCAAGAAATTCTCCAAGAATGTTGTGATATTGACTCTCTTTTACAAGTGATAAATAACAAGGGTTATAATCTATTACAAACTGCAACGGAATATGGTGATATAGCTATAGTTGATAGCTTAATTTCTGAAGGAGCGAGTCCCGACTCTGGGAAATGTTCTTCTCCATTACATATTGCTTGTTCTAAAGGCGATCTTCAATTAGTCCTGCACTTGTTAACCTTGGGAGCAAATCTAAGTAAAAAGAGTGGTATGTGCTGGCCAAAGTCTCATCTTCCAGTTAGACACGTTCCGTCTAGATTCCATTTCTTGGAAACTGATATCTATATGTGTGATACAAATGCTCAATTACCGTTAATGTGTGCAATTGAGAGGGATCATGTGATTATTGTTAAAGAAATTTGGCAAGTTTATAGACCAATTAACAGGTGAGATATATAAAAGAGCTGTAAGAAAAACTCTAAATGTTGCAAACTGTCTTCTCGTTTTCAAATACGTTACAAACTTATATTTATTAATATATAAATATATATATATTGTAAATTTTCTTTAACAGCTATCCTCTGCATTGCGCTGCAAAAAATGGGAGTCTTCAATGCGTAGAATATTTAATATTCAAAGAGGAAATTGACAAGATTGACGATGAAGCTATGACTCCACTGATGCATGGAGTGTCATCTAGTATAGACGTTACGAAAGCCTTACTAGACGCTGGTGCTGATGTTCATTGCCAAAATGAAAATGGAGGGATCCTACATCATTTATTTAAAAATTTGCAAAATCCTCTTGAATTATACGATGTGACAAAACTATTACTTGGTCATGGGCTCGATACGAGTATTAATATACTAGACAAAGACAAGAATACAGCTTTGCATGGCCTAGTTGTATTATGTAATAGGAAGTTGGAGACGTTATCAGGCGTGAAAAGCGATCAATCAAAATTTGATGTGATTGTCGTGAGGACAATCGAACTATTACTGTTACATAATGTAGATGTTAATAGTGTCAATTCCAGTGGCGTTACTGCACTCCATAAACTGCTCTTGACATTCGATTTCGTGCTAAGTAATGACCCAAGAGCTATTACGGTTGATACTCTTCCTCAGAGAGAATGTTACGAAATTAACATGGACGTTTTAAACGCTTGTGTTTCCATGCTCGGCCAACATAGAGCTGATGTTTGCTCATTAACTGCAGCAGGTCGAGCACCTATCGTTATTGTACTTCAATCGGTATTGGGAGCGCAATTAGGGCACTTGAAAAGATTTTCAAATGGTCTAGTTGATATTTTGAGAATATTATGCACGCACGGAGCCAAACCAAGCCTTCATAGGAACACACACAACCTAGTTGTTGCAACTATAACGAAGTTGAGTGAAAAATGCATACAAAACCTTGAAATATCAGAATTTACTTTATCAATATATGAAACACTTTTTGATTTCGACCTTGATCCAAATAGAACTGGACAACCGCCAGCTAATCTACTAGCTCAAACAATAAGGACATTTGGCTTAGCTAAAACCGAAAATGGAGTAAATTTTGTCTGCAAAATTGTACAATGTTTATTACAACATAGTGTAAATCCAGATATTGAACCATACGCATTAGACCCGGAGTTCTGCTCATCTCAAAGTTGTGTATTTTTAAGAAAATCATCTAATGGGATTTTACAACTTGCTATTGATGAATTGCAATCATTACCACCATCTAAAGCAAGCGAATACGCATCGTTGGAATTATTACATTTACTCTGCAATAGCGTCAGCCATTCTGTTTTGTATTCGTTAAGTAAAAGATCTCTGGCAACAATTAATCCTAAATTAAAGAAAATATTATTGGACTATACAGAACAACCAAGAAGCTTGAAACAGTGTACAAGGGTTATCATTTATAAGCAATTAAGAAGAAAACTACTGATCGGAGTTGATCTTTTACCTTTACCAGACATGTTGAAACGTTATTTGTTGTATGTTCAATAAGTTGGTATTATTCTTTTAAAGAACAAATAATATAATCCAATGGTTGGAGGTTATATATATAGATTTATATATAATATATTATTTTGTTTTTCAATTTGTGCTTATACTGCTTTCTTCTTATTCCTTCTTTTAACTTTTATGGAGGGTGTGTTTATAATAATAACATATTGATGTAATTGAAGTGTTCTGTGAACGAACTTGTTCAAATTGTTCTTTTTTTACTCTGAAAGAAGGAAATAATAGAAGGTGTCTTTTTTTTCAATTTCCTTTAATACAGTTTTTTTTATTCAAAAGTTCTTTATTAAAAATATAGATGGCGCAGCTTAAAAATGTCTGTTATGATCTGGTTTTAGTTCCTAAGCCGAAATGAACAACTATTCATTAAGGATGAATAATTACCCATCTTTTACGCCAATGAATATTTTTCCAGGACACAAAGTGGATCAACGATCGCCTGTTGAGTTATTTCTAAGCTTTATTGCGACTAATCAACAATTTCTGCATAATGACAGTACTTAGCAAGAATTTTGTTGATTGCTCCTGTTATGGTAAATTATTTATCAATTTTAAAAACTTTTTAAACATTATATTTTCGATTCAGAATTGGGTCATACATGGACTCCCTCGTGTCGTCAAGCATTTACTGATGTGATGAAATCATCCTTTAAGGAATCGTTTAAAGTTTATGCAACATTATACATAGTAAGTCATTAAATAATATTTATATTCTATATATAATGGGAGAACGAGTATTGGGAAATTCCATCAATTAATATTTCAGGTTACGGCCATAGTTCGGCGAAAGAAATGGGGGTATTGGAAAAAGAGATTAACTCCCGAAATATTGCAATCAACTCTCTTTTTAACTACAAACGCAATGATGTTTATTGCTAGTTTTTGTGTTTGGAGGTAGGATAAGTTATCTTATCAATTTTTTAAAAATGATATTATAGAGATTTCAGAACCTTTAAACATCTCGGTATAAAATTTTTATCATATTGGAATTTTACTATTAACAAATTATGCATAGTCTATTAAAAATAATGTATAAAAACAAAGAAAGAGAAAAAGAAATATCGCAATTATCTACTATATCTACATAAGGTTTTAAAGTGGATACCAATCAAAGATAATCAAAGAAACACTATTATAAATAACTATAACTATGAATATTAATATTTATCACATTCTACAAATAGATCAGAGTATAGAAAGCAATTTTTTTTTTTAAATACTATTTCAGAAAAGTTATAGGAACCTATTTTCCATGGAATGCATTTGTATGCACAGTTCCCGCTAGCCTTATGGCTTTAATGGTAGAAAAATCTTACAGGTGACATACACTGGCACATCTTACTTACAAGAGCTTAATTGTTGTAGAGTTTTATTTTTTCTATCAATTTTTTCCCTGCATTTATAAATCGTGTTTTATTTCTATGCCTTAAAAAGGGATGCAGTATAAAAAAAGACAAGAGTTTTAAACAGTGTACATATGATATATTTTTACACTTTCATTTATAAATATGACCATTAGTTCATAAAATTAATAAAAGAAAAGAATTAACTAGTGGTGGCGATTTCAGAAAAATTACTGGTCCGTTTGGTTTTTTAACGTCATCATTTTGGCCGGCAACAACCGCTTGTTTTATAGCAATACTTGTTGAAAGACCGGTTAGGTTTGTAGACTATTTTTCATACTGCTTCCCTATTAGGCAATTTTTTTTCTATATTCTATTCTAGAACAACTTTATTATTCTAATTTATTCATTTATTCATAAAAAAAATGATATTAATAATACTATATTATTACTACTAATTAATAGTCACGATTTTATTTTTGCAGTTTAGTTAATATTTACTTGATTTATGATTTTTTTCTTCAACTATGAAGAATCCTTTGTTGATTTTTTTTAATTCTTATTATAGAGAAATATGCAAATATATTCATAAATAATTAATCAGTTGGTTAAGTAATATACGACAAAGTCGTTGATTATACCGTACTAACTTTGGCTTCGCTTCTCTATAAGAATTTATATTATAAGAGTATTTATTTTGAAAACTAAATAGTTAATACTACTTTTTGTTTTTCGTTTTTATAGAAGAGGACCTTTGGCTGTATATCTATGTAATTTAGCTTCCGAGACCTTTTTTAGGATGATGGCTTCCAGAGGTATTGTTAAACCAATAAAACATGGAGAAGTATTAGTCTTTTGCCTTGCGTGTTCACTCTACTTTTACACATTCAAGTAAAAAATAGTTTCATTTCCTTTTTATCGAATATACTGGAAATAATATCATACTTCTTATTTTATAGAAAAGGACTCTCTTCACAGGATGCTATGCAAGGACCATTAAATTTCTTTTTGGGTAAGGGTGAGAGTCCACCCTCACTTGTCGATCAGTCGTTTACCGAAACTAAAAAACCGGACAAAAAGAAATTCTTCCTCTTGAATCTTTTGCTCAAAAAACTAGAACCTTATTTGAGGATCATTAAAAATACTAGAAAACACCCACTTTGCAATCACTCGAACGGTTGTGCTTATCACATTTTACAAGAGTCGGCCAAGACCTTTTGTGTTGGCTACGTCCTACAGACGGCTATTAAGGTTATTGGTAATATAAAAAATTGGCGAAAGGCTCTCTTGCACAAGGATAGCTTAAATTTGGCATTATTTTTAAGTTTATTCAGTGTTTCGTCCAGAGGTATTTTGTGCGGTTTGAGATGGATTAGAAATAAGGATTCACCTATTCACGGTCTATTGGCTGGTGCTGTTGCTGGTCTATCGATGAGGTTTTATCCTAGCGTAGCCATTGGTCTATATATTGCCAGTCAGTTTGTTGATATGTGGATAAATGCTAAGGTTGATGCTGGAGTATTGCCGAGAATCCCGGGAGCTTACATTATTTTTTATACTCTTTCTACTGCTTTAATGTTTCACGCTGCAGTTTTTGAAGCGCACAATATTCGCTCAGGATACTGGAAATTCTTATGGAGATTAACTGGTGGCCATTTTGATGATTTCAATAGAATAATAGTTAGCCAATGGTGTAATACAGCTACGAAAATGTTCCCTAACTTTAATCCAAATCTTGATCCAAAAATTTCACCACTTGCAAGAGAGATGGCCAAAAGGAACATGACTTGGCAAGATTTAAAAACAGCATTATTAAATGGTAAAACTTTCAAAATATAATGAAGTAAACATAACCAAAAGCGAGTTTTTAAACAATTTATGACTGACTATAAAAGAGTTACTGTGATAACAATGATTAATTGATTAAAATGTTGCAACTAATTGATAAATTAGTATAAAAACAAATTCTTTAAGGCTTTATAAGAGTACTTTTCTTTTGAGTTTTTATAAATATATAAACAATACAGAACACGAATAACGTTTTGTTGGTTTGTTTGTCCATAAGTATGGATTGACTTTGTTACAATGAAATAAGCGTTGTAAAGGTAATTTCCATAATCCAAGGAAGTATTTTTCACCAGAACCATCGTTTATAGCGCAACTTGGCGGTATTAATTCGAATGGTGAAATTTCTAAATTAACTGGTCTATATCTACCAGGATTGTCATTAAGTGAAAGTTCTGAATTTTTTTCAAGAGTTGAGAAGGTTGTCATGAGTGCATAATCAGCTTTCATTGAGGAAATGTGTTTGAATACTTTATTAATGTCTCTATAATATAAATTTTGAAGAACCATTCTGATGATAATTAGATTGAATTTACCATAGAAAGGTGCTTCAACTATATCGTGTTGTGTAAAAATCCATCCTTCCGTTGGGTACATTTGCTTTAAAGATCTTATTAAATTGAATACAATATCAATGCAAGTGTATTCAATATCGTGTCTGGTCTTGAGATATTCAGACATCCAGACCATATCACCACAGCCAATATCCAATACTTTCACGACTTTTAAACCGCTTTCTGCCTTTAATTTATTGATTATATTATCCAAGGCGGGAAATATATATTTTTTAGTCCAACTCAGAGTTGAACCTTCTCCAGACGATGAAAAATCACTGCTAGCTTCCCATTTTCCCCATATTTTTTCTTTCCATATTTTAGTAAAATTATTTTGTCGACTTCTGCTTGATTCTCTAATTTTACCAATGTTTTTCCTTGAATTTTTAAAACTCTTTGTAAAAGGATTAGGAGTGTAAGTAGAAAGGATTTTCTCATTAGTACAATGTTGTAAGTATCCGTCCTGTTTTAAAATATGCCTTGAATTTATATCATTCTCTTTCAATACCTTTTTCGCTTCTTTAATTATGTTATATTCCATATTAGATAAGCTTTTTGGACTGTTTAAATCCTCTTTTTGACGATCCATCCATCTTGATCCAACTTTTTGAATGTCAATTCGAAAAATGCCCAATTTAGGAGTAGTAATTATTTGATCGTGTTCAAGATTTACTATAATCTTTTGAAGAGGGTGTTCGCTACAATCTTGACCTGTATAGGAAAATAAGTGTTCAAATAACAAAGATGTAGGCGCCATGTTCTCTCTTACACCTGTTTCTTCAGGTATTTACTCTTTATTTGTACGATATTTATTAATAATGAAATATTCATTTGAAGTTATTCTATTTATATTAATTAAACTATCTTAGTTTACTGTAGTTTGCAATAACTTTGACAGACTATTAAGTTCAGTTGTTTAACTTACCTTCTGGACATTCCGGTTTACTATTCCATAGGTATATAATCAGTATAATTGTAAAGATTATAGTGACCTTTAGAATCTTTGTCATATTCCTTTTCATCGGTTTATATACATAGTATAACAAGTTTTTCCAATAGCAGATAATTTTCTGAAAATCTCTGATCAGTGTATCTAATACCTTGAAAATGAGCGATAATAAAGTCGCAGCTGGAATAGTTTTCACTCACAAGTGGCGCGTAAAATTTCCTGAAGAGTTGTTGCGCAACAAGCTTTTGATATACTATCAACTTTTAATCAATTCTTTTAATTCGTAATATTTATTTGTATTTTTAAATATTTATTAATAAACACGACAAAGTAAAGCATTAACAACAAAAAATAATTGTATAAAGATCCGTTGTGTTAGCTAAGATCAATTTGTGAACGTAAAACTTGAATCTCTTCTCTTTGACTTTTGATTATTTCAATTAATGAATTAGCTGTTTTATAGTCGATCGTTTGGTTCGATCCGTTTGAAATATCAGTTTCAAAGAAAAAGTTATTAGAAAGTAAATACTTTGCAGAAGGCCTATTTTCAACTTTAGGACAAGTCATGTTTAAGATCATTTCACTAATTAACGGAAAATTCTTTCTGATATCTTCTGGTAGTTGTCTTTTCTCTTTAAGTTGAATAACCTTATCAATTAATTCGTGTTGGGAGGAAATAGAACCAAATAATTGAAAACAAATAATGCCAAGGCTAAATATATCGCTGGAAAAGTTATATTTAGAGGTATTAGTCTCAGGAGCTGCATATAGGGCACTTCCAACATACGAGGTTAAGCAAATCTCGTCCTGATAGGTTTCATTTAAATCTCTTGCCAAACCAAAATCTCCTAATTTAACTACGATGTTTGTCTGATCACCAATCGTAAATATATTACTCGGTTTAATATCTCTGTGCATAATATTCTTATTATGTATATGATTAAGAGCGGATAAAATATCTTTAATTATCTTCATTTCTACTAAGCCTGGAGAGGATGTACGATCTCTTCCATCAATCCAATCTGCTAGGGTACCATTACAATATTCCGTTTGTATGTACATGCATAAAAACGGCAATGGAGCTGGAGATTTCCAGCTTCCAATGGACGATAGATCATCAGAAGAGCAATAAAGTGTATCTAAACTTGAAGGATTATTCTCAATTTCCAACCAAGCGGTATAATAACGTACAATATTTGTTGGTTGGCATCTAGCCAATTGAGAAACTTCCCTTAACGTCTTTTATAATAAATTTTAATTATTCATTACAAAACAGATTATTATTAATTTAAAATGTTCTATTTACATTTCGAATGACCGTCTCGTCTGAATCGTCAAAATATATTTTAACTCTTTTAACCGCATACGTTTCATTATCAATTTTCTTTTCGACCTAAATTAATTAATTAACTATTATTTTAAATAAATAAAAAGAAGTATTAATTAGAAAACATTCTATATATAAACCTTAAAAACTTTTCCATAACCTCCTTGACCTAATTGTTTAATTATTCTAAAATCTCGTTGAAATTCTCCAGTTTTCTTTGGGAAATTACTTGTAAATTCTTTTAGAATGAACCGATAGACTTTAATTTTCTTTTCTGAACTTAGTGCTACACTACTTATAGCCTTTTTCGATAGGTCGATAATAGGTAGTTCATCTAAATTTAAGGGAAATATATAGAGATATACGTTTAATTTTTATTTCAACAGTTTATATTACTTTTATATTTTAATATTTTAAAATTCCATTTCTGGAGGAGTACTTCAGCTGATACGCATTCCTTAGCTATCTTTTTATTCGAACCGAAGCCCTATAGTACGAAATTAATAATCTATTAAAAAAAATGACGTAAGCTATAGTTATATAGCCAACCTTGTAAGTTGTTTTTCCTATTTGTATAGTTATTTTTATAGATTGTTCCTTAAATATTCCAACTTGTTCAGGAGAGCTAAAGGCAATGTTACTTCTTATTAACTTCAATATTTTTGATGGTTTAACATATATTCCCGATTCGTGATCGGAAGATGTTCTTCTACTACTCCGATTTGTGTCTGTAATTCTTTCTTCGGTTGGAGAATCAATCACTAAAGTGAGGAGTTTCTTAAACATTTTGAATAAGAATGCCTGTATTTGTCAAAATAGGAAATTCTTGAATCTAAAATAGATTACACTTTAGCTACACAGTAGATCATATACTGTATATTAAATAGTATTGAGATACCTGAACAGCTGATTTTAATATTAATGTTTTGAATGATAAGAATAAGAATATGAATATTCAAGCTTATTTGTAATATTCAACAATTTTCCGTTTATTAATCGAATCAAATCTAATTAAATATTCATTAGTTTAGTTTTTTGATGGAATTTTTTTAATTCCCTTATACATTCTTTTAAATATGCAATTTCTTCAGATTTTTCCTTACACTGTATAGCATAAGTCTCCAAATCAATTTTATCGATGTGGTTTTCTTCTAATTCAACTGTTAAACTTGAAATCTTTTCCTTTAAACTAATAATTTCCTTATCTTTCTCTTCTATTGTAGCTTTAAGTCTTGTAATCTCTTCACTTTTTTTCTTTACACCAGAGAAGACATCTAAAAGTAGTATATCTTTAGCCATAGGTCTTTTATCAGCATCCTTATCAGTCATGTCCTCAACGAGTTTAACGACGGCTGGATGGTTGTGTAGTAGGCTTTCTGGTAATTTCCCATTAGTTTTAAGATTATTGATAATTGCATAAAATTCATGTGCAGTTGAAATATCAGAAAATAATCGTACAGCAATAATACCAAGACTGAATATATCACTTGAAAAGTTATATTTTCCTGTTTCTATTTCAGGTGCAGCGTACGGTTGAGTCCCTACTGCTGAAGTTAATTTACTCTCGTCATCGCATTCGTGTAGTTCTCTAGCTAAACCAAAATCTCCTAATTTAACCTTTACTTCTTTTGATTTTTCAACTGTAAATACATTATTAGGTTTGATATCTCTATGTAGAATGTTTTTATTATGAAGATATTCAAGTGCTTTAAGCAAATCTTTAAATATTCCCAATTCAATTTGATAGTTATACGACTGATATATAGTCCTATTTTCAATCCAATTGTTCAAATTACCACAACATAATTCAGTTTGAATGTATAGATTTAGAGAAGGTATCCTTTCATTTAATCTTTTCCTTCTATTAGCCTGTTCGGTTGAGTAATCGGAACTTGAACCGGTATTACTAAAAATTGATGATGGAAAAGTGTTATATAGCGTTTCTTTTGTAACAATTTCCAGCCATCCTTTATGGTATGTTAATATATTTTTGTGTTTGCAATCGGCCAATCTTATAACTTCGTCATATTTCTAAAAATAAAATATACACATAATTAATTAAAAATCTTAATTGATTTAACTAATTAATAGTTATAATAGTAATAATAGAAAGAAGACTGTATTTTTTATACTTTTCTAATAATTTCACTATCAGAGTCATAAATTCTCATATTTATCATTTTAATAGCATAAGATCCTTTATCAAATTTATTCTGTGCCTGCAAGAATACATTATAATTAATTAATAATATAGTTAATTAATTACAAAGATATTTGCAGTGTATACCTCAAAAACACTACCGTACGATCCACTACCCAAAGGCTTTCTAATGTCAAAGTTCTGTTGTATATATCCATTGTCAATACGAAGACTCTTTGTAAAAGTTTCTAGAATAAAGCTATGAAATTTCTCATTAGCTTCTAAAGGTAGATTGATTTTATCTAATGTCTCGTCCGATAAGATTATTTTCGGCATTCCGTCTGTTTGTCACGATGAATTGTTTTAAGGTTTTCGTTCTCTTTTTTTATGTTTTTACTACCTTCTCCTGGTTTAAATGTAAAATTCCATAATTCATGTAAAGCTTTTGCGGCTGTAGTTTCTTTAGCCAACAACTTTGTCCTTCCGCATGCCTTAGAGATAAGGGTTATTGAATATAATTATATTTAAATCGTATAGAGAAAAGGGAAAAAGTAACCTGAAAGCAATTTTTGTCTATTATTAGTTTCGCTTCTACTTTATCATCGCCAGATCCTTGGATTCTTTCTACATTTTCGAACTTTGCACCAGGTTTTATTCTATAAAGAATATTTCTCGGTGTTAATTCAAATTTAGAAGATTTACTCGATTGTGAACTTGAAGATGTTGATCCTCTGCTATATCTACTCATTTTATAGTGAATTTACAGAATCTAATGGATTTTTTTCTCACAAAAACAGAGAATAATTTAAAAATGAAAGTAGGATGCGGGGCGTATTTTTTGATATATTTCAATATATTTCATAAGAGTGTTTCACCTGCAGCCTATTTAAAAGAAAAGATAGAAAAAATCAATTCGATTAGTCATATAACATTTATTGATTAATGTAATCATATCAATGTTAAGGTAAAGTATTTGATCGATGAATATTTTCATATTGTTGTTGTTATAGAAGAAATTTTCTCTCCCTTTTCAAAGTTTACTTAAATAGAACTTTTTCATTAAATTCTTAACGAATAAACTCCATTTAAAAATGTCTTCTTTAAGCTTCAAATTATCGGATGTATACTGAAGATTATTCAAGTTGATTGAATAATAATACTTTGATTTTCTTTTCTAAATATAGAATTATCGATATTTTAATAATGAAAAAGAATAGATAGTATGTTTTTAATATACAATACATTAATAATAATACGACAGTGTTGACTTTTTCCATAAGTTATTAAATTGATATTATGCGCTTTAGTTAAACCATTAAATAGATTTTTACTAAGATCTAATAATATATATATTGATAGTGTTAGGTTTGAAATGTTTCTTGAATTGTTTACAGGTGATGACGTAAAGTAAGGTGTAAAGGATCTTGCAAAGTTGAATACTGTGTGATTTACAATACTTATTTTAATAGGCTTATTGCGTAGAATTTATCTATTGTATACATAGAGTTTTCTCCTTCACTTCTAAATCTTCTATGGCTATAATTCTAATAGAAATGTTATATTACGATTAGAACGTTAACGAATAACCAATCAATTACGTATTCACTGATTTCTTTTCATCTTTAAGTTTAAATATACTCCAAATTTCACCAGTAGAGTATATGAAGGGATTTAACAATGGATTTAAAGGAATTACAATTATTATAAACCACGGATATATCGAATTATTCAGTGTTATTTGATTAATAGTAACCAAAAATCCTATTTATATTTTTTATGTTTGAATTAATTGTTTGTATTTCTTTAAATAATGAAATTTATTCAAACCTAAAATGGAAACTGGTAGCCAGCACATCATATTTGTACTTACAATTATAAACGCTGTAATAGCAACTTTTTGTTCAGATTTCTTACCACTTTTATTAATTTGTATCCTTGATTTTGTTACAGTAAGAAAGATTCTCAAATAAAGAATTAACGTTAAAACGCATAGCATAACTGTAAAGATACTGAAAAAGAAGAAAGAATATTCCCAACCTTTCGCTCTTTCATTTGTTAAATGTATAGAAATGCAAACTGGAGTTCTCGAAAAATAATTCTATTATATAGATATATAGGTTTGTCAGTGATAGGAGATATATACTGTATGTATTATTGTAATAGACCTACTTCAAAGAGAAATATTGGAAAGATACCAATGGTTAAAGATATACAAAATCCAATAAGAGTACATCCCAATATCGTTCGATGAGAGATATTCCTATGATAAAAAGGATGACAAATTGCTAAATATCTTTCAAATGTTGTAAAAAAAACGCATAAATTTGATAGAAATACTGAAGTTGAGGCGACAATTCCGCAAAAATTACACAGATAACTAGATTTCCATGAGAAATCATGATCAATATAAATATCCGAATAATATAAATCAATGGAAGCGATTATTATTAAATAAATATTGAATGAAAAATCAGATAAATTTAATCCAATACTAAACCATTTAATCTTTTTTCCTTGACTTTTAACTGATAAATTCAAGTAGAAACTTATTGAATTTCCAAAAATACCAAATATAATAATAATCCATATTGAATATTTTAAAAATTTTGTACCAATTAAATCTTTACAACTTTTAAAAAGTGATGTTTTTGGACTGCAAAATTTTAAATTTGGACAAAATTTTTGACTAAAACAACAAAGTTCAAAATTATTTGATATTAAAATCTCCAATTTTTTTAAATGTTTTATTAAATTTGATGTAAGATTTTGAGGTAAATTTGAATGATTTAAAAATATCATTTCAACACTTTCAAGATTGTTGAATGAATTTAAATTTATATTTAAAAGATTTAATTTCATTAGTTTAAGGATTTTCAACTTTTTAAGTTTCATTAAAGTATCTTTTCTTAAGATTGATATCTTTATTTCAGATATATCGAGATATAATAGATTTATAATATATTCAAATGAATATTCATTCAATAATTCAATAGGATTATTGTTAATATAAAGATATTGTAATTTTAAATATTTATCCTTATCTAGTATCTTAAAACCTTTTAGACGGTTATAACTGACGTCTAAATAGACTAGATTAATTGTTTCTAGTTTTGGTAAGTTTTCTATTGAATTTAACGAAATGTTTAGAAATGTAACGAATAGAGGAGTTTGAATGATAAGTTTTTGATGAATTTTCATTGAATGAACGCTAATCATTCTCACTTGGGAAGGAATAGTTAAATCATTATCAAACGTATCGTCAACACGACAAACTAATTGTTGAGGATAATTAGAAATACAAATTGATGATGAATAATTAGTATAAATAGATTTAAAGATGAAACAATAAGATTCGTCGTCTCCTTTTAAACAATCAATTTTTAAATCGCAAACTTGATCTAGATTCAGATAAATGTTTGTCAATTTACATTTAAAATAACCTTCCGGTTGAAAATTCTCTATATTTTATGAATAAAAACAAGAGATAATTTATTATTATTATACATATTATTGATAAGAGAAATACCGCAATTAATTTCATCATCTGCGTATAAACAATGCGATATTCCATCGCAAATGTACTGAATTGGAATACAATATTTCACGTACATGCATTGATATTGTTTCTTTTGACATGTAAAATTATTACAATTCTTTAGATCATCAAATGGATAATGAGGTTTCGTCATTAACCTCCGTTTTGAAGTATATATTACATTACATCTTCTTTCGGATCTTATTATTGTACTTTTAAGGACATTTTGTATTTCTTCTTTTTCGCATCTCTTACTTTGTTCCCTTCTAAAAATATATAGAATAGATAATTAATTAATTAATTAATTAATAATAATAGAACAGTTTAAACAGTTTAAACAGTTTCTTTTTACTCGTGTGAAAAATAACGTTCGTATGTTGTATTTATTAGACGTTTCTCTAGAATTTCTTTACAACTTTTCGGATCTTCGTCGTCGAATTGAAAATTAACGCAATCCGATTTAAAATCGCAAATAATCTCATCGTTAATGCAATCTCCATCGCAATATTTTGTACAATCTTTACAAATTTCGTCAGTATTATCCATACAGTTTTTTTCATTATCGCATATTAAAGATTTATCTATACATCTACCATCTTTGCATTGAAATCTGTTAATAAATTGAAATTTAGCAAATCGAGTAAATAATACGAAAATAATTATGATGATAAACTTTTCTTTAGTTTCGCATTGAAATACTAAAAATGTAAAGGATCTTAATTATTTTATTAATTATAGAAGGAAATGAGTCTATTACAGCATTCACTTTCATCACTATCGTCGGGACAATGACTCACGTGATCGCAAACAAGATTTACACTAATGAAATGATTAGAAGAGCATTGAAATTGATGATTATAAGAGCAATCATGTTCATCAGTTCCATCGGGACAATCCACAACTTTGTCGCATACAAATAAATAGTTAATACAAATTTTATCCAACTTACAGAAAAATGTATTTTTAGAACAAAAATTTGATTTTATTTCCATATTTGGAAAAGTAGGAAATTCTAATTTGTTAAATTCTATTTAACGAAATCATAAATATTTATATTTATAATTAGTATCACGTGATACTACCAAATTTTGTTTCGCAGACGATATTTTGAAAAAAGGGTACGTTGCAGTCTATTGATTTGATTCCGTCTACGTCGAGTATACCGCATTTCGATTTACTGTTCCAAAATATTAAATCTCTTTGAGATCTCTTGATAAAATTGTAGCATCCTCTCTCATATTTTAAACCTTTGCTAGAATAGAAGGGATTGTTCAAGTTGTTAATAGCTTGTACAGATATATATATATATGTATATAATGTATAGATGTGCAACAAACATAACATTTCTTGTTGACCATAACCCAATAATTTCGTACGGAATATTCTCAGACGTAACTTGAATATCTCTTTCATTTTTATCTTTGATAATCTTTAATTCTTAACAAATGAATCATGTTTTAATTACAAATATAAACTTGACTAATTAATTAATAACCTATTGGCTGAGGTTTAATTAAGTTAGCTTTAATAAGGAAAATCTCCAAGTGTTTACATTAATTCGTTTAATTCTATATTTAATTAATAAATACTTGATACTAATTTTTCGTACGGTTCAACGAAATAAACATATTCTCCATCATTCAATTCTTTATACGATGCTAATAAAACGAAAAGTTTAAACTTGAAAGTACTTGGACTAAATAGAGTAAGATTTTTCTTCCAACAATATTCTTTAGCCTGTTGATAAGTAAGAAGAGTTTGAAAGCTTATAATCTCGAAGCATTTTTCATCAAAAGTTAATTTTCTTCCATCAATTTTATTACAATCTAAACAAACAAACAAACAAACAAATAATGAATTGATCTTCTCCTTCTTATGGAATATTTTACCTGATAGAATTCTTTCTTTATGGCATTGTATCATAAGTTTTGGACTAATAAATCCCTTTTTCTTTGCAATTCGGATGAACTTACATTCGATTAAATTTGTTTCATTAGATTGACAAAAAAGACTTAACGGACTATCAAAAAATAATTGAATATCGTTAACTATTTGATACGTTCCTTGTTTGTAGCCTAGATAATTACAAACAAGCTATTTTTGATAAAATAAAATATGTAATAATAATAAGATAAGATAACGAAAACAGACTTGAGCGTGATGATAATCCAGTAGTGGTGTTAAAATATTAACCCACATCGAATTGTAATACATCTGTAATCTACCAACTACAATATCCGGTTTATAAATTAAATCTTTATAAATAGTATTTAATCCAAATAATCTTAAACTATATTCTAAGTAAAATATTAAAGATAAACTGGTAAATTCAATACAATAATGTAAACAGAATTATTAAACTGACCAGTAAAATTCTCTATTCTCTTTTGACAATATATTTGACAAGTTAAATTCCTATTTTCATAAGATGATTCTAGTCTGCATTCATTTAACGATATCGCATTAAATTTACAAACAATCGTTCTTGGTACACTTGTATAAGAAAATTCATAACAAAATCTTGGATATTTATGAAAAACTCTTAATGAAAACTTTTTACAGATAAGATCAATAACCCGAAAAAAATTTCCATTGTCCTTAATTTGTAATAAAAAGAGATTGGTATGATAATTTCTAGACATAATTGGTTGTATAGGAATCATGTTGCTATCATTGTCATTGTCATGTCTTTCATTGAATACATACGATTCAAGATAATGAAATTGTAATTCTTTTATTAGAATAGGGATAGGTTATGATTTATATAATACAGTTATTGAATATTTACCATTATACTGTCTACATATAAACGTTAAGCAATTGTTTATATTCCTTTGCGAAATTGTTGCAAAATAGTTATTATTGTTTATAAGATCCCTGCTTAAATCGTCCCTAAATATAAATGCTGTTCTACATCTAATATCATTGTATTTTGTTGAACATGCTTTATAGGTTGTATGATTGTAGCTAACAAATAAAATACTATATTGATAGCTTTGTGGCGATTGATAAATGAAATATACTGAAGAAATGAAATAATGAAAAAAGCGGAAGTTTGAGAAATTAAGAAAGCAAACACGAACGAGGAACATCAATTCTAAAACATTTGATACATATTGATACGTCATTTATAAATGAATTTTTACAATTTCCTTTCTCTCTATAATTAATAGATTAATTTAAGAATGAAAATTACAATTTACACCTCTTACATTCGACAATTAACATCCCAAACGGAATTTGTAAAGTAGCCGCACTTTAAATCATAGGTAGTATCTTTTCCATGATGATGATGATGATAACACTTATAGTATATAATAGTACATTATATATATAAACTTACAATTCTTATGGATACAAGGAAACGATCGAGTAATTGTTTTATGGAAACCATAATTACTGCAAGCCGATTGAAATAAATTTTTACCCACAAAAGATGATTCTGGAGTTAGTTGAATATAAGATTTAGATAGTTTTCCTGGAATTTCTATAACTAATTCTCCAATAATAGAATTATAATTCTCTTGTAATATATTATCGAGTTTAAAGATGGCATCTTTCAATGTAAAATCAATTGTTTCCTCCTGACAATTTTGGTTGGCGCCTAAACTATCTATTAGTATTGTAAAGTAGAGGTAAATTTTCATATTTGTATACTAAATATTGGACTATTTCTACTAATATATACATATATATATATACATATGTATATATGTATTCATAAGTATCATATATGCTTATTTTAAATATATAGAATTTCAATACTCTAGTCTAATAAGCTTTATAAATTACTGTATAAATATAAATTAGTATATAAAATCTCTTCAAAAACAGTTATTTTGTATTTGGCAAGAATAAATAATATATATATATATAGTTTATATTATCACTCACTATTCAATCACAAAACTTGTACTTTCCACTAATTTAACACTAATATATCTTTTATTAGAGAAAACTTGTAATAGTTTTTTAACATAACATCCATATTCGTAAATATCCTTTTTTTCGTAAATATCAATTTGTTTTGATAAAGTTGTATTGTTAAAATTTAAAAAGCAATTTATAATATTTCTATTATTCTCTAATGTCTGTAACAAGCAAGTAGATATCTTATTTAATCATCAATTAAATATATCTATATATATATATATATATATAAGAGTTATACTTTAAAATATAGTCCATCTTTCTCCAAATTACCATTAAAATAGATGTTAAATAAGTGAATTGTTATAAAAGCTTTACAAATTTGATAAGATAATCTATGTATTAATGTTAAATTAATTGGAATAGTTTTAATATGTATTTCGTCATCTTGTTGAAAAAAGTTAATAAAGTTTTCATTTAAACTTTTCAAGAAGTCAACAACTGCAAAGTTTTAATAAAGTTTGTTAAAGATTAAGCAATTTTTTATTAGTTTTATCTTATTATTTTCTTTTTTTCTTACAATTTCTCCTAGATGAGATCATTTTATCATTTAGGATGTTCTTTCTTTTTTTGGAAGGCGAGTATCTCAATTAGTTTTTCAAGCGAATTTTACTCTATTACCTTTTAATATTATCTTTTAATCGTTTATAATTGATAATTGTTAACGTTGTTATAGCAACATTAAAAGTAGACGAGGTAATTGATTTGAAGGGTAGAACAAAAATTATCAATACTATTATTATATAGTTGTTTATACTTAAAATTTCAAAGTAGAGTAATACATCTATTTATGTTAAAAAAAACAACAACTTCAATTATAAAAGAACTTTTAATATGCTATAAAAAGGCCTACTTAGGAGAAAAACAATTGAAAATATCATATTTAATGCTATTGTTAGAGATAAAAACATCATTCTAGAATCTTTTAAAGGTTGATTAATTCTTTGACATTTCCATATAGATTGTTTTAAAGTAAATATAATTAAAACAATAAATGGTAAACTATTCCATACAAGCATGAAAATATATAGATAAAGTACTGAATTATCATTAATTAAACTCCTTTTGACAAACAACGGAAAGCAAAATGAAGAAATAGAAAAAGATTTCTGAAAAAATCTTATTATTTCAATTGTTAGATTGTTAGTACAACAAACATTTTTAATTAAGATGTACTGTAACCCAAATACGAAAATAATATTTATTACATAGATTAAACTATTAGAATTTATCAATTTTCCCAATATAACTAGTTCTTTTGAATAGCATTTTGATAGAACTATACAAGTTGTTGATACACTGAAAATAACGAAGGATAATGTAATTAAAATTCCGCTTATTATGCATAATAAACTATGACGCCATTTTAATTGTTCTTCAATAAATATTCCAGAATATTTCTTATCAATTGATAATATTATTATCATATAAATGCCTAACAATATATCAGATATTTGCAGTCCGAAATAATTCCTGTCAAAAGTTTTATTCATCCAGTATTGTTTTATACTGCAAATTACACTCAATAAATTGCTTAAATTCATGGTTATAACCATAAATAATAAGAATATTTTCAATGCCTTATTATTTATTAAATCTATACAGCTTTCAAAAGATTCCCTTTGCGGTAGACAAACTTTTAACCTTGTAAATTTTTGACTAAAACAGCAAAATTCAAAATGCTCCGATACGAATATTTCAAGATTTTTTAATGGTTTCATTAAATTAGAAGTTAAATTCAATGGGAATTTTGTATTATTTAAATAGATTGATTTAAGATTTAATGTACTTTGAAAGGTTTTTGAACTGACAAATAAAAGTGTACAATCAATTATTTGTATGGTTTTTAAATGATTTAATCCACCAAAAGTCTCTCTATTAAGCCTTGAAATTTTGGTTCTCGATAGGTCTAAGTATAATAGATTTTTCATTTGTATAAAAGACCAATCGGATAGCAAATCTATTGGATTATTGGTTACAGAGAGATATTGTAATTTAGGAAAGGAATTATCGGTTTTCAATGTGAATCTGTTTAATAGATTAGAGTTGAGATCAAGATATATCAGATTTCTAGTTGTTATGATGGGTAATTCTTCAATAAAGCCAAAAGATATATTCAAAAATGTTAATTGTTGAGGGGAATGGAAAATTAGGTCATGTTTGTTTTTCATCCCTTTGACTGTGACTCTTTTTACTTGTGAATGAAAGGATAAATTACTTTCTGGTGAATTTTCAAAATGGCAGATGAAATCGAAAGGTATTTTACAAATACACGGTAGAGGACAGTTATAATGTGTAATGTTAGAGAAGCAAAAAGATTCGTCATCCCCTTTTTTACAATCAGTAATCGTATCACAAACTTGATCCAGACGAATAAAAGTACTGATTCCTCTACATTTAAAATATCCACTTGGAGTAAATGATTCTACCATTTTAAGAATTAACTATTTAGATCAATTTTAATTAATTAATTAATTTGAAAAATACCGCAATTTATTTCATCATCACCGTACAGACAATGAGAAATTCCGTCACATAAATATTGAATAGGAACACAATATGAGTATAGATGACATTGATATTCACCAAAAGTACATTTATGATTATGACAATTTTCCAAATCATAAAATGGATAATGGGGTTTTGTTATCAGTTTACCTCCTTCGTAAGCTAACTTGCATGGTAGAAAAGGCCCATCTTTACCTCTCTTTATCAAATTATCTAACTTTAGAGAGCTGTCTTTACACGTTACAAAATTTAACTGTCTTTTATCGAAATAAAACAACGTCATTCTTTAATAGTAATAGAAATGAATGTAAAGTAGAAATAATCACTCGTGTTGACTACTTAACTCGCCAATACAATCATTCCCATTCTCATCCGATAGATCCAATCCTCGACAATCTCTTCGAAAGTCACACATATCAGTCTCCTTTAAACATGTTCCAGAACAGAAATATTTACAATTTTTCTCATTTTCTTCAATAATAATAAAGTGAGAATGAAAGGAAAACTATTTCAAAGCTATATATTTAACTAACTTGTACACTGTTCATCGCTATTATCTAAACAATTTCTCTCCTTATTACATAAGAATCTTCTGTCTAAGCATTGGCCATTTTCGCATTGGAAACTTGAACAATACATAATCTTATGTATATGATATGCTTTAGCATTATACAGTATATCAAGTTCTTACCTTTGACTGTTATTACATTGGAATACTGCAAAAACATAATATTTCTAAGAAAATTATTGAATTTTTCAATACTACTACCGCAATCTATCTCATCGCTCCCATCTGAACAGTCGTTTGTAAAATCGCAAACAAAATTTATATTAATGCTTTCTGTATTATTACATTGAAATTCAATGATTGTTGAACAATCTTCTTCATCCGATCCATCGGGACAATCAATCATACTATCGCATACAGTCAAAATACTAATACAAATCTTTATTGAATGACATTGAAATGAAAAATTTGGGCATTTTTCAAAATTATTATCGCCGTTTATTGATTTTGTTAAATTATATAAATAAATATTTTCCATATGATAAACTTTTAATAGAGAATTAAAGATATTTCAAATATAAGAAAAACTGGAATTTTGTTTGCATTTATGTTTAATATTACCCATTTTTGATTCGCAAATTATAGTTGAAAATGCTGCAGTCATACACGAAATAGACATTAAACCGTCAACTGTACTAGTAATACAGTCGCTATCGTGGTTATAAAACTTTTTAAAGTTTTCGTATAGAATTATCATAAGGGTAAAGCAGGAGTGCAATTCTTGATTATTTCTACAATAGTTATCAAAGAGTAGTGGGATTAGATAAAATAAGAAATAGATGAATAATTAATTATCAAACACTAGATGCTGATTGGAGTATAGACCAATAATATCCAAAGGAATATTATCACTTGACAAATGAACCTTTTCTCCGAATGCGTTTCTGGTTATTTTTAAGCCAATAGGTATTTCAGGCATTCCAAATTCTTTATATTATCAAGTTATTTACAAGTATAATGATTATGTAAATTATGAATAAAAGTAATATTAAATTACCTGATAAGTAATTTAATAGAAATTCCGTATTGGAAAATGATGCTGAATTTTTAATAATTGTTTTAAGATGTCTCATTAAAAAACTTATAATAAGTTCTTTCTCATTTGATGGACTAAATAGTACCATATTCTCTCTTTTGCATAGATTAATAGCATCTTTATAAGAAATTCTAGATTTATATTCAAAAACTTTATAACATTTACCATCGAAAGATAACGAATCGATTGTTGAATTTGGACAATCTTTATTGAAACATAAAAGGAAAAAGATTATTTAAAAGAGTTGAACAATTGTTTTATTTTATATAATTTACTTTGTAAATATGGTTTATTTTGGCAAAGTAGCATTATATCAAATTTACTGAATGATTGTGACGTCATACTTGTATGGCAATCGTATAAATTTGTATGATTTTTAGCGCAGAATATTTTGTATTTACTTTCGAAAAATGTAATCTTGTTACTATAGCTGAATGAACCGTATTCGTAGTTAAAATACTGACATATCGTCTATAAAAGATAGTCTATTTATTAATAATTTAAATAATCATGATAAGGATAAAACAGTTGCTTGATCTTTCCTAAATACACTTAAAAATACATTCCACCATGTATAGTAATTGAAATATTGAAGATTTCCAACAAATCTAGATAGATTAGTGTTGTTTAAACCATAAAGACGATATTTATTATCTATTTCAAGTATTTTAACTAATTACTTAATCTTTTAAGTAAAATTTCAATATTTCAATTACTTACTTAAACTATTCTGATTTATTTTACGGCAGAATACAACACAAATGCCACTTCCGATCCCTCGCAATTCTGTAGATATGTTACAGTCTTTAAAGTATTCCGCTTTAGAGTTACACCATACAACTACACTTTTAAACAATACATTTAATGTACACTGTTCAGGGAGTTTATCATCAATATACATAGAATATTCTTTACAAATCAATCCAGTAACTTTCATAATATTTGTATCATTTCTTATTGAAAAACGATGAATATCTCCAGTTTCTAGTATTATATGTGGATTAATACGATTCGTTTTCTTATCGGAATGTTTCTTATTAAGTAGAAAATGATCCAAATCTATCACATTGAATTCTAGAGACAAAATGACAAACAATTTTCTCTTTTAAGTATTCAAACAAGCTTTTAAATGAACATAAAAGTTTACTTGTTTTATATTCAGTACAAAAGACTTTTGTACAATTGCGGTTTGTTTTTACTTTATTTGAATATTCATATTCTTTATATGCAATTAGAAGAGATGTTTTAAAACCCATAGATTTTTCGCATAATCCATTAATGTCTATCGTATCGTTTAAATGACAAACTGTATTTGTTTGTAGATTATGGCGGATATATAATACATGTTTCTCATAACTCATAAATTTACTTTGAAAATGAAAGAAAACTGAAATATTCAAAATATAAATTGTTTTGTCTAATAAACAAGAAGAATTAACAAACAAGGTTTAGATATTTTAAAACATTTAAGACAAACAGCCTGAATTTTAGAATTATCGCATTTTGGCCATCTGTATTAATTAAAATAAGGTTGTTTTATGATTAATAATTAATGAATAATTATAAATTGTTTAACTACGCATAACATATCGGTATTTTTTGTTCATTTTTATAGATAAATGAACATTCCATAACAATTCTTCTAGTATCTATATCAGTTTATAATATAATGTTCATTTTTAAAAGAATAGCATCATACCAATTTCATTTGGACAGGAGAGTGTCGTTGCAAAAAAACTATCGTACCCTCCACTACTACATAATGTTGCAAAGGGAATATCTTTTTGAAATAAAGCCACTCCTCCTATACGTAGTGTATAAAGTGAACTATACAGAGTGTTATTTTGCAATTTTATTAATATTGTAGCAAAAATTTCCATATCATTCTCATTTAGAACTTTTCCTAATTTCAATTCAAACTGACTCGTATTTACAGCTATTGGTTCTATTAAGCAATTTGTAAAAGATGTGAAAGCTCTTCTACAAAATAACAAGAGGAATAGGAAGATTATTATTTTCATGATACATACACCAAACCATAAACAAGAAGAAAACTAGATATAAAAGAATTGTTTACTAGAATGAAAGAGTGATACTCTCTAACCCCTTTGATATGGCTAATAAAAGATAATACATATTGAATTTCTATAAGTAGAGCAACTTTTTGATTGTTTGAATAAAGTATTTCATTTCAATCGTGAGTATATTCAAAACAATGAGTCTCTGTAATACAAATAAGTATTGAACGATGAGTAAACTGAAGGAAATGGAAATTAAATTTAACAATGAAATTCTTAAAAGATACTATTCAAATGAATTGAAAAAGATATGGCCTAATCAAAAGTATCAGCAATTAGTTAAAGATTTACTGGCAGCTGCTTCTAAGAGAGGAACGAAAACCAAATACGAAAATTATCTAATAACCAATTTTCGCTTGCGGACAGATAGTGGAAAGTGTTATCTTATTGATAATAAGAAAGCAAATTCAAGATACGTTTCTTTGGAAGAGCTTTTTCTTATTTTAAATTCTACTCATAAAAACACTAAACATGGTGGAAAGACTAAAATGATGTCCGAGTTATCCGCCTACTCAAACATTACGCCGTCCATTATTGATGTCTATATCAATTTTTGTGAAACGTGCTTAGAAGAAAGAAATGAAAAAGAACCTACCGAAAATCGACCATCAACAAGTAAAAGAGAACGGGAATTTCATAAAAGAGCCGAACTGGATATAGTTGATATAAAACATTATTCAAAATATGGATTTAAATATGTTCTTTGTTATGTTGATAACTATTCGAAATTTTCTCTTCTAAGACCGTTGAGAGATGAAAAGAAACAACTTATCTCTGAGCTGGAGAACGTTATGAGTAGTTTTGGAACACCTAAAATTTTACAACTAAACAATTCATGTAAATGCAGTATAGATGATATTTTACAGTTCAGCCAAGGATATTTTAAATTCAGTATTGTAATGGAGAATTCAGACAATTCAGAAAATACTAATGATTGTGAACGAATTAACACAGATTGGAAAGCGATACTCGAGGAAAAGGATAAAAAAGATAATCAAACGGATTGGGAAATGTTTATACACTCTATTCAATATGAAATAAACACTAAAATTATTCGAAGAGATTGCAAAACCGCTTTCGAATTGTTTATGGGACGTAAACCAAATTGGGGACTTTCTAGCATAGAAGGAATCCCTAAAGATGTTTTAAAAACTATTGAAACGGAAGAAGAATTAGTTGAAAATATGGCCAAATTTAAAATTAATCCTTCTATTATCTATCCTACTGGAACATCGCGATGCTTTTGTTTAACAGATTGTAAAGATGACAAATGCTTATGCAATATCAACTGTATTGAATGTACCGAAGACTGTCACGAAGGTTCTTCCTGTTTCAACTAATAATATATTCAATGTAAGGTTGTATTATATGTTCTTCGTACTTAATTAATTCCAACATTGTAAACACAAAGATATATAAAGCCAAAAAAACTGCAAAATAGAAAACTATGTACTGCAATATATGTTTTTATAATCATTTCTTTTCTTTTTATAAGTATATTCAAATAAACAGATTTTATTAGTAACATCTATAGAAGTAAGTCTATTTCATGCAATACCAAATTGGAACTGGAAAAGATTCTAGCATCGAGTATTGTTCTCGCTGAAGGTCTTTCACTTTCCGTAATACTAGTCATATGGATGAGATTTGTAGAGATTTCTGAATCGGAAGGTAGTTTTTCCTGCGATTCTTGTTCATTAGTTTGTAGATTAAATAACTGCAAACCAATTACTCCTAAACCATAAATGTCACTTGAAAAGCTATAATTATTTAGCTTGGCTTCTGGAGCTCTGTAAATACTATTAACAAGATTCTTATCTTTCTCTTCGGCTTCTATGCCCATATCAAAATTTCCCATTTTCACGAGTAAGTCGTTCGAATTGTTCATAACAAATATATTGCTCGGTTGGACGTCTTTATGCATAATCTTTTTATCATGAAGATAATCCAAAGCTGATAAGAGCATAAGCATAATTCTCTTTTCAAATTCAAAATATTCAAAATTAGATGAAGGGATACGAGATTCAATCCAATCGGATAAGGTTCCTGTACAATATTCCATTTGAATATACATATTTAAAGTGGAAAGATGATTTAATCTCTCTAATCTCCCCTTTTCTTCATTAGACGAAAACCAATTAACTCCATCAGCTCTTTTCTCAATTTCAAACCATTTATCATAATATTTAACGAGATTTTGATGTTTACACTGAATCAACTGATTGATTTTCTTCTATTAAAATTAATAACATCTGTTGTTGTTTTTTGAAAAAACAAAAATATCTACTAATCTCTTACCTGACGAATACTAATTTCGTTGAATTCTTTAAAGATAATCCTTTCAAGTTTTATATTATAAACAGTATTACTTGACTTTTCCTTAGCCTATTTCAACAAGAACGTATACATCATTTTGAAAAGGTAAAACATTTAAAAGATAAATACTTTAAAACTAGTTTTGTATTGCCTTTCAACTTGAAAGTTTAACTTGAAGAAATCTTGTTGAATAGGAATATCTGCAGTATATTCTGTTAATGCTATTCCGTAGATTCTCTCCACAATATCCTTTGAAAGTTTTATCTTATCAACTGCTTTATCCGATATATTAATTTTTGGGTGATCATCTATTAAAAAATGACTTGAATTACCTTTGTTTTTTTAAATAAAATAATGATTTTAATAAGTAAAAAAATTACTATCTAATCTATAAAATTCAATATTTGCAATATCTGTCAAAGCTTTTGCCGCTGCATCTCCTTTTGCAGTTATCTCATCAATACCGTATCCCTGCATTGGTGATATTTTAATATAAAAATATCAAAAAAATTGATATATATATGATATAGTTACAATATATTTTTTATTGAAAATTGTTAATGTAACTGTTCCGCCCGAACTGCTTTTTGGACGCTGTTCAAATTTACCATAAATAACATTTTTATCAATTTCATTCAATATTAACGATGGATGAATTTTATTGGCAAAATTTTCATTTATATCCAAATTACAGTTTGGTAGACCTGTTTTTACGTTTTCTAGTGACATATTTAAAATGTCTTCTTAAACTTCAATTAAGATTTTTATACTCTTCACAAGTCCGATATCTTATGAATATCTTCTAGATATTCAATAAATCTCATATAAATTTCATAATACACTCAAAATATTCACTATCCTTTAGTCAGGCTCAGTATTTCATTGAGATCAATTATATTCTCTTACACACTTGGATTAGTTGAATATATTAAAAGTAAGAAATAAGACGCAGTTTTCTCTTATATATTAATATTATCAGTATTTATTAGGTCTATTTGGTAAAAGGTATAATAATTAAGAATAAATGGTAAAAACAAAAGAAAAAACTACGTTTACACTTTATTTAAATTGATTATTTAAACATTAAAAAAATAGGAATCAAGCTAATGAAGTGCTTTATAATAACGAATTATAGTATATTCATAATATTTTGTCATTATACTAGATCTTGTTTATATTGTCTCTTAGTTATTTGTCATTAAAAAAGTATTCTTACCTTAAAATTAGGTCAGTGACTGACAACAAAACAATAATTTTCCTTTATTTTTTACTTTAATTAAATAATGTTTATCTTCCGTTAAATATTACGGTATTTATTAACTTCTTATTTAGGTTAATAAATTATAGATAAGGAATATATACCATACTTATGAAAACTTTGCACTTTACAATACAAACAGTATAATAATAGGAATAATAATGATAAACTTTAATTCAGAACAATTGCTTCTGTAGAATTCAAGTTAGTCATTTCTTTTAATATACAGACCACGAACTTTTCTAGTCTATATTCTATCTCCGTCGTAAACGTCAAATCAATCAAATTGAAAGATTTAGATAGGTTCCAAACTTTGCTTAACATTTATATTCTTATTGGTTTGTGGTAAATGAAACCTTGGTGTAATTACTATGATCATGAAAGTAGGAGGAACTCCTTGGAGTACTATAAATCTGATTCTCCACCTCGCAAGAAGTGTAAAATGACTCCAACATGGGATAAATTTCTTGTAGTAGTATCCTGGGATACTCAAGGTATCATTCACCTTTAATATACAGAATCCAAAAGAGAGAATAAACGCTGATATATATATTAGCATCTTGAAGATGAGAAGATTTAGATCAGGAAAGGGTGTTAGTTGCACAAATCGACAATCCAAGATGTTATACTACAAAAAAAAAAACACAAAAGATTCTATGGAAATCACTCTATAGTAGATGCTAATACATCCAACAGACTCGCCGGCTATGGCTCCATCCAACTACTTGTTAGGGCATTTGAAGAACGATTGGCGCGAGTCCATTGATAAAAATAGCGAATTTAATGTAAAGTAATGATTGTATATCAATTAGAATTTTTTGTTTTACTTTGTTTTTCCTATACATATACTCATTACTATAGAAATTAGATAGTTTTTCCCTCGATACCTTTAGATTAACCCTTATTTCCCTTATATTTAGATTTGTAATTTTGTATTATCAACAATTAAATTTTAAATTACATTAAAAATTTTGTTTTCAATATTAAAAGATAAGTTAAAACTACAAAGAAAACATAAAATATACTATAAAATCATTTTCTTTTTGGAATTCATTAATTAGAATTCATGAATTAGATGTATGATTTTAAGAGTTGTTATTTTTTTAAAATTTCAAATTTTAACGGTTTAGTTAGGTCAATGACAGTAAGCAGAGTACTTTTCACCAACACGGGGTATGGACTATTATAAATTTATATACTGCGCTTATCTTTGCGCAGTTATGAGCACTATCACGCCTACAGGAAATGGGTAGAGAATGATGTACTATTGTATAGCGTGCGACTAGCGTGCGACAGTTACACGTGACCACAGAATAAATTGTTCAAGATTTTTCTGGTATCTAATTCGTATTTATATCATTTCAAAGAGAAAATTTACTTTTTAGATTATTATATCTTGTAATAGATCAACATTTAATTAAGAAGTTGTCTTTAAAATGGAAGTAATCGAAGTTATTAAGCCTAAGAGGCCAAAAATGTATAGCGGGCCTGATGGAGCGCTGGTGAAGAAAATGTCATACACTCTTTCAACTATTAAACGACAAATGAAAAAACAAGTATATACCATTGGTTATCTAAAGAAAAGATTATATTGGAGTGAGAAAGTATTAGACGTTATACGAGAAAATTTAGACGAAGCGTCAATGTCGTTTATGCGTTGGCTGGAACTGAAATCAGACTGCGTAGATATGATTGAAAAAGCGGAGAATGGATTATATGTGGGCAGAAGAGACAAACCCTTCGGCACTGATGTAAGCGATGATATTACGCGTGACGACGTGATTATAGATACTAATAGAATAAGGCATGAGAGGGATATTGCTTGTTACGAGGTCATGAAAACGACAGAAAATCAAAATTATTTTTCAAATTTGAACGAGCAATTGACGAGGAAAAGAAAAGCAAGGACTACTCCGACCGAGATATCAGCAGCAACTAGTTCCGGTTTACGAAACAGACCGTTAATTTCAAATGAACGAAGACTCAGTTTATATAGGCAGCAGACTCAAAGGCCAAGTTTTGAAGGTAATCTTCAAAACTGTGAGATATTTGTAGATGGTATTAGAGTGGGCGATAGACAAAATACATCAATCGAAATTAAACGAGAAATAATCGATAACAGTCCAATAAAGAATTTTTCAGACATTAATATTCGTCAACAGACATCTATTTACAACAACGATATGGCAAGGTTACAAAAATCATTCGGAGAGACAGCCAAAGAGAAAACGGGAGAGAGTTTTTTAACATCGAAGCCCGTAGATAATGAAATCGAGCAGCTGGTTAGTAAACATTTGAGAAATCTAACAAAGGAATTTGAAAGTAAAACGACAAAGATGTGGCAAACTGTGGAAGAAAGAATAACTAGCAAAATTGTTGATAAGTTGGACGGAATGGAAAAGAAATTGGATAGTAATTGCAAAGTCATGAGGGCTGTTCAGGAACTTCATTTCGATGATATTAGTAAACGAGTTGAGTCGACAGAAAGTAAACTTGAAAAGCTTGAATACCAATCCAAAGTTAACAAGTCAATAAGTAATAAAGCGAGCACATCCAACGAAGATAAACAGATAAACAGAGAGGAACGAATCAAGTACATTGAAAGTGTTAAGCCTATATTTAATGGAGAATTTGGATCGTTTGATAAATTTCAGACTCAATTTCAGAATATTGTCAGAAAATATAATTTTAGCAATCAAGAGAAATTACAATTATTAATAGCATCAGTTGGAGATAGTGTAAAGCCCTTATTAGATAAGTATAAGGAGGATGTAAATCATGGATATAAAAAAGCCATCCTGACATTGAAGCAAAAATTTACGTCGTTTGACGAAGAGAACTGTAAAAAATTGATGGCGGTTGGCTCAGTCAAAAATGGTGACACTGATAGTTTGGACCGTTTGGCAGATGTTCTTTGTTCCATCCAGCAGGAATATCTGCGTGAGGGAAACTATAGTAAAGAACGCTTGAAGGGACTGGTCAATATGGTTACGCTATCGCAAATGGACCATTCTTTAAACAAGAAGTGGACACAAGCTGTCGTCAAATATAACGACCCGTCATTATCGAACTTTTTACACTTTGTGTACAGAGAAGCGACCCAAGCGCGGAAACAGGAAAATACTCCTAAACCATCTTTACTTGAATCGGCAACCAAGTGTTACTATTGCCAGAAAACGCATCTGCTGAGCAATTGTCAAGACTTTTTGAAACAGCCAGAAAGAGAGAGGCTAGCTTTCGTTGTACAGGAAGACCTATGTAAAAACTGCCTGAGTAAGCTACACGATACGGTAAATTGTTTAATAGGTCCCTGTTACAAGTGTAAAGAGATGCTGAACTCAGCAATACACTCTTGTGGGATTCATAATTGAGAAATGTTATAAATGGTAAAATTTTGACAACATAAATCATCTTTTACTGTTAAAAAGTTTTTCATCTTGAACATTTGATTGTAAAACATTCAATTTGTATGTAAAATCTTTCCATTTAGCGCTAACGTGTAAGCAATATCTATCCATTGTTATTATGAATGTTCGTAAACAAAATGTAATATTATGTGAAAGACAAGTCGTGTAGTTCTAAAAACTAAAAACTGGTAATTATTGATGGTAAACACTCTGGAAATGGAGGATAATGAAGCAATTTCTGAACTCTCTATTTGTTCCATAGATTGTCTTGAACAGTCTTTAATTTAAATTTACTGTCTTCAATCTTATTACCTTTAAAAATTCATTTCTAAACTTTGTACCAGATATTAAATAAATGTAAAAGTTACCGCCATTATTCATAAATGATAATAATGAAGTATATAATAGATATCTAGTTATTTTAAAATATTTTTGATAGTTTCGACCATACGCTTCAATTTCTGTGAATACTATTGTTTTTATGAAATTCGGTACTGTTGTTAATAGGAAGAAAAATGAAACAAAGAGCAACATTCTTGTCAATTCCGATAAATTTTCATCATCGTTTGTTGTTGACATTGTTATTTCTCTTATCATTTGATTTCTCTTTGATAGCACGTACACCATTGCAAAGTTTATGAATAGAATTCCAATACTCGGAATTAAACCTCCAGCTATATTTTGGAAATGAGCGAGAAATTTAGTCGCATAGGTCGTATATTGGGGATTTGATTGAATGCATACAAAGATACTATTCCACTTGTCGTTTTCATCATGAATAAAACGACTTGATCCTTTCACACCAACGTAAATAGTAAAGGAAAAGATTAATACTAGAATTAGAACTGATAGTGAACAAGCCACAAACGCCTTCCTCTTTGTACATATTGTAGATGCTTTGAGTGGAAAGAAGATAAACATACTTCTATCAATAGTCATGATCAACATCAACCATCCACTTCCAGAAAATGCAACTGGATAGGCAAAGTAAGTGATTGCGCAGGTATATATTTTCCTCGCATTTAGACTGAGATTGATAAAACCAGACAAAGACGTAGAAAAGATGAGACTATATAGAGCAAAAAGTGAAAAGCAGTCAAATATTGCCAAAAACCTCATATATACGGATAAAGTTGTTGTCCTAAAGCTCTTTCTACTGCTGATTATATATATCATTATATTTCCAAATATACCTAACAATACAATCAAAGACGCACAAGTTGTATAACTTATTGTGAAATATTTTGTTTCTGATTTAAAATTCAAGTAGTCTCTTAAATAGGATGAGTTTGCCATTTCATAGATGATGTAATAAGGACTAAGTAACAATTAATTTTTATTATTTCAAATAAAGAATATCTTACTTTATTACATTTAGTTAGTGAAAAACATCAATAGGATAATGCACAAGTTTTTCATTCATTTCGTTTTTGTATCTTATATCATTAGCTTCGTTTTGTAAGAGATTAATTAATTTTGGGCGTTAAATGTTACACTTATATTATCTTTTAGTTTAAATAAATATTACATTTTTAATTCAATTATTATTAGATAATTTATTATCCTTTGTATTATTAAGACTTCCATAGTTCTCAACTTTTTTCTTGAATTCTCTTACCCGTATCAATTGGGATTGAAAGAGTGATTGATGAAATGAAATATCTCTCTTTTCCTCTCTGATTATATGTTATTACGTTTTTTTTCTATTCAATAGTGTATCGTAATTAAATATGGGCGTTACTTTTCGTTATATAAACAAGGTAAATGATTAGTAGATACAGTTTGTACAGAGTACTGAACGCTCAGGTAGGAAAAGTTTAGATGAAGATAATGGGATATAAGAAAACAATCTTATAAAAGCCGACATCATTATTCTTTATACAGTATATACAGTGTATAAATAAAGAGTTATAAATACTTAAATAAAAAAATTTAGGACCAAACATCTGTGACTGTATTGAACACGGTTAACATGTTGTCGAACCATCGAATCAGAACACGATCTTATTTTCTGCCTCATTAAGAGTAGCTCTTGAAATCTTAAGGCGAAACTCGCGAAACTCCGATACCATATAATGATTAATACTCTTTTTCTCGAAGGGATATGATGAATGCCTGCGATGCACCGACACCATACAATGATCAATACACTTTTTCTCGAAGGAATCTAATAGAGACTTCCCTATGCTTTTTAAATCTGTCAAGTCCTGAAATTTGTCCAAAGATGACATGTAAGGTAGAATAGAAATTTGTCCAATCTTAGCTATCTGTCTGAAGTCGTTTGTAGAAATAAAAATATTAGTTGTTCTAATATTTCCATGAACTTTAAAGTGCTTGTAGACGTAGTTCAAACCAGAAACTATATCGTCAAAGAGTTCACGCTCTATATCCTCATTTTTTTTGTCCTCTAGCCAGTTCTCTAAATTTAAACAAATATATTCCATTTGAACGTATATTTGTAATATTGGCTCTTTTGTTCTAGGACTGCTCTCTAGCCATATTTGGAAATATCTCAGCACATTTGAATGTTTAAATTGAAGTAGACTATAAACGTTTTTTATTGTCTGAAAGGAAAAGTGTTGCATTAACATTTTATTAGATTAAATTTATATTCTTCATACTTGCAAATAATTACGTTTACTAATGTCTACAAATTTAATTTTCTTAGCGTCTACAATAAAAATCCCTTTGTCCAGATTCTTTTGAACCTAAAATAGAAGAAAATGAAATTTGAAAACTTAAAAAAGTTCATTTTAAAGAAAATTCAAACCTTTGCAACTAATCTAGTTTTACTTTGATGTACAATTGCGCTAATTGTGAAACTACCTTTAAAAAAATTTTTTTTAAAAGGCTTGATCTGTTCACTTACAACAAGTTGATTAATCAATGCTTGTTTTTTTTTATCAAGTTTTGAATTATCAAAGACGGAATCCCAAGGAAATCCTTCCGCCAGACATTCTGAAAAACAATCATTTTTTTTTGACTTAAGACTAAGATTTTTAATTTGTTAAAGCAATAATTTGTAATATCTTACTCTGAAAATTTCTATAAGAAAACTCATAAAGATTTTGAAGGAGTTCACTAGCAAAGATTCTCTTTTCTTTTCGAGTCTTTCCCACGACCTATATGTCAATGATTTGTTATATATTTACATTGAGATATTTAAAAGCAACCTTAATTATGTAGATTGGACCGTTAATAGTTACCTCCTGATATGCGTTTCTATGATTCTTTGAAAATTTTAAAGACTTGGAGCAGACTGAAAGAATACTGCATGGATGAACACTTTTCCTATTGAACGAATACGGCAATTCTGATTTAGTATTTATACTATCTTCTTCGATTGTTTTAAGGTTTAATGATGGAGATTTCTTAACAAGCTGATGAGGAGGAATGCGTCTCATCTTAGAATCAGGTAAAGTCATAATTTTGACGTAATAAGAAAATAAAGTGAATTCATCAGGCTGGAGATCATTGCTATGTAGTAATAAACCATTATTAGTATTGTTTAATCTTTCTATAAAATCCTGAAGAGTTTTACACTTGCTAAGCATTAGTTGAAATACTCTTCCAAGGCTATAAATATCAGATGGATAAGAATATGTTGACCCTTTTGCCTCTGGCGCTCGGAATATTAGTGTTCCAATATTAGATGTAAATTTAGTATCTTCAGTTTGAACATCGTGAATTAATCTTGATAGTCCAAAATCGCCTACCTTAGCCATGAACTTGTTATTCTCTTTTATCACCAAAATATTTGAAGGTTTGATGTCTCTGTGTAATACCTCCTGCGAATGCATATATTCAAGAGCGGATAATAAGTTGTGCATCATATCTATTTCTGTAGAAAAGTCATAAATGGTCCCAATTTTACGAATGCTAAACAACCAATGTTCTAGATTCGCCAAACATAGTTCGGTTTGAATATAAGCGTACAGGCGGGGAAGACGACTCAACCTTTTGTTCATTTCGATTTCTTTCAATGATTTACTCGAATTGACACTTGACGAGTAGAATGATAGACAATTCTTATCTTGTTCTTCAATTTCAACCCACGACGTGTAATATCTAACAATATTAGGATGATGAAGTTTAGCTAGCACAGACATTTCTCTGAAAGACTAATAATTGATCCATATTATAAATTTCCTTACAAATTCACTTAAAATACCGTTTTTAGTACTGTAGAATCTAATGTCTGAAGTGCTATTTCCTGCTTTTTTATAGCAAAATATTGACGGTTATTCTTGCTGGCCTAAAATAAATAATTTAATAAATAATTATAAAGATTCTATTAAAAAGATTAACTTTATAAACAACTCCAAATCCTCCTTTTCCAAGAATTTCTTTTTCTATATTTCTCTTTTTAGTATAGTCAAAATCTATTGTATGAGAGTGTGTTTGTTTCATATCGTTTTTAATTAATTGTTTTAAGAAGTAAGTGTACAACTTCGCTTTACATTTCCATTCAACCACTATATTATCAACATTTTGGCTATTCAAAAAAAACCAAAACTTCTTCTTACCTAAATGAAACAAAGTAAGAATTTATAATTGGTTGTAATAATAAAGTGTTACTTTTTCTTCTTAGAAGAATGCTAAAACATTTTTCCAAAGCTTTTACAGCTGCTTTCAATTTTCTTTTTTTCTTACTGGCCGTCTAGAGGTTGAAATTTACAAATTTATTTCTATTAATGCATAATAATTCAATAATTTGTTGCCTTTATGAATGTGCCATCGATGAGTAATTCGTAATCAGATAATTCCATATTATACATTATTTTTTCGTTGAATAATTCCTTATTACATGATCTTATGATTGTAATCATTTCTAGAGGTGATACCACAATTTTCAAGTCGCCGTCACCCTGTGGCCGTAAGTCAACATAGCCATGATTTACGTCTTGTCCATTATTTCTGCAAGATAAATGATTAAATCATACAAAAATACATAATAATAGACATTGCTTTTATATTAATACTTTCGGATTAGCGGTTCTCTTGTATTTAGCATGATAATGTATTTTTTTTGGTTCTACAGCCAACAAACATGCATAAAGATTCTCTGTCGTCATCATAATGTTCTTGAACATTCTACGATTCCTAGATCACGTGTTAAAGGCAGCAATATTTTTAGGTATTTAGGTGTATATACATGGTTAAATACGAGGTTATATAATATATATCTTAATCGCTTATGATCCAATCAACAACCTGCTTTTATTTAAACATTGAATATTCAATATCGTTATAAACTATTTCAGTATATGAAGGTGCAACCTAACTTGTACACTTATTGCTTTGATTGGATATCTTATAACGTACTTTCGTTTTTGATTTGTTTTAGAATTTTGATAAAATGATGAAATATTAATTAGTTTATGATAAATATGATATATAGATATTGTAATATATTTTTTATACCCTTTCTATTTTTAGTAGCTTTCCCCAAAATGTGATTTTCCTTGAAGAATACTCTGATAACTAATTTAAATATATGAATAAGCATATTCTTTTATTCACATATGTTATTGGTCATCATATAACACGTTAGTCTGCTGTCTGTAAGAAGATAATAGCATTGTTTGTTAAGGTTAGAAAATGTTAATTAGCCAGGAAATTTAGATCAGTCGTATATGTAATGTACAGTTGATGACAAGCTAGTTGTTACATTCTGTAGAATACTCTATTTGTCAAAGTCATTCAGCATGGCCTATTGGATTATTATCTAGTGTATATCAATGTACAGCTGTGGTGAGAAAATTGAAAATTCAGTAGCAGATTACCCATCCATATTTTTCAGTGGTTGATTTTATGTATATACAGTATATTTTATTATATATATAAATAACAGAATTGATTCTATTAACCTATGTATGTATATAATAGCTTTTTATTATACGAAATTCACAGATGAAGAACATTAATTCGCTATATATAAGACTTAATCTTATCTTTCTAATAATTATGTTTGATATACTGTGGACAGCTAGGTTAATAGTTTCGTTTTTTCAAATAGATCAACAAGTTAGAGAAGATATTTTGAAGAAGTTATAAAACTTAACATTGAAATTTATTGAAAATGGCTTCTGCAAGTTCACAGAATTATACGTCACTTTTAAACGAACTTTTTCCGGGTCAAATCCAGGTGAAATTTCTTTTTCTCTTGTATTCTATTGAATATTATAGTCTTTTTTTTATTTTACAGTATACGGAAGTTAAAAGTGGTCCAGACCACGATCCTACATATAAAATTTCGCTAAAGTTACGAGGAAAATCGTTTCAAGGAATTGCAACAAATAAAAAAACAGCTAGAAAGTTATGTGCTGAACAAGCTTATAATCACTTTAAAAGCAATAGTATTAACGAAGAGAGAAGGGATTATCAATTATCTGAAGATGTCCTAAATCCATCAGTAATTCTAAATAAAGTTACTAAAGGTACTAGATACAGTTTAGTCGAACAAAATGGTAATAATTCTACAGTGGACGTTTCAGTAGAGGGAGCTGTGTATCGGGTATTAATTAAAGCATAATTCAAATAATGCTTTAAAGCCGTTATTTAATATATAAATTAAAATTTTAAAGGGTACAGGTAGCGACGAAGCAATGGCTAGAGCAGATGCAGCAGCTCGAGCTCTGACAACTCGATTTCAAATTGAATTTGATAGGGAAAATAATAGTATTATTTGACGGAACACATTTTAAAAACTATTTTAATATATTTTCTTTATTTAAAATGTAGATCAAATCCCTAAAATTGCCTTAGCAAGTATAAAAAAACTATCTGGTAAAGTAGCCCCAAAAGTACTTGAAGAAATTTACCAGAAAAGTTTAGAAGAGTACAATAAAGATATTTCTATCGATACTGGACATTTCAAGAGACATTTTTTTGATGAAACAGAACTTGGTTCGGGATCTTTTGGATCTGTTTCAAAGGTTTTAAATAATTTTCATCGTTAAAGGTGTATAACATATGTTTCATTATTTCTTTAAAGGTAAAAAGTCGTACAGATTCACAATTCTACGCAGTCAAGAGGGTTACTTTGCTACCTTTGAAAAAAGAAGAAATTATGAAGGTATCACATTTGTTTCTTGCTTTATACTTTCCTCATTCACTTCCCTTTTTAGACGTCAAGAGAAGTTATCCACCTATCCGTCTTGAATCATTCAAACATTATTAGATACAATCGAGCTTGGTTTGAAATTGGATACATACCAACAGGTCCAGATCATATACCCTGTTTGCACCTGTATATTCAAACAGAATTATGCAATCATGATTTATCATATTGGATCAAAAACAGAAAAAATCATCCTGAAATTATTAACAATAACACTGATGAAGTGAAAATCATGCACGATGTTTTGTCAGCATTGAGTTATCTTTGTAAACAAAAAGTTATTCATCGAGATATCAAACCTCAAAATATATTTATTATCGAAAGGTCAGATTCGAATGAACTAGTTGTAAAATTGGGCGATTTTGGTTTATCTAGAGTTAAAGATTCGATGGCGAAGCTCACTGGTGGTATTGGAACGCCTTTTTACTTTGCTCCAGAGGTATTAACTGGCGACTACAGCTACCCAAGTGATATTTTTAGCTTTGGTTTAGTAACTCTCGAATTATTTGGACTTCACAAAAGCTCTGACGAATTACGATTAGATGTTGGTGCACTTAGAAATGAAAATACACCGCCAGCTCAACTTAACCATAAATATCCCCAAATATACGACATCGTTAAGAAAATGACAAAAACCTCACCAACAGAAAGACCCACTGCAGACGAATTACTTAACATGGGTCTTTTTGAAAACTATTCATCGAGGAGTTATCAAGATTTGGTAAAAGAAAATGAGCAATTAAAGGCTACTGTATTTCAACAGAATAAAAGAATAGAAGAGTTACAGATGATAATCGATTCTCTTCGTACTTGATATTGAAGAATACAGCTAGACATCTCCTCTGGAATGATATTGCCTAAACTCTCTTCGATCTTTTAATACTGTTATTTAGTGCATTAATACATAATAAACTAATAAACAGTTTTACTTGAAAACACCATAAAATCTTTACTTTTCATTTATTGGATATTTAATATTCACAAAATCTTTACAATCGTCATTTTTATGAATATTAATATGGTAGTATGTATGTATATTTTATACATATACGATGACATTACTCGCTATTTAAACTGGAGAACAAGATCACTTTAGGGCAGGTAGTTGATTCACTAGCTGATATGAGTAATAAGTTATATCTAAAGCCAAATATTTAGAATTCGAAAGTAACTTGGCAAAAACCAGAAATCTATATAAAGTACGACTAGAGCAACCTAAAGGAGGTCTCTTACTATACTATTTATATGAGCAGACGAACTTAGTTGCTATTTTGACTCATTCAGAAGAGTTCTTAATTTAAAACACCATTAATTAACTTAAATCTTAAAGGTAAGAATTATGATTTATTTGATGGTACATTCTTACTTACGATCGTCGTTTAATGTCAAGGATATTTTTTAAACTATGACTTTCAATTTCAGTATTTACATTCATGGAGCCTGAGAATATAGATTATATCTCACTTTTAAACAGGAAATTCGGCAAACACGTTAAAGTATGTAAAAAATAATCATAACAAAGTAATTCTATATTCATCAATGTAAATAGTACGTGGATGTTGAAAGCGACGACGATGGTAAACCTATATCCGATTTTACAAAGAAAATTCTCATCCCGACTAAAAAAGGTGAAATATCATTCACGGCAATCGGTCGAAGTAAAAAGATAGCTAAGCAAGCTGTTGCGAAAAAGGCATATCACTCACTTTTTGAAACAAATTTCTTTTCTGAATCTAAAAAAGAAAGATGTCAAGTATATATTCAAGTTTAATAAAATATTTAAATAGATATAAGAACATTATTTCTTCTTATCTAGGATAAAAAGGAGGAGAAAATTGAAGAAGAAGAAGAAAAAGAAGAAGAAGAAGAAGAAAAGGATAATAGGAAACAAACGTCTTTTTCGGAGAAGCTAGATTATCAACTAAACTCTCCTATCTTAGACAATTATTATGAAAAAGTGTTCTCCGAAGAAAAGTTTATAGGTGAAGGAGGATTTGGCGAAGTTAAAAAGGTTGGTATCCTTAATAAATTATTAAAAAGAGTTCTATATTAATTATTATAGGCAAAACACAAAATAAACGAGCAATGGTACGCAATAAAAGAAATAAAAGTGACGGATAGCAGCCCTGAAAGTATAGATAAGGTAATTCTCATTAAAAAATTCATATATTTTTAAAAGCTTAATATATGTTTCTAATGAATAGAATAGAAGAGAAATATTATTATTATCAAACTGCTCACATCCAAATATTGTAAGATATTACGGTAGTTGGTACGAAACTCGTCAACACGAAACTTCATCATTCCCAAGTAATAGTAGTAACAATTTTAGTATATTTATACAAATGGAGTTATGTGATGGTAATTTGGAAGACTGGATATATGATAAATCAACAAAATTGCTTTGTTTTAAGAGAAAAGTTATTCACGATATGTTATCAGCCGTCCATTATATTCATTCTTTAGAGATTATTCATAGAGATATAAAACCATGCAATATTTTAACTAATAAACAAAATGAGACAATTGAAGTGAAACTAGGGGACTTTGGTGTAGCAAGAACGATTGGGAAAAGGCACACAAGTAATGTTGGTACACTGGGCTACACTGCTCCTGAAATAGATACTTGTGACTACGCTACTTCCGTTGATATATATAGCTTAGGGATTGTTGCTCTAGAGGTGTTTGGAAACTTCAAAACCAAAGCAGAGTTCTATCACTGTGGTAACTTGTTTAAGAAAACAGGAGAATTTCCGTCAATGTTATTAGAAAACCAAGTAATATGTGAAACTATCAAGAAAATGACTGATTCAAAAAATAGGCCAACAGCAGAGGAACTCCTAAATTCTGATGTATTTTCTGAAAGCAGGAATGACGATGTCGTGAGATTAATAAATAAAATCCAACTACAAGATCAAATAATACAAGATTTACGGCAATTAGCATCAGATAAAGATAAAAGATTAGAAGAATCAAAGAAATTGTTAGATATACAAAAACAACAAATTGAAGAAATGGAGAAATTATTTCAAATTAAACATTCTAATAAATGACCTATTTATAGATAATTAATTAATATGTTAATTAATAAATATAAATTTTTTTATTTTGGATAATGAATTACATTATAGGATTAATTTAAGAATTTAAGTTTGTTTGACTCTTTAATAACAATTAGTCGTCTAATATAAACATTCAATTATAAAATATTCAATAATATTTCGTTTTGCAAAAAGCTTCTAAATGAATATTTATCTTTTTGATAATAATAATATTATAGGCCTAATATATCCTTATCAACCGCATTCATTTATTCCAGAATTTGCCTCCATCAAAATGATTAGTTATGAATCTACCGTGAATATTGAGAGTATGAATTATCTTACTTTTATGAACACATCATTCAATTCATTTTTATTTTATTGTCTCTTTTTTCAATTGAAGAATAAAATAGCACAAAGTTAATTATTAAGAATAAGATGAACTACTTTTGAAAAGGGTTTTCCAAGATATTTGAAGCTTTTAATCGATATTTGGCTAATTCAAATTTCAGGTTGTGAATTTCCTCATTTTTCAATTCGATCGTTTTGTTTAACTGTCGAATTTCTTCATAACATTGCGACAGCGTAAATTGGTTGGCTGATTCAACGTCTTCAAATAGAAATCTACTGTTAAGTAATGTAGCAGCAGTAGGTCTTCGACTTGGATCGCTATCTGTCATCTCTTTAATTGTGTCAGATAAATATAGAGATTTAGACGTTAAATCATACGGTAAATTTCTATTCTTTGTTAAATCTCTGACGGCTTCGGCGAACTTTTCAGTTGAATCAGCAATATCTGAAAATAACTCCAACGTGACTATACCAAGGCTATATATATCGCTTGAAAAATTGTAGCTAAAAGAGTAAATTTCGGGAGCAGCGTAAAAGATGGTTCCAACTCCACCGGTTAGATTTGCAGCGGAAGAGCAAGGATTATTCACTTCCCTTGCCAAACCAAAATCACTTAATTTAATCACCATGTTACCTAGTTCATCAGCAATTAAGATGTTAGAAGGTTTAATGTCTCTATGAATAACACGTTCATTATGAAGATAGTTTAGAGCCTTCAATATATCTCTTAACATAATCTTCTCCATCGAATAAGAGTAACTGTTTGTAACTTTTCTTCTTGACAGCCATTTCTGTAGATTTTCTACACACAACTCGGTTTGCAAATACATATTGAGACAAGGAATGTCATCAACAGTTGAATATTCTATAGCATTTGAAGTTGGATTTTCAATTTCAAACCAAGATGTATAATATCTAACAATATTTCGATGTTGATATCTAGCCAATTCAATTATTTCTCTACTTTTCTGTTAAAGTTAATACTTACTGTTTTTAATTGTTTAGAATAATTAAAAAAAAAAAGTCTACTTTACCTTCTTTAGTTTATTTTCCATTAATTCAGAAAATCGAATTTTTACCTTTTTTACGGCGTAGACTGTTCGTTCAAGTTTGTTTTCAACCTAATTTAGTAACTTGAATATATATTTAACAAGAATTGATGAAAGAGTAAGCATTACCTCATAAACTTCTCCGTAGCATCCTGAACCTATTGATTTATTTATATTAAACTCCTTTTTAAATCTTAGTTCTCTAGCATTTAAATCCTTTGTATACTCTTTGACAATGAACTTGAATACTTGAAGTTTTTCTTTTGGAGGCAATGTTACTTCATCCAGAGCATTGCCAGATAAAACTACCTTTGGTTGGCCATCTTTTTGTTCAAGAATCAACAATTAAATGATTTTTCATAAATTTTCAATTTGGCAATAGATAAAACCTGTTTGATATTGGAATCTAAAATTCCATAGAGTTTCCATAGTCTCAACAATTGCTCGAATTTTGGCTACTTGTTGTTTTGGGCCGAATCCCTATGAAACAATATATACTGTATTTGTAAACATTGACAGTGAATAAAAAGGAGAAAAGTCTTTCTCTCACCTCAAAAATTTGATCGTCGATACTAAGAGTAACTCTAACATTCTCATCAATATTTAATCGACCAATACCTGTCTCGTAAGCAATATTTTTATTAATTTCATTTAATATTGAAGGGAGAGGAATTGAGATGCTAGATTCTTCATATCTTTGAAAAATATCAGGCCTCCGATTGTAATCTGCTAAAGCCATAGCTGCGCACAATTTTTGAGCATCTCTTTTGTTTTTTCCCTTCGCCTCGTATGATATACGATTTATAGTAACTTTACAAGTATATATTGGCGAATGATCCGGCCCATCTCGATCAATAAATTCAAACTATTAAAGCTTTTATTAATTAACTTTTCCAGAAAACATCAACAATCAACAAACCTGTCTACAATGTGGAAAAGTGTCGTTGAATTTAGACATAGTATCGGGAGTAATTACCACATCGGATTCATTTGTGTCTGTTGATGACATCATCATGTAAGAGCACAATTAAGTATTAAAATGTTTTATTTCTCTAGATCAACTCGTATCTTTCTTTCTCCGAGAAATATGAAAACTGGTATTTTGGTTTCGGTTTCGAAGATGTACACACGAAATCTATTCACAGCAGGACAGTGCATTCAATTTGAAACGATTTTGATTTAATCAAGTTGAACATTTAATTGTAAAATGAATGATAAAAAATTATACAATAATCCAGCAGAAATTGTTGACGATGCTCTCGAGGGTTTAGCTAAATCTAATAAAGGGATTAAAGTGGTGAAATCCCACCGAGTTGTCGTTAGATCAGATGTTAATCAAGTAATTCAAAAGGGTTTAGTAACTTTGGTTAGTGGAGGAGGTGTGTACAAGTGTAAATTTATAAAGAATCATTACGAAATTTGCATAAAATAACAAATTACCAACTATTAAAAATACTTTCAAAATCATGTTACTAATTAAGGTTCAGGACACGAGCCAGCACACGCCAATTACGTTGGTGAAGGCATGTTAACAGCTGCTGTTTGCGGGTCAGTATTCGCGTCACCCCCGCCTTCGAATATAGAATGTGCACTGAGATTTGCAAAATCTCCTGCCGGCTGCTTAGTTATAGTAAAGAATTACACAGGAGATAGAATCAATTTTGGTTTAGCAGTCGAAAAATTAAAAAATGAAGGTTTTAAATTAAAAATGATTGTTGTTGGTAAGCAAAAAAAACTTGGTCATTTATTTAACTTATTAATTATATCAAGTACAATTTCAAAGGTGAAGATTGCGCAAATCACTCTGCATCAATGACAGCAACCGGTAGAAGAGGTTTAGCTGGTGTTGTCTTTGTTCATAAAATTGCAGGTGCTATGGCATCAAGAGGTTGTACTTTGGAGGAGATTGTTGATCATTTAAAAATCGTCTGCTCATCTCTCGGTACTGTTGGTGTAAGCTTCTCTGCTATAAGTTTGCCAGGAAGTGATAAACTACTCTTCAACCTGGATAACGACGTTTATTCGCTAGGTTTAGGCATACACGGAGAGATGGGTGCTTTTAAGGAGAAAATGTCATCGGCAAGAAATATAGTAGCCACTATGTTTGATCACATGACTGGAGAAAAGAATCCAGTAAGAATTGACATAAATAATTCTCGATTAGCAGTCTTAATCAATAATCTAGGAGGATTATCAAATCTTGAATTAACTTTATTCGCAAACGAAGTACTGGAATACTTTCGCAATTATCCTGAAATTCAAATTGAAAGAATATATATTGGAACTTTTATGACTTCTCTAAATATGAATGGAGCATCTATAACAGTTTTAAAAATAACTACAAATTCACAATTAACAGATTTAGATTCAAAAACAACGGCTAACGGCTGGAAAAATCAGGATTCTTTTGGTATAAACAACGATTTTGAATTAAATTACAAAGAAGAAGAGAAAGAATATACAAAAGAAGATAGTACAATTTCAAAGAAAATGGAAAATGCATTAAAGTAACTCTATAGTCTTAAACATTTAAAAACTTAATTAATAATCTAATGAAGCTCTATACTTTTCAACAATTGCTTATTAAAATCGATTGGTGAAGAGAACATCAATCCTATAGAGTTACTTTACTAAAAGGGAAGCCTTACAACATGTAATTGACGAGTTAATAGAGAATGAAGAATACTTGAATCTATTAGACTCAATTGTTGGTGATGGAGATTGCGGATCTACCTTTAAGAGAGTACTTTTAATATTAAAAGAAAAATTAAACATGAATAAGCTACGAACAGATTCACCATTCGCTCTTCTTATGCAACTATCTGAATTAGCTCAGAAAGATATGGGTGGTACTTCGGGTGGGTTGTATAGTGTTTTTTTCGCAGCAGCTGCTTCTAAAATTAATAAAGAATGCTCCATTACAACTATTGGAGAATCTTTACGAGCTGGAGTAGAAGCCATTCAATATTATGGAGGAGCTAAACAAGGGGACAGAACTATGTTGGACGCTCTTTTACCTTGTTTAGAATGCTTTAAGAGTGAAGTTTCGTCTAAAGAAATTTCTAAATTAATCAAGGAGAAAGTAGAAGAAGGTGTAAATGAGACAACTCATTTAAAAGCAAGAGCGGGTAGAGCAGCATACACTGATACTGTTCATCACAACAAACCAGATGCTGGCGCCTATGCTGTTGGCTTATGGATGAAATCTTTATGCAACAAATTACTTATTGAATAAAATGCATTCCTACTATCAGCGATTATATCCTTCGTACGTTGATAATAACTCATATTATAAGTAAAGGTTGATTGATAAAATTTGTCAGTGAAAATTTAAAGACAGATTAAATGTTTGGAACATAATAAAAAATGGATTGACTTTACTAGTTTTCTTATATTCGAATTCTATATCAATGAAATTTATTGATAATTCAATCGAACGTACCTGGATGTTATACATTCTATATTTTCGTTATAGTTTATATCCACTAGAGGGCCATACATATACGTTGTCATTCGTCAGTGTTAACTGGTAAATATAAGATGTTCAAATTGAATAATATCACTAAATTTGTCATTAAAACTCAACGTTTACAACTAAGTAGAAGTTTAACTACTTCATTATTCACAGAGGAACACAATCAACTTCGTGAAAGTTTGAGAAAAGTGAGTTTATCCAAAATTCATCGTGTTCTATATTTTGAACTAAATAAAATCTATCTTTTTTTCAAAAAGCTTGATATTATACAGTAATCCAATTGTCCAAAAATTAATATGCAGGGTTGGATCAATAACATTCAGGTCATTTGTGCCAATATCCCCAAAAAAACAATAGTACATATATATAATTTTAAACTGATACACTGTATATTACTTACTCTCTCACCAATTTAATTATAAAATTTGAATTAGATTGTTGAATGTCAAGCATGACTACACTCTGTAAAATGCATCAGACAGAAGCTTAAAGTTGGTGAACACATAAAGTAGTAATGGTCTTTAAATGGATCAAATACTTTAAAAGTGGATTGGACAGGCACGTCAGGAATAGGAATTTCAGTTTTTGACAAGACGGTACTATTTCAGGCTGAAGAGGAGAAGATAATGCTAAATAGGACTATATCTTGAAGTGAAATTTCAGTCACATACTTGTGTAGGAGATGGATCATATATTTCTTTAGGATAGGAAAGGAATGATACTTTAAGAATGTAAGGATAAGAGATAATAACGTAAACAGTTAGAAGTATTTTCGAACTTGCTAGTTGTGGATGAAAAGAAGAGACATATTATATAATATGATAGGGCAGGCCCCATAAAGCAGAATATATCAAGGAAAACTTTTCAAAGCTAAAATTTAAGCTTTTGCCTCACTCAGCTTGTAATCCTGATTTTATCCTAAGTAACTTTCACCTCCTAAACCCGCTAAAGGGGAACATGATGGAAATTGGTGTTTTAAAACATGACAATACTACGAGTTTTACATAAAACTGGTTAAAACATCAATGAAAAAAGCACTTTATACTTTGAGAGGCATTGCAGACTTTGGCAAATTCTGCAATTTGTGTATTAAAAGGGGAGAAAATTACTTTGTAAACTGATCCAAATTTGATAAACATAAATATGCAGGTTTTCCATAAGCTAAAACTTATTAATACCCTTATGTATTTATAATTAAACACAGAAATTGTATATCCTCGCCCTTGCTATTTTGACCTTGACATAATTACACTTAAAGCTTAATACAATTAATTAATTTTACAGATCATAGACAAGGATATAAACCCATATGTTGACGAATGGGAAAAAGCGAAAATATTCCCTGCAAAGAAAGTCTTTAAAAAATTGGGCGATGCTGGTCTGTTAGGAGTGACAAAGTCCCCTGAATATGGAGGCCTTGGACTTGATTTTTCTTTTGCTGCAGCAGTAGCGGAAGAACTTGGAAATATCAACTGTGGTGCAATTCCAATGGCGATTGGAGTTCAGAGCGATATGGCAACGCCAGCTCTAAATACATTCGGAAGCGACTACTTAAAGAGAAATTTCCTTGCACCTAGTATAGCAGGTGATATGGTAGCATGTCTAGGTGTTAGCGAACCAACAGCTGGATCGGACGTCGCTGCTATAAAAACAAGGGCGGAAAGAAAAGGAGACGATTTTATTATTAATGGGTCTAAAATGTGGATTACCAATGCATTCCAAGCAGATTGGATCTGTTTATTAGCAAACACAGGAAGTAGCTCAAAGGTTTGAGATAAACGACTTACTCTTACTCCTCTATATTCATTATTTTCCCTCCCTTAGTTGCATCAAAACAAAAGTTTAATCGTTGTTCCTATGGATACCCCTGGAATTGAACTTATTCAAAAAATTGACAAAATTGGTATGCATTCATCCGACACTGCTCAAATAAACTTCGAAAATGTCCGAGTTCCAGCCAGTCACGTAATAGGCGAAGAAGGTAGTGGCTTTATGTATCAGATGGTACAATTCCAACAAGAAAGACTATACGGAGCACTCGCCTGTTTACGTCCGTTAGAAAAGACTATTGAAGAAACTCGAGAGTATTGTCGCATGAGGAAAATCTTTGGCAAAAGTCTTCTCGACATGCAAACTGTTCACTTTCGATTAGCCGAATTGGAAACAGAGATTGAAGCCCTACGAGCTCTTTGCTATACAGCTACCGAGAAATACTTATATAATGAAGATGTTACAAAATTAGCGTCCATGTGTAAGTTAAAAGCTGGTCGTTTGGCCAGAGAATGCACCGATTCTTGCCTACAATACTGGGGTGGAATGGGCTATACAAGTGACGTTCTTATTAGCCGGTTCTACAGAGATTTTAGACTTATCTCTATTGGAGGTGGAGCTGACGAGGTAATGCTTTCGATTATATGCAAATACAATAATAGTTTACCAAAATAATGAAAGGTACACATATTTTTCTTAATAATTTTATAATTCTAAAAACGATTTCTCTGATTACAAATTGACTTAAATAAATATAATAAAAAAATAAATATAATATTAGTGAAAAGTAAACTCTTCATTAAATAAAATTTACAAAACAAAATAATGTATTTAAAATATATTTTAGTTGTAACCGTACGCAGAAAAAGAATTTCTGGCGTTATATGAATTGTAAGCATTGTACGAATCGTACTCTTTCTTTTCTGGGACCCAATTGAATGATGCGTATGACTTCTCACCCTTGTCATTCGAAAAACCTAATCCATGCCTCTGAAAGAAAAATTTAGATTGCCAGAAATTTTATAGTTGCAGATTCCGTTGTTTAAATATATTTCATTCGAACCCGGCCTTTAAAGCAGACATTAACCGTTCAGTTGGATTATCATTATTTTCCGTTTCTAAATGAATGGCCATATTTGCTCGTATCATATTCTTTGGTAGTTCCATGCCTATTTTCATCATTGCTATTTCGCTGGCAACATTTTTTGCTTCTTTTCGACTTTTTCCCCTTCCAATAAATTCTCCCGAGCATAAAAATAAAACTACTTCGTGAACTTTAGAGGTAATCGAGGTTTTGAATTGAAAATCCAATTCGTTTCGAAATTTTTCATTCAAAATTCCCGTAGCATTCTGCGGTTGGGCTACGGTGCCTTTTGCTGCCCTTTTAAGTTTCAGTTTTTGATTAAGTCGCTTGTAATAACCGGGTTCGTTTGAAATCTGAAAAAGAGCAAGTGAAAGCAGAACCTACCTTTAACTTTTTATATTTATATAGATATACTCATTAGTTGTCAAAAAAAAGCTTACAATCAGTTTGATTAACTCTTTTTAATGAAAACTTAAGAGTAATACTTGTTTCGTCATTCTCATTTCTGACATTAATTCAGAAAGAAAGGGCAGATAATTACCTTTTGGTCATTATAGCGAAAGGATTTCTTCCAAATCAGTAAAAAAAAAGAATGACGAAACAGAAAATTGTTTCCACTACACGTTTTTTAGTAATTTTGGCTGATTTCACTCGCGAAAATAAAAAAAAGGGGGATATTGAAGAAAGTCTACTTACACTTTTTGTGTTACATTTAGAAATCATTTTCTTTCTGGCCTTTTCTTTCCTCATTTTCCTATCTTCTCGAACTTTATGCGCTCTTCTAAACCACTCTCCACTTTGTTTAAGAGATTCTATAGTGCATTGTAGAGCTTTCTTTTTTGCTTCTGGCTTAGTAGCTCCAGCTCCCTCGTATTTTTTCCCTTCAACAGTAACTACACATACAGTAGCTTTTCCACAATTTTTGCCAGAACCAGATACTGATTGATATATTATATCGATAGGATGTCCGTAGGCAGGACCAAAATGCTCATAGAGAATTTGAACTTCATTCTTACTCTCACCTAATACAGTTGAAACAGGAGTAAAATTTCCAGTTTGTAAAGTTTCACTCTGACTGTTTCGGACTATTGGTTGTCGAATACGTTTTATAATTTCAGGAGCTAGCTTCACTTCTTCGAAAGCTTCATCAGTAACAATCAACTCTGGGCAAGACATTTCATCTGTTTAAAAAAATACGGTCAAGGATTTAGCAAGGAATTTAATAAAGTTAAAAAACAGTTCCTTTGAATTTTCTAAAGTAATTCTTTTTAAAATACAACGTTCTTGAGGGGAAAAAAACACATTAAGGAATCACAAGAATAATCATTAACATAACTTCTAATAATAGAAACATAAATTAATCACGAAAGCACTCACATTTTGGATAATAAATAAATACAACTGACTGTTATCAACGCGAAGAAAGATAAATCATTCTTAATTTACTAGTAATAAACAAAATTTTCGGTGTTTCCTTTCGGTACGAGAAGGGATCACATGCAGATTCTATCAAAATAATGTGTCAAGTCCTTTGAATATCTTTTTTATGCCATATAAAATCAATGAAAAAAGGTGACTTATTAAATTTCTTTTAGTAATCGCATTATTATTTAAAAAAACTCATTACACGTTCTTATTTTACTACTTAATATTAAAGAGTTTCCAATTAGATCATAGTTTCAAAAGCATAAAAATTCTATAAAATCAATAGTCCTAATTAGATTATTTATTGCATTAAATCAAACTTTAAAGTAAGAGAGCGAAGAACGAGTTATTCTGAATAGTTTTGATAGATCCTTTTGGAAACGTAATAATAAGAAAGAAATAAAAATAGACAGAATAATTTCCTTTTCTTTATATATATAGTATTGACTAGCCTATTGATGTAATTTATGCTCCTTTCAAGGATGAAAACTTAAAATTTTAACGTTTTTACATTATGCTTAAATAAACCAAAAGATAATTCTATAATTATTACAAGCTGATTTAGATTGTTTTTTTTTAATTAACAAAAAAAGTTACCTGCTGGTTGATTAAATTTTAAATTCCATATACTAGTTAGAGCATTTTGAGCTGCCCTTGCCTTTGCCAATTTTTTATTTCTTCCAACACCCTTTGGAAGAGTTTTCATATAGTTTTACACTGAAAATATGTAAAATATATAAAAATTACCTCATAAACGGTTCCATCTACAACAACTGTGACTTTAAAAGTTCTATTCGGTGGGAGTCCAATCTCGACAGCTTGGCTATACTCTAGATCCTTACGTATTTCATTAAGAATTGAGGCTGGATTCTTCACCTCTGTAGTTTTATTTGGTAATAGTAAGTCTGCAGAATTGAACTGTTTCGAAGATTCTGGTATTGGAACATTAATGCCTCCGCTATTAGATTCAGAGGAGCTTGTATTTGTTGTTGGAGCAGTCGATGATGATGTTAATGTTACAACAGGCGACGCTAAAGGGCTTCCATACTGGTTTTGCGTTGACTGATTATCGAAGCGTCTTATATTTATACCTTGCTTTGATAATTCTACAAGGGTGTTTAAAGCATTTTGAGCGCATTGCATTTTCGCTGCTTTTTTATTATGTCCAACTCCCTCGTACGTCTTTCCATCAATGGTAACTTGCATTGTAAAAATTGGTGCGTGGATCGGTCCTGTTTGACTAGCAATGATATACTGTCAGGGAAAAGAAATATAATTATCTTAAATTTTCTATCATTGATTGAATTTGCTAACCTGTAGACCATGACGAATTTCATTAAGTTGTTGAATTGGGCTTTTATTAGGATTAATAGTCAAAACTGAAGATCCACCAGTCGCTCCTACTTTCTTCTTCTTATTACCAGTGATATTAGGGCATGTTGAAGCGGGTCTTTTAAAGGACTGTTGAAATGGTTGAGGTGCAGTTGAGGAGAAATTTTGGCTACTATCGAAGCGATTATAACTAGGAGGTTGTAGATTTTCTTCATTAAAAGCAGCAACCGGAACGTCGTCTGGAGAACAAAAAGAAGCATTATTGTTTAAGTAATGGACAACCGATCGTGCCATTTTATATGATTAACAACAACACGTTTATAATTCTCATCGTATATCATTCATTAATAGAGTTTATGGCATACACGTGACATGCATTAGGTTACATTTATTATTTGAATCAATATCTACCGAATGGAAATGATTTCTTTAAAATTACCTATTAGTAATACTGTACATCTCAATAAAGATACAAACCTTATATGAGAATGACAAACAGAAACTATTTCCTCATTATTATACAACTGTAATAACAATCTCAATAATAAAGCTCAGATACTTTAATGATAAAAAACGATAATGAGCTTACTAATAATTCTAAATGTAATTTAATTATTTAAAAATTAAAATAAAATGTAATAAAAACAATTTCCTGGAATTCATTCCATCTAACATTTGCTCCGACAATGTCATTTATTTTACAGACTCTGGGTTTCGTCTAGAGAGATAAGGAATTTTAAAAATTTGTTTTCATTACTAAGATTTTCCCTATTAGCCTAAAGCGTTCTCTATTACATCGTTATGTGTTTTAACCGCGTAATTTATAAAAGAAACTTTTAACAATATTCTAGAATAATACATATACTGTAAATATATGTAAAAACATATATTGATGTTATTTCTCTGCAGGAATCTAATCAGTTTCATAAATACGGAACATTTTCATCTCTCGACTTCGTAAACACTACACACACACATCTGTAAAGAATCAAGTTCCTAGATTTGTATAAAAAAATTCTTTTTCAGCACAGGATTTAAAAAAACAAAACTCTCTATACATATTTTTCCTTTGCATTCATTCCTATCGTATACTATGCATGAATTATTATATGACTTGAACTATTCGATTAATAAACGATGGATAAATCACTTTTTTATATGTCTTACATTTAATGATCATTGATTAGTAAATCAGAATAAATCATACCTGAGGTAAATTCAACGTCCATTTTGTTCAATAGCCGGTAAGTTTGCCAACAGGCTAAATGAATCAAATAAGAACCTGAATGAACGTCTATCTTCGAATTTCGATCAAAAACAAAATGGGGATCTGAAATTTTCATTAGTGCGCATGCGCAATAATGTTATGCAGACGACGACGCTATCCGGACTGGATTCGACAAGAATCATAAAAACAAAATTAAATAAAAGAATACTTAAAAATTACTACAGATTAATTAAAGAAGCATAAAACAAAGACAATTAAATTTCTTCTTAATAAACAAAAATATTCCTTTAACTTTTATTATAAAAAAGAACGTCTTGAGAAATAGATCTGAATAAAAAGAAACTTTTTTATTCTCTTCTTATCAGTTTCTGAATAAAATCACCAAAAAAAACTTAAAATAGTAATAATTATAAAAAATATAGTCAGTTAAAAATGGTCATTGTTCTTTTTTTAATATTCCACAATATTTACACTGTACTGGTTAAAGATGTTTTCTTAAAACATTCTCTAAATTACCGGGAAAACCAATTGGATAACTCAGGTGAACCTCCAATATTATCAATCAGAAATCTTCGGTATAAGGGTCAGATGTAGTAGTTGTTGCTGTTGTTGGGTTTCTAGCTATTTTAGGGGTTGTACTAACGGCGGGGGAACTGGTTAATCTTTTCTTCGTATTTTTTTTATTCTTATTCATTATTTCATCCAGTCTTGCAACCCTAGGCTGATTTACTCTTGGAAGGGGTGCTTTTATCTTTAGCTTTGGAGTGTCTTCTTCTTCGTCAAAGGCAAATGATGAATTCGATGTGGATGACGCCGGGGTTTTAGCAACAGTTCTATCACAAGATAAAAACATATTAAATCCTATCATTAACTAAGAGTATTCAAGGGTATGGGGTGGGAGAATAAAAAGGAAAAATTCACGTTTCGTTTCAGTTCTCAATTGCGAATAAAACCGTGAAAATTCGGTAGAAAATTATATTATTTATTTATTTAAAATCACTTACTTTCCATTTTCTTGTTTAATACCAATATTTTGATCAGAACTTAATTTTGTGGCAGAATTCAGTTGGCTTTTCGATTCCTCTTCTTTAACATTTTTTAATTTTTCTTTTACGTTTTTTCGAAATTCTTCTAAAGCCGAAAAATCATTTTTCATCGATGGTTCAAACTCAAACCCAGCATTCTGCTCCCAAAAATCACAATACCAATCTAAAAGCTCTAAACGACGATCTGAATTTGGCTTATTTAAAATAGACTGATCTGCATCGACAGATTCTGCAATTCGAATAGATAAAATGAAGATTTTAACATACTTAGATTATTTATACCTTTATTTTCCATTAATGAGATCATTCGAAAAAATTAAAAATAGTTCGATAGCTTTTTTATTCAAAATTAATAATGAGTGATAATATAAAGACTCATGACCAATAGTATTATCTTACGATTTACGGTTTCGGCCCAGATAAATGGGTCTTGTCGAACGGTGATCGATTAAATTGCAGTGTCCCTATGAACGCGCACGCGCGTTGTGAATGATTTCAACAGTTTTAGTTGAAAATTCACTACCGAATCGTGTTAAATATTAACGGAGAACTCAAGACATTTATCTATAATTTCCAAGTTTAGAAATTAACACTTCAAAGCGAAAAAATATTTAGATTAGTACAACTCAAATAGCAAAATCTTTCCCTAATATAAATAAGGAAATACGAAAAGTCGTCTTTTGCTTATGAGAGACTAATAAAAGTAACGAAATAGCGGGTTTTTTATTATTTTAATCTAATGCCTTGATTAAATAACCTGAACCTTGTTTCTTTTTTCATTAAGTAGATAAAGTAACAAGAAATTATAAAAAAAAAACGAAAAAATAAAGTGTATTATTTATCTCAACATTTCTATATAATAATTTGGTATCTTACAATCAATATTTTTACAATCCAAATTTAAATATTGTTTTTATAAAAAAAAAATACTTTTTTCGTCTTATACAACTTAATTATATAATTTTTTTACAAGCCTTGATTCTTGTGTAGCAGACGACAAGTTAATGATGGCGGGTAATGGGAGTAATCCAAAGGCGTTTCTCGGATTTGATTTCAGTACACAACAGGTAGTTTATCTATTTAAGCCGCCAACAACCTATATTTTTTACAAATCTCTTAAAAATATTATCTTGTTATTTCGTCCCAAAGCTCAAAGTTGTTGCTGTTGATGATCAGCTGAGAGAGTTTTACTCAAACCATGTGAAGTTTGATGATGATTTATCACATTATGGGTCAGTTCTCTTAGCATATTCAATATTTTTATAATATAATGATATAACACAATGAAATCATTGCTGTTTCGGTTGATTAGGTAGTAATTTATGCCAATAATATAAGTTGATGCTTCCTGCAAGATCTATCGGGAATTTAAATTTATAAACATTTTGTACACTAATGAAATGACTATTTTTTACTTATCAAAAGAACGACTAATGGAGCTCATATTTCTGAGAATGGACTTACAGTTACAGCTCCCACTCGCATGTGGATTGAAGTAAGTTCTCTCCCTCGGATAATTTAATATGAAAGAGGTAGTTAATAAATAAAATACAAATTTAAAAAACAGGCTCTCGATTTGCTTTTAAACAAAATGAAAACCGATGGATTCCAGTTTGAAAATGTTGCTGGTATATCAGGATGTGGTCAAGTATAATCTATTTAAAAAGTAATATACATAATTAGCTATTAATTTACATATATAACCCTTATAGCAACACGGTAGCGTATATTGGTGTGAAGGTGGAGAAGAAATATTAAAAAACTTGAAACCGAACGAAAAATTATGTAATCAATTAAAATCTTGCTTCTCCATTGATCAATCACCTATATGGATGGACTCTAGTACAACTAAACAATGTAAAAAACTAGAAGAAGCAATAGGCGGTCCCATGGTATAGCAAATAAAAGAGTTTAAACTCATAAACTTCTATAAATATATATTTGCTAATTGTATATTTTTTATGAAAATTAGAAATTAGCAGAAATAACGGGTTCACGTGCCTACGAAAGATTTACTGGTAACCAAATAGCAAAGATTTCTGAGGAAAAATCCAAAGCATTTACTCAAACAGAGGTGGATTTTTTAATTAAATCAAAATAGATAGAATCTTTTTAATGGAAATATTTTACACGTTCTAGAGAATATCTTTAGTAAGTAGTTTTGCTGCCAGCCTTTTTTTGGGACAATATGCACCAATTGATGAGTCGGATGGTTCTGGAATGAATTTATACGATTTTAGGAGCAGAACATGGAATAAAGATTGTCTTAGAGTAATTTCTTATAGTACACATTTCTTTAAAATTCAAATTAATAATTAACATTCTTCGTAGGCATGTCATTCTGATATTTCATGTTTAGAAGCAAAACTAGGACAAGTTGTTCCATCTAACAGTATCATTGTAAGTAACATAATAATAATTGTTTACATACAGTATTTACTTTCATGATTAAGTTTATTTTATGAAAAGGGTAAAATTTCTCCATACATGCAAAAGACGTACAACTTTTCACAAGATTGCTCAATTATTGCCTTTACAGGTGATAATCCAGGTAGATTAAGCCCTCTAATTTGCTGAAGTATCAGAAACTAATTACGTAAATATTTCTTGTCTTATTAAAGCATCTCTTGCCGGGATGAAACAGACTCCAGGTGATATTTGCATATCACTGGGAACATCTGATACGCTTTTTGTTTGGACATACGAACCAAAAGCTGTAGAACATGGTCATGTTTTTATAAATCCATGTAATACAAAGAATTACATGGCCTTGTTATGGTTTGTATATGACATATAATCACATGAAATCATTCATCATAGCTTACTCTATTCCTTAGCTATAAAAACGGTTCTTTAATTAGAGAAAGTGTCAAAAGTAGAGTATGTGAAAACAATGAAAATTGGATAGAATTTAATAAACACTTGGACAATTCCCCGTCCGGTAACAATGGTTTTATGGGATTTTACTATAATTCACAGGAAATTACACCTGCATTAAAACCGAATACTTATCGGTTTAACGGGGAAAATGAGAGGATTGACGCATTTGATAGAAAGGATATTGAAGTAAGAGCTGTCATTGAGGGTCAGCTGATTGCTAAACGAGTTCATGCTGAAAATATTGGATTAAAATGGCCTCTCCGAAGAATTATTGTAACAGGCAAACAAACACTTTCAATGGTTAGAATGTTCATTAATCTCAATTTTACTTTTAGGCGGAGCTTCAACTAATACTAGTATTTGTCGAATTATTTCCAATATACTAGAGGCTCCAGTTTTCCGATTGCACGAACCCAATTCCGCATGCTTGGGTGGTGCCTACAGAGCAAAGCATGGTTTATTGAATAACAAATCTTTTGAAGAGGTAGCTAATATTAATTTACAAAATGATTACATCCATTATAAAATGATTGTGCGGTTTTTTTTATAGATAATTTCGGTAGCTGAAAATGATTTCGAACTTGTTTCTGAGCCTGATGGATCTACTTTTGAGGTAAATTACTATTTAGGTATCAAAATAAATCCTATTTCCAACGTCCTTGTCATATGTATTAGGTTTATCGACAAATGGCTAAAAGATATCGTAAGTTAGAAGAAATTATGCTCTCCAACTGACATTTCGTTACTGAGAGATACTTACAAATGATTGTATTCCTATTCTTCACAAGATTAAAAATATAATAGAACGCTTAACAAAACCTTTTGTTATAAATAAAATAGATAATTTTAGACGACTTAAGATTATATAATCTTCCTAGTCTGGAAAACCTTTTCCGGGTTCGCAAACTTGACGTATATTCATATTAATTCTTGAATCTTCTAAGTATTCTTTCGAATAAGCTCCTAATTCTTGATATCTTATGGAAGTTTCTTTGTTGTAAAATACTTTTGGTACTGCATGATAAGCCTGCCTGCAATCATCTTGCGTTATCAGAATGTCTCCACTTCTGAGAAAAATTCCTATAGGCTTGATCTTTTTCGTTGTTCCACCAAGGAGGAAAATTGCAGGTTGACCAAAGCTTATAGAGATGAGAGGAGCTTTTTTATCGTACTCGGAATGATCTATATGAGCAGCAAGGGTTGAATCTAAATGATAGTAGTTAACAATCGCTGCTTCAGCTTGATAGCTGCTTAAAAAGAATCATGAAATAAGCGATAAATTGTATTTGTTTAGAATCTTTGAACTCTACCTAGATTTATATTCTATCGCTGAAATTATTACTTTTGTTAGATCATCCATGATTTTTGGGATGGGAGTATACGATTCTTTTATATAGACTTTTGTATCCCAGTCGTGATGATAACCTAGAGTGGCCCATCTCAATTTTCTAAAAAGTTCAGTTTTGTAAATCATGGAGGGTACAGCATAATGGGCATCTAAATTGGTTTTATTTGGTTTTTCTGGGAAATCTTGTATGCATCGAGTGATCCATTCACTTTGTCCAATAGATGTAAAAGGATTATTTATAAATATCAGGCCTGGAATCGATTGATTTTTCCATGCAACCCAGTTTGAGGATTGAAATCCTAAATAACTTATATTATCGCTCCCACAAAGATGAATTTTCTCCCATTCTTCAATATTACACTCATTGTCAAAGTCTAAAACATCCTTTAAGCTAGGTTTAGGTTTTTTCATTTTATAATATTTGAAAACAGGCTTAAAGTTATCATCCCTTTCATTTGTTTCTGCTTCTTCCACGTGAGCTACAGCCATCTGTCGGACTCGATTAGATTTGCTAATAAAAGTTTATTTTAAGGTATGGAAACCTATGAAAAAACTTTTTTTTAGCAACTAAAGTTAAATTTTATATAATATTATAAACAGATAGCGAATTATTAATTTGATACTCCGTGTTTTGGTTCCGGTCTGGTCGAACCGAAAGATCATCACTAAAACAATAGCTAATTTCGAGACTTTCTTGTAAAATTAAGAAAATTTCTAATCATGGAAAGACAAGGAGTAGTTCGAGATGAAAAAACAGGTATTACTCAGAAAAAAATTAGATCTATTTTATTTAAATTTATCGTTATTGGTAACATTTTCGTAAGGTACTTTACTTTCGTTTAGGAGAACTGTATATACCGGCCACGCAAAGACCCAATGGAACTTGGAGAAAGCCAATTCGAGTAAAAGAAGGGTATATACCTCCAGACGAAATGCCAGTATACCAAAACAGGGGAGTAAGATTTAGGAAAGAGCAAGAAAGTGCTCTGCCTCCAGGCCTCCATCTCGACAAACCAAGCTCAAACGAAAATAAAACGAAAAAGCCTAAGAAGAAAAAGAAGCAGCGAGAGGAGGAACCTTCCAAACCTAGTAGTAATGAACCGAAGAAAAAATCAACCGAAGATCCCAAACCTGAAGACGGATCTGAGGCAGCAGTACAAGTTATTTCAGATGAGAAAAAATTAAGAAATTTAAAGAAAAAGCTAAAACAAACAGAAGAATTAGAGAATAAAATAAAGAGTGGAAATTTAGAAAAACCAGATCCTGATCAAATAAAAAAGATTGAAAGAAAAGCTGATCTATTGTTGGAAATAGAAAAATTAGAAAAACTTCTAAATTCTACACTATAACTATCTAAAATAAAGGTTTTTAAGATATTTGTATAAGATTTCAAATAAAATTTTTAATAGTTCTGTTGAATCAATTTATCAATAAATGTTTCTGCCAGTTAGTCTAATGTATTATCAGATGTTACTTGATATGTTTAATAATGTAAATAATTAACTATATCTAATAATTTATTGAACGATAACTAAATGATACTTATTATTTATATAATTATTTGCTATATTAATACAAGGCATTGAATTGAATTATCGCGCCATCAAATTAAAGTACATGGTGTTTTTACGCCATCTTGTGTCATTTGACGAAATACTTCTTAACCAGTTTATTTAAGTATCGGTCTCACAACTTTTACCATGACTTTATCGCTCATAAATATACCTTCAGCGGACGATTATTCAGCCCGAGAAATTAGAGAATGGGCACCAGGTAATATTAATTACTCAATATACATCTCTTTGAATCGTTAGTTCTTCTTAGGAACCACCGAAGTTGTAGTAGAACCTGTGGGAAAATGGTTTGAAACATATAACAACAGGCGTGCGAAATCTTCGCTATCTTTTGCTTCTGTAAAATCAACTACTTCTGAAGAAGAAGATAATGAAGAGGATATAGAACTTTGTCCAGAGGATGACGATTATGTATTCAACAGAGATCCTGCCGAATGGAAGAAACAAGATCATTATAAAATATTAGGCCTAAGCAGACTGCGATACAAGGCAACCGACAAGCATATTAAGTTAGCTTGTAAGTAGGCCTATTTGCACTTCAATACAAAATAGTAACCCAAAATACATTCCAGACAAGAAAAAAGTATTGCAACATCATCCGGATAAGCGGAAGGCTAGAGGAATACCAACAGAAAAAGCTGATGCAGATTTTAGTTGTATAACTAAAGGTTTGTTAATTATATTCATTTTATTTTATATTTCTCCTCATACTTTGTTCTGTCAAACAGCGTATGAGATTCTAGGAAATCCAATTAAAAGAAGATCTTACGATAGTGTCGATCCAGCTTTCGACGATAGTGTACCCAATAGTAAAACAGTCACAAAAGAAACCTTTTATGAAACATACAGTCCTGTATTTGAGAGAAATGCAAGGTATATCGATCTAAACATCCCTTATTCCCAATTCATTCGTTTGGATTTTAGGTGGTCTATTCGCAAAAAGGTGCCTTTAATTGGAGATGATAGCACACCTTACGAAGATGTTTGTGAATTTTATAACTTTTGGTTTGAGTTCAATTCTTGGAGAGAATTTTCGTATTTAGACGAGGAAGATGTCGATAAAGGAGAAAAGTAAGATTATCAAGCTTTTGTCAGCTATATCTATTAAATATTTCAACAAAATAGTCGAGATGAAAGGAGGTGGATAGAGAAGCAAAACAAGTCCGCTAGAAAGGAGAAAAGAAAAGAGGAGATGATGAGAATAAGATCACTTGTAGAAAGTGCGTACAACTTAGATCCTAGGGTTTTAAAACAGAAGGAAGAAGAAAAACAAAAGAAACTGGCTATAAAACAAGCTCGAAAGGAAGAGGTTAGAAAGCGCATAGAGGAAGAAAATAGGGTAAATAGTCTAAAATGTTGTAATGAACTAATAATTTAATAATATCATTTAATGTGTAGAAAAAAAGGGAAGAAGAAGAACGGTTAGCCAAAATTAAAGAGGAAGAGGAGAAAAAAGTAAAAGCTGAAGAAGATAGATTGAAAAAAGAACGTGAAGCTATTCGTAACAAAACTAAGAAAGAAAGAAAAGCTCTTAGAAATATGGCAAAGGTAGGATTTCTGTTTTAAAAAAATTATAAATTGTGATTATTGCTTTTTCACTTAGAATTTTGATTATTTCACTACGGAAGAATCACAAAGAGTTCACAATATGGCCGAAGTTGACAAATTAGCCGAATTGTTAGAATTAACAAAATTACAAGAATTAAATACCGCTCTTTCATCCAAAAAAGAAAAAGATTTAGCCGCTGCTGAATTCTTCAAGTTTTCGAAAGAATTAAATGCACGTCTAGACGAGGAAAAACGAAAACAAATTGAAGACTCTCAAAAGTCAGCTGACTACAGTTCTGAGTCTAAATCTAATCGAAACTGGTCTCCAGAAGATTGTACAGCATTGGTAAAGGCTGTGAATCTATTTCCAGCAGGCACAAATAAAAGGTAAGGTTTTTTTTTTGCTCAAATATAGACACCGAATATAAATTTAGTACTTCTTAAAAAATAGGTGGGAAGTCGTTGCCCAATATGTTAATGAACATGGAAAAGGAAAGTTTAATGCAAAAGAAGTATTGGCTAAAGCCAAATCCATGCAAAAACTAGGTAAGGGTAATTTTTATTAATATATATGTAGTATACGTTAATTTTTGTTTCTTGAAGATCCTAACCAAAAGAAAGAAGTCAACGCTAGAGCTTACGAAAATTTCGATAAAACTGTTAAAGATGTTAATTCAAAGCCTGGTGGTGGTATCAGTCAGAGATACGAAACTGTTGCAGAGCAACAAATTGCCGAAAGGGGTACAAATCCCTCTCCATGGTCAGCTAGTGAACAGAAACTATTGGAACATGCTTTGAAAACATATCCTGCTTCTACACCAAATCGTTGGGATGCAATTGCTTCAACAATACCCAACAGAAGTAAGAAAGATTGCATACAGAGATGTAAAGAATTAGCCGAAATGGTAAGAGCTAAGAAAGCAGCAACCAGCAAATCATAATTTCCTTGAAGAAGTTTAAATTAGGATGTTTGTTATCTCTTTTGAAGAGCTTTATATATAAATCATTTTATATGATATAAATAAATCCTTTATAATAAATCAGTCTTTCTGTAATAAATTATTATTCACATTATTTGTCCTGAAGTGAATTGAACCTTTGCTTCCAATTAAATAGCAAAAATTTCGTCCATCTTATTTTTATTTTGGACCTAAACACGAGCATAAATTACTTTCTTTTGGTGAATCATAATTAAAAATTGCTGTATTTTTTATAATATTCGCTGTGTTAGTTAAAATATAATGCTTATATAAAAAGTAGATCAATCAGTTTTATTAAGATTCCTTTTTTTTTGACGTTTTTTTAAAGTGTTAGTTATATCTTGCTAGCACTTTTTTAAACCTATTTCGTTCTCATCATATTCTTATGACTTTCAACAAGTTGGGAAACTGATTCAGGATCGGCTAGAGTTGATATATCACCCAATTCATCTTCTTTATTGGCTGCAATTTTTCTCAGAATTCGTCTCATAATCTTCCCAGATCTTGTTTTTGGCAGTGCTGACGTAATCTTAAAAGAGTGAAAAAAGTTTTCATAGTATCTAATAAGACAATGTAACAATTTTTAATACCAGTATAAAATCAGGGACAGCGTAAGAAGCAATTTTAGTTTTTACAACTTTCTTTAAATCATCTATAATTTCTTCTGGGGTTTCTTTTATTGACTCCTTCAAGCTTACAAATGCGTAGATTCCTTCGCCTTTAAGTTCGTGTGGGAATCCAACAACTGCTGTCTCGCTTACATCCTTGTGTTCATCCATGGCATCTTCAATTTCGGCGGTACCCAATCTATGGCCTGAAACGTTTATAACATCATCCATTCTACCGGTTATTTGATAATAGCCATTAGAGTGTCTGTGAGCACCATCTCCCGAAAAGTATACACCATCCGATAATCTAAAGTAAGTTTCAACAAATCTCTTTGAATCGCCATAAATTGTTCTAGCCATCCCTGGCCAGGGAGTAGCCAAACATAAAGCACCTTCAACGTCATTTCCCGATTGTATTTTACCATCATTTCCCACGATACATGGTTGTTGTCCCAAAAATGGACGCATTGGCATACCACCTTCGATATGAGCACCAGGAGCAGATGGCCGAGGAGTTATTGATATACCTCCCGTTTCAGTTTGCCACCATGTATCGACAACATCGCATCTCTTTTCTCCAACAACTGTATGGAACCATGACCATGCTTCGTGATTTAGGGGTTCACCAACACAGCCAAGAGTTTTTAATGAACTTCTGTCGTACTTTGTAACGAAAGAATCATCGTATCTATAAAACGCACAAAGAATTTTAGAATACTAACAATTCTTTCCTATCCTACGTGTTCAACTAACCTTAAAAGAAGACGTAAAGCAGTTGGTGAACCATAAAATTGATTAATTTTCAATCTCTCAACCATTTCCCAATATCTTCCAGGGTCCGGATAAGTCGGAACACTCTCAAAGATTACAGTAGTTGCTCCATTACAGAGAGGACCATATACAACGTACGAATGACCCGTAATCCAACCGATATCCGCTACACAGCCAAATATATCACCAGGTTGATAATTAAAAACAGTTTGTTGGGTGAACGAAGCATAAAGAAGATAGCCACCAATTGAATGAGCAATTCCTTTTGGCTTGCCCGTAGAACCGGAAGTATAAAGGATAAACAATAGATCTTCGCTGTCGAGGATAGCTGCCTTGTGAACCGGACTGGCCTTAGACATTTGCTAAAGAATTATATATATAGATATATATATATATATTAATTGAATATCTCAATTCTTATGATAATTCAAATATAAAAAAGATATTTCTAACCTCTTCTAAGCAAATATCGAGTGAACTTTTTGATACTTCGTTACCGGTTCTTTTGTAAACAAATACTCGTTTTACACAATGACTGTTCTTTACAGCTTCATCAACGGTTTTTTTTAAACTGATAAGTTTTCCTCCTCTAACACCTTCATCAGCGGTTATAACCGTTTCAGCATTAGCTATTAAAGGGATTAGAATAAAGTAGTTGAATAAAGAAATTCGTATTATTGTCAATTTATACCATCGACTATTCTCGAAGCTAAAGCTTCGGCGCTAAATCCAGCAAAGACCACAGAGTGTACAGCTCCTATTCTTGCGCATGCCATCATAGCTTCAATTGCCATTGGAGAAACTGGCATGTAAATAACAACCCTATCGCCTTTCTTAATACCATGACTTTCAAGAGTATTGGCCATTTTACAAGTTTGTTCGTGTAACTCTTTATAAGTGATGTTAACTTGGGTACCGGGTTCATCTTTCTCCCAAATAAGGGCAATTCTATCTGGATTTTCTTGAGCATGTCTTTCTACGCAATTAACTGTAGATTAAAGAATAGGCGGAAAGTTAAAAGGTGTTTATTTACTAAAGAGATTTATTTATCTATCGAAAAGTAATAAGAATAATAAGAAAAGCTTCGGAGAAGTGTTTATCAACAATGTATAGACAATAGAATTTGTACTGAACTACATTCGAATGGATAAGAGATTTATTTTCAAGATAAAGAGATTATGTTTGCTTAAATGAAATGAAACAGATTCTATTCAAAGAATGCCAATTTTTCAAACAAATGTTAACAATTTCCTTTTTAGTTTTTAGCAAATATTTAAAAATTTCTTTTATGCGAATTTTCTCATTGAATTGCCAAATATTCAATTTGCGAAAGATAAGCTTTAAAGTTTTATTAATTATATAGATGGCGCTGTATTCATTAAATAAACGCGAAAGTAAAAAGCTAATTAAGTTAAAATTAATAACTTACCAGCTGCATTTAATTGTCCGCCATCAAACCAACGTGCTTGACCTTCTGATAGGTTGCAATCGCTGACGGTTTCAAAAGGTTTTTGCCAACTTAATCTTGATTTAGCTAAAGTTCCCCAAAATTCATCTGTATTTTTCAAACTAAAGGCATATAAATCATCGTAGGATGAAATTTCTGGATGATTTTCGAATTCTGGAATGAAAGTAGAGCATATATTAGATGCTCTTCGCTGAACTGTTCTTAAAACTCTATGTTCTTTTGCAAATTTGGTAATTATTCTTATTAAAGCCATGGGCGGGACGTAACCTTCACCTTTATTGCACCAGTGGTGACATCTGAATGTGGCCTTGTTACCATCGCGACAACAGAGTTGTAGCAACCGAGTAGATTTACAGCGGGGTTTCTTAATTCCGGTTTAAGAGTTAATATAGAGCTGCATTTTCAATAACTCACCGTAAAAAATGGCTGCAACAACTTTTGAGCATACAGCAACAGGATTATTGGGTGATAAGCGGGATACGATGTTATTCAATCAACTTCACTTGAGAGTAAGTTCTTAATTTTGACCAAACTTTCATTTCGTTCATGAAAAGTAAAATTTAGGATGAAGTGGGTAAAGCAACTCGTCACGGTTATAGTCATAACCCTCCAGAGAACTATAGATATGGTATTTGTATGAATGTTAAAGAAGGAGGAGTAAGGGACTGTAAGTATATCGATATTTATTTATATGTTAGCAATAAACATTCTCTATTATTAATCAATATATTTCAAATATACGTTTATTGTGATCTAAGAATATGAAAAGTTATCTTTATCACTGTTTATAATTTCTTTTAGTTCAATTTTTTTGATTGTCAAATGGCTCTCTTTTCGCCATTAATATCTAAAAGATTATAGGCTGTTCAATGACCCTTCTACCACTCTGACTTTAGCATTAATCCGCTTTTGTATCATTAAAAATTTATTATGGTATTTATCCTCCTGATTATATGATTTTTCCATCAACGTATAATAATTGAATGTCTCTTTTACTAATCCTAAGGTTTCTTCTATAACTTTCTTATTTATATATATTCTATAAATAGCTGCTTAAGTATATCATCTATTTCTATAAGTTTGGTTTATATATACTGTATATATATATATAAATATATATATTATTTTACAGCTTTGACTTGGTCAAGCCACCTTCCAAGTTTAACAGGAAGTGGAAAGAACAAAAAATCAAGGACTAGAAGAGACTTTGAATCTTTAAACAAAGGAGCAGTTTCTGCTGGATTAGTTAGCGAGAAGGGTCAATACGCTTATAGAGCCACTCACGATGCTAGAAGACCTATTGATGATGACGTAACTGCGAATAGAAAAGCAGGCAAACCAAAAATTCCTGATATGACTTTTGGTATGCCAGTTAGGCCTAGCACTCCCATTTATGAGGTAATGTTTTTATGCTTTAAAATAGTAATCTTTAATTTTAATATATTTAAATAGGTAATAGAACATAAATTTCAAGACCTTTGGATTAGAGATCAAATGAGTCAAACTAAAGCTAAGAAAGTTGCAGAAAGAGCAGCAGTAAGTTTGAATAACACACCTTATTTTTAACTAGAACAACTTGTTTTTAAACAATCCTTATTCCGAAATTAGTTAGGTCTATATTCAGAAGATCAGGTAAACATTTTAAATGGAAAGGATTGACGCAAAATAACGCTTGTTTTACAAATACGTATTTTAATAATTATATCTAATCTTGGTTATTTTGTTTGTTTGTTTAAACTTCTAACATGAAAAGAATTGGAAAAGTTTTTATGAGAGAAAATAACATATGAAGACATAAACTATATATTTATTGTTTATTTTTTTTTTGTCGTTTCTTAATGCTTATCTTTCTTTAATTATATTTTATCTCTATAAATAGAAACTTAAACCTGGACAAATCAATGATACAAGAACTTCAATGCTGAGACAACATCAAGTTGCCGTTGATCCTGCTCCATTATGGCAAATGAAGAAATTCAGCAAAAGTGCTAAACCTCATTTGAATACATTTAGGTGTGTAATAGAAAACTCTTAGTGTATTAATTTTCAATATATTATTTCTGTTAAACATAGAAATGAAAGAGCAAAGCAAAATGCGTTTAAGCATCAAACCTACGATGGAGTACCAAGAAAAGGTTTGACTCATCAAGGTGTATACGAAACTGGAGGTGATTATATGAAAGAATAGAAAGAAAAGGCACTGGTATACATAAAAAAAAGTCCTCAATGCTTTTGGCTGGAAATTTTTTTCTCACATTTTAAGATTTTTGATTAAATGTATTATAAACACGAAAATAATATAAAATTTTAGTTATTTTATATTTATATATATATATGGATATATACATATATATTCTGTATATATATATATATATATATATATATATATATACAAATTGTTTAAACATACTTCACAATAGTTATAGCAATAATTTTATCCCTTATCTTTTCTTTATCTCTCTGCAGTTACGCGTTTGCCCTGATACTGATTTTTTTTCTATCATTAGACTGATTGGTTCTTTGATAAACCAATCAAATAGCTTTATTATAGCGTTTTGTATACAAAAGTAACGAAAGAAAAAAAATATTATCATTTCTGTTTGTCGAATAATCGTCCTTCCTTTGTTTTATATCTTGAAAAGTGCCAGAGAAACAGTTTGCGTTTCCAACTATTCAGTATTGTAAATACGTTTTTTTCAGTTAGCTATACTGAAAAGAAAAACTTACTAAGTATTCTAATAAATACAGCTTTTAATTTTCATATCCATTGAAATAAATCAATAATCTATTCATTACTATGCTTTACAGTAGATTGATTAATCAATAATATATTAATTTCAATTATTTTATATAGTTTTATCTTCTCCTTCTTCTGATTTAGAATTATTTAATTTTTCTAGATCGGCCCAAAATGGAAGATCCGTTGAGTATTTCCAATTGGGTCCCTTTTTAATTAAAAATATGATTATTATAAAAAAAAAGCCTTATTTAAATATTAGCCAAATAAACAAACCTCATAAGATAAGGCATGTAAATACATTATCAATTCGTCTGGTAGTGGATCTCGTGAAGGATGAAGGCACTCTTGACAGTTTTCATCAAATTTTCCTGAAGTTTCAATTCTTTTTCGTTTTGTTTGAGCCTCATCACTATCGGTCATCAGAAATCTTCTACTACTATGCTCTTTTTCAAGACGTTCTAATAATAATTCATTTGACTGTCCAAAATTCCCATTACGACCTTTTTCAGGTCCCCAATTCGGTGTATTGTATAATTTATCATTAGTAATAGGATATCCTAAATATTGAAGATGCACTCGGATTTGATGGGTCCGTCCGGTTTTTGGCCAGCCTAAATTTGATAATATTAAAAATAAACATTATTATAATTCGAATAAATCGATTAAAACTTACATTTGACTATACTTAACTTCCCATTAGTAGCAATTCGCTCAAAAACCGTAAAAGCTTCTTTACCTTCTTTCGTTGCATACTGAAGGCCTAATTTATACGAGAGAACTCCTAAGGGCTCTTTACACTCAACTTTGCCAGTTGGAAATTCTCCATCCACACAACAAATATACTCTTTTTTAACCTTGCGCTCTTGAATAGCTGTTATAATTTCTCTCGTTTTAATATCGTTCTTACAAAAGATATAGATACCAGACGTTAATCTATCTAGACGGTAGACGGCTAAATCAAAAATAAATAAGCTAATGCTGTATTTCATAATTAAAAATACTGTTGAAACTACTTACTTCTCAAATTTTTATAGCCGTTGAGTTTCCTCATCATGAATGTTAAACTGTTGTGACGATATCGACCGCAAGGATGAACTGGAATAGAAGAAGGCTTATCTATCACAACAACTTCGTCGTCTTCGAAAACAATGTTTAGGTCTCCTCCTCGTACGGGAACTTCGTGACGATGAATTGTATTTTCAACATAATCCCCTTGTCTAAGAACATAATCAGCTGCAACAGGTTCACCATTTACTCTCACCCTTCCTTGCTCAAGTGCTTTAATCTAATTTAATTTCAAATTTTTATTGAACAGTTATGATTTGCTAATAATGTGATTGTTTTTACTTTATCATGAGGGTTATCTTGCCGAAATTCAGTTTCAAAAACATCCATTAAAGTTCTACCGAACCATCTACCTTTAGCATAAGCTGCAAATGTAAAATAGTACGGGTGAACTTTTCTTAAACCATTTTCTTCGAAATATTCTGATTCTTCTAACCAATCGTCATTAAAATCGACGTCTTTTCCTATCTTTTCTTGACGACGTTTTTCTAATCGTATCTTTTTTTTCTCTTCTTTTAATAAGAGCTAAAGTTGAATATAACGTTAAATTTATCCACCTTTAAAACTTGACAAAAAGTTTTATACCTTACGTTGAGACCTTTTTGTCATATTATTATCTTTAGTATTGTCTGCATCTTTAGTCTCTGGTTCAGACATAATTTTTGTTGAAAATTTGAACGTAATTAGTAAATTTGGAGTGAAAGGAATTCTAAACTGTTTATTAAAATTTGAAAAACGTGTTATTTGTGCAATACATCTTATCATCGCTCAAATTGCGAAACATTCTTAAATAACCAGTTTTTATTTTATTAGCACTTATTGCCTCTACTTGACCCCAATCCTGTCCCAAGAGGCAGTAAAAGTTTTTGACAACATTTAAAATCTAAAACAAAACTTATTTACTTGATTATCAATAAAATGCATTTACTTAACTAATCAAATCTTATTGCAAATTATATTAATTGCATTTACTCATATTTTTATCTGTAACATTAATACTACAATTATAGCGATTGATTAATCAGCATAGTAATCATTTTTATTATAATCTCTACTTAAATATCTAAAACAAAAACTATATATCTAAAATTGTTCCTCATAAAATGACAATATCCTTTTCTTACTGACTTGTGACTCTATAAATGACACTTTATAGATTGAACATTTTGTTTTTTAGTACTGAGGGATGGGGCAGGGGGGATGAATTATATTCATTTAACATTAATCTTTCTCTCAATCAGAGACATTTAGAAACAAAAATTAAATAAGTAATTCAGTATTTATTCTTAGAGATGGAGATCTTCGTGGATTGGCTTCAGTAGGAGCATGCACGTATCTTTCGGAATCCAAAACCATTTAGCTACTAGATTTTCTATAATTCCTATCCCGAAACCGCATATAATATCCGTAACGTAGTGCCTTCCTAATATTACCCTTGATGAGCTAACAACTACTGCCCAACTCCAAACAATTCCTAAAATCGGATTCTGGAGCCTTATGTTGGACGTTGTAAAGGCTGCAATAAGTGCAGCTCTAGTTGTATGCCCTGAAGGAAAGCTGTACTTTTTGTCAATAGAGATAGTCGCAATTAAATCATCTTCATTATGTGCTGGTCTATCACGTCTAACCAGGGCTTTAACGCTTCCAACAATCATTAAATCCAAAACAAGAGCTGTAATAATAAAGATAAGCCCAAAATTATTGCATAAGTGGAGTCAATATGTAGAATTAATGAAAGATAATATAATATCGTTGAAAAAATTATATATGCATCGTAGTTTAAGACCGATCTACAATAAAATATATCAGAAATAATTATAACATACCTAGAAAAAAATTGAGCAAAATTTCTTGTCTCTCTAAATCATGACTTATTAGAATACCAGCAATGTTTGCAATAATCCAAGGAGCTCCGTGACATGACAACTCTAGAAATTTCATTACAAATCGAAATCTTGAAAATTTTCCATCTGTCTTAGAGCAAATTGCTAAGTAATTTGTAGCTCGATTATCCCATTTATAGATGGTTTGGAGTAAACTTGAAGTCGGTGCACTATCTCTTTTCGACGAAATAGAAGCGGAGGAACGCTTTCTTGTTAAAGATTTTTTCTGAGTATTTACAGAACTTCTCCTTTGTATAGTTGACCTTTCTTTAGCTACCTTCTCTTGCATCCTCTTTTAGGTTTTAAAAATAATTTTGAGATTTCGAATGTTTGGTGACTAAGTTGTCATTGAATTTCCGTTTCCGGTGAATTTTTCTACTTCCGGAAACTGGTTATTTAGTAAACGTTCCTAAACAGATGAAATTTGATAAGATATTTGAAAACATTGATATAGGAAACTAAAATAATAACTATTCTTAGAAAAAATGATGTCTAAAGCTTCAATTGAAACACAGCTTCAAAAAGTTCGTCAGTCGTTATGAAATTTCTTGAGTTTTTTTACATATTTTTCGAAAAAGAGATAACCGCCCTTTATATTTTTCATCTGTAAAAATAATTTTTATAATTACAGGAATCAAATCGATTAGCTAGTTTAGAAGAGACGCTAATTCGTAGTGATGCTGCCACGGATACTATGCTCAAAATGCTGAAAGGGTTTGATGGTAGATTAGAAAGATTGAACGCTACAATTAAACCTGTTCATGAGGAAACGCAAAGACTACATAGACGGCAAGAAAGTATGATATATAATAATATTTTACTAAACCTTCGACGACTTATATCTTATACCTATTTGTTTAGATACACTCTCAGTGCTGGGAGAATTAGACCTTATTCTAGCTCATTACAAGATTGCTGAAGAAGCCGAGAGTGTTGTTTCGCAATCGTAAGTTTGTTGCTTCTATAAAGACTTTTTTTGGTTTTTCCATACAATAATATATTCTGTATATTACAGCCCGTCAAACCAAATTGAGCAGTATTTAAAGAAAATGAATGACATAAAGTCAGCCAAAGATTATTTCGAAATGATAGCCAAGTCTGAAGGTCACGAAAAAGCCGATGATGTCGTTTATAAAGTATCTTTTACACAGTTAATTCAGAAGCTCGAGTAGTAATCACGTGTAATATTATTTTCTAAATAGCTAACTTGCCCTTTCGATAAAGGTGTAAGTCTACTCGATGAAGAATTCAAATATGTTCTTCAAAGAAATTCCCAACCTTATAATGCAAAATTGATATTAGAGAATCTTCATGCAATAGGTCTTTATATTCTATAATATACTTTATATTCTATAATACTAACTGGGAAAATACTTAATATTTTATAGCATCCGGTAAAGAGCCGTTGAGTTTGGCTTACGATAGTAAAACAGCACCATTGTGGGGAAAAGTTGTTAAATTACCTAGTCAATCTGTGCAAACAGAATTAGGAATGATGGCTTCCTGGCTTCTTAAACTTTCAACAAACACTGTTACAAATACAACGGAGAATTTTGCAGAACACAGGGTTCGCGGAATGAGAAAATGCCTTGATTCGTAAGCAATTATTTCTTAAACACATTTATACATAATCCTTTAATCTAAAAAATTTACCTAATAGGGTTAGAAATTTGATTAATGAAGAAAAATTTGACTTACCTTTTGCATCACCATCGGCAGCAAAAGGAAAATATGCTGATTCCCAACGAAGAGAATCTAATATGTAAGATAACAATCACCGTCTTTACCGTAATTAATTATGATTTATTAATATATTTTCTATTAAACAGTTTCGGAAGCATATCAAGCAAAATTAAAAATCAATTTACAACTGCTGATAGATCTCCTGGTATAACTTTATTTTATGATTTCTTTTATCAAAGCTACAATAATAATCTTCTCTTTTGAGATTAGCCCCAACAAAGAAACGCGAATCTTACTCTAATAGGGAAAATATAAAAGATGACAATAATGATGGAGATATTGATTTCTTTTTGTATATGTTTCCAGTTGTGTTTAGAATGACAGAGGTTGTTGTTATATTTAAAAATTATTTAATAATTGACATTCATAATATGCTCAATAGCTGGAAGTAGCTTTGGCGAATAGTATATTTTCAAAGAAGACTTATGTATCCTATATAATGAGCACTGTCTTTCAAGGTGTCTTTAAGACAATTCACGAGGAAGCCGATGTAATTATAAAATACTATATATTACCTGTCAATTGAGATCTAATTGCAATTTATGCCAATTTTTATAATCTTCCAGCGAGTTAATACTATTTGTAGAAAAGGAGTTATCCGTCATGACACCAGCGTCATTTTATATGTTTTTCAAGTATTGAATCATCTTAGAACAGCTGAACCTCACTTTAACAATATACTACAAGTATAAATTTCTTATTTAAAGTAACAAAATATAACAATATAAATTGATTCTGACAGAAGCTAGATTGCAAAAAGCGATATTTGGATTCACTTATTCATAGCTTCAGCGAAACAGTAAGTTTTTCAAATGTATAAATTCAATTGTATTAGAAATACTTAATTTTCTTTGTATTATAAACACAAAGGCTTTACAAGGTTTAACTGAGTTGAATGATTTCATTAAATCTAATCAAGATAGACACGCATTAATGCCGCCTGACGGTACCGTCCACCAGATGACAAGCAATGTAAGTTAGCGGTTTTTAGGCAAAAGCTTTATATGTAGAAATAATTTTCCATAGATTATGATTTTCCTTGAAAATCTTTTGATCAATAAAGAATCTCTGCTAGAATTGTTTGCTTCAAAGCCATCAAAAGAGAGAGAAGCTGCTCACTACTTGAGTAATTATAACTTTTTATTTAACGTTTCTTAAATATAGAAAAATTTATGAATTACAGAATATTTAATACCATAATTTTTTTTATTAGGAAACCTTATATCATCTCTTGGTTTATATTTAACGAATAAATCGCAAACTTACACCGATCCTGTGCTAGTAATAATATTTTTGTTGAACAATTATAATTACATGTCAAAAGCTTTACAAAAGTAAGTTATTTAGATTATTATGTTTTTCTGTAAATAACTTAACAATTTTTTTACAGAAAAAACTCGAAACTTCAGTTTATTTGTCAATTCGATTCGGATATTACACAAAGCTTCGTTCAAAAATGTATCAGCTATAGGCAGACTTACGCCAGAAGTTGGGATCCTGTTATACAACAGATTAGCTCTGATGCAAATAGGAGTTTTTCTCCAGAAAAGCTTAAAGATCGAGATAGGCAACTGATAAAAGATAAATTTTCCGTAAGCTTTCTATTTTTTATTGGATGCTGCTAGTTTCGTATATATGTATATGCATTTCAGAATTTCAATAAAGCGTTTGAAGATATTTACCGAATTCAAAAAGCTTATTCGGTTCCTGATCCAGAATTGAAAGATTTGTTAAGGACCGAAAATCAAAATCGAATACTTCCTTTATACGAGTCATTCTTAAGAAAGTACGAAGACTGTGGATTTACCAAGAATAAGGAAAAATATGTAAAATATCGTGTAGAGGATATAAAAAGATCAATGTCACAATTCTTTTCCGCTTAGATATAATTTATATTATAAATAACACTTAAAAAATGCTTTTCTATTCAAGTAGCCAAGATGGGAAACTGCTAACATTCAATGTAATTGTTTTCTTGTATAGACCTATAATGGCGGCCATAGCTTTTTCAAATATTTATAATAAATATATTGAGTTATATAATAAATACGTTTACTTTTCTTAAAATTTCAACCTTCTGTCACCTAATTCAATATCTAGTTCACTTATAAAAAATAACTGTCTAATAGAATTGTAGTCTGGGAGGGATTAAGAGCAATCATAGGGCTATTAAAATGTTGTATATAACTCATTTAGAGCTTTATCCTAAGTATTTACAAAGTAAACTTGAATGATATATATATGAACTATTCATAAATGGCCATTTGAATTTACCCGGCAAATATTTCCTATTAAAAAAATCTTGCTTTTCGTATAAATTAACAGAACTCAATTATGATTTTATTTAGATTCTACATTATGAATTATCGAATGAAAATTTCTACGAAACTCGTACTCAATTCGAGAATATTTGTTATATATTTAGTCTTCTTTCAACATAGGCTGTGGGAAAAGCAAAGATACATTTTATATGTATAAAAATAATTGATCTTCATATTGCTACATTCTCTTTTAAAAAATTAATTTCCTGCTATTACGAAGTTTTAGAGAATATATATGTCTAAGAAAATATATACAAGGAGTGAGCGTTAGCGATAATAAGGGAAATTGGGTTATTTGTTGCGCACGTTCAAGATGTCCAGCAATGAAGTTAAAAAGGATGAATCGAAATTTGATAGGCTCAAGAAATTGTTTAAAGGGAATTCAAAAACATCTTCTCCTTCTAACCTGCCTCATGTCCCATTACAAACCTCTCCCCAGAACCCGTTTCAACTAACTCAAGCATGTGTAAACGTGAGTGCACAATACAATGTAAACAACAAAATGTATTTTACCGCTTGCGTTCTCTATAAATATATAGAGCATAGGTTGTGGACATCCTGAAAGCTATAGAATAAAAAACATTAAAGACCTTACCGAAATCATTCAGACAAAGATGATAAAAAAGGTAAACTAATAATATTAAATGCCATTTTTGATAATATGTTATATAATTGTTGTGTTTATGTATTTCTCCATAAAAGGAACATATAGTTACACTTTGGAATTGTGTAAGGGATTTGAAAACATCTGATAATTCCATTGCAAGACAGACGTGTTTTAGATTTTTTTATAGTTTAATTCAAGGCCAGGTAGTAAACATGTTGCAATGCTATTTACTTAAAATATAGCATATCAATTTCTATTTTTACAGCATGAAAGATTAGAAACAATGAAATCGGTCATCTTTGACGATTTAAATTCAGTTAAATATGTAGAAGATTTCGATTATAAAATTCTCTGCTTTCAATCTTTAACGCAAAATGGTAAAAATCTTTCGAAAATAGAAGAAGAAACTGGTCCTGCTGTTGCAGCTTGGGAAAAAGAATTAGTTAATGATTATGAAAAGTTAAAGGGGAAAATTGTTATAGAATTTTTACGTTTAATTGTTAATATTATTAAGTATAATGCTGCTCATTTAGATGAAGAAAATTTGAGTGAACTTGTTAGGTAATACTATATTATTGTTTTATTTATTATGTGTATGCTTTCTTATACTTTACAACTATTAATTCTATTAATATTTACTTTTGAAGGGAAACATGCAATCTTGCTCAAGTTACAGACAATTTGGAAGAAATGAAAGTTAGTATATTTCTATTATTAAACATGTTTTGTTACATATCTTTAATTGTTAATATTAATTATTGGAAAAACTTTATTCATTAACAACAGAGCTGTTTGGCTTTACTCATGTGCATAGTCAGTTACAGTTACTTACCCACGGACTGTCTATATGCTGTAGTTGTTTGTTTATGCAAGGTGCTAAATGTTCATACTGATTGTGTTTCATCAGTTTGGAAGGTAAGGATGATGATTGTCGAATACGTACAGAGATGTATAGATGTTTATATTTTCATATTAGCTTATGAGAGCAATATTTCAAGACCATTTGGGTCATGCCGCATTACTTGTGACTTGTCGCATTTTAGAGGATAAGTAAGAATAATAAATACTTTTATTATCAAATAATACGAGATATAATAATCTCATTTATAGAGAAAACGCAAAAGATACTATTCTTTTGCGTGGTGCTGTATATTTCGTTGGAGCTGCCCTTTGGGGAAGAGAAAGAGTTGAGACTATTAAATGTCCAGCTAGTGTTGTATTACCTTGTATGATACAAGTAAATATTAATATTATATCATTTTTCGTTACTTTTTTGCATTTAATAATTTAATTTTTTCAAAGGCTTTAGTTAACAGCGATCATCCACTTGTTGCCTATGAAATAGCAAGATCTGTTAGAAGGTTAATTGAAAAATATGGAACAGATTGTGAAATGATGACATGGAGTGGAGTTTTAGATGTAATCCAAACACTTCTTGATTTTACAAATTCAAATGTATTTGCTGTAATTATCCAATTTATTCAATTATTTAGCAAAGTGAACTTTTTATACTTAAAATAATTTCCAGGCTTCGTCAGCACTTTCCCCACATATACTTACCGAATTTCATCGAATAATAAGTGATGTAGAGGACGCCTATGAGAAAGAAAGTAATTTTAGTTCACTAGCCGATCGATTTTTCGATATTGTTGAAGAATGTGCCAATGATAGACCGGTAAATAATGATTCATTTTAAAGACTATCACTTTTATTGAAAATTTAAAACGCAGCTACAAATATAACATGTTTTTATTTAATCACAACAGGAAAAATCATTACTACTTTTAATACAACATCGTGTATTATTAGTGCATCCCAACCTCCCAGGATGGACCATTCAACTTAAAGAATTAGTTGACAAATACTTTAGGTAAGTAAAGTTAATACTTTTCAATTTTAATTCTTTATTGAGTATAATTTCCAACCCGCGATCTTTAAAGTATTTAAGTTAGTATTATCTTTTAAAATTGAGCATTTTCCTTGAAATAAAGCTATTCCAATGCAACTATTTGAATTCATACACTTTGTACTGCAGTGACCTTTATTTCTATATATCTCCACTTTATCAGCCGAACCTGATGGTGTTGGAAAGACCTCGCCTTTCAGTCTTGTTAAATGAATACATCGAACTGTCAAGACAAAGAGAGATTTATATTGAACGATTTATTAATAATCTTGAATTAATCACTGTAGATCAATCATTTAACTTAAAACCTTTATGGAAAATTTCCTATAGCTCACCTAATCCATCAGAATAATAGCTATTACTGCAATTCCACTTTTGAATATCTGGTGTTGCTTGAGTTGTTGGGAGTTCTAGTGAAATTTTATTTATATATAATATTAAAACGCATTAAAATACTCGTCCTTACCAGTTGTAAATATAGGCGTTTCAGAATTGCTACATCTACCACTTATACAAACTACACTAGGAAAACCGTTGCAAACATCTCCTTCGTCACACGAAGACCCAAATGTTTTATCTGTAACGGTGTTTTTGAGAGTTAAATTTGTTTTTATACTTGAATATACGAGCATATATTCTATGTACATGAGCATGAACCAGACCAATCAATTTCCTGACTTTGATTACAAATCCAAGTTCCATTATTTAATACCCTTTCAAAACCGGTCAGGCAGACACATACACCAAAAGAGCATTTCATTGCTTTTGGATTACCCTTACAACTCGAACTCGATGAACAAGAATCATCAACAGCACTCAAAAACGCTAAATTGTTTTTGATAAAGGAGATAACTATTATAAATGTATTCACTAATTTTAAAACTATACCATTAGCTGATACAGTAATTACAGTACTGCCCAAATCCATTTTAGTAGTCAAAGTATAAGCATCATTTTTATCAAGACCAGCAACAGGTATTATAATATCATTATCTCGAACACAAGAATTTGCAGCCATCGTTTTTGTTGCGAAAAAACCACTAAAAGCGCCAATACTCCCAGGATTAAGGTTATCTATTTAAAAACATTTTAGTATTAGATTACCTGTAATGAAAGTTTTCAATTTAAAACTGAAAAATAAAAATTACCTAAGATAACAACAGCAATAGCCCCCGATAATTGCGCAAAAAGAGCCTTTGAAGAAAAAAAGCAACCACCCCTTCGGACGATTGCTACGTTTCCTCTCACTGCTGAAGGATTATGATACATATCACAACCATTTTCTGGTATTGACTTAACAGCAATTCCGGTAAACTGATTGAAAATTAAAGCAATGTTGAACAAAAAATTATTACAAAGACAAATCTCATATTTGTTATTTCTATTACTTTTGTATCTTCTCCAAAACCGAAACCAAATTCAGCTGGTCTTGCTTCCAATATAATATTTCCATTATGTATTGTAACAGTTCTCCTATAAGCTCCTGAATAAGAAATAAGTATAATAAACTAAACCAACTTTAATAGTTATTTTTAACCGTTGGCAAAAAAAAATTGGAATGCAAAACAGTAAAACGAAGCCTTGACTAGTAAAGAATTCATTTTCATTTGAAGGATATACCGTTATTACCTTTGAGCTCTTGTGCGCGTAAAAGAAGTTTGTGATTTACTGTTTCTATTTGTAGACGCTCAATTTGATTACATATCCAAGTTCCATTGTCATTTACCTATATAAATGGTTCGTGTAAATACAATTGCTAAAAGATCATTTAATTGATCTTGGTCTACTATATGGAAATGAATTCCCAAAACTATGCCAAAGAACTATTAGCTATAACATTAGATTTAATAACAAGTAGGCATCAGCGAAATCATTTTACCAGTTAGAGAGTAGAGAAACCATATTACGCAATTATTTATAGACGTGTTTAAATTCGTTATTTCGTGATAGAATCAAATATTGATCATCCATAAAGTTCTCTTTCTATAAGCTTTCTTCAATTCTAGTGGCTGCTTCCCGTATAGAATATTTTCTTAGAAAAATCTGTCTCAATTTTTAACATTTAACATTTCTTTTTCAGACTTGAATTACGAACAAAAGTAAGAATACATGTTATCGAAGTTTTATCCCAATTTATAACTTCCCACGTTCATCTCTATGAGGTATTTTATGCAAGTTTACTTGCAATAGAAAACAATATATTTAGAATAAATAAAAGAGTACATATGCTAATATTTTTTCACAACAGAATGAATTAATAGATGGTGTTATTCTACCTGTATTGACAAATATAGATCAAGATTTTGATATTGCTGTCAGAAAGAGAACAACTCAATTGCTTTTGCATGTTTGTCATTGTTGTACAACCTCAAAATTTAGTGAAGTTATTCAAATATTAGAAAAGGTAAATAGAAAAAACAAACTTAAAAGTTTAGCTTCAACAAGAAAACCATAGATATATAACAATATATTCAGAACATAGAATTCAATTATTGATATCAGATAATGTTCTAGTTTAAGATCCTAGGTTCATTCTTGAATAGTTAAATTAATTGCAATTGGTAATCAATTCTATAACGAACAAAAATCGTTTAGAAATTTGTCCTTGAGAAATCTTAAGGATAAATCGGCAACAGATTAAACTGTTATTGATATGGTATGATGATAGGGAATTGATAACATTTAATTCATGGAATTATCGATTCAATAATAGTAATTTTGTTTTGTTACATATAATCTATTCTTATTTTTCTTTACAATAATAGATAATGCAGAGACCATTTAGGTCGTCTAGACCCGGATCACCACCATCTACACCAGTATCCTATTGTTTCGAAGATGTTAACTTGGCTGTGTGCGGTTTAGCAGCAATGCTAGAAGTTAAAATTACTTCTAAATATAACCTTTCATCCCAAGTTGTTCAAATATACGATTGTCTAATTAAGCATCTTAAGTGCCTATATTCGCCAACAAATTGCCGTTTTTTGGATAGTTCAGTTAAAAGTCGCTATGAGGTTGGTCCTAGTTTCCGAATATTTCCTATATTTTTGAACTAAAGATAGCTATTCATATTGATTGACCAAACCTAATCAATTACGTATTCATTTTACACTTCCTAGAAAGCAATAATTTTTTATGTTTTGTAGATCTTAAGAGTCCTTCTAAATATGAGAAGCGATAATCAAAAAAGGCTGGGATATGTCAATAGAAATAAAGGAGACAAAGTAATCTTTACTTCAAATATTATATTCACAAGGTAATAACAGCAAGTTTTTTTTTTACCTTGTTTTTTTTAATTATCTATTTCGTTGTTTCATTTTTTTATAAAGTTCAAAAGTAACTAAGTCAAAAAATGAAGAATCGATTAAAAAGTCATGTAAAGATGATGAAAAACAATTGAAAAAAAGTTGTTCACAAGTCGACGAAGAGATACAATCTACTGAAACACCAAATCTATTTTATATCAATTACGCTGATGCTGTTTCTTGCTTCATATTATGTCTAAAATATGAAAGTGAATGGGATATATATCATTTATTATTTCAAGAAACTCCTAAAATTTTACGTAATAAGAGTCTAATTTTAACAACGATACGTAATGCAAGGAACAATGGTGGAAGTGAAGATATTGAAACCTTTAGCCAATTAATCTGTGATATGATAAGCACTACTTCGCCAAAAGCTTACGAATCTTTTAAAAATAAAAAAGAAGGTAGCGTTACCAAACCAGACTTTCACTGCAACATATTTCCAGTATTAACGTGCCTACCCAGTTACCATAACTATTTAAATAGAAATATATTGGTTAGTTAATTAATTTATTAACTATTTTTACAAGTATTGGTATATAAAATATCTTTCTTTTCATATAGCAACAATTCATTCAATGCCTCGATTTGGGTTTGATCTCCAAATGCGCTCGTCTGTGCGTCTGGGCCTTGTCTGTTTCTGCTTTTGAAATGCCCAATGTCCTTATGAGGCAATTGCCACATATTTTGTTAATTATTACACAAATATCTCCAACAAGGCAAATGTCAACACCATTAATGGAATTTTTAAACAGTAATTTATCTAAAATATTTTATTGCTATTCAGTTATTAATGTTTCTTTTTCTTGCAGCTTTTATTCACCTACCGCAATTGTTTATTAATTTTTGTGATGATGATTATCTATCGGTATTCGCTATTGCTATGCAGTATACTAATCCTGCAAGATATTCGCATTATACAGTATCTTTAGCCTATCAAGTAATATGTGTTTGGTTCTTAAAATGTAAATTAGAATCGAGAAAACGTTATGTTAATTTTATTGTAAGAGGTTTGGTTAAAGTTTTAAATCAATTCGAGGAGAATATTTCAAGAGCAAGGGTTTGTTTCCTCTTTATTATTAATAATAAATAGTTATTATTTAATCAAATTAATCAAATAAATCAACTGACAGGCATCCAATAATTGTAACGAAACTATGCCAAGAGGAAGATCACACACAGAAGATGTTACCGTACTAAAGAGGTAAAATATTTCTGGTTTTGCATCTAAGTTTGTTTATATATTATTGTTTGTTTAGAGCAAAAACTGCTGCTGTACAAAATGTGAAGACGGCTGCCTTTCATCAAGAATTAACAGAAACCTGTATTGATATGTTGGCCAGATACGCCTATTCAAATTGTTCAAATTTTCCTACCAGGTCTGCAGTCGCTGAATTTCTTTTAAAAAATGGAACAAGTGAACGTTGGGTAATAGGAAATAACGTTGTAACTATTACTACCAGTGGAAGTTTAGTTGGTACGAAATTATATTATACTTATTATTATTATACGATATTTTACTATGGATTTAGGCCCATCTGGTCTTTGTGATAAATGTCTACATTTAGCTGGTAAATTGGCTGAAAAGAAAAGACAAGAGAATCAACGAAAACGTCATCAGTCAGCGGCATGCGAAACTAGTCAATCCACAGTTGTTGTCAGGCAGAAAAGCTTCGATGACATGGGAATTGGTAGGAAAGATGTTACCGAAAACACAACTGCAAATGAAGAACCGGTAAATCCTAAAATTGATGAAATAATGTTGGGCCTTGGAAAGAATAAACCAGATGACGCATCCATATTTACTCAATACGAATGCAGTTGTTGGGTAAATGCATGGGTTGAAGTACATATAAGACGACCAACAGGAAACGTAAGCTGGTTAATGAGATCGCAAAATGATACTGGTATTAATCAGGTAATAGCACTTAATTCCTTAGAGATATTTGAATATAATCTTTATTGTTATAAAATGAAAAAAACAAAAGGGTGCACCTGGATTCCCTCTTTGGAATATGCATCTATTAATGCAAGAGGAAAAGTCAAAAGATTCCAAATCAATATCAAAAAGAAAGAAAATTGATAGCATGTCCATTGCCGAGAGTGAATATAATAATATACACCAACAAATCTTTCTTGGCTCTTCTCCACCGAACGGTAAGGGTAAATATTCTTAATTTATTAGTGTTATTAGAGTTTAGCAGTGATATTTCTGTTGAACTTACCACCGATAATACTTATATTTATATAGATAAGATATGTATATTATTTTCGCCTTAATATTCAACTTCGTATAAGAACTATAAAGATTATTTTTTTCATAGATAATAGATAACTTTTTAAATACTTCATTCGAGTTTCTCCTTCCTTATCCTTATAATTTACACTCTTTTATACTTACAAATTTCTTTTTTCTTTTACACCTTAAAACTTATCCTTCCATTATTTCATTTGTTTAAAACTTAAAAAACAATTAATTACAATCATCAGCAGAAAAAGATGGATTTGATCTAAAGTTGGCACTTATCGGTATATTTATATTAATAATGTTGTACTATTTAATTTCATTACAAAAAAAGAGAAATCTATAATTTGTCGTTAATTATAACTATCTTCTTTTTTTTGTAATGTATTATTAATTATGTAAATATTAGTGGCATGGAGAAAAGGACATAATTATTTTGGGTCAAAAAAGTTTTTACTTTCCCTCATATATAATAACCTTGTCTTCCTTACTATTCTTAGCATTGTCTTATACGGTCTATATATATATATATATATATACATTTTTGCCTTGTAATTATAAACTCGAATAGCTGTTATAAAAGTTGATAGGAGCATGTTTTTTAAACGAATCACATTCTTACTTCTCTTTTTAATTTTTTTTTAAATGCTTGTGTTATTATCTCTTTTTTTTATATTAAATTGTATTCCAACGTTCTTTTTATAATTGTTTACGAACTGCACTTCCCATTGAATAAAATATAATGCACTAACACCCTAAACTAATAACGTATATTCCTAAAACCGAACAGGAACAAAGATTGTATTCCTTAGCGTATATTCATAAATTTATATATACTGTATATATTAGTATATATAGATTCATGTATATATAAAATTAATTTTCTAAAACATTGAACTATGTCTTATGCGTTTGAAATTATTATATTGAACAGAGGAAGAAACTTCGGAAAGCGACGAAGAATCTGATAATAATGCAGTCAATCTACCTGAGTTAAAGAAAAGTACTTCTACACCGGTTTTAACAGCTGATATAATGACTAAACTAACAACTGGAAATGTTAAAGGTGACTTACAAGACGTCTTTCAAAGGTACGAAAATAATTTTTCTTTTATTAATAACTTATTATTTAAATACTACTTTGACTTGTGGTTTAGGTCGCAAGACTTGAAAAGTGATAAACTTAATGGTGATTTAAATAACGGCGATACAGAAGAGAACGAAACAATGCCAACTTCTTCAAACAATGGTAAAGAATCACCGAAAGATTTTAAAGACCAAAAGCATGGAATTGATCCAAATTTTGTTTTTCTTCAATTATTTCATTCTGCTTCTGTATCAAAAAATAGCGAAAGTGCTTTTTATATACCGCAAAGTAGTGAGGTTAGTATGAAAATTTGCTTGGTTTCTAAGTCAAATATACAATTATATTATATACGTATATATATATTAGTATACACTGTGAATTTACAAACAGAGCCTTAACAGAAGTATAAACATGCTTGATAGACGGTATCCGTTTGAAACTCATAAAATTGCTATTCTTTATGTTGGACCTGGTCAAATTAATGATGAAAAAGCCATATTAGCAAACAGTGGAGGATCCAAAAGATATATACAGTTTTTATCTAGTCTTGGTTCGTTACTTCGCTTAAAAGAAGATGAAATTGAAGAAGAAAACACCTACTTAGGCGGATTAGATACGAAAGGAGAAGATGGAGAATTCACCTATTGTTGGCATGATGACTTTATGCAAACTGTCTTCCATGTTGCTACCCTAATGCCAAAACGATCATCAGACGTTAATTATCTTTATAAGAAGCGTCATATTGGAAATGACTATGTCACAATTGTTTACAATGATTCAATGGGAGAATCTTACAAATTGGGAACTATACAAGGGGAATTTAATTATGTGAATATAATTATTGAGCCGTTAGATGAAATGAGTAACGCTGTTACGGTTCAAACTAAAGAAGATATAGTAGAAATAATTGGCCATACTGATACAAAGATTATTTCTGATGTAAATTTGGGGAAATTAGTCCGACAAATGGCTGTTCATGCTAACGTATGTCATTTATTAACTTCTTAAGATTCTTTCTATATAATAATGTATACTTTACAGTTAGCTTCTGTCATATTACAAAGACAAAAGAATAATCCTAATGATCCATACGCATCCAATTGGCTGGAACGCCTAAGACAAATTAAGAAAATCAGAAGCAGAGCAGAGTCAGCAATGAGTGACAGACTGTCAAATGGAAGAGGAAAGTCTATAGCTAAATATCAACACGTAGATTTTACCTCATTCTGTTTTATGCCTGATTCATCGATTAATTAGATTACAGAGACATAGAGAGAAAGAGCGAGAGAGAGAGAGAATTTAACCAAAATAAACATGAACGTTGCCAAATACAAATATATTTATCTAACATTTAAAAGTGTTATTAGTTTATTGTTAATTAAATCTTAATACTAGTTAGGCTGGCAAAAGTTTACTATTTTCAATTTTTTAGCGCCAATAATCTTTGGACTCTTCACGCATATAAGATACTACTTCGATCCAAAATGGCGCTCTTCATTCGGCATGTTGAAAGTTGTTATTTTCGTTATTCCCCAAAATTACAAATTAATAACTTATTTAATTTATCAAAATCATCTGTAAAATATAAATATAGTTTCAATGACATAGGTGATAAGCGATGTTTTTCCAAGATAATAGGTAAAATTTTTGCTTATATTTATTGACCGATATTTAATGAACTGATCAACTTCAGATGCTACTTCATTTAATGATTATATAAGAAAGGGAAAGGATGAAGCTCGGAAAAGTGTCCTAATTAATCTTGGAACTCAGAATAGATTATTAGAGGCGTGTTCTCTAATCAAAAATTGCGTTGGACGAGCCGCCAATTCTTGTATTACTTATTCAAAAAATGACAAATATTACGCCCTTTTCACCCTCCACTCCGTACAAGATGTAGAAAAGTTACTACAATCAACTCATTTATATGGAGCTCAGAATAGTATAACTATGTTTACAAAAATGCTTTGGCTACCACCGAACTCGAGGGTTAGCCCAAATAAACAAAGTATACCGAAAGTCGTCCTAAAAGAGAAACCTACTCCAGAATGCACTAAGAGCAGTCTCATAGCTTACAAATCCATTTCAAAACAATTAGAAATCCTTTGTAATTCTTATCGTATGACGCCGATAGATCAATCTCTTCGCTTTATGATATTGGTCAGTGTTGAAGATATATTTAAAAAACTTCTTCCTCGTAGTCAATTGACTCCGTTCGGATCATTCGTTAACGGGTTTGGTCAACACGGTGGCGATTTAGATATAACAATGAACGTAGATATTGGCGGTGATTTGTGGAAAGGTCACGGATTTTGTTATATGACAAAGATTGTTGGAGATGACGAAGAAAGAATATTTCAAAAGAGTGCTTTAAACGCTTTAGGTGGCATTTTACAAAATTTCGCTCCACAATTTCATAAGATTCGAAAAATAATTCATGCAAGAGTTCCAATAGTTAAATTTGTTCATAGTATGACTAATATCGAATGCGATCTTTGTATAGACAATAATTCAGCTTTAGAAATGTCAGAGTTATTATATAATGTATCTTCGTACGATATTAAAATTCATCAGCTAGTCTTTCTTGTAAGGCATTGGGCAAAAAGCAATGAATTAACAAAATCCAATCCTGGTCCATGGATGTCGAATTTTATGTTGACATTATTGGTTTTATTCTATTTGCAAAAGCAACATAACCTTCCTGCACTGCAAGAATTCAATAACAAAAGCCGGTTAAAGCCTTCCGCTATTAAAAGGATTTCCTTAGGTATGCTATATTTATTCTTTTTTTCCAAGAAATCTTCTTCGTTGATTTTCCTCTAAGATAACTTTTTCTCTTCTTTCTCTTTTTACAGATAAATTATTTACGGAATTCTTGAACTTTTATTCATGTTATAACTTTGAAAAAAAATGTATCTCAGTTTTAAAATCTTCTGAAAATGAAATAGAAGAATGGGATGCTGCTTTACATATTGAAAATCCTATTGAAACTGAATTGAACGTTTGTAAGAATGTATCGCAAGATGAATTAGATAGATTTAAGGATATTTGTAATTGCTCATTTAAAACTTTAAAACTAGATAATCAACCTGACAGGATGATGGAAATCCTTTTTCCGCAAAGAACAAATGGCGATATGCCCTCAGATACAGAAGTTGAAAGTATTCACATGTCTAAGCTATTTGGCGAAGAGAATTGAAAGTTCAAATAGAGAAAAAGAAAGAAAACAAAAAAAAAACAAAAATTAAAGACTGAAATTAGAAAAATCTCAAAGAAAAATATTAATATATTCATTATTCCTAAAAATGAATTTATTGAATTGCAATAAGCAACGTGAGAGTTTGCAGGTCAAGGGCAATGTAATGCGAAACTGATGGGAAAAACTAGAACGATTTATTTTTAATTTTGCTCAGTCAGGAAGAAAATTCTAAAAACTTGCTTATTATAATATTAATGAGAAAAAAGAATACAAGTATAACTGTATACAGTATATAAAATTTATATATATACAGTTTGTAGTCGATGGTCATAACGACTAGATTTGACACGTTGTCCTTTTGTGATTCTTCCTTATACATACTTTGAATCTCTTCCAGACCTTTTTTATTCCTATTGTCGCATATAGAAGATGTAGGTTCTCTGATAACTTCATCCAAATAGTTCAAAGGGGTGATTACTAAAATTATTGAAAACATCCACAACACAAATGATATAATGGCGAGCAACCACGATAATCTTTTTTGCTTCTCGTAATTTGTTTGATCTACCCAATAATCTCTCCATCGGCATTGTGGCTTGAACGATTTTAAATAGGTATCGTTGAGCCTTTTCTAGTTCTACGGTGGTCACTTTGGCATCTTTGAGTCTTTCGTTAAGTCGGGAATTGGATTTGAATCTTAAAATCCAAGCCATGGTACAGCGCATCTTTTACAAGTCTCCCTTTACATCAAAAGTAAAATCGGCTATTACCAGATTGATTATAGCTTTTAGAAGGTTCTTTTCGATTTAAGAAAAAGCGATTGGGCAAAGATGTATCGAACAACGGCTTGGATTTTAAGAACAAATGACCAATAAGCTTCACAATCGATGATCTAAGAATATGTGCCACAGGAAAAGAGCAAAATTGCGGAATTTCGAACATTTAAAATTTTCAAGCCAAAGAAGATGACAGAATACCAAATACCAATGATCCCTTTGCCAACAGACAAACTGATGTTGGTCGTCCAACATACGATTCTACGACCCGAATCGACTTTTTAAGAAATAAAAAGATTACCTCATTCAAAAAGTTTGATAGATCTTAGATTATATCTACGTCGGTGCTTCAACATCTGATGGAACAGCCCTAGAACGAATCCTCAATGAAACTACACCCTTCCGACTGATTAACTCTTCAAACTGGATTGAATTCGAGATACTCCTTACTCCTGAATCTATCTAAAAACAAAGTCTATACACAACATCGAAGACTTAGCCAAATACACGAACAGACTACTATCACATATTCAATCGGAACTTTAGTCTAATTATGAAAAAATTAGAACGAATCCTTAACGAAAACTCTAAAAGTTATCGACAACGGATGTTACGCAACGGTCGTAGCGTCTGTTACAGTAAAGAAAGTTCCAGTCAATATACAAACTTTGATAGCCAGTATTCTTCCCAAAAACGTTGTCTTAAGAAATAAGCTTACAGATGAGAATTAATCGAATTTCTAAATTAACCATGCCCATCTTATTGTAGATTTACTTAACGAATACGACTACATATGTATATTAGTATATATACAACAAGCTTGAAGTACAACAACATTTATACAACATACTTTGTACATATTGCATAATGTTAAATTAACTTGGTTTCTTTATTTTCTTTTTCAAGCTTCAACATAATAATTTCCTTGCAAAACAAACGATAAAAATATTAATATGTATGAAATCTTGTATTAATATCAGTCCATGGTAAAAATGTTTAACTGAAATGCAGGCTATCTTAAATTTTCCATAAAATATAGTTGCTTTTTTTTCTTACTTTACAACGTGTAAATTCTACGTATGTTAAAAAGATTAAGTAGAGATTTTTAAAAGATAAGAAATAATACAATAAGCTAGATTTAATAAAAGATGTAGATGTAAACATCTTGAAGGGGTGGGGTGGGGTTTTGGGAATTTTCAGGATGGGGTTTATGATACGATTCTTCTGGAATAATTCAAACTTAACAACTTGAACAATCTTCTTCCGGAATGCCACCTTCTGGAGGCGGTCTTGACATGACTTGCTGTATAATTTCATCGCTGATATCTTCATCTGGATCCTGCTGAGGGGAAATTCAATAGAGTATATACAAAACTTTCACTCTCTTTGTAAGATAATTGTTAATGGTAATAAATAATAAAATCTAGCGTATATATCAAGCAACATGCATTAAGTAAAATAGCTGATTACCTCAGCGGGACGGTGTATTTGCAAAGGAGGCATGCTTTTCACACTGTGCCCAGACGTTTGGCGCTTAATTCCACTAGTTGCTGTTTTAACATGCATAACCAACTCTTAAACGATATTGGTCAAGAACCAAAGAATAAAGGAATTTAAAAAAAAAAGAAAGGAATGAGGAGAGCCGTTAAGGAATCAACAACAGGAGCTCAACCACTGTGATATTACTTACCATTCAGTTGACCGGCAGATGTGGAGGACAATGCACGCTTCGGAACGTTAGCTGCCTTTTCTCTACTCTCGTTAGCTTTCTAAAATTTACAATTAAATTTGCAAGAGAAGAATTATCTAAAAAATATATAGCTAACCTGCGGAATGTCAATTAAAGGTGGCATTTGAGACATAGAGGGTCCATAATGTTCTAAATGTTTAAAATTAGTAGGACCAGATATTCTACGTCCAGTTCGTAATTCCACTTTGCTGCTTCTATATAACATATATGAAAATAGTCTTTAATAATAGAATAGGGAAGAAGAGTTTTGTGAGCGAAAACTTACGCATCAACAGCTGCTTTATATTGAGAATGTCCTACATGTTGTATATGTTGAAAGTTAGCTGGACCAGAAATACTATTCTTTTTCATTCGGATATCTGATCCACTGTAAAAGAATGATTGAAAATATGAATATAAATGAATATATATATATATATTATTTATAAAATGTGGATAAGAGGGAACAGAAGCTTATAAGTCTTGTAGCGAATACATATATACAAGTATATATGAATATCTCTATTGTGCTTTTTATATGTTTTATAGCCCCAATTCAGTAAATGACCATCAGCCAAGAAATTGAAGATTTAAGCAAAACATTCAGCAGAGAACGAAATAATAATAATTATTATCATATAAACTTTACATATTTTATAAACCTTTCAGTGAGTTATTCTCGAATTTCATAAAAAAAATTTAAGCAATTTCGCCCTTTTTTTTATTAAACTGGTAATAAAAAAAGAGATGTAGGTTAGACTAAAAACCTTATTTATTCTTTTTACTTTCCTCTACATTTTAAATAGAAAGTTTTAACCATCTGATTTTGATTTATCCTACAACGTGAATATATATATATATATATTTAGGCCTATACAATATTCATGAAACCTCGTATGCTAATACCAACCTGAAACTGACTTTATTGCATCCTGATATTTCGTGATTGATACAGTAAGCTTAATCCAAGGTCAAAATCAATCATTAAAAAGCACTTTTTTTAAATATTCCCCCACCCTAGATTTCTGTATGTTCATAGTTTTACGAATAAAAAAGGAACTCCATTAACGTTACCCAAAATTAAAAGAAAAATAGGTTTCTTTAGTCCTATTTAGCTTAGTAACAGGGGTCATAGAAACAGCTTTATGAGGTGATTCTCAAAGCCTAAAGCCGAATAACATATTGTTATCAGATGAGGAAATAGAATAAATACAAGTTTTTTTTTCATTTCTTTTCTTTTTTATACAAAATAATAATGTAAATTATTCTGTTCTCATTTCCCTTCTTTAATTTTATTAATTATATTTTCATTGCCTTAAAAATAAATAAATCTCATTATTTAGCATCGTAAATTTTTAAATAATATTCTTTTTAATAGAGTAATAATACTAATAATAACTAATTATAATGATTTTAAGCGGTAAGATTGATCATGGATGGAATCTCTTTTCCAAAGAAAAAACAATGAAAACGAAATTATTATATTGTGCAAACTTTTTAAAAAATTATGCTTCTTTATATCTTTATCATTTAAAATTTCAAATTTAAATATATATATATATATACTGTATATATTGCGTAAAGATATATATGAAAAATTAATATAATAAACAATACAGTATATATGTATTTACTAATATATATAAATAATTATATTCATTGAAACTCTAAATGTGAATCTATTAGTTTAATACTTCCAGAATAATGAAGATTAGAATAATAGAATTGTTAAGTATAACTTTTTTTCAATATTTCATTTTCCTTCTATTTTATTGATTTAGTGTACTTTCTTTTATTAAAAGTAAGAGATAACAGAAGGAAATATATGAAAGAGCATGGAAAAAAAATTTGCTGTGCTTTCGAGTGTTAAAAACAATTATAATATTTGTATCATTCTGAAAGATTTGACCCTTACCTTGATGAAAACAATAATGGCAGTGACAGGCTGCGTAATTGTTCAATATAAAACTTATAATCTTATTTGGTTTTTTATAATATTTCAACATTTTACTTCATTAACTATTGCTATTAATTTTATAAAATTATTCAACAAACCGTTTTTGAGCATCCGTTTGACCCTTCATCATTCTTTTACTATTTCTATAATTAGGTCTTCGACTATTGAAATCCGTTAACTCGTCAGGAAAATCAGAACCATTCTCGTCTTTTTTAGGTCTAGTATATATTAAATGCGGAGCATCAGAAATAGTTACAGAACACAAAGAACCGTCAGAACACAATGGTTTAGCCTGAAGATAATAAAAAATATTTATCTTCGCTCTAATGAATAATTAATTAAGTACTAAATATTACTTTTTTATAAGGTATAGTTTGAATCCATGAACCGGAAACAACGTCGTAAACATATGCATTTAGACGGGAGTAAGCGATTAATAGTCGTCCTCTCTTGGACGCGTTATCAATGGGCGAAGGCCATAATAACTCAGTAAACCTTGATTTGCACCCATTTTTATCAACATACACACCAATATCTAAGATAAAAAATGTGGTTATTATTTTATTACTTCGTTATAATACAATCAACAAACCTGAGAAGACGAGAAGCCATTCCTGTTTAGCAGCTTGCTTAACATCAACAATTGTTATTACGCTCATACTTTTATCAGATATTCTCATATCCACAAGATACTTTAAGTTCTCATCTTCTTTATTGATTAAAGCTATAAAGAAATAAATTATTTATATAGTGAAATGGTAGAAAAAAATAACTTACGCGTTGCAGCAGGATTATCAAATTGAACATCGTAAAGGCTAAACGTTAAATTTGAACAGCCCACACTTAATATATTATTCTTTTGCATTTCCATAAATACTATATTATCCATGCATGTAATGTCCGCACGCTTTCTTAAGGATCCGTGGGTAAGTTGAAGGATTTGAATTGTTCTAGCTTTGGCAACTAATAGTAAAACAGCGGTGGGTAAAGTATGAAGTGAGAATCTTGTACAAAATTTTGTTTCGGTTAATTTCCTCCATTCAGTTTTCCATTCTGCTTCGCTAGCTTTAAGAACAGCGTCGAGAGGAGCCGTTCGAACGTATCTCTGTTTCCCCGCCAAAATCAAAACGGATTTTGCGCCCTTGGATACTTCAATTTGATATATAACTTTCTTTTCCCCTAATCTAACTAGACCATCTGTTAATAAATCAGCAAGATAAACGCCTTCTTCGCTACCCAATAGCAGTTTCGATTCGTTCAATATGCAGGCGCAATGCAGCTTGTGAACAGCAGAAACAGACGAGTCATATATAAGTTTGGAGACGATAGATGATTCACTGCTGATATGTTGTTGTAAAATTTCTCGAAGTTCGGAAAGAGCACCAACAAGGCATTTCCGTTGCTTTGGTGAGTCACATAAGAAGAGTATATTATGTTCGGCATTTTGAGAGGTGGCTTGTAACAGTGAGGTTGTTACTAGGAAAATTTGAGGTAATAACTTTTTGTCGGCATGTATAGCATCGTTCTCAGTAGCTTCACGTACAGCAAATAGTTCATCTCTTTTTTTTTAAAATAAATACACATAGGTTAATTAATAATAATATTAAATAAAAATATCCCACCTCATATCAATAACATTCAATAAAAGATTAGTTGGATCTCCATTGGCATTTAGTTCAAAGAGAAATAATTTATAATCGCATACTACTACATATAAGCGTATCCATCCTTTTTTAACACCGCCATCCGGTTTGGGTATTTGTAAAAGAGCCTCATAAGCAGTACCCACCCCTTTAACTGGATCAATACCCTTTGGTCTTTGCACTAAAATTATTAAAAAAAGGGTAAATAAAAAAAATATTATTAATAAAATATTTAGTTTTCATTACTCACGATCGTCAGGTGTAACCGGACAAGGAATATTTGCTACCTTATCACAATCTATATGACAAGTAAACGAGCATACTGAAACAACAATATATCCATATACTACATTATTTATCCTGACATCATAAAATTATAAATAAAAATATCATTTTTCATACCTCTACAATAATATCCTTGCCGCCTTCTTCCAACCATTAATGATGTACAATGACTACACTTCACTGGATGATACCATGTTTTGACTTCATATTTATGAGAACCTTTGAAGTCATTCTTTACTAATTGTTTAGATAAAGATTCTGAAGAAGATGAGTGAACACTTTGAGATGAGACATCGCCCGATTTTATATCATTTTCCTTATCAAACGTTTCATTAGTGTCGCTGAAACTTTGATGTGATGCGCTAATTCGAGACTGTTGTGGAAGTGTAAAAATGAAGATAATAAACCATTCAATCGATTAAAATTTATCATTATTAATAAATTAAAGAGGATTAGTTAAGTCGAAATTTTAGAATTCCCACAAAAATTCCAAGTATTTCATGCTCAAAAATACGAATGAAAAAAAGTTATAAATGAAAACTGTTAGAATTTAATGAATGTTAATCAAAAGTAGGAAATTCAGTATATTTTTCTTTTTTCTTTTACCTGACTTTTGACAAGTTTTACTTTGAATTCCTGATACAAACAAGACAATTTATTACATAAAGTTTTAGTTGTATTCGTCTATCTATAATAACATCTTTAATATCTAAATAAAAAATTAACTTTGATCCCAAATGCATTGGTAAACCTTTGAACATTGTAAAATCTCTAGCCTACTAAAACCTTTTTTTTTTTTAAGCTCTAAATAGAAATTCCTACCTCGCGTTGTTGATAAACAGAGTCCCGAAAACTGAAGAATGATGATTCAGATGTATCTCTCGGCACTTCTGCTAAGATTGTAAAGGGAACGAAGGAAATAAATCGCTTATTAGGCCAATTGATTATAGATAATCGAAAGTTTTACATACGAAATGCGTAACTGGTAACTTCGAGAGCTTGAATCTTATTTTTAAGGCTAGTTATTTCGTCCTCTTTCTTTTGAAGAACTGACTTCTTATCTTTTAATTCCCTAATTAATCGTGAAAGAAAATAGCAGAAGAGATGATGATAAAAACATTTTGCTATCTTATATAATAAATGATAATTCAAATCGAAAGATAACTTACTTTTCGCGCTCCAATAATTCTTTGCGAGTATCTTGTAGTTCTTTCGACATTTCTTCCTTTTGCCTTATTTCGGCTCTTAAACTTGCTTGACATTCTAAAAGTGAGCTTTTATCAACCCTTTGAGATCGTCTATTTTTCAGAGTGTTCGTATGATCCTTAAATAAATAAATGAGAGGAGAAAAAAAACAATTTATATTAAGCAGACGCCTTAGGTAATATAAATAAAAAGGGAGAAAATTAAGGAGTATTCTATTCCTCCATTAAAAAGGATAAATTATTAATGGTATAATTATCAATAATGATAGTATAAACTAACTGTAAGTGGGCCTGCAGATCCCTTTATTTGTTCTAATTCTTCAGCAACCTTTGAGGCCACGGCTTGAAGGTAACCTCGTGATACTTTCTCTTCCGATACCCATTGAGTTAATTCAATAAACTGACTTTCCCAATGAGATATTTGAGCGTCTTTTTGTTCGAGATCTCTCTTAAGTACCCTATTTTCTTCTTCGGCTTTCTGTATGGTATTTTCGACCTATAAAAAAGGAAGAAAACTCGGTTAGAAAAATACATTCGTTTGTTTACACGTGTTGTATACAGTACTAAATTCAATTTGTGTTCGCTTTCCCAGCATCTCTTCTCCAGTTTAATCTTAACCTCCTCACCCTCCTTTCTAATCCGATCAATTTCCAACGCATGCTTTCCCATTAACTCTGCATGGCTCTGCTTCAACTTTTCTCCGTTATTCGTCAATTCGACAAGTAAATTGCTTATCTCATCGATCTTATCCTCGAGAATCTTAACTTCCTGTTGATGATCAGATTTCATGCGGGATATCTCTTCTTCGTGATTCTTAAGAAGACTGTCTATTTCTTTGCTAAAGGAGAAAAAAGGAAATCGTTAGTTTGTAATGATTTTCAAGAGGATTATACGAAATTGTGATAATGAAGATAAATGGATTATAGATAAAACTAACCGTGATATTTCACTTTCTGATGTTCCATTATTGGAGACAATTCTACCACTGGAGTCATTTATTACATCTCTATACAACTTTTCTAATCTTTCTTTATCACTCTTTGCATTACTTCCCTCTTTTAGAGCTTCTTTCAAATCATATTGCATCTAAAAATATCATAAAAGTTTTAATTGCAATTGTATTAGAGTTTTAATTGAAATGAATAAAACCTGTCTACTGTTTTTCTCAAGTACTCTTAATTCGCTCTTCGTTTCCTCATATTTGCTAATAGCTTCTTCCATTTCTTTCAAGTTTATTTCATATTGCTTCAATAATCTTTTATTATCAACCTCTAAACTGGTCACTCTATTAAATAATGCAAAAAGTATATATAGTACTCTTTTTATAGTGATAAAATTTATTATCAACTTACTGCTCTGTGACTTTCTTCCATTGATTCAAGGATAAGTCTTTTTGCATATTAGCTTCTCTCAATTCTTTTGCTTGAACTTTTAGTCTCTCTTCAAGACTTCGTCTGTCCTATAAAGTATTAGCGATATTAGTATTATTATTATCTTCTTATACAATAATTAAGATCATATACGTTTTCGGCATCAGCTCGTAGGTTCTCTGCTTTAATTTTACTTATCTCCATATCCTTAACTTTCCTTTGGCTTATTTCTTTATAATCACTTAATTCAAATTTTGAATCTTCTAGTTCTAACTTGATATCTATTACAGAAAAATGAATGCATATTTATAAAAATATGAATATTTATGTTATAAAGATAATAGTAATAAATTAATATATAAATCTTACTTTCGTATATCTCTTTTAACTTTTCTTTTTCCTCTCTTTCTCTTTGTAAATCTAATTGTAAAGTTGATATATTTGAAGCATCTGACATATCTTGAGTTTCTCCGAATGCCTTTAAAAAGGGAAGTTAATAAAACACCTATACTAAGTGACAATCTACCTGTCTTTGCAAGAGATTTCTCGTGTCAGCCAACTTTTTTACAAGTTCATTTTTTTCAATAGTAAGCTTCTGAATTCTTTTATCTTTAGCTTGAAGCGTAATTGATTCTTTCTCAGGAGTCGTTGGCGCCTGTGTTGGCTCCTCTGATAATGAATTTAAGCATCCCAAATCAGAAAAAATTCTAAAATAGAATAAAATTTCGTTGAAAATGTTGACAATAAAAAAGAATTGTCTACAATAATACAAACAAGTTTTTAGAATAAGTAAAACCAATAAAAGGTAAATGGTGACCAGTAAACGTATTTTCCCCTGAAGGTCTTCTTGACTCCTGGAAAGAGAAGTTTATCATAGTTTTTATTTTTTTATAAGAAAATATAGGTTAAAAGTAAAAGCTACCTGGGGCGGATTATAATCACTATCGTCGAAACTAAAATTTGATGTATCAGCATCACCCGAAACTTCTGGTATATAGGGTGCTGGTTCTAGAGTGGTAATAAAAATATGGGTAGTGATTGGTAAATTTCTAATACATTGTGAAATATATAATGAAATTATGCTTACGATCTCTTATACGTTCCCAGTCAATGCCCTTGAAGAAAGGATGACTTTGAAAATCACTAATTCCGCTACTTCCGAAGCGGATATTAGCTGGGGCTATTAGACCCCTAATAAGATTCTTTGCCTCATCTGATATTTCCACCTCATCGTCGGGAAATATCAAATGAGACTCATGATTCATTATCTTTCCATAGGTTTCCACAAGTGATTCCGCATAAAATGGGGCATAACCTATTAATAATTCATACATGCATACGCCCAGTGACCACCAATCGCATTCTTTTCCATAACTTCCTTTCTCTTTATCTTTTTCCATCGCCTGTAATAAACTTTTATATTGTTTCTATTTATAAGAAAAAAGCTTAACATAAACAAATACACAAGCATTTTGATATTTTCAGTATAAACCCAATAAAATGTTATCTGTTTATCTTGAATAAACGGTTTATTTATCGAATCTGTACTCGGATATCCTCTAGACTTTCTACTTTCAATCTAATATCTTTATTTATAAGTCTTTCATCACCTTATCAATTAGAAGCCGCAATATTATCAATAAAATTAGATAATAAAAATAGATCACTTGCGTAAAAGATAATGGTTTGACAGAACAAAAATGTTTACCATTAAAATCTCTGGAGATATATAATCCGGCGTTCCAACTGATACGGAAGAATTAACCGTTCCATCATCTCTTAATTTTAAGCAAGAGCCAAAGTCAGCTAAGACGATATGACCGGTTCTATCAATTAGAACATTATCAGGCTTTATATCCCGATGAACATATCTTAGATTATGCAAAGAGTTAATAGCCAACACAATTTCCGCTATATAAAATCTGATAGAAAATGTAAGGTAAGAAATTAATAATTAACTAAATAATGAAAAAAAGGAATTACCTCGTTACATCTTCCGGTACTCTTTCTTCGGGATATTTTAGAATAAGAGTTAATAGATCACCACCGCAATAGTAATCCATTAGTAAATACTGTAGAGGAGGTGTTACGTAAAAATTAATTAATTATTTCGTTGGAAATGAGGAATAATCATACCAGGTTTTCATCATCTTGGAAAGCGTAATGAAGTCTTGTAATCCATCTTCGATCTCCGTGAACAAGAACATCGCGTTCTTCTTGAAATCGAGCCGTCTGTAAAAGGAATTGAAAAATTTGAGAAGAAGAAAAAGTAGAGCACGATTCAATCGCAAAATAAAACAAGACGAAAGGTAAGACTCGTAGATAAAAGCATACTATCGCAATCAGTAAACATAGCACAACCGTTTGAAAATTTTGAGTAGAACTAATAACATAGTCTTTTCAATTCTATGGATAATTTTACTTATTTCCTTTCTTATTTAATGGAGAATTTTAGTTGAAGAGATAAAATCATCGAATTAATGGTAGAGATAGCAATAACATGACGGGTGAGATATTTATGTCGAAAAGAGAAGAAAAGAGAGCTGGACCAAAAAAGAACATTTAATCAAAGGAAGGAAATATCCCAAGCTTTGTCGTAATAATAATAAAAACAGCCTAATACGGTGTAATGCTTTTAAATAATTACATATATACAAGTTAGGGGAGAAAATAAACAATAGAGTAAAGAAAAAACACTGATTTTTATCAAAAGCAACCTCCTACACCTGGCCGCCACTGGCAGTTTCTCAGCTCTCCGATTTCTATCTGAGAATTGGGAAGGAAAAGGGGGAAAATACATATGGAAAAGTTACATACCTCTGCTCTCTTTTGCATTTCCCATTTATTCAATATCTTCATAGCGTAGACATCTTCAGTATCCTTTTGCTTAACGACCGAAACCTAAATTATAGATAAGCATTATAAGTAATGAATAAGACATGACATCTCCTAAGTGTTATAAATGAGATTTTACCTCTCCAAAAGCTCCTCTTCCTATTACTTTTAGCGTTTCGAAATCGGTCCGTCGGATACGTAGATCTCTCACCTTGTTAACAACAGGTTGAGCTATTAGAAAGAAAAAACAAGAAGTTTAAAAATGATATTCTTCTTTTTTCAACAAACTAATGAGATCAAAAGTAAAAGTGACATTCTTTTAAGCGAAATTAATAATCACTTCCACGTTTTTCTAATCTCTCATAAAAGCAATTTTTGTTTTATTGTGACAAGACACGTTGTAAAAAACTGAATAAATTATATATATATATATATATATATATATATTTGTATATTAGTGTTCAATGTTAGCAAAACGAAAAAAAAATTTATAAATTCATACCAATTAATCAAGTTAGGCAAGAGGACACAAATTATTAATGAATTAAAGGGAGTAATAAATTGTGGAGTAAGCAATTTTCTTTACTAGCTCCACGGCAATAAATTCGCTTAGAAAAAATATGTGAAAACAGTATATTTATTTGTTTATCGTGTACGAATAACCTTCAGGTAAAGTAGAATAAAAGGAATTTTTTTCTCTTATTTTAGAAGATAGAATTTTTTTTAACTTTGTAACAAATAAATAAATGCAAACTTCATACGTATGATGATTTATTATAGAAGGTAACATATTTTGAATACCATACTTTTTACTGCTTTTTTTTGTTAGTCAGGCTTAGTGTAACGGCAAATAGAAGGGCAAAAAAGCAGTGAAATATTTAGCATTCATTCGAATACAAGACATTGTTTTGGGACCTTTAAAATTTGAAGATACACACATGTAAATAGGGTGTGGCCTTTTGAAAGCTGCGGTCTAATGTTAGAAAGGTTAAGCAAAGACTTTTATTTTATGTAACTGATAATACTTTCAATTCTGTGTCCGAAATTCAACGGATTACATTAAATACATATAATAATACGTTATGTATTTCGTTGCATTTGCCTAAAATTTAGAAAATAGTGTATTGGAATATTTCTTGTCCGTAGGATAATTCCATAAGATAAGAATAATTGTGATGTATACGAAAATAAAACATGCTCATAATTATAGTCATGACCGTGACAAACAAGACGGCAAGATGTGACATTTTCACCATCTGTCGCTAGGTTTGTTAATAGCCAAATTTTTGCAACAAAGAAGAAATTAAGAATTTTTAGTGGATAAGTAAAATACCCTTCAATATAACATAACTTTTGTTAATGCTATGATTGATAAATAATTGTAGTAAAGTGACTAATCAAAAATGTAAGAAAATCGATTAATCACGTTTTTTTGAGGGGGGGAAAGAAATTACTTAAACCTTTGTTTTCTTACAATTGTCAACTATAAAAGCTTTCTAAAAAATGGCAAAAATAGCACTAACTAAACACCTGCTGGACCTTTAAGCGTAATATTATACAATTTAATCATACGATATCTTAAGAATAATATACTGAATCAGTGACCGTTACTCTTCTTTATCACGAATCAGAAATGAATCTTTACTTACCAAACTTTACGAAATCATTTACAATCTTCTCCCGTCTCAATGACGAGTTTACGCACTCATCGTATAAAAGTAGAAATGCATCTAAAAGTGTTTCCAAACTTAAAACTGTGCCATCACTATCCGCAGGACCTTGCAAATATATCCTTTCGAATTCACGTATCCTCTTTTCAATATCTCCGTTACGTTGAATGATTTTATTCATTTTTAAAAGTTTTTATAAATTTTATAAAGACCAATTAACAATGGTTTATAATGTAAACAAACGAAGAATTCCACGATTCTGTGGCATAAATAAACTAGTTACATTCTACATAAAATCCCATTCAATAGGTGATCAAGGGAATACTCTGAAGTCTGTTTTGAAGTAAACTGCAAATCTGGATAGAACACAGCGCCATTTTAAACATAATAGTAGTTCGGCACCAAATTTTTAATTTTATAGAATAAAAGCTGGAATATACGAGAAAATATTTGATTCAAAAATTCAATTTTATTTCAAATGATATATAATATAGCCTTTTAAAACATAATACTTTATTTAAAGAAAAATACGAAAATTTTTAGACCGGAAATGAACTATTGTAATAGTTTTAGCCTACACCCCTAAGTATTCGGCAAACTTTCTAAGAGTCAATATTCAATATTTACAATATCCACGTGAATGCAAAGAATTCTAATGATTTAACTCAATTACTGTTAGAGATATAGACGTATTTTCATTTGAAAGATATACTTTAGAATGACTAATGCTATCGAATTAAAAAAAAAATTTATTTATATATTTAATGTCTATTTTTTTTAAATTCAATGAGCCTAGAAAACATTAAGACTATTTCTCCTCAAATTATATGATACATTATAATATCGAGTGTATATATAAAAAGAAAGAACCTATCCAGGGATCGTTGTCAAAAATTTAAATAACTATATTTACAACTGTTCGACAATTAAGCAATATTGAATAAAATAAAACACTAAATATAGATTTCTCTTTTATTTCTTATACAAATATAAAAACTTAATGAATTTTAACAATATTTTATTCTTTTTCGTTTAAACACAAAACATTTTATACTAAATTGAAAGTTTTTTTGATAAAAAACGTTAAGTTTTTAACAATTTAAAACAGTCTAATGAATATTATTAACAATTGTCATTTTCGTACTTGTTTTAATAGGGGGGAAAAAAGAACAAATTTTGCTTTTAGAAGCGTTTTATCATTCATAAATTATATATTAATACTTAATACTTCACTAAACGGAAAAAGAATTTGTAAATATTAAACATTACGTAAAATAATGTGAAAGTTAACAAACTTTCAAAAAGATAGTTTATCATTTCTAGTTTCTATTAACAAATTAATTTAATGAGTTAAGGTTGTTGTTTTTTAATTTATACATTTAGTAATTCCTTTTCATGTTGTATCGGTTATTATTTAAATATTCCCGTTTATCTAGTTTTAGATTCATATTGTTAACTCGAATACAATTAAATAGACCTAGTTAACCCCCTCTTCTCATTTTTTCATAACGCATGCGCATTAACTTATTGTCAACCTTTAAGTAACAACCCTTACTTCGTCTGCTAATTTGAACACAAAATGGTCGCAACAAGAGAATCCGAAAAGTAAGTTAAACATGAAATTCTAAAATGAACATTCTATAATTTATTCAAAAACGACAACGTAAATATCAATATTATTATAAGCATTTGTAAAAATATGAGTATAATACTTAATTACCATAAATATTTTAAGCCTATTATTGAACTGGAAAAAACTTCAGCATATATCCCTTTAAGTATAGAAAAGAGATTCTGGAGATAATAGCCTTAATGAATACAGAATCTAACTAAACAAGATAACAGATAAAAACTTATAAATGCAATACTTTTCATATTAAAGAAGAAGGAAACTAAATGAACTTATATAATAAAAGTTCGAAATTTAGTACATTTAACGTTTTTCTCCTTGTCATACTTGTCTTCCATATTTCATTGTCCACTTTTTCTTCCCTACAATTACTTGGAGATTTAATTAAATTTTAATTCTTTTCTTTCCTTCCAGGGCTGACATTGCCCTAATTGGATTGGCTGTTATGGGCCAAAATTTAATTCTGAATATGAATGATCGCGGTTTTGTTGTAAGTTCCTATTCAATATTTAATACTAATTATATGGCCCCACTTGACACACATTTGCTAAAAATAAAAATAGTAATTTGTCCATGAATTATACATAGGTATGCGCGTACAATAGAACTGTTGAAAAGGTTGATAAATTTTTGTCTAATGAGGCAAAAGGGACGAAAGTAATTGGGGCTAAATCTTTAGAGGTAATAACAATCTTATGAGTATTCAATGATGGATGTCCTTTTATCCTTTTGTCTAATTGTCACAAGGATATGGTAAAAAAGCTAAAGAAACCTAGAAAAGTTATGATGCTTGTTAAAGCCGGATCAGCTGTTGATGATTTTATAGAGAAATTAGTATGTCATTTCGTTCATCTTCTTCGCTTACTAATTGATTCCCTCTTCGTATTCTCTTAGATACCGCTTCTCGAGAAAGGAGATATTATCATTGACGGTGGAAATTCAGAGTATAACGATTCTATTGTAAGAGTTTTTATAGTTGTTAAAATACTTTATAAATCATCGAACGTTTTGAAGAAAGCATTAATTTTTTTTATCTTTTCATATTCTTAACATGTATAGAGAAGATCTCAATACTTAGAGAAGAAAGGTTTACTGTTTGTTGGAAGTGGTGTGAGTGGAGGAGAGGATGGCGCTCGTTATGGTCCATCACTAATGCCCGGTGGATCTGAGCAAGCTTGGTTAAATTTATTTACATATGTTTTTTTTTTATAATCGTAAAAATCTTTCCGTTCATAGGCCTCATATCAAGGATATTTTCCAATCTATTTGCGCTAGAGTCGATCAGGAACCCTGTTGCGATTGGGTTGGAGAACAAGGGGCGGGTCATTTTGTAAAGATGGTACACAATGGTATTGAATACGGTGATATGCAATTAATTTGCGAGGCCTATGATCTCTTAAAATCTTCATTGGGGATGCCAAGCGACGAAATAGGAAAGGTTTTTGAGAAATGGAATAAAACAGAATTAGATTCATTTCTTATGGAAATAACAGCTGAAATACTTCAATTTAGGGATAGTAAAGGTGAAATTTTGGTGGAAAAAATTCGGGACAAAGCAGGTCAAAAAGGTACTGGAAAATGGACTGGTATAACAGCTTTAGATTGCGGTGTTCCGCTCACTCTTATCGGTAGGTTAGAATTGATTTCATTCTAGGTCTTCACATTTTTCAATATATTTCAATCGGTAGCCGAGGCCGTTTTTGCCAGGTGCCTCTCCTCCTTGAAGGATGAAAGAGTTGAAGCAAGCAAACAGTTACATGGACCTAACAATAATTATACAGGCGATAAGGGAGCATTTATTGAGGATGTGAGAAAGGTAATCAGGAATGATAAATGATCATTAGAAAAAAACAAACTGTATTTTGATAACATTTTCAGGCCCTATATGCTTCAAAAATTATTTCCTACGCCCAGGGTTTTATGCTAATGAGGCAAGTTGCCAAAGATCAAAATTGGAGATTAAATATGGGCGGAATAGCATTAATGTGGAGGGGTGGATGCATAATTAGAAGGTGATTTTAATACCTTATTGAAACGATAATAATAGAAATGTCGAGCTATCCATTTTAGCGTTTTCCTTGGAGACATCAAAAGAGCTTTTGATAGCAATCCCAACCTTCAAAATTTAATACTAGACGATTTCTTTAAGGATGCATTACATGCATGCCAGGTTAGCTTATGTCTTTTATATAAGCTTTTTGACACGATTTTCGTAAAAAAAAAAATACCTTTTATTAGTCATCATGGCGTAAAGTTGTAAGTACTGCAGCTATATTGGGTATTCCAACTCCAGCCTTTAGTACTGCATTAGCGTTTTTTGATGGTTACAGAAATAGTCGGCTACCAGCCAATTTAATTCAGGTAAAGTTTTTTTATCTGATTTTTATATTCATTAAGGCTTTTTGAAATGTTATTTTTTTTAGGCTCAAAGAGATTATTTCGGAGCGCATACATACGAACTGTTATCAACGCCAGGCCAATTTATTCATACAAACTGGACTGGGCACGGTGGAAAGATTTCATCATCAACCTACAATGCTTAAAAAAGTTAATCCAATAACAAAGAATTTTTTTTTTAGTAGCTCAGAGTAACTTAACAATATAGTTTGACAGTGAATTAACGTCTGCACTCTTGACTATTTCAATTACAATGAAGAAGTTTAATTGTAGTTACTGCTTGAAACTATATTTACACAAATAATTTCTTTTTCCTGATTGTAAAGAAAGTAACCTTATATTTACTTAAATATAAAATTATTTCTTTTTTGATAACGTCCTCTGCTTTTCAGCAAATTGAACTAATTGTTCATCAGTTTTCAATCCTTTTCTTTTCCTTACTCGATTCATATAATTTCTTGCCAGATTTTCGCTATCTGCTTTATCACCGAAATGCATGTATTCTTCCTCAGTTGTTGGAACCCAGTTGGGATCCATTTCAAGAGCCTCCCAATGACTAAACCGAAGTTGAGGCAAAGCTGAACCGGATGTTTTCTTTCGTATCTCCTCAGCAAATCCGAAAGATTCAACAACTGGCAATAGAGCGTTCACTTGAAAGACATCGGTTCCCTCTTTCATATCATCGGATAAGATTCTACCATATCTCTTAGACAGTACTCCGTACATTTTTCCAAGTGCCTCTGCAGAACATAATATTGAACACTCGTACATGGCCACCATTAACCTTTGCGGCTGAATTTCAAATGCTTTCCTGAAAACATTTCTCATAGCAGTCATAACTCGACCAGCCGAGTATTTATCTTCAACTATTTCCCATTCTTCAACAATAAACGCTACACCATGCATGGGTTCACCACACAATGGTCCCGCAGATGTTGCCATCTCAAAACCCGAAACTATCGAATTATCGTAATCTCTCAATTTAGAAACCTTTCCAGCAAATACTGATTCTCTTTCATAGTTTGAAATTTTGTTAAACAGAATATTTGGACCGCATTTGCGTGGGCCAAAAGCCCAAATATTATTGCAATTGAAACCTTCTTCTTTCAACGACCCATCTAATGAGGATTTGACACTTTCTATAACTTCAGCGCTGGTCTTTCCTGAGTTTAATAATCGAAGAACATTTCTCTTCTCTTCTAGAATCTGAACAGTTTTTAATTCTAGGGGCTTAGCCCTCACTGTTACGGTAAAAAATTCATCCGAATACGTTACTCGGTCGTTAGAAATAACAATTTTTTCTTCGGGTTCGTCATTTCCCGAATCATTATCTTCTTTTTTAAGTTCTGATTCAGTTTTGAGTACACTTTTCTTTTGATCTTTCAATGATTCGTTAACCATGTCAATTTCAGGTGGAATAACAATAGTTTCTCTAAATGGTACTATTGGAGAAGAAACGGTAACTTTTATCTTTGCGTATTTATTTTCAAGATCATCGATACATTTCCGAAGGTGAACTTCTCCTGCGGTTAACAATAGATTTTCTCCCGTCGACTCGTGAATTACTTGAATACAAGAATCCGATTGCTCTAAAAGTTTAAGGCCACTAATCATTTTTGACATATCGTAAGGGTTTTCTGGTTCAATAGCAACTCTCACGATAGGTGGAGATTCTGCGTATACTTCGGTAAATGCCGGACAGAACGGTGTTGAAGAAATAGTAGCACTTTTAATAATACTATCACTTAAACCGGCTATACCAAATACACTCCCAGCTTTAGCTTCACTAAGGTTTTCAAGTTCCCTTCCCATTAACAAATATAAATTTCCAACTTTTACTTTAGGTATTCCACTAAAATCTTCTGTACCTACTTGAGGGTTATGTCTAGGTCCTAATACCAGTACTTCATCTCCTTTACGAAGAGTTCCACTATAAATTCTAGCAAAAGCAATAAATTCCTCGTCCAGTTCAACATCTGGAATTGTTTGCGATTCATTATTCGTTTCCTCTTTATTAGTATTATTAGTTTCTCCTTTCTGACTTTCAATTCCGATAGTTTGCGATTCCAGTTTATTTAATAATCCTTCCATGTGCCTTTTTCTTGCGGCTTCTCTTTTAGCAGCAATTTCTTCGGTAGTCAAAAGTCTAATATTTAATTAATTAAGTTAGTGAATTACTAATAATATTGTAAATACTTTAGTATATTTACCGTGGTTTATTTTCTGGTAGAAATTTCTTTTCTATTGGTACGATCTTTGAAACAAAAACTATTAACGGTGCAGTTTTCTCGTTTGAAGAACAAGAAATAAGATCTATTAAAATTAAATATAGTTAACATATTAATATTTATAAAAAAAGAAACAGTTTCAACCGTTGTAAAGAAGCTTCGTTTCTGGTAGAAGGCAATCAAAGGATTTATTATAACCAGCGAGAAAATTTTTTATCCTCTCCGGTACTAATTGAAGAGGACTCGGTAGTTTTTCTACAGTCATTCCTGTCAAAAAATAGTTTTTTATGGCATTAACGATAAGTTTCTTTCAAAAATAAAAAGTAGACGTTTTACTTAGCACAGCTCTTGAAATAGGTAGCCAAGCAGATAGTATGGCGTTAAGTTTTATTTTACAATCTTTATGGTTAGCCTCTCTTGTATTAACTTTTAAATTCAACGATTTAATAACTTTCTCAACCAATTCTTGATCTCTATAAATAAAAAATGTTATTTTAAACATAATACAATAGATAAGAATAAGTTTCGTATTTACTTTTTAACTAAAACTGCTTCGTAAATGGTCCACAAATTATCTAAAACCACTTGAACAAACATCGGCTTTTTTCCTTTAGTTATGGCACCTTTTTTTATTGTTTTTGTCTTTGAATCGAAATAATAATCTCCCCATAAAGTTTTAAGAAGTGCATTCTTATTCATTCCTAATTTTTTTGATAGTACTTCGGTAAACTCAAAGATACTGTTAAATTACATAGTTAGATAGATAAGAGATTATTTTTATGCTTATAAAGTATTTAACCTAAATCCCCATGTATCAGTTGCACTAGCAAAAATTACGTTTCCTTTTTCTGGACCAAAATATATATTTTCATCGTCTACATCTTCTAATCCTGAACTCCAATCGAATACGCCATCTTTCGAGTTGCCATTGGATAATTGAGCTTTTTCCATAACGTTCGAGGCAAATAATTGACCAACGATAGCATTTACGTTCTCTAATATTCGTTTTAGTCTTCCGTATGCTTCCATTGGTGACATTTTCAATTCTGTGATAAGCCTATCAATCTTATTTAAAACGAGTATAGGGGTAATCTTCTCTATATAAGCCTTCAAAAAATATCACAAAAAAACCAAGTTTAATTAACTGAAAAGTAAATGAAAGGGTTTTCTTACTTGACGTAAAACGGCCGTTGTTTGAGGACAAACTCCTTCAACAACGTCAACTATAAGAATAGCTCCATCACATAGTCTAATAGCAGTTGAAACTTCACTGGAAAAGTCTATATGACCAGGAGAATCTATGATGTTTATTAAGTATTTATCACTACTAGCTTCTTCAGTTTCAGAGAAACATAAAGAAATTGAGCTAGATTTCATAGTTATTCCCCTAATCTGTTCATCTTCTCTACTATCCATATATCGTAACTAAACATTTTTTAAAACCTTTATTAATAAATATCAATAATTCTGATTTACATTTATATTTATACAAACCTTGCCAGCCATTCTTGATGATATAATTCCATTACTAGCAATTAAAGTATCAACTAGAGTAGTCTTTCCATGATCAACGTGTGCCAAAACACACAAATTTCTTATTCTTTCCGGGTTATCTTGTAATCTTTCCAGTTGTGCCCCAGTTAGTTGCCTCATTTTGAAGCTAATGAAAAGAATTGAATGTAATCGTTTCTTTATCAACGTTTAAATACAGATCATAATATAAATCTATCCAAATTCTCAATAAAAATTAGAAAATTGGCAAAGATTATGTAATACATCTATAAAATCGAAACAGAATGTAGAATAAATTTAATACGAATTTAAAAAACCACATAAAAATAAGTTCATTTAATACAATAATAATATAATAATAAAACATCTTACTAGTTGAATTATGATAAATTACGAAGTTAATTAAAGAGAAGTTGAGTGGTCAGTTTGAGTTGAGAATATATATATCGAAGAGGCTCTAAGAAAAAAATGATTGCGAAACATGCGCTCAACAACTTGTGAAATAGCAGTCTCCTGCTATGAACACAAAAACTGGCCAGATGAAATATGTTCACTGAATTTCTGTTTAATACTTCAATTTTCGTATTTAATATTTACTATAACAGGTTTTTCTTTAATAGTATGCCGCTCTGTTAGCGAACAAAGAGAGAACTGGTTTGTGGTCACGTGACTGCACAATTACTGCTGAAAAGCGGTTTGATCGCCTGCTACAATTCCCGTCTTTAGCATATGGTGCAGCAATCTCAAAAAGAGCGGAGACATAAAATATTCACATAAGGAAGAAGCACAATTTTACTAAGTCTTTAGTATAATCAAAAAAAGCTATTTGCTGTTTGCCTTTCTATGGTCACAAAAATGGTTAAATTCAATATTTTCAACGTGCTTTTTGTTTTCGTGTTTGCTCTTTCTATCATGATTTCAAGTAATCAAAAAGTTGAAAATCATCGATTTGAAATAACTCAATTAAAGACGAAAACAGAGTATAAAAATTTCATACAACAAAGCCTGACTACTGTTTTATATGTCCTAGTAAATTCTGGTAAGTATAGAAATAGAATACAGGTGATTTTAAATATAATAAAATGCTTCAAAGATAATATCGAAGCTGACTTAAATATTCTAAACGAAAGATTCTCCGAAGCTATTCAAGAGCTAAATAATTTCAAAGCTGATTTTGCAGTTGTACGTAAAAATTGATTGCAAATGCTTTAATTTCTTTTTTCATTTATCATTTAATTAATTAAAAAATGTTTAATATTTCATAAAGTTAATATGTAAAGAAGCTAAAGTAGCACTTTGTTCAAAAAAAACTGAAAACTTCTTTCAAACCTTTGAGTAAGTTTATTAAAAATTCATTTCAATGTTACTATTGAAAATTCATCTCAATATTACTATTGAAAATGATTTGCTATCCCTCTTTAGCGATGGAAGCAAATTGTTAGAGTTTATGTCGGCCGATATCTTCGATTATAATTCTCTTTTAGCCCATACTTTACAGTTTGTATTTTTTTAAATATATTTTAATAATTGATAATTAATTAATTAACTATTTCTTCAAAAATACTCTAGGTTAGTTCTTCTAGAAAAAGTACCAATTGTACAGAGTAGTGAAGAATTAGAAAAGATTCAAAATTTTTCTCCGGATAAAGATTCTGTTCTTGTTTATTTAAGTAAAATTGGAACTTTCGATCATTTACTCTTTCTTAAAGCTGCTTATGAATTTATTGATAAACCATTGAGATTTATTGCCACTACAACTCCCTCTGTTGTTTATAAATTGCAAGATAGCGATAGATCGAGTACTCAATTATACTTTTTTCAATGTATACACAAAGATTGCGTTGAATCTAGAGTCTTCTTGAGCTTACAATACTTGTCAAGCTTTTGCCAAAGAGTTTTGGATGATCATGAAATGAACTATGTAAGAAGTATCCCATCTCTATGATCCATAATCCTGATTCTCAATTCTTAATCCATTTAGCTTGATACTAAAGATTCACTTCACGAAACAATGACACCTTATGATCCATCGATGTACCATATTCTTCTTATCTATAGCTCAGATGTTGGAGAACAAAAAGCCCAAATATCACAATTGGGAAAGGCTCTAGAAGAACGATTTTACGGCCAAGTTACACTCTACGTTCATGATAGGTAGGATTATTTTAACCTCGATTTAAACCGTTTGACAATTAGTTTCTATTTCTAGCTCAAAGCGAACAGTATACGACTTTGGTTTAGAAATTGACGATTCGAATTTTCCTAAGCCTTGCCTTGTTTTTCCCGGAGATGATGTATTAATCACATACACAAAATTTAACCGAGTCGTTTAATTGAATGATTAAAATCACTAGGTTGAATACGATAAATTATGCTTCAACGATCAATTCGACCACGACGATGCATTTCTAGAGTGTATTGGTTTTATTAAAGAAGTTTATCTAAAAATTCATAAATACGACGACCTTGAACAAAAACTTCAAAGGCGTCCCGAAACTGACGAAGGTTAAACAATATTGTATAAAATATAGAAGAAAAACCCTATGCAATATCTTATCTAATAATTAAAATTTTAATAGATAAATTAGCTAAAGAGGTTGTGACTGAAGATGATCCAATTATGTTGGAATTGAAAGAACTAGAGAAAACTGATCCTATTGATAAATCAAGTTTACTTGTTTTAACAAGGAAGACTTTCTACGAGCTGAAACAAGAAAGCGACTTTCTAGTAGTACTCTTCTTCTTAGAAGGTACAATATTTTATACTGAAAATATATTGATAGGTCTTTCTAATCTATTTATTAAAAAAATTATAGTTGATGTAAGGAGTAAAGCATCCCTCAGACACTATTCAAAAGCTGCAAAACAGATGAAATATCGAAAATTAGCTATAATCGATTGTTACGATTGGACATATACGTGCAGAGATGAGAAAATTACGTCATATCCACAAATAAGAATATATAGAAATCAAAAAGAAATTCAATATAAAGGTTCATTAACAGAAGAAGCCATATTACAAGCAGTTTATATGTAATTCTTATTTCTTTTTCTCCTATTTTTTGCAATAGTTTTACTAATTGAATTGAAAATATTTTAGGTATGGCATTAAAAGTCCTATGCGTTTAACGACGAGAGAAGAAGTTGACGAGTTTGCAATGGGACAACTACACAAATTTTCACACATATGTGTTCTAGGAATATTCAATAGCGATAATTCACCATACGTTGAAGAGTATAAATCTTTGGCTATTGAATATGAAAAGAATATATTATTTGCTTTTATCATTGAAAATAACAATGAGATGTTGGTTTTATTTAATTAGATATTTTATTCTGTTATTTTCTCTTATTACGTTTATTACTTTTGAAACACAGCTCTAAAGTATTTAATACTCAAAGTCCAGCCGTAATCGTATTTAATAGGAATGATGGATGGCGTAAAAGAATGATAATTAACAGATACGATATTGACGGTTCACTTAAGAAATTTATGATTAAAAACTTTCGAGATGCTGTACAGGAAATTACGATTACAAATTTTCCGGTTTTAAGATACGAAAAAAAACCTTTTTTGATACTCTTTACAAGAAACGAAAAGGCTAAATACGATAATGAGAAATTTAAGGCACTTGGTGATATTTCATTCTCCAATAAAGTTGATGAGATAATTATTTCATGGATGGATACGTTAGCTTCATTAAATTCTATTTAAATAAAATTTAGTATATTCTTTTCTATATTTATATTTTAACAGAAATCAGAAGTTATCGCAAAAAATACTATCAGCCTATCTAAATGGTAGCAAAGAAGAGTTCGACCAAGATAGCTCCTATTTATTCTACGTGGACTTTAATAAACAATTTGTTTATAGATATACTAGCGCAGTAAAGGAGGATCCATTAATTGAATGGCTAGGCAAAGTCAGACAAGAGTTGATTGAACCATATTGTATGAATTATTATAATTTTCATATGTATTGCTATTGTTAGGTTAAAGATTCTTTTTTTATTCATTTTTAAAGATACCATGACTAACAAGACATGGTTACCACTTCATCCAGGATTCGATTATCTTTCGATGATATTTAAGGAGAAGCGACAAGAATTATCACGTAATTAGAATGTTAATTAATAGTAATCGCTGTAAAGCTTATATTCTTATGAATATTCATAGAAACACTGGAGAGCATAAACTCAAAAAATCAAGATATCAATTACGACGAAATGCAACAAGAAGTTGCTCACCAAAATAACTTGGAAGAAATATCTCACAAACATACAGAGTTATAAAAAACGTTTTCATATTACTTAAATACAGAAAAGCTAACCATGCTTTTCCATTAGATACTCCTCTAACCTCTAACCAAGAAAAAAAGCTACTTTCCTCTCTTATCATATTAGAAGAGGACTCGGTAGTTTTTTCCTACAATTTTTATACATGTTTTTAGTTTAGTGTTAACTTTCTTTGAAAATTATAAAATTACTGCCAAACTTTACATCAGGTATGAATTGATAGAATCAAAGTTCTATTTGGTAAATCATTATCCCGCTGTTGTGTTAACCGTTAAATTTAATAAACCTATAAACTATAATTATGAATATAATAAACGTTATTTTCAATCTTTAAGAATAAAGAATATTTGAAAGTTCGTATTTACTTATTAATTAAAACCGAAAGTACCCTTTTTTCATCAATCAATTCTAGCTAAAAAAAGAACAAATTTTCCATGGAGGAAATTAGTTTATCAGCTAAGAATGTACTTAAAAAAAAGGCCTAGCTGACAATATTAGAATTTAAATACATGTAACAAATATGATCTATAAATGGGTATTTATGAATATTTTAAAACCTCTTAATCTTTAACCTTAATCGAAAAATGGGAAAGGGAGACGAGTGTTCCAGAAAAGAAACCGTGTCCATATATACAAGTATATACAAATAATTTTAACGAGAATAGATCAAACTAATGCATTTTTTTTTATAAGTAAATCAATAAATCTTTCCAAGGAGCATAAGGAATAAATAACAATACTCTTTTTTCATTTGTCTAAAAGATTTTGTATATATTTAAAGAAATTCTATCTGGGGAAACCAAAAGCGATTCAAGTATCAATACTCAACTGTAAACTCCCCCTACATCTTCGTTCTTTTTGTCTTTGTCTCTCCCGTTATCTAATTTCTGTCTTTCTGTCTCTCTTCCTCTCTTTTTGTCTCTCCATCTTCAAATTCAAACGTGTATGTTCTTTTGTTTCTATTCTTCCCTTAATCTAGCTCTCTTCATTGGAATTGAAAACCTATCATTTCTTTTTATATTAAGAGATTGATAACCTTAAATTAAGCTTCCTATTGGCAATCTCAAAAGTATTTTTAAACGCCTATAAAACGAAAAATTAGCTATCTTCTTAAGAAGAAGAGTATGTATCTTAAGAAGATAGATAATATATACCTTCTTAAGAAGAAAATCTCCATCAAAATTAGTCAAAATAAAGAAGAAAGACTTCTTAGAAAGGTAACATTTTTCTTCTCTGTTTTTTTATAATTCGATTACCATCTTAATTATACTAAATATCTATAAAATTGTACTCCTAACATTGATCACGTGATGTGGATATATTTTAATTAGGCCTTGTGAAACTTTTTATTGGCATAAGTAGAGTATTTATATTATAACAATTGTTTTTTGACATTGCAAATTTCCTATGTCTATTTTTTATGTAAGAATATATTACATAGGTACATATAAAATAACCTAATTTATGAATATTCATAAAAGGAAGTAGGCTTATAACCAAGAAATATTCTATAATACATGCTTTTCTCATCGTTCACTTCAGATAGAAATCTCGCTGTTTAAAAAAGAAAAAAAAGGACTAAAAAAAAAGTATAAAAAAGAAAGAAAGAAAAAATTTTATGCTAGAAATTATGTCTGAAAATAGTAAAATGCAGTTAACACCAATAGATATTATCAGGAAAAGTGCAGGTTATTTAGCTGGAGTTTGTGGAGGTAGATAGTAATATAAAAATTCTTTTATTCTTAATACGATAATTAACTCTCTAAGGATGTGCTGGATTAGTGTTTGGACATCCTTTTGATACTATTAAAGTACGACAACAGACCTTAGGAGGTAGTTGTGGTACAATAGCAAATTGCTTAAAAATATCACTTACCATTGAAGGAGTAAGAATTGAAAAATTTCGCTTTGCTTTTTCGTTTAATTTAATACTTTTCTCCAATCTTTCTATTCTGTTGACTTAGCCAAGAGGATTGTTTAAAGGATTAGCATTTCCGCTAGTGTCTGTTGGACTATTGAATGGTTTGTTTTTTGGAGTCTATGGGAACATAAGACCATTTGTTGGAAATACTTACTCCGATATGTTTATCGCTGGAGGAATAGCTGGAGCCGTTCAGGGAATACCCGGATGCACAATCGAATTAATAAAAGTTAAACTTCAGAGTCAAATGGGTTGGTAGAAATTTTAACAAGTTAAATCTTATAGTGTATTCTATCTATTTAATTAATTTTCAGGAGGTAAAAATCGTTATCAAGGACCATATGATTGTTTTCGTAAAATATATATGGAATACGGTATACGCGGCTGCTTTAAAGGACTGCCCGCTACAATTTGTAGAGAAGTGATTGGTTTCGGAATATATATTACAACATACGAGGCATTGTGCAAGTATGGAACACCAGAGGGACACCAACAAACTCCGATTAGAGTGATGCTAATTGCTGGAGGTTTGGGAGGAGTTTTTTCATGGATTGGAAATATACCAATGGATATAATTAAAAATCGTCTTCAAGCAGATGATATGAAATCTCCTACGTATAGAAACTCATGGCATTGTATAGTAGCCAGTTTTAAGAAAGACGGAGCAAGAGTATTTTGGAAAGGCTTACCGATTACCTGTATAAGAGCGTTTCCCGTAAATGCTGTAACATTTGCAGTTTATTCCCAATCGTTTGCAGCAATTCAAAGACTGTAGAAGATATATTAAGTTAGCTTTTTTATTATAAAGCTATGCGATAAAAAAAAATCTCATTGATTTATTAACCTTATTTTTGGACGAAGCGTTGTATTTATTATATATTTTCAACGTTCCAGAGTGTCCGTCGTATAAATTGCGGATATTCCGCAGCTAATTTGTTACTTTTTGCTGAAGAGGCACAATCATTAAGATCATTGTCGTTTCCATTCATATTTAGCGAAGAGTATTTATCTTTTTGTAAAAGATAATTAAAGACTATAATTACGATAGAATAAGTGATAAAAAAATTAATTATTTAAATAAATGAATGTTTATTAATAAAATAAACAAAAACAAACAAATTTATTGAAATAGTAGTTTTTATTTTTGTTTAAAAGTTTTATTATCTAAAAACTTAACCAGTCATTCATGTATTGGCAATTTGACGGTGAGATATCCCAATCTTCGTAACAGTCGTTAAATACCTTTAAATAATACGAAGATGTGATTAAACATATATTACATATATTATAAATAGCTATATGTATATCTTTTATCGTCTTATCTACTTACAGGACACACCCCACAAGGGGTTCTGACAAATCCAGATGTTGGAACAACGCTAACGACAGCCCTATATATTTTTAATTGGCTACCATCACCGTTTGGAACAACTGTAAATTCCACTTTACCATCATAGATAAGCGTATTCATAATAGTTTCGATATCTTCAACTTCCAATTTAACTTTACTAATACCTAATTCACAAATAAATTTCCATATTTCTGTTGACGATGCATAGGAAGCGTTACGTTTTGCTGTCGGTTCCAAATCTCCTTCTCTTGACTGCGCAAGCTAAAGAAGAATAAAAAATATATATTTTATTATTGATAATTATTCATTGGTCTACTTTTTGAATATAGTGTACCTTTTGTTGAAGAAATTTAAAACATTGTTGATTAAGAATATCAACAAATTCTGATTCAAAATCTTGATTACTATACCACGCTCCTCCTGTTAATGATCTATCAGGTTCAACATCGTACAACATGTAAACTTTTTTCTTCGCAGCCTATACAATTTAATACAGTTATTAAAAAATGTCTTGTACGTAAATAACTTTCAACTTTTTATACGTACATTAACGCAATTAACAGCCTTAATTAATTTTTTACTCTCTAACACTTTAAGTGTCTTTTGTACTTGAGACATTGGTAAACCACTTTTAAGACGTATATCTCTCATCCATATACCCATATTTTTGGATTCATCAATTAATTGATAAATTTGTTTTTCTTGATGATCACTTCCTTTGAGTTGATTGCTTAAAGTGCAACATTTTTTTATAACTTCCAATATATCAAATGTTAATAATTTTTATTTAGGTTACCTTGCCGCATCGGCTGTTTTTAATTTATACAACAGTTTATTACCAATTTTAATCAAATCCAGTTTTCCCTAGTTGAGATGAAATGATTGTTTGAAATAAATTACAATTTTATAAATTATACCATTGAAAGAAGTCGATTAACAGCCATAACTCTTTGAGTAGCATCGCATTGAGGCATTGTATTTTGAATAATTGCATCGTTAATTCCGTCTGGTATAGATTCACATAATTGCAGGATTCTACAAGAAGTTTTTAAAACAAACTTTAAGCGCTTGTTCGAGCGATAATAAAATAGAGTAACCTTGCTTCTAAATCTACAGCACTTTCTGGTTCTGTTTTTATTTTTGTTACAACTTCAGAGTCTTCCTTTGACACTTCGGCCATTCCGCAAATGTAAAATGTTAATATCTCTTAGAAATAATGAGTTAAAGATTGCATAATTTTTCAGATATTACAGGACACTTCCAATTGGGAAGCTATTTCGTTTCGTCTACTATACGGAAAGTATTCCTATGGACTTCTTTCCCGCTTTATATTATAAAACTAAATTTCTATTTAATTTCAATAAAACGTTGTTTTAATACATCTATAGAGATATTATTAATAATCTATATATTAGATATATATGCATATAAGTCTAGTTGATAGAAAATACAATTGTATAAATTTCATAACTGATTTATTAACAAATAACAATCAGGTAGACAAAAGTTGCTTTTAAAAAAATGATATATCAATATATTTTCATTATATCGACACTTTGTCTGCAATACTGAGGTAATTTGGAATAATTACTAGCCCTTTAAACGAAAGCTAGCAATCATCATGTGCTAAATGCGTTTGTATTATTTTTTTTGTCCTATTATCAAAAATGTAAATAAAATGGAATCTTCGGATGATTTGTGTCATAAAAAGAAACACCAAGTTATTAGTGTAAATAGACAAAAAAATATATATACATACAATTGACTTAGATTGGAACATTACAAAAGTAAACACTACTACGTTGTGTAGATTCATATAACTTTCTCTATATCTAATCAATAATAATAAAAAATACGTATATAAGAAAATATAGTTGACTACATTTCAGTTGAACGATTCTTTGTTTAAGTCATCCATCTAGTGGTGGTCCCAAATAAACCATAGATACTTCTGTATTTCCATAAACGGCAGATATTGCTGGAAAGAAACTAACACCTTCTGGTAGCCCTTTAAATGCAACTCCTAAGAATTCATAATTTTTTTCAAAATGAACAGTTCTCTTTTCACAGTCTACCATTAATCTTATCCTATCTCCAACTTGATATTTTGGAGCATTGTTTAAAGCTGGATAGTTACCCTGAATTATACCGTTGTGTAGAATATGATTGTCAACTATATTCCAACCCCAGCTATTATTATCACTTCCTAAGAGAGGAATGTAGCCGTGGCATTGCATAACTGCTTGCTTTAAGGCTACTCCAACTACAGCAACTGTTCCTAAGGGTCCTGTAAAGTAGTTAAATACATCAAGATATTATCTTATATATTAATGTTAAATAAATATTAAATAAAGTATTGCATAATCTAAGAAGCTTCCCCCCTTACCTTCCCACCAAATTTCCCAGCAATGTCGACCATAGGTGGCTCCAAATTTACCCCTACACCCGTCTGTACTCTGAGCAACAGGATTTCTATGTATTGTAAAATTATTGGCTTTTACATACATATTCCTAGAACAGTCTAATGGGTTCCAAGCGTAGTAGCAAGCTCTTAATTTTGATTTATAAGTTGGTAAATTCATACAAATGTCAGATTTCATTATTTCCTCGTTCATTTTCTTGCTGCAGAGATAACGCCATACTTCGGAATTTTCATCCTCAAAAACGGAGAACCAACTTTTACATGTTAATGCGCCCTTTAAAAAGTCACTCAAACTTAAGTAAATCATTACATTTTCGAGAAAAAATACTGGTAAATGCTCCCAGCCGATCATAGCGGCCTTGACAGTAATTAACGATGAATGAACACATCTGAATGTAAGTAAATAGCATCGAAAATCCTGCCTATAACATTAGCCAATGACTAAAAGCGTTCTATCTTAAGTTGTCCAATAATCGTCCGTTTTGTGAAAAAGTCAATGTAAGAGAGCGCACTCGAAATTCAGATAATGATCATAAAAACAAAATGGCGTAATATATTTTTTTCGCAATAAAATTTATTATAAGTAAACTTTTTTAATAGCATTTTTTAATCTGCATTAAATATAGATAAGGCTTAGAAACATTATATATCTGAATAACTAATTCAATATTTTCAACAATTATTTATATTAAAAGTTAATAACTTTTCTTAACACAAGTTGTTACGATAAAATAGAAGATATATTCTCTATAAATTTATACTGTATACATTTATATATATATTTCACATAAAAACTTCAAAAATAGATTTTGCTTAAAAAACAGCTGATGTTAGTTCAGGTATGGCTTAATTTTAGTTTCTGTTTTGAAAAGAAACGGAAATTTGGTAATAATTCATGCAGTGAAATTTCAAATTGCCTTGCTGATTGGAGTTTCAGAAACAATTTCTTTATCTGAAGTTGCAAAATCATCCTGAATACTCTTAATTCTCGATGTCATATCTTCTAGTAGATCCTGTGGAAAATTTCACATCAGTTGACCTTATGAAAGATAACGCGAATGTTTTTACCTCAAATATTTTCTTTGTTTTCGTTGTACTATCCAATAATCCTGTGCTATTTACGTCTTGGTCTAATAGAAACTCTATCTCTTTCAAGTATCTTCCAAACTCCTGGTAAAGATAGCACGGTCTTTCTACGTAAATGAAGATAAATATTGTACTTACTATTATCTTACATCTTAAGTTGATTTCATCTTGAAAAATTTCTTTATTTTCTATTTTCTTTTCTTCCCCTTCCGAAATTTCACCTTTTAGTTCATCCTCCTCCATTCCTTCAATGCTATCAACAATGTTTTTATTCGTCTCAACTTCCATAATAACTTGGAAATCGCCATTGTCTTTTGATTTCATTTTACCTGCTTTGATAAAGGGCAAGAATTAAAAACTATGGAACTGAAAATATAAACTACATACCTTTTTCAACAATGAATATTTTATCAGATAAAGCCTCATGATATTTGACCATGTGTCTGTGTAGTTGTGAATATCTGGGAGTAAAAAATTTCTCGGTACAAAAATTACAAGTTTTGATTCTTTTCACAAGTTCACCAGAAAAGCAATTAAGGTAAAATCTTTTTAGAATTCTTCCCTTTTGAGTTTTCTCTTCGTATTTCTGTTCCAAATCTCCCTTTCTGTCACTATCAACAATCTCTTCCTCCTTTACAGATTTTTTGAAAGTATTTTCCCGACTGCTTTTTTCTCTTTCGTCATCTAATATTTAATGTAAATAATTTTCGAAACAAATTTCATATAACATACCATTAGCAATTTTGAAGAAAATATTATGAGAAATTAAATGAGCTTTAAGTCTTTTATATCTGTTTACTTTACATTCAATCAGTTGTCCGCATATTTTACAAGTAGAAAGGTATTTGTTGCCATCACAACTAAAATAACCTACTAGGCACTGTAATTTACTGATTATCATATTTTTGCTGTGCTATAAACAATTAAAACTACCACTACGGGTCTATTACACCATGTTGGAAGTTAACGAAAATGGCGGCATCAAATGTTCCACTAAAACGCTCTGAAATTTGTAAATTTAAACCAATCATCTCCTTTTGAATTATCAGCGTCTGCGCGTAACGAACATTTGTAATAAATCAAGTAGCTAATTATTAAAGAGTAGGTTTACTTATTATTCTATTTTTTTTTTAAATAAATTTTTAATTGATTTTTTTACACAATAAACATACAAGAGGAAAAGTTTCGAAAAACATAGTAAACGAATGATTATTTCTTGGTCTTTTTCTTCAGTCTCTTCCTAACACCTAGTGATTCTTCAGTATCATCTGCGTCTTCCTTCTTCCTCTTTTTCTTTCCATCCTTTTCATTCATTTCCTATTTAGATAAAGAAAAAAAATTAATTAAATATAACTTTTCCTGTACAAATGTTAAATTAATAAACTGAATACTAACTAATTTGGCGTATCTTTGAGCTTCAGCAACTCTTTCAGATAGCAGCATTACTTCTTCCTCAACAGTCTCATATAGTGGTAGTTTTTTATCCAGGAGATGTTCAATTCTTTGAAACAGTTCAACATCATACCTAAGGGATAAAATTATTAATAGAATATTTGCTTAAATAGTTAATTTGATGATATTATTTAAAGAAAGCTATCTACATTGTTTTAAGTTTAAGGTAAATGTAACTAAACGGAAAGATTGAGCTATTTAAAAATATTAAATGAGAACTTATCAAAAACATCAGTATTAATCAGCGTATTGCAACAGTAAACTTTGATAGGCTTGATTTAATTTATAATATTTATATATTGACCAAGAGCGTAAATACTTACTGGCTTACGAATGTTATTGCTCTTCCTGCTCTTCCAGCTCGAGCCGTTCTACCCACTCTATGAATATAATCTTTTGAATGTGTTGGAATATCAAAGTTAATGACACAATCAACGTGAGGAATATCCAATCCTCGGCTAGCAACATCTGTAGCCAAGAGGATAGATCTATCCTTGGCTTTGAATTTGTTCAAAGCTGAAAGTCTTTTATTTTGAGTAAGTTGTCCGTGGAGTGGTATAGCGTTCATTCCTAAATTTCTTAATAACAAAGCTGTTCTCTGCGTATTTGCGCAAGTTGAACAGAAAACCATAAATGAGTTCCCAGCTAAATCATTTAAAATCGAAACTAAATAAACGTCTTTATGTTTAGATGGTATAAATATATAAGATTGTTGTAATTTTTCTACAGTTTGATATTTGGAGCTAACTTCAACCTTTACAGGATCTTTGAGAGAAGCTCTTTGCAATTTTTGAACTTTTTTAGTCATTGTTGCAGAATACAGATAGGTTTTTCTTTCACGTGGAATAACTTTCAATATTTTATCAACTTCCTGTTCAAAATCCATATTCAAGATTCGATCAGCTTCGTCCATTACAAGAAATTTTAATGCTTTTAAATTAAATCCTTTTGTATTTTCAAGATGATCAACCAACCGACCAGGAGTAGCTATTTATAACATTATACGTAAGTGAAACTTGTATAAATAAATATTTTACTGCTTACCGATGATAATATGTGGCTTCTTAGCTAACATTAGTGATTGGCCCATCATGTCTATTCCTCCCACAATAACAACTATCAAAAGAAATTTCCTATAAAGAGTCGATCTATAAGGTCTTTTACTTTATCTTACCGCATTTTACACCAATAGCCGATCCAAGAGCTTCGAATTGTTCTGATATTTGAAATGCTAATTCTCTGGTAGGTGTTAATACTAGCGCTGCTAATCTTTGTGGTTTATCTAGTAAGAATTGTAGGATGGGTATTGCAAATGCACCAGTTTTACCAGAACCCGTTTCGGCCAAACCAATTACATCTCTTCCTGTAGCAAGTTACTTTTAGTAAGACTTTGTTTCTTACAACAATTTATCAAAAAAATTTACTAAAATAGTTTCCTACCTGTCAATGCGACGGGTAAAGATTCTCTCTGAATTTTACTAGGTGATTTCCATTTCAGATTTTCACAAGCTTCGCACAGTACATCACAAACTCCCTAGAAAGAAAGTAAAACTGATGTTATCGCTCTCGTATCAACACGTGCCTTTGGATATCATCAGAATTCTTTGAAAAACTAATTATATTTACCAGAGATTTAAAGGAAACTTCTTCCTCTTGTGGTGTAGATTCATCGGATGATTGTTCTCTCTCTTCAGTCATTGCTATTAGTTAATTTTAATGATCGTAGCACGATTTTTGTAAGTACTACAGCGTGATCGTGGACACTCTAAGAGTAAGACACCTTTTCGTACAATAGTAGGTATTTAAAAAATCGAAATTTCCTATGATGAAGTTTGATTGAACTAAAATCCAGTAATTTACTTATCTTTTTTATGAACACGTATGTTTAAAATTTTCAAACGTATTCAAAGAAGACAAATATTAAAATATTTATCTCTTAATAATAAAAATAGCGGAATAACTAATCAATACAGAATGAAAATTACAATTAATAAACGAAGTAAGACAAACGTTACCGACAACAAAGGTCAGTTTATAAAATGTTGCTACTCGAAGGAGTTATAAATTTGTCAATTCTTTTATAATTTAAACTAGATAATGCAAAACTTATAAACTTGAAAAGTCATTTACAAGTGAAAGAAACAACTAGAAAAAGTTGTGAAGAAGTAGATGATAAAGTTAATTTTTTTATTACTGAGGGAGCTAAAAATGTTGTTAAATTAATGGTTCCAACGACTATTTGTATGGTAATAGTTGTAATAATTGTTTCCATTGTTCCTTTCTTCCTACAAGAGTCGAATCAACGTCTTATTTATACTCCTTTTAAAGAAAGGGATTATAATTCTCCAATTCAACAATTTGGTATTGGTATTGTAAATATGCTAATTTTCATTTCTATGGTCATTATAATGACATGTATTCTTGTTTGTCTATTCTATTATGAATACTATAAGTAAGCCAATATTATAATAGTTTTAGAACAAGATTTGATCGACATTTTTTTACAATGGCAGCTGTTTAATGACTTTTTTGGGGTTTGGTTTAACTCTAATGTTTGGTTTCTTATCAAATGCTATGCTGTTTGCCATCTTTGAACAGTATAATATCCCTTGTGATATGGTAACATCAACGATAGTATCGTATAATTTAACCGTTGTTGCTATAGTATCAATTCATTGGAAGAGTCCTAAAATCCTGCAACAATCTGTCCTTATATTATTAACTGCTCAAGCAGCACTTTTGTTCGTCAAATTTATGCCTTTTTACACTGCATGGATAGTTCTTGTTGGTCTAATAGTTTGGGATCTTATAGCTGTTCTATGTCCAAAGGGTCCTCTCAATCTTTTGGTGAAAATGGCAACAGAAAGAGAGAAACCATTAGCAAGTGCCCTAATTTATTCAACTTCTATATTTATGGCTGAAAGGATTGAACGCCCAATCGCAACTACAAGTAGAGTTGCAGATGAATATCGTTCTTCCGGATCTGTCGATCCAAAAGAACCAAAAGGACCAAAATTAGGGTTAGGAGATTTTGTATTCTATTCCGTTCTTGTAGGTATTGCCATGAAATGTAAAAGTATATTCGTTTTGTATGCCTGTTTTATTAGCATTCAAATAGGTCTAATGACAACCTTATTCTTTTTGAATGTTTTTAAAAGAGCTCTGCCAGCTCTGCCAATCTCTCTTGCATTTGGGATAACAATGTTTGTACTAACTTGTAATATTGTTGAAGACCTAGGAGAGAGTTTATCAATTAATCAAATATTCATTTAAGAGTATATAGATGACTGTAACTCATTAAAGTAGTTTACGTATGTTATATGAAAAATTGATTTCTTATTTATTGAAAGAGATATTTTCCTATAAATTCTTAATCATAACTTTTAAATATTTTTTTACAATGATCGTCTTCTCCGCCAAAAAGATTTTCCGGTTTGAAAACAGTTAAATGAATGTCCTTGTATTTTCTCTTTTTCTCACTATCAAATACCGATTCGCTATCTATGTCTAACGAAGGTAGAAAGTCGGGCTCCAATGAAGGTAAAGGTTTTCTTGCTTGAAGGGCTATTTGAGCTACTTTTGGATTCCAATGACATTCTAGAGTTCGCAATTCCCATAGAGAACTATTCAAGGCTCCACAATTTAGTAAGTCCTTCTCATCATCCTTAAACGGATCAGTTTCAAATGATTTGGCATCCTCGTTATGCAATAAACATTTACAAGAAACATGTCTAATTAATAATACATAAATTAAATTCAACAATAGTTGTCCATCACAACAATCTGCTCTTAGGGCTAGTCTAGCCAATTTTTTTATAAAGGCTGCTACAACATAGGCCGGCAAGTGTCTGAAATAAAACATGAAAACCTTTAATATACATTTATCAATCAGTCATGAAAATATTACTTACGTTGAACTGAGAAAAAGGTTGAGTAGGAAAAAGAATCTTGATTTATATTTAACATTTAAAATTTCTATCCTAATCAATTCGTAGACCTTTTCAAAGAATGATGGATAATTTAAATTGTGTTTATGTATCAGCATAAATAAACCATGAAGTGCAAGAAGAGAAATAACACCTCCAACGTTAAAACTATTGGTAAGAAAATCAGCAAGGCCTAAGGGCTCTGGTAATTTTGGTATAATTTTATCAGGAATATCAACTAAAACCTGTTTATAAATTGCATTAGGTAATTTAAACTTTAATAGCTGTAGCCAAGTTTTAGATAATAATGAAGAATGCTTTCCAAGTTGGAGATAATTTATATTCCCTTTCGTATTAGCCGACAAATTAAACTTTAAACTACTTTCAATATCTTCCTTATTTTGCGAATGTTCAGCTGTTATTAAATTCAGTAATGTATAGCAATTTGTTAGAAATGTAACACCCTCTGAGTCAAGACTTTTAATTGTTGCTGCTACTTCCTCCATTAATTCAAACAAATATTTTAGACATTGGAAACGAATATCGGCATATTTTAAATATTCTTGTAAAGTTTGCAAACCAGTATCCATTGGTATATCAACAGCTAACAAACTCAAAATAATTTCTTTAAGAAAAGAATTTGTAAAATATCCTTGAGTTGTATAAAGGGGTTTATTTTCTTCTAGGACCATTAAGAGTAGCAGTCTCTTAAATAGACGTTCATGTAAATTGGGGAACTTAACATACTTTAGTATTATTGATCGCCAATTTGTTAAACTTTCTACCATCCAATCTTTATAAATTTTAGCTTTTTCTCCTGTTAATTTTGAATTTGAGCTCAGTTGTTCACTCTTCAAAATTGAGGAATACACTCTGTAAAATGCTTTTAAACAAGTAAATGCTTTTTTAGCGTCATTCAATGATTTTTCGCTCAAATCAATCAAGTCCCGTATTTTATTTGCTTTTTTCGGGCTAGATAGAACTTCCTTTGTTAGGGATTGAATTTTTTCCTCTAGTTTCATTTTCTTGTGTTTCTATTCTTGAAATGTTTTAACTAGATGATCTTAGAAGAAGCACATGTGCAAAGTTTCCGGCGAAATACGGCAAGTTACTATATGCGCATGCGCATTAAATGGATATCGCAGTTATACAGAACGTATTTGCGTTCTTTTCGTTTAGATTTAGAGTTTCAGTTTTTTACGTTCGGTGAAACGTTATAATTGAATTTATTTCATTATATCTAGGTTTATCTCTTATCTATAAAGATGGATATATCTGTTACAGTCTCCGATGACAATGGCCCTCCTTGTACTTTCAAACATACCATGACCGCTCTTTCCAAGCCATGTGATGTGTTAGAACTTAAACAAGAAGTACAAAATATACAAAAAAAATGCAACGAATACTTAACAACAATCGTAGAAAAGGAAAAAATTGAACAAAATGAAACAGATATGGTAACTTCAACGACAAATATTGAGAATGGTAAGAATACAAATTATATAGAAGAACATATAATTTTTCAATTACATTTTATTAGATGATGAATCGGATAGTGAAGATGTAGAAGAAGAAAATGAGCCTGAACCTAAAAAGTCTAAGAAATAATTGAAACTAAAAATATTGTACAACTTGTATAAATTGTTGGCTTTTTGTATATGCTGATCACAAATAGATTGTTATTCTTTTTGTTGATATATTATATTTTATTCAATACTTTAGTTTTGAAACAGCAGTTTGTTTGTCCATTTCGGACATGACTTGATAGTCATGCATATGCATTGTAAAACTAGTAGTCCCGGATGTCATTGTTCGAATTGCTGTAGAATAACCTAAAAGTTCTGAAAGTGGGGTAATAGCTCTTATCATTCTTAAATCGTCCCTAGCGTCAACATTTAATATTTGAGAACGTCTCTGGCCAAGGTCACTAAGAACTCGATCGGAATACGTAGAATTAGAATTAATCTGTTAAAAGATATTTCAAATATTACTTATATATTACCTTAAGAAAATTTTCTTACGTCTAACAACATTGTTGGTTCCAATAAGATACTTTCCCCCTTTCTTAAAGCTCTTTCGACGCACATTGCAGTAACGGTTGTCAACATTGGAAGGCTTGTTGAATAGCTTTTTGACACATTATGCAAATGTACCTCTACATCGATTACGGGAAAACCAAGAATGGTTCCTTTTGATAAAGCCGACCTTATTCCGTTATTGATAGCATTTATTTCTGGTCGTTTGAGTTTATATAGTTCCGCTTCCTTCGTTGGTTTTGGTATAAAACCTTTAAATTTCATACCGCTTGTATTATGACCATCCAACAGAGAATGAATTGATAAGTGAATTGTTGCTTGATGTTTTTTATTACCAATTGTTTGATCAAGTATAAATTCTTCTTCAATACTTTGTTTAATGCTTTCCCTATAGGAAACTTGTAAGTCGCCTAGGTCAGCATCAACTCCATATTCTTTTAATATTCTATCTTTAATTATCTCCAAATGTAATTCTCCCATACCGGAGAGAATAGTTTGTCCCGTTTCGTTGTCTGTGGTCACTCTTAATGAAGGATCTTCTTTAGTTAAGCAAGCTAAAGCGTAATCCAACTGCTTCATATAGGCTTGAGAGGGAGGCTCTATGGAACAGAAGAAAACCGGCTCTGGAACATTCATTGATGCTAGTATTTCATCAACAGTCTCCTCATCCTTGTCAAGTGATTTCTTCGCTCTTGTTACAGTTGTTAAATTTTTTACTAAAGTATCACCAGTTATCGTCTAAGTAAAATGGTATAAATTTTAAGATTGTTTCATTTATTTATCTATTACTTACTTCTTTAAGTCCGGAAATAGCAACAATATGACCGCTAGATGCATGAGACAAATCAGTAACAGAATCTGCCGATATTTGAAGTAGTTTGGTAACTTTCTCACTGCATTCCTTATTAATGTTAAATACAGATTGACCATTTTCAATTTTTCCGCTAAAAATTCTCACAAATGTTAAAGGTCCTCTTTGCTTATCATTAATTATCTTAAAAGCTAATCCACACAATGAATTCTGATAAAACTTAGTGAAAGGATGATCTATTTGAGAAGGGTTTGGAAGATAATGAACAACACTATCTAAAAGAGGCTGAACACCTTTATTTTTGAATGAACTTCCACAGAGAATTGGTACTGCTTTAGAATTTATTGTTACTTTCCTAATGGCTTTAGTCAAATCGTTTGCCGATATATCTTCATATTTCGTATCCATTAGGATCAAATTTGCAATATGATCATCCAAATCAGCTAATTGTTCAATCAGAAAATTTCTCATCGTTAAACTCTCCGTATACAAATCATCAGTCGGTTGTAGATTATCAATTTTGTAAGTTTTACCATCAACAGAATTGGACCATAATAATTTTTTCATATTTAATAAATCAACAACTCCCCTAAAGCTTCTACCGTTACCAATAGGATTTTGTAGAATTAATGGTAGAACTGATAATTTACTTTTGATGGATTCTATTGAAAGATTAAAATCTGCTTGAGTCTTATCCATTTTATTTATGTATATTATCCTAGGAATCTTATAACGATCCGCTTGATGCCATACAGTAACTGTTTGAGCTTCAACACCTATAATATGAATAATGAAACATATTATAACAATATATAAACTGTTCCTTAATGTAGCTTACCAGCAGAACCATCAATTACTGCAATGGCTCCGTCCAGAATCCTTAGGCAGCGTTCTACTTCAAGTGTAAAATCAACGTGACCAGGTGTGTCAATTAAATTTACATGATAGCCTTTCCAGGGAAAAGTAACAGCAGCTGATGTAATTGTTATTCCTCTTTCTCTCTCCTGTTCCATGTAGTCTGTTATTGTATCACCATCATCAACGTCTCCAAGATGATTTGTAAATCCTGAATAATAAAGCATTCGTTCAGTAGTTGTTGTTTTTCCAGCATCTATATGTGCCATTATGCCGATATTGCGAATTTTATTCTCTGGAACATCTAAACCGACAAGTCTCCTTGCCTTTGAATGATTAGCAGACGACATTTTTATAAAATGACTTATATTCGGAGATGTACGACCAAACAAAAGCCGGAAATATCTATATCTCGTAAACGATAACATTTTATACCAATTCCTAATAACTTAACAAATCTTAATGACAAAATCAAAAGCAACGTTGAAATATTGTTGCTCAACTTTTACTAGAGATCATCCATGTTTAATTTAAGCCTGTACAAAAATCACGTGGTTACTTTGGTTTCGTACTAATAAAAGTAGTTTGTCTAATGTTTATAATGTTTGGATAGTTCTATTAACATATTAATCTTTTTTTTAATTATAAGATAATATTCATGAAAATAATGAAATTTTAAAGCATTTCAATTTATGTATAAAACTAAGTTCATCCTTCTCCTTGTGGAGATTTAATACTCTTTATTCAGAAAGAAATATAAACTTTAATCAATAAAGTGAAGTAGACATAAAAAATAACTGAAAGTGAAAGTGAAAACATATATCTATAAGCTTGTTTAATTGTAATCAGAGATGCCTTCAAGGAATGAATAAAGGGTGAATTGTTGTAAGATAGATAGGAGTAATTTGAAGATCAAATTCAGAATTCCTAGCGTTAGTCTTTTTATCACCTATTTTGTCAATTTAACTAACGCATTTCATTATTAAATCGAATTCCTTGTATATTTTCAATATGTGGAATTTGAAATATGTGAAAAGAGATAAAGAGAAAAATGATTTAATTCTATCCTTGAATAGCAGTTGTATTCGCCTTCGAGCAAGTCTCTTCTTTTCTTGTTAACAAATACTTAAGAAATTATACATTATTAAGATTCTTAATTTATTGAAAATTTTTTGTAAATGGTTAAAAATATATAGTATATACTGCTGTATTTTCGAGACAAAAATTAAAGTGGTAGTTTCTGGGTGGAAAGCAGTGAGATTCTATTAAAATCTTTTGTATAATTCCATCGATTCTTCATCCTTAGACTTAAGAAAATTAACTATGAGAATATATTTCTTCTACTCTGTTCCCTCTTTTCCTTCGCTCTGCTTTAGAAGACTACGACCAAAGACCATATCGTTCATTCGTGAACTTTGCACCATTGACTGTAAGAATGCTTGAACGTCTTCGAGACTATCAACACCTTCTTCTCTTCTTTCTTCATCCGAATCGGATCTTTCTCCTTCTCTTTCAAAACCAACAGAAGAATAAAAGAATTCATTCGTTAGCGTGCCTGTCTCCCCACAATCTGAACTTGATTCAAGTACAGAGTCCTCTAAAGGGAATTCTTCTAATTGATCATCATTTTGATCCTCCCTGACGCGAGCGGCATCTTCTTCATTAGCTACAGCATTTTCTGCCAATTCTGCAGTCATTCTTACTATATCCATAGTTTTTTGCATTTCAATCATACGATCTTCTGCAGATGGACCTCTAACCGAACCTTCAGATTCATCTTCCTCTTCCAGTCCGAATTCTAAATCGTCGCTTCCAGTGGCATTCCAGCCTGTAGCAACTTCTCGTTCGTTATTTGTTCTAGAGTTTCTCTCATTCTCGTCTCTTAGACCCGTTAATTCGATTCTTAGTTTGTTATTAGTATTTTCTAATTGTTTTATATATGCCTCCAAATCGCGGCATTTTTGATAATAGTTAGGAGATCGAACTTGGAATCTTAGTGTTATTGAATCATCGACTTCGTTAAGGAAATTTTCGCTAGTTAATAATTCCAATCTGTAAAATCTATTATATCCCCAACATTCTCCTTGTTCAAAATCTGAAGCGAATTCTCTTACCACATTCCTGGACGGATCATTTTGATAATGAGGATGCAGTAATTCAATTTTATATTCATATTTTGAACTTTCCTGTTTAGATAGCAAAAAAAAAGTTAATTTATAGTTTTTTTAAGAGTTTAAAATTATAAGTAAAAAGAAAAGAGCCAATTTACCTGGAATCCAGAGTGAAGTTCTAGAAAAACTGATAGATAATTGCCTCTTACAACTCCATTACCATCAGGGTAAACTTTCAATCGCCAAGCCAGACCAGCCGCTTGCATAACATCGCTAAAAACTGGTGCAGCTCGTTTTCTTTTCTGAGAAAAAGGTTTTACCTTAAATATTCCTACATCATATGATGGAACGATTTCAGATTGGAAGTCGGTTGAGACTGACACCGTTTCTAATTTTGGTTGATTCGATGACAAAAATTTTTGTAAATCCTCCTTTATTTCCGATGAACGTTCAACCATTTCACTTTTTGAATACGTCTTCTTTTGACGTTCATATTCTTTGAGGAATGTATCTAGTTTTTCACTTTCAGTTTCGAGATCTTTTCTTTGAGCTTGCAGAGATTCTAATTTACCCTTTAACTGGGCTTCTAAGTGGGCAATCATTTCTTCAACAGCATTTCTCATTTCCCTGACTCTTTGTTCCTTCGCTCTTTGTACATTATCAATGTTTCTTCTAATCGATTGCATACTACCAATTATTTCACAATGGCGTTTTCTTAATTCTCCAATCTGTTAAATAAAAATAAATAATCATTTACGAAGCGATAACAAAGAATAATAAGAGAATAAACAGAACTAGGCTGATGTCTACTTACGAGTTCATTAACATGTTTCATTTGTTCATTATAGACTTCATCAACTGGACGGAAGACATGCGAATGGTGTTCGCCAGTCCATAGAGCGCACTGATGACAAATGCAAATATCACAGGCTTCGCAAAATACAGATAATTTTTCACCGTGTCTGTCGCACTTTTTAACGGTAACTTTCTTATTAAAGATTCGTAAAGAGTCTAGTTGTTCTATAAGTTCTTGCCCCCATCTGTTAAAATAGATAAATGAACTAATTATTCAAATTAACAATTAATATACTATAGATGAAAATAAATAGTCAATTACGAGTGTAATTATTTTATACAAAAACTAAAGTAATCTCAGTTATGAGAATTGAATCAATTGTACATAGGCCTTTATTAAAAATCCAAATCATATTAAAAATTATGATTTATTTATATGAAAAATTAGATAGCAAATACTTTATTTAAAGTTTTCCAAGTGTAAAGTGAATAATTAAAGAAAGCGATTACATTATGACACTCTCTTATGTATTCTAAAAAAAGATCTTTTTGTAGCTTTCGAAAGAAAAAGCTATTAACTTGAAATCTTTTAAGACTTTTTTTATTGATTCTTTTATTGAACAATTATTGGTAGTAAATCGCGAATTTAACGCTAGACAGTTTGATACTATACAAAAAAAAAGAGTAAGGGGAAAAAAGAGGTTGAGATAATTAGGAATCGTGAAATAGTGAGTATTCTAATAGAATATGTTCAATTTAACAATAAAGTTCAACAAACCTGCACTTGACAACCTCACTAATATGTAGAGGAGCTCGGCAGTAGGGACATTGCTCTTTTGCGTCGATTGTCAACCACTTTTGGATGCAGCCAAAACAAAATAACTTGGAACAATGTGGGCAAATCGAAGCGTCCGTTAACTTGTCCAGGCAAACGCAGCAACGAAACATTTCTGCTAAAGATTCTATTGATTCGACATCAGTCTCAAATGTTTCATCTTCCCGACACTTTGCCATATTTCTCACTTTTTTGGTCGATTGGACGGTAAGGTTTATTTCGCTTTTCGATAGAAACACAGGGTAAATAGGGGATATGATTTTTTCTCGGTATGGCTATCTACTCTATATTTACGTGGAAGACGCAACCCGTCTATTAAACAGCCTAAGAGTCTAAAACTTATCTTGGCTTTCTACTTTCTCTTCAATGCTTTTTAATAAAATTTCAAATTAAATGAATTATTATCCACAATATTTTTAAAATTTTCACGATAACTGCCTCTAATTACCAATATAAAAACTGTTAGTGAGAGTAGTATTCTTAGTTGTAATACACAATACAGTTGCTCTTGAGTTCAAATGGCCTATGCTCGTTGTAGTAAAATAACACAGCTAATGGGCCTACGTTTCGAAGGCAAAGCTCTGGTCGTTATATGTAAATAAAAAGCATAAAGAAATTAGCATGCTATTGGAAAAAAACTAAGTAAAAAATTATTTCTTGCACAAAACTGCTTGTATCTTCCATGATAAAAAAAAAAATGTGTTTCATTTTCAAACTTAAAATTCTCTTTTATGAGCTTTTAGCCGGTCGTTGAACGACTAATAAGTTCGTATCAAAAACAGTTTGTATATGAACTATAAATATCTTTCCTCGACAAATTTTGATCAGATCAAGAGCTGAATAGAGCGCAAAGAGGATTAGACCGGCCAATGACCCGACACTTGTATCTAGTAATTAAACAACGCCACCTATCGGATACTGCGCCATATTGAACCTAAAATGGCAGCGCAGCATATCGTAGTACCGCCATCGAAACATACGATATTTATCCGAGGATTTTCGTCTCGAATTCCAGCGGATAATATCAAGTAAGAGATAATAATTTACTGCATATCAAATGTGTTTCGTGTCACTGATAAGTTAAAGAGAAAGTGGTAAATTATACGTAAATGTTCCTCAGGTGTAGTTGTGCAGACCTGTCGTAACGCTCATTACAATCGAACATTATACATAATGAATTATGTGTTATTTATTGATCGTTGAGTAAGGGCGTCAGCTGCTACTATTTTTTATTTCTACAACGTATATTTACTGGAATTATAATTTTAAAAAGTTATTTTGATCTACTTTCTTTTTCAATTTGGCAACAAGCAATACACTAAAATTTTACTTCCGTGATCTTGAAACAGGTCTTTTTTTGAGAATGAAACGAGAGAAACAGCTTCTTTGGAATTTTTTCGTGAATCTGAAGATAAAAAGAATCTGTATGTTGCTCTCAGATTTGAATCTAAATCGGCAGCTAAAGACGCACTCGACAGGTAATAAAATCAATAAAAACTTATGCATGCAGAAAACAGACTATGCAAAATATTTGTATACATAGATTTAACGGAAAAGAGGTACTTGGCTCTTTCATAAAGATCACATTCTTTCGTGATATGAAAAAAGCAAGGCAGAAGGCACAAGAAATGTATGAACAAGGAGAGGGACCAGATCCTCGTGAAATCTTTAAGAGCGGAGGTCAAAGACAAACGAGAGGACGAGGAATTGGATTTCCTCCGAGAAACCATAGCCGTACTAGAGTAAATCATGGTAAATAATCTTTAGTATTTCCGTTTATTTAATTAAAACGCCTTGAAATTTAAAACTAGCTCTAATCTTTCAAATCGAACTTAGAAGAAATAAAAAAATACATAAAACGTTACGTTATATTATATATTATAGATACTTCAGTACGTTAATTTTATCGCCATATAAATTGAAGAGAATATATTGAATAGTCATAAATTAATTAATTAACAATTTTATATTTAGTTGTTATATTGAATTAATTTTCTGTAGGACATGACGCTGCTAGAAGAGGCTACAACGAAAATTACTATACGAAGCATGACAGATATTCCTCCTCCCGTTCCATGTCTGCTTCGTACTCTCGAAGCAGGTCTTATTCACCAAAACATTCAAGAACGAACTCTTTTTCCGAATACTCTCCTGTTCCTGAAAAAAGAGAGAAAAAAATGTAAGTAACTATTGAATATTTTAATTTATACTGTTAGTTTCCCCTTTCCAATTTTTTTTTGTTTTTTTTTTTCAAATTCAAAAAGTAGACAATTTTTTTCATACGATTAAAACTTGTAACGGTTCTACCAAAAGTGGTCCATTAAAGGCAAGATTAAAAAAAAGTTTCATTTTATAGGGAACTTTTTTTCTTTGCGTTTTCCTTATTTTTAACTGGGACAAACAATCCTATTTTGTTTTATATAGGAATAAAAAATATTCATCAGTATGTTTCCTGGAAGGAAAATATTCTTATTTGGACAATATCACCAAGAGCTATAATGCTAAAAATACATTCTCTTCTCTCTCTCTCTGTTTATCTTCTCTCATTCTCCGTATTTCTATAAAATATATATATATGCTATATATATATGTATATATAAAAGCTTATATATATTTATATATATATATATATATAAATCTTCTCTCTATATCTCATTCTTTGTTGTTCTTTGCTGTACAAAAATCATCGATTGCACAACGAACGAATTGCTTTATGGCACCCATCTTGTTCATAAAACGATCGATTCCTTAGCTGTTGTTAAATTCGTTGATTGAAACTGGAATACTATCCTTCATGTAACTTGTACAACGATAAATACTTGGAGATAGAACTAAATTTATAAAAAAATAATATAAAAATCATAATCTAAATACTATTTCATATATGAAATAAATCAGTGGAAATATGTGGGTTGGAAAATTATTATTAAACTATAAAAATAACATAAATTTTCTGTTTTTATTGGTAATAATATTGATTTTTGGAAGAAATTTTTCTGCTCTTTATTACTGGAAGAATTAATCATAAATAGTATCAAATAAATATGTAAATTATAATATCATTTTTTGCCCTATCCTTAATTGTTCGATAATCCTTTAAACAAAATATAACTATGTATCTCCACTTTTCGGGATAAATATTATTTGACAAAAACTTAATCAAAAACAAATAAATTCGATTACGCATCCTAATTAGAAATCTGAGATTTGCTTGATGTTGTTTTGGCGATTTTTTTATTTAATCCCCAATTCTTCACAATACACTCCTGAGGAGGAGAGAAGAAAGGTAAAGAAAATAGCTTTGATGATTGGATCGGTTTTTTTTTTTTAAATAATAGTGTTAAAATCTTTAAAAAAATATATCTTTTTTTTATCATTTACTTTTTATTCTGTGAAAAAGAAATGTTTTATTAACTCTAAAAAAAAATTAAAAAAACAATTGCGAAGAATTTGTCTATATTCAAGGCTTTACAACTTTCATTTTCTGTTTCTGAAGTATTTTTTTTTATTAGGCATCCTGAATCAAAGGAAGGACACTTGAAGTCGAAAACTGATGTTGGTAAGTCAAAAACTTACAACCAATATACATACGATGAAGAGGAGGATGGCGAGTATGCATCGGCAGATAACCGTCAGAACTATGACGATGACATGGAAGGATATGCATCAGATTACAATAGAAAAGGATCTCAGTCAAAATCTGTAATAGAATTAGGCGTTTCGGGAACTAATGGTGCAGTGAAACAAGAGAAGAAAAGGAGAATTGAAGGAACCGATGATTTGGATGAACTTTTTAGTTTTAGACCAGAGAAATTGGCCAAAGTTCAAAAGAAAAAAGATGAAATTGAGAAATCTTTCAAGCAGGATTGTGAAACTTTTGCTGCAGTAGTAAAGATGCTGATTAGCAAGGACGAATCTCTTGAAGAGAAGCTGCAGAATTCCTTAAAAGAGAATCTTAGAGAGATTGGTCAAAGATGTATTCAAGAGCTGAAAGAATATATTGAAAATCTAAAAGAAGAGTAAAACAATACTTTTATTTTGCTTTTTTATTCGAATTTGCCATGCAAGTTTATTACTTTGTAATGTGCTTGTTTTTGTTTTGTTTTGTACGATGTGATTTTGTTGTAAGGTTTGTACTATTTATTTATAATATACCTGTATAAAAGCGTAAGTTCTAGTAATTCACAATTTACTATTTTGTCAAATTTCAATTCTTTCAATAAAATAAATAAATATACATATAAAAAAAATTCTCACTTTTTGAGAGAGTGAACATCTTTTATGTCGGTTCTCAAATGTGTCTTACTATTTGGATTATAAGCAATTTTCTTTGCCAGATAAACTATATTGACAAATATATATACTGTATATCAAATATATATATATCTTATTTTTGCCTTTAATAAATACTGCTACTATACAACAAGCTATTGCTGTAATTAACTCCTACACGATTTACCTGTTGATGTTGTGACAATGATTTTTTGTCTTGATCATTTTGCTTTAGAAATATAATAAGTTAATCTTAAGGAAGCTATTATTCTTTTCCTTTATATATACTATATATGCAAAGAGACTTTTAGCGATATTTGCAACGCTTTCCCGACATTTAATTAACAAGCATTAATACCACATATTTGAAAGTTATAACCTACTGTTACTTTTTATATAAAAATCAATCAAATATTTAGCCGTACCGGAAAAAGTCTGTATACGACAGGCATCCACTTTCCTAGATTGAATTGAGATAGGAAATGTAAGGCTACCTCTAAATTTATATAGACTGATATATATCTGCTGGTCTGCTAAAGTTTTAAGTTTTACTTGAAGAATAAAAACAATTGATTTTATCATATTTCTTATTCATGTCTATTATTTATTATTTTGATATCGTATTAGGAAAGTTCAAAAATTGTCCGGTTTATTTTACAACATTCTCTCGAATGCTTAATAAGAGAATCGGTTTTCTTCTTTATAACCGAGTTTGTCCAAATTTGGCTTACAAGCGTAATCAATCATTGGTGGTGGACCGCACATAAGCACAATGGTTTCGTCGCCGGGTGGAGAAAGACGGTCCGCAATCATTTGATCGTTTACGAATCCCGAGCTATAAGTCCAAGATTGTGGAGGTCTATCTAAAGTATACCATACTTTGAATTGATCGCCATATCTAGCTTCGTAATCGTCTATTTCGTTACGCAAAAGAATATCTTCTTCCGTCTGCACATAAATTAAAGATATTAACACAATGGAAATGATAACAAAGCCATTACACACCTGATTGGCAAATATTAATGTCAATTTTGTATTATCTTCAGGATCCTTTAGGATTTGTCGAGCTAACTGCATCATAGGAGTAATACCAGTTCCACCAGCAATCATTGCAAGATTCTTGAAAGACTTTGCCTCTGGAGGAGACTTTTTATCTTTTTGAATCTTAAATTGACCTTTACCCTCGTATACTAGTTTTCCATTCGGGCCTCTAAAATCAATGCTGTCGCCGATGGACATAGCATCAAGGTATTGCGACATTTTGCCACCATTCGGGAACTTTGGATGGACATTAGCTTTATAAATCTTTACGACCAAGTCTACTTTCCCAAGATCCTCATCACTGCTTACTGGGGTATATGGTTTGACGACAGGTTCATTGTCAATTCTGCAACTCAGATATATATGCTGTCCAGTTGGAAGTCCTAAAATATGTTCGTTACTAGGAAGGGCAAAACGGAAGAGACGAGTATCATGACTAATATCCTAAAAAGAAACAATTACTACTTTAAAATCTATAGTCAAAAAAATAATGCTTATTCTGAAGATCCTACAACAGCGAGTATATTGTTAAATTTATATAGAATCTTCTATTATTTATACAATATTTGCATTCAAGTCTAAAAAAATTCAATTTTGTCAAAGTAATCAAACCTCTTTGTAAACCAACTTTAAGGGATATTTGACAGAAGGTTCCTTCAGAGTAACAGGCCTTTTCTTTTTTCCGAATAAGAAAATTTTGGCCAACACAGCACTGACAACAACAGCACCTACAGCAACTGCAATAGGCAGTACCTAAAAAAAATAAAACACAAACATTCATTATAAACAACTTATTATATTTAGAGAGATCTTAATGTTATATTCAATTGCAAACAGTTTTATATATTGAAATAATCACAATAATAATAATATAGCTATATATATAATAGTCATAAAGGGCAAGGGGATTTTGAACAGGCTGTAAACCTAAACAGGATGGGGATTTTCATCAGTTTATTAGTCATTTGGCAGGGTTTAATTAATTTAACATTGGTTTTAAAAACGAAAAGCAGAAACCTCTACTAAACGATTTTAAAGTAAAACCAGATGCTTTAGATTTTCTCGGAAAAAAGTAGAAAACTTTTTTAAAGGTAGCTGATAATATAATCATTTGATACCAATCGTAATCTTTTACCTTTTCTAAGAAAAACTTTTTGCATAAATTTAATAATTTTCCTACAAAATCATAAAATGTCCCAAAACAATTCTATTTTTTATCTGAATGCATACTATCAAAATAATAATTTATAGTTATCTTCGAAACGTGTATGTACCTTTGATAGAATGCCTCCTGACATGATGTTGATACAATTTTTAAAACCAGAAAGTGACCTTGTAAACCACGTAGCTATAGCTTCAAGTTTTGAGAGGACATTTAATGTTTTAAACAATCAAGAGGCTAATAGTCTTAAAATTTAATTAACAGTGTTATAATCATTGCATTAAGTTATGGATACTTACAGCAAACGAAGAACCGGGCATTCTCTACCGTAATTGATCTCTTAGAAAGCCAAATTCAGGACAACGAAATATACTTTTCATTAAAATGAAATCTGGTAGCTGTTATCTTTTAACGTTTAAATATCCCTCTGCAAAGTTAATTTAATGTTAGTTTTGTTATTTTTGTAATCAAGTATTCTTTTAGAAGATTAATCTTTTAAATATCCAATGGTTTAAAAGTAATTTATTATTTTAAACTTTAAGTTATATATACAATAGGTGGCGCTATTGTTGTCGTTCAATAAAAAAAAAACATTTTACTACTTGCATATAACATTTATTCATTTTCATTTCAAAAAAAATGCACAAAGTAGATTGTACCATTAAAGTGGTCTGAACACAACGTTAACGGCAAAATGCAGCTATAATGATACAAAAACAAAAAAGTCTTCTTTTTCTTTTCTTTACGAAGAAGCACCAATTGATGAGATCCGTCCCGATATGAACATAATAAAAAAAAACAAGCATATTGCTTATACATCAGTCTCTGGTAAAAAGTGGTCAAATCCGTCCTTTAGCTGTTCATCCGGCATTGATGAATATTGACTATCGCTTGACGAAGCTCTTGGCGACTTCGTTTCAGTTGCGGAACGGCTAAGCAGTTGGGTTAGTTCATCCGATTCTTCGTCCACCGACCTCTCTTCCATATATGACTGCTAGGTTATAAATAAAGAATAGAATAATTTTCTGCTTGCATGTAAAGAATAAAAAAAAAGATCGTACCCCGTAAGTAACTAGTCGTTCAATTATTTTATCAGTAGCTGATGAAATGGCGGAAAAATATGGTCTTGCATTGGGATCCTCTTTCCAACACATTGTCATAATTTCGGCAATTTCATCGCTCATGTATTTGGCTTTAGGCATTCTATAACCGTTATTTAGTAATACAAACAAGGCAGCCGGTTCATGGTCTTCGTATGGTTCGGCCCCATAGGAAAATATCTCCCATAAAACCACTCCATATGCCCAAACATCAGACATTATAGTAAACTTAAAATCAAAAAGTGTTTCTGGCGGCACCCACTTAATCGGTATTCTACCCCCAGGCCTCAAGCGGTAATACTCTGTCTCCGTTAAATCTCTTGATAGGCCGAAATCAGCTATCTTAGCTACCCCGTTAGAAGCTACTAAAACATTCCTGGCGGCTAGGTCGCGATGTATGCACTGCCTGTTGGATAAGTATTCCATACCCCTGGCAATCTGCCACGCCAAGTGTACGAGATCTTTATAATCCAGTATACCGTCGCTTCCGGCAGGCGGCGAGTGCCTTCTCAAGTACAACTGCAGATTACCGTGCTCGGCGTATTCTGTTATCAAGTACATATTTCCCTCGAAAGTTGTATAGCCAACCAGGCTAATAATATTTATATGGCTACCGATTGTCTTCATGCGTTCAAACTCTTTCCACATGTCTATAACATCCCGGTCTGTAGCATTTTCTCTAAGTTTTTTCACAGCTACAGGTATTGAACCGTGAAGTTGACTTAAATCAGCCTTAAAGACTTGGCCAAATGCTCCCTGACCTATTAAATTACCCAAATCCATATCCTTCCATTCGTAGAAAAATTGTTCATCTTCCGGCAATTGGGCAATTGTATTTCCATAAATATGGTGAACACGACCGTCATCCTCCATTGGTACTAATCCAACTTGTATATTATCCAGAGGAGAGCTCGTAGAATATTCGTTAAAAGCATAATTTTCGTTTGGTTTCATAACAATTAATTTCTTATGGCATCTTCTCATTTTCTTATCCATATGCCATATGTAAAAAACGGTAGAGCATACAATAATAATAGCGAACACAAAGCAACAAATGGAAATAACAATGATTTTCCATGTTTCGAGTGACGAATGTTTTTCTTTTTTAACCTCACGAGCCAATTTTAATCTAAAATAGACTGTTCTATCCGGATGATTACGGCTAGCTGAAGTTGTACACAGATATACGGCATCCTCTTCAGCGGAAAAGTTAAAAACAACAAGAACGGTCGATTTATTTCTTTGCTCGTACTTTCCTCTTTCAGCCGAACCGAGAAGTTTAAACTGTCTTGTGAAATTATCGTATTTTTTCCAATACACCCTACCATTTCTGTTCGCCTCGCAATGAATAGTAACATTTTGTCCTAAATGGACAGTTTTATTGTTCGGCCTTTTTATAATCACCGGTTTAGCTGTATCATAGAAGAAACAATTAAATAATAATTATTATAATTTCATTTTAACTATTCAATAATTTTAAATTCGCTTTTTTCTTATCTTTTTTCAGTTATAAGAAAAGTTTATGAAAAAGTACGAAACTGTTGTTTTTGTATGTGTGTGGAAAAGATGGAAAATTCTATTCTGTAGTAATAGTTACCGTGGAGTGGCGGGAGAATTTTTATGTAGAAATCACGCGAAGCGGTCCGGTTAAATTTATCCGTGACCTGGCAAGTATAATTTCCGGTATATTCGCTCTCAACGTTACTGATGCTTAATTGATATCCGGTCGTAGAGTATCTCTAAAATAAAAGAAAAAAGGAGAAATCGGATTTATCTTTCTTAAATAAATTCCAGGTGTGTCTGAAATCGATTTATACCATAGTATCGCAGTTGGGTTGATGACTCTTCTCCTTCGTCAGTTCAATTCTTCTCGAATTGTAGAACCAAGCAATATTAGAGACAATCCTATTGTGATTATCCTTAAATAAGCAATTAATATTTACAGTTGAACATGTTGGATAGCTGATCGAAGTATGTGGATAGTACCAAGTGAGACAGAGTGATTTATTGCCATAAAAACATTTTTCTGTAAATGAAAAGAAAAGAAAAAAAAAAAACAAAATTAGCAGATAAATAAAAATAAATTTGTGAAAAGAAGCAAATCAATTATCTAGTATATTAAATTCCCGGGATAGATTGTAAGCGGGGTATATACACGTGCCGAGCAGCTGCCCCGGAAAACAATTTTTACACGCGAGTTAAACGCAATAAATCTAGCAGTATAAACAAGTGAGTGGGGTGTAGGATGCTGCCTGCGGGATGTTTCGCCTAATCAAAGCTCGTAAAAAGAGATAAAAACGAGATCGGCCTACTTCCTATGAAAAGATTTTTTTGTATATATTTATAAATATTTGATATATTTAAATAAGAAGAAAGAGAAAGAGGTAGATTATTAACCTCTTTTTTTTATTATTATTATCTTAAAGTACTTACCACCAATTCTAATTATATATCTACAAATTGTCCTTCCAACTTGATTTTTTGCCTTCTTAACATCTCTAAATTCAATTATAGTACCATTTAATGAAAGACGTGAAAATTCCTTCCTTATTTTTAATTTGTTAAAGCTAGATGTATCTTTAAGAACAATCAAGTTTTCCCTTTTCTGTCTTCTTTCAGTTAATTTTTCAAACCTTTCACTTTTAGGTTTTTTAAAGAACCAAACAGAGTCTCTTGAATTTGAATGTCTACATTTTAAAGTTCTATTCCGGTTGAGTTGTAAATCAATAACTTTATCTGAAATTTGATAAGAAAGAAAAAGTTAATGAAAATTACTTTTTAATGATTTAGAGCAATTAGGTAAATTTAGTTATAAAACAGATATAAACATACAACACTACCCGTACCAAGTTCGATAAATAAGTTAATAATGATGTAACAAGATGCTTATCAGAACAACAGGAAACCGTTTATCTTTAAAATTTTCACTCTTATCAGATAAAATTGAGCTTAAGAGGGACATATTTAAATATATATAAACCAAAATAGAAATAAAATATTAGTATTTCATATCGAATTGCTAAATTATTCGTAGTTTGTTGCTTGTTTACGAAAGGATATTACGGCGTACCGCAGAATATAAAGGAATTTTTTCCCTTGCAGTTTCTCTTTCGACGTACTGCAAAGTTATTTCAAGTAGAAATTTCTAGAATTACCGTCTACGGCCGGCGCCAGTTGGCAGATTGTTAAGCAGATTAGCAGAAGTAGACTTTTCATTACATTTCCTTCTTCTTTTCAACCACTTCCTCTAGTCAAGTTGTGTAAATAGTCTGGGCGTCGTTGACGGAAAAAAGAGACCTGTTGTTTCAAATTATTCAGCTATAGTAAAAAGTTAGAGATAATTGAAGGAGAGAAAGTTAATCCTCTCTTCCTTTTCTTGTAAGAAAACTAAATCGGATTAACGATTTTATCCGTTTTACGCGGTATCTGAACGATAGGAAGTTTTACGTCAATCAAAAAGAGCGTAAACTTTTTTTAAAACCTTTAAGAAAGCATTCAAATTTTACTTACGATTGTTATTTTGTAGCTTATTCCGCCGAGTTCCGATAAGGAAGGCGTAGATAAAGCAGCTGTGTTTCACAGCGAATGCTCATAGACCTTGGCATATCGAATCGAAATTTAATCGATGTTTTAAAAATTATCGATTTTACTAACTTTTCGATTTAGGCGATAATCAGTCCAAAAATAGTTTTATCCTTATTAAATAGTGTATTTGTAGTCACCGGAAGGTTTTTCCATATTAAAAGTCGATTAGAAAGTGAGAATTATAGAACCTGGTTACGTAAGGTCATAAGAATGAATCAAAAAGCTGTGACTCGATCTTAACCCCCCTAAGTCAGCCAAGCTTTTGGCACATAGCCGGTACGTATCAACAAAGATGGCGGTACCTTGGCGCCAAATATAAAAAACAAAAATCTTCTTTTGGATTCTTCTCCTATGTTAGCTTCTTATACTTTAGTGAATTTTACATATATGAAAATTTTAATCTTGCTAATAAATTTAAAAACTAGATATTCTATTTTAACGTAATAAATGTCAATCAACTTATCTATATAACATTGACAAATATAGATAAATAATGAAAAGGAAATGCAAAAGCGCTTGACTAACAATTACTTCCTGTCAAATATGGTCAATTAATTGAACAAAAGATTACTAAAAGAAAAACATGTAAGGGAAGTCATATAAAAAAAATTATTCAAAAAAGACAATAGAAGACATAAAATCCCTAAACAAATGTTCTAGTTTAGTCAGTATCTCTTATCATTTTTATTTTTTTTCACATGACCTTATATCATTTCTTATAGAAATAATAATATAAACACTTTTCTAATTTTTCTGTTGGTGCAATTTAGTCATTCGTGCAAATATGCTTTAACAATAAGAAATTTAATACTACTTTCTTCTGATTGGATACTTCTCATTATTATCATTTCACTACTATTTTATACAAATATCATTCCCCTTTCACTATCTCTTTTCATCCGATTAAATGTCTCCCTCTCTCTCCCCTCTCTCCCCCCCTTAAAGCTAAACTATTCAAAAACCATAATATACTTTCATTTTGAAAAGAAACATTGAAAATCTAATGGCATAACAACAATTTAACCTTAAACTGAGTTAAAATTTTGAATTGTTACCTATTAAAATCAATTCAATGCCTACCTGACACCATAAAATTTAATATCAGTCAAAAAAAGAAATTTATGTAAACCTATAAAAAAAGAAAAAAAAAAAGCCCAATTCTCTATTTTACGTTTATCAAAAAAGGTTGAACCCGTAGTTATTAAGTGCAGGGAAGAAAGTGCTGCATAATCTATTTATATATATACTAATATATATATATATATATATTCTGTTTAATAAAATATTAATCATACTTATGTGATCAATTTTGAGCATTGTCTTAAGGCTGTATTAATATAATTGAGTAAATATTTTAGTCATTTAATCACTTAGCGATATGTTTTCCATAAATTTGGAAAGTATAGTAATAGGTTAGTAGCAATTTCTTAAAATGAAACTTAATGTTGACTGTCCACTTGCGGGGAGTATGCAAGTAATATCAATGTTCTTTTGAAGTTTTGAATATATAGAAACAATCACTTTTTCATTTGGACTTCCTCTTATATCAAGTCGAAAATCCTCGCTGCTTATTCGAATGTTTGAAAATCTTTTTGCTGACATAGGAACAAATTTCGCTGTTTCTCCAATGAGTATTAATTCATCACCATTAAACTTAAATATAGGAGATGTATGGTAGAGACAAAAATTGGCTTTTGTGCAAGTATAATCAACAGAGATTGGATAGTCTTTTGAAAAGATATTTAGGGTGGAATGTTTGCCGTCTAACCAATAAACGCCGTCGTCAGCGTCAACCATATCGGTAGTAATTTGATAATGACTATCGTTTGGTACATCGGCTGCTAGTACAATACCAAATCTATATTTGGAGACAATTGAGTGTGTCGCTGTTACTTCTCCTGCCTTACCGGGCCTAAAAGCTGACCTAACGAATTGCTCATCAACTGAAAGAGCCGGTTTACATGGAGATAATATAAGACCGTCAGCATTGCAAGTTCTCAAAAGAAGTGAAACATTAGACATTCCAACACCATCTCCAGGAGCGACTTGCGACATACTCAATGTTGACACAACAGCGTGCAAAGCCGGATACGGCTCTTTTTTCTTAAAAGGATTTCCGGGCTGGATTGTTTGACTGAAAAAGTTATCTTTATTTGGAAAGACACCAACATTCCAAGCAAAATGAGACGTCAGTCCGATTCTCCATTGTTCGGCAAGCAAGTAATCCGTACTCACTCGAACATTGGTTATACTTTTCAGTTCAAGTACCTGTAGTGCGGTCCGACAAGGTGTCATGCAAAGTTGAGTTGGCAAGCCGTAAAATTGGAGAGCTTCGTCCAATTGCAGTAGCCAAGTTCTCGCTGCCGTAATATTCTCTTTCGTGAAGCTCATTTTATCAAATTGAAGAGTGAGCCAATCTTGCAAATACATTCTCAAACCCCATTGAGTGGCATTATAGAAAAAATCTTTCCAAAATGTTTCATCTTGAGGTAAAGCTATATCCTTGTCTCTTTCGACGACAAAGTTATATTTACCACCGTTTTGCTTTGCATAGACATTATTTGCTGAGAACCATCGATTATGAGCAAAGTATTGCCAGTTAGTTTTCTTTGAAAATTCAAGTAATCCAGAAGGAAAATAGCCTGGTTGAGGAATCCAATTTACGACACCTTGCCTTCCGTCGGACTTATAATACCACCAACTATCGATTTGTAAGTATCTATAAGGAATACCGGCCTTTTGAGAGTATTTATACACTTCATATAAACTTTCTTCGTAAGTTTTATTCTTCAGGGTATTATAATAGAAATATGCACCATTATCCGTCCAATAGCCTAGATAATCATTTTGGAAACTTGGGCCTGGTTTTCTTGCTTTTCCATATAGGCCTCGTAAATTATCTCCCCAAATACGTAAAGCTTTTCCAGGTCCATCAGCAAAGACCATTATCACAGAAGAAGAAAAATGAGCTGGAATGTCTTTTATGCTCCCTAAAATGCCCCATGAAACAGTTCCCTGTCCATTTGAATTTAAATTGTAGCTGGCTGAGGTAACCATAAATTGTGACGAATGTGACAGAACAATAGTATCACCTCGCTTGTTCATTAGAAGTAGTGGACCGCTGTCAAGTCCAGAAGCAATTCGCTTTGTATCATTAGTGCCCCATAGACCAAATTTTTTTCCATCATCTCCGAATGAATCCATTCCCCAGGCAAAAAAGCCTAATTCTTCTTCAGCAGATTTGTCAACTTTAAAAGATGGCCATGTTGAAGCAACACCATTTGATCCAAAAGCATTTGAATTCTTAGCTCCATCAGGGAAAGTTTGCTGAAACTGGTACACGCCCCCTCCGTAATCTTTAATAGAAGTTATCCAATGTAAACCTGTTTTCGTCTTCCAAGCGCATTCTTTCCCTTTGAATTTTCCAATTGCATCTTGACCATTGAAATTCGATGCCCCAACAAATGCTAAAGATGAATTTGTTGTTGAAAACACTGTGGAATTATGTGAAATCCACAAATCTTTTGAGCTTTCAAGCCATAATTTTTTGCCAATTGTAACAGCAAATGAGCATTCAAGATTTACTTGAGTGATTTCAATTTTTGATAAATTGCCATATGTTTGATCCACAAACAAAAATAAAAAAAGTATAAAAAGGTGTATTTTCTTCGTCGCCATGTTACTTGTCATATGACACCTATCTATCACGTGACAAGACTAAAATTATAACGTGGCGAGAATTAAGTTGATAAATAGATTTAACATGGCGTATCCAGAAAAATATTGAAAGTTTTAGTTTTAGTATTAATGCAAAAGTTTATAAAAGTTTGCATTGTTCGGAGAAAAATTTTACTGACATTTAGGGACATAAATCGTAAAATTTTTTGTGTACTTCTGTTTTTACAATTATCTTTTCTTAAAAGTTTCATAAAAACGCATACAAGTTATTTTCTGTTTTCAATTCAGCTAAACTTTTATAATGCATTGTTAAAAGTACCGTTTCATAAAAGTAACAGATTAATATAGATAAAGAAAATGAAATAAAGAACTATTTTTAAAGTTTTTTTCGATCTTTAAATAAATGGTTTATGTGATTTTGATATTTAAAAAGTTTGCAATATCTACACCGTTATTAAAAATACTAAAGAAAAATATAAGAATATCAAGAATTTACTGAAAATTAGTGCACTAAAAGTAAAATTTTGTTTTTTACGTATAATCGCCATTTTTAAATTTTGTGGTTGTATGATGTCGTAGCTAAAGTGTACCCTACACAGCCAAATCATTTTCAAAATGGCTGACGCCGGGAATATTCGTTCGGCTTTAGCTAACCCAACGGGCTGGCAAAGTCTGATCATTTTCACTGTTCTAACTTTAGCTTGGTTGACTGGCTTTAGCTCTAGATTATTTGCAGTAATTCGATTTGAGAGTATTATTCACGAGTTTGATCCATGGTACATTGTCTGTTTCAACGTTTTATTGTCATTGTCATGTCTGTTTTCTTGCAGGTTCAATTATAGATCAACTCATTATATGGTTGAACATGGCTTTTATAATTTTCTTAACTGGTTTGACGAAAGAGCATGGTATCCTCTCGGAAGGATCGTCGGGGGAACTGTAAGTACATTTTGGAAATTCTTTTCATGCATTAATATTCAAATATAAATTCAGGTATACCCCGGCTTGATGGTTACATCAGGATGCATTCATTGGATACTATCATTTTTGCATATAACTGTGCATATTAGAGACATATGTGTATTTTTAGCACCTGTTTTTAGGTAAATATAGAAAAAATTCTTTAAAATATTCACTGTCAAATTTTATACTTTATGTAGAATATTTCTATTAAAATTACATTTTTTCTCTTTGTAGTGGACTCACTGCCCTATCCACCTATTTTCTTACCAAAGAATTATGGAATCCGGGAGCTGGCCTTTTCGCTGCTTGCTTCATAGCGATAGGTATATGCAGTTAGTTTCCTTCATTGATTTTCTTTAACGTCTTCAATTTATATTCAGTTCCTGGTTATATTAGTCGTTCTGTGGCTGGTAGTTACGATAATGAGGGAATCGCTATATTTGCCCTTATGTTCACTTACTATTTATGGGTAATTATATTAATCTATATATTAGCAATTATTTTCAACAATATTTAAAATTAATATAGCATAGAATCTTTACGAAAACTTTTAGAATGTAAATATTTAGTCCTACTATTCAATTCCTTCTTTTTATTTTTTTTTTAGATAAAATCGGTTAAAAGTGGCAGTTTATACTGGAGTGCTTTTACTGCTTTGGCTTATTTTTATATGGTAAATTTAATCAATTATATTTTATTGTCGAATTTTTATTTACTAGAAAAGATATTAATAATTTGTTTGTTTATTTTAGGTTTCAGCATGGGGTGGCTATGTATTTATTATTAATCTCATCCCGTTGCACGTATTCGTTTTGTTGTTAATGAATAGGTATTCTCACAGAGTTTATGTTGGTTAGTAAATAATCAAATTTTATTAAGGGTTATAATCTAATATATTACATAATTTTTTTTAGCATATTCAACCTTTTATACTGTGGGATTAATTTTATCTATGCAAATTCCTTTTGTTGGTTTCCAACCTATTCGCACAAGTGAACATATGGCTGCTGCAGGTATGGAAAGATATCTATTTAAATTAGCTTTTAGCTAATGATCATTGGTTTTAATTTATTTCTAGGTGTTTTTGCTTTAATCAATGCATACGCATGTTTAAAGTATTTGCAAAGTATCTTGTCGGCAAAAGCGTTGAAACAATTCTTCATAATTTCCGTTGCTGTAACAGCAGTTGTTGTATTCATTGCCGTTGTTGGTTTAACTTATCTAGGTTTGTCTATACTTTTATTAGAAAGCATTATGCGTATAAAATTTATTATTATTTTAAGGTTACATTGCACCCTGGTCTGGTAGATTCTACTCTTTGTGGGACACTGGCTATGCTAAAATTCACATTCCAATTATTGCATCCGTCTCTGAACATCAACCAACAACCTGGGTTTCATTCTTTTTCGATCTTCATATTCTGATCGCAACTTTCCCAGCTGGAGTTTGGTTTTGTATAAAAGACATAAATGATGAAAGAGTTTTCAGTTAGTTTTTCTATTTTTCATATCTTTTGAGTTATAGCTAATACTTTTCATCTATATTTTCAGTTGTTTTATATGCCATATCAGCTGTATATTTTGCTGGTGTAATGGTTCGACTAATGCTGACACTTACCCCAGTAGTTTGTGTTTTATCAGCTATTGCTTTTTCGCAAGTACTATCGTGAGTAGAATTAATTCAAAATTAAAAGCACTTTCTTGTAATATGGGTTTCATTTTATATTCCTCTTCAGAATCTATCTAAAAGACGACACTAAAACTGAACAATCTGCTTCTGAAAGTCAACCTAGGGATAACACCGAAAAACTTTACGATAAGGTAATTCATGATTGAGCTTTAAAATTGCTTTTCCTCTTCAAAGAAAGATTATTTATAATAATATAAGGTGAACACTGGACCGTCAAATGGTTCCTCGGCGCGAAATCGAGGCAAAAAAATGGCTAAACAAGCAGTTACAGGTGGACAAAGCCATCAGGTTCATAGATAAACATATGCGTTGTTTTATAAAGTTTTTGTTTCGCTATATAGAAAGGTTGTTTTGAATGTTAGTTTAACTTATATGAAGAAAGCTTGCATGGAAAATTTTTCCTTATAGGCAGATATGTGTAGTTTTTTACCCTCCTGACTGACCCAATTTCCTACCTTTCCAAACTATTCACTTCGAATGAAATAGGATATTTTTGAATATTGTATGCACAAATATACGTTTAAATAACAATATTTTATAAAATTTTCCTCATTTAGAAAACAATCTCTCCTCTAGTATTGAGAGTGAGAATGAAATAAAAAGCATTTTCCTGTTACAAACGTTAATAAAAATGCATCTTGATGTCGTTGTTATCTCGCATAAATACACTAGTATTGTTGACGTATGCTTCTATTGTTCTCCTTAATGATTCAAGATTTTTTACAGCCATCAAAAGTACTCAAAAAGTCTCAAGCTCCTTCGGATGAAATTGAAGGTGACGGTGAAGGAATCGGAATGAATATTAAGTCAATTGTAGTTGTTCTCATGATGATGATGCTTATGTTGTTTGCCGTTCATTGTACCTGGGTAACAAGCAACGCTTACTCTAGTCCAAGTATTGTGCTATCTTCTGGTGGACATGACGGGTGATTATCTTCATTTAAATAATTATAAAAAAGTTTATATTTTTATTTTATACAGTTCCAGAAACATATTAGACGATTTTCGTGAGGCTTACTACTGGTTAAGACAAAATACTGATGATAAGGCAAGAGTTATGAGTTGGTGGGATTATGGTTATCAGATAGCGGGGATGGCAAATCGGACAACTTTAGTGGACAATAACACTTGGAATAATTCACATATAGCTTTAGTCGGAAAAGCAATGTCTTCAAACGAGACTGCTGCTTACGAAATAATGAGATCTTTGGATGTTAACTATGTTCTGGTAATATTTGGAGGAGTAATCGGTTATTCAGGAGACGATATAAATAAATTCTTATGGATGGTTAGAATTGCTGAAGGAGAACATCCACGAGACATTAGAGAATCTGATTATTTCACACAAAATGGCGAATTTAGGGTTGACAATGCGGGATCAAAGACACTCTTGAACTGTTTAATGTACAAAATGAGCTATTACAGATTTGGCGATTTGCAGCTGGATATGAGAACCCCTCCGGGATTCGATAGAACTAGAAATGTTGAAATAGGAAACAAATATTTTAAACTCACTCATTTAGAAGAAGCATATACCACTGAACATTGGCTTGTGAGAATATACAAGGTAAAGAACTTGAAGGGTACACAATAAATTAAGCTAAAACAATCATTATTCCATTTCAGGTTAAGGATTTAGCAAATAGACCTAAGCTGACGAAACTAAAAAAAAGAATTCGTCATATCACAACGAAAAAAGTAAGATTAAATGTCAGAATTCGAGAAAAACTCATATTAATTTTAACAAATTTTAACAGACTATTAAAAGAAGAAAGGGAACAATCAAAGATAAAATAAAAGTTATCAAAGGCAAGAGACCATCGAAAAAGAGAACTTAAAACCAGTTGCGGCCATACCTAGTCATGTGATGAACTAAGTAACAATTGATCAAATAATTAACATTTTGTTGTTAGAAATCGTTGTTTTTTTGTACATACGATAGTGCCTTTGTGCGTAAGAAAGTTTTTGAGTATCTTGATTGTATAAACTAAAAAACTAACGATACATAAAATAATGGCTGCGAAATATATAGTAGGAATTTTTGTGCTGAATTAATGTTATCCTGTAATGTATATACCTATACATACAAATATACATATATATATATATATATATATATATATATGTATATATATACATTATTCCAGTATTTACCATCAAAAACCCTGTTTAATTCTAATTACATTTCATTGTTCTAAATAAAGAAAACAACAGATAATAATATTTAATAATATCAAACAAACGCAATCAAAAACACAATTAAAGTTGATCAATCAAGTTTTCATTACCCGATTCATTGAAAAATTAATAAATAAAGACATTTTCAATATGTACTAACTAAACACAACAATAGTTACGCATTATCGAACATCCACAGCAAACGCAAAAGAAAACAAATGTGGCAATGTAAAATAACAATTAAAGCACTCAATTCGAAAACCTAAAAAGAGCTTCATCTAATCTATAACAAACAACACCTTTCACAGAAAAATTGAAGCCATAATCTTGCAGAGGTCAAATTTAGTATTCAATATCATCAAGGCAACCCGACTCTGTTATAATGTTATCTGGAACATCAACCTTCCGAACGACGCCGTCGTGTAGCACAACAATAACATCCGAATCAATAATAGTTTTCAATCTATGAGCTATTACGATTTTTGTACAATTCGTAAAATGTTCCATCAACGTTTCTTGAATGATTTTATCAATCTTTTCGTCAATGTTCGCTGTTACTTCGTCCATAACTAATATTCTTGGTTTTGATAACATCGCTCTAGCTAAACACACTAATTGTTTTTCACCAACACTTAAGTTATTTCCCCTTTCTTGGATTGAAAAGTTCAATTTATCTACTGATTTCGCGAATTTATCAACTAATTGAGTCTTATATAAAGCTGTCCAAATTTCTTCGTCTTCAAATTCATCGAAAGGGTCAATATTCTTTCGGATGGAGCCATTGAAAAGAAAAGGTTCTTGGGGAATTACTGAAATACCAGATCTCGCTTTTCCTAAAGGTAACTTTGTTAAATCTATACCGTCCAATACAATTTCACCTTGTGGTTCATATAGACGAAGAAGAGCGGCGATTAAAGAACTTTTACCGGATCCAGTTCTACCAATTACGCCAATCTGATTGAGAAAAAGTCAGTCAAGTTATAGAGAGAATAAATTTAGAAAAATGAGGAAAACCTTTTGATTATGTTGAAAAGTGAGATTGATGTTTTGCAAAGCCGCTTTTTCGCATCCATCATAGTAAAGATAAACATTCCTAAATTCTAATTGTCCACTTTTCGGCCAATCACTAGGCACGACAATATCGTGATTAGAGTCATATTTTTCCAATTCTAAATTCGAATATTCTATTATCCTCGTTACTGATGTCATCTATAAAAGGGTCAATTTCGCTAAAGACAGATCATTACCATGCTTTTGAAATACTACTTACATAATTTTCGAATTCAGTAATCTGCCTTACTAGCCATTCATAGTATTCAACAACCTCTAAATTCGAAATGAATGCCACACCCAGAATCCTCAAATTAATTGAATCCGTAACAAAAATTGAGATTATTGAAAGGAAAAAAATTACACATGACATCATATAACCATTTCTATAAACGAGCCACCTTGAGGTATAAATGAAAACAATCCAAGTTTTCAGATGTTCATTTGTATTTTTAAAAAATTTGTTCAAGTAAGTATTTTCCATATTGAAATTTCGTATTGTAATTAAACCATCTAATGTATCAGATATATGAGAATAGAAAGGGCTTCTCTTAGCCGCTTCTAACCATTTCATCATCTTTGTAAGTTTTAATCCATAAAAGGTCACGAAAGCTGTTGCAACGAAAATTGGGATTATTGCAAAAGCCATCCAATATACAGCTACTATGCTCAGGATCATATTAATGCAGATATCAAAAGAAACATATAATCCCCAATGAAAAGTAATCGCAAGTTTATCATCAATAAAAAGTAAATCTCTTGAAAATCTATTCAAAATATTCCCCGATGGAGTTTTACTGAAAAAATCCAACTTTGAATTTAAAACTCTTTGGAAGAGTTTATTATGAAGATTCTCTCCAACACTTGTTGTAAATGTTAAAGCTGAATAGTTTCGAAGAAAATCAACTACGAATATGGCAAACAGTAAACTTAAATAGGTAATGAAAACAGTTTTTTGAGATGACATGTCTTTATCAGAATTAGTTGTTAGAGTTGTCAATAAATAATCAGAATATATTCTTAATGGATTGATTACTATAGACAACGCTACTGCTGTTATTAAGAAAAACACATTTCCCGATGTAAAATATGTTCGATATGTTTTCATATCCGATAAACCCAATCGTAAACTGTTTTCTCCTTCTTCGGGACTCTCTTCAATAGCTTCCAACCTTTCAGGCGGATTATTCATTTCTTCCTTCAAATAAGATAAATTCATATCATTTTCAAGTTTCTGAAAGTTTTCATAATCTCCTAAGAATATCGTTTTTCCTTTATTGAGTATAAGTATTTTATCTGCTCTTTCGAAATATGCCGAATGATGAGTAACGAGAATAACTATTTTATCTTTCAGAAACGTCCTTATACAATCGTAGAATAATCCTTTTCCAACTTTTAGATCTACTGCACTTAGTGGATCATCCAAGAGATATACATCCGCCTCTTTATATACACATCTTGCTAGAGATATTCTTGATCTTTGACCTCCGCTTAGTGTTACTCCCTTTTCCCCAACGAATGATAAATCACCATTCGGGAAACGTTCCAAGTCCTACAACGTTTTAAACGATAAAGAGATTTGTCATTTGATAAAAGATTAGAGAACACTACCTTTTCCAGACAACAAACGTTTAAAACTGTTTTGTAGCGTTCCTCATCATAATCCGAATGAAACAAGATATTCTCCTTGATAGTACCGTGAAATATCCAAGGTTCTTGAGCAGCATAGGCGTATTGGAAGCTGTTATTGAATTGGGTATTGGAGGATAAAGATAATTCACCCATTAGAGATTGGAGGAGAGCCGTCTATGTATAAAATGAATGTAAACAATGACACTATATGTTATGGCTAGAAAACTAACCTTTCCAGATCCAACTTCTCCAGTAATGATTAAGACTTGTCCTTCTTCAATGGAAAAGGTAATATTTTGAATTGTGTATTCTGAATAATCGTTTTCCTGAGTTTGCCAACTGGCAGAAAGATTGTTGACATATAAAACATTTCCGTTTGGTTTTATTTCTCTTTTTACAAAATCTGGTTCTTGAATGAAATCCTAAAAGATAAAGCAAAAATAATGAAATATCTTAAGTAAGTGATAATAAACCTACCAATATTCTCTGAAGAGACTCATGAACTTGAATGAAATCGCTTAATTTAGTTGTATAGCATGACATGACTATATAGATTAAGGCGTTCAAGAATGACATTACGGTGAATGTTGTAGATAAAGTGAGCGGTTGTGGATTTGATGATAACTTCCAATATGATAAAAATGTTGTCAAGAATAGGATTTTAGCACTGGTAATAAATAGAGAAAAATATAAAGATCTAAAGAAATAGGCTTTTCTATAACAACTAAGTTCGAATTTTCTTAATTTTGCAATTGTTTGTCCAAAAACTTTTTCCCAAACATTCATCTTTATAATTTTCATTCCTCGAATTATTTCACCGATCATTTCAATTCTTTTATCTGTTGCCCTATTTATCCTTTGGCGTTGAACACCTTCATAACATGATAGAGATAAACCTATTGCCCAAAAGGTTATTGTAGCTAAAGCTATTAAAGTTACTATCCAACCCAAAACTGAAGATAAAATTAAGAGAATAGCAACGGATAGAACTGGAACTGAGAGAATATAGAGAAATGCATCAGTCATTGGTATTTTTTCAACATCAGAAGAGAGTAGATTTGTGATATGCCCATTAGTAAAATCTTTCGTCGACGAAGTAGAAATTCTTAATATCTATTTTTGAAACTTTGTAATGAAATGATTGAAACAATGCTTTGATTGAATACCTTTGAATATACCATAGTTGAAAATGTTGCTCTGTTTTTAGCTCCTATAACAGTGCCAAAAAAGTAAAAATAACTGTTTATTTGAAGAGTACATGCTACAGAGAAGGAAAATAATAATGCTAGGGCAAAAGTCTTTAGTTTATATCCTACTTCGACATTTAAAGTTTCTAAATACGAAAAATATAATCCAAATATCAGTGGTGTGAAAATCCTACATGATTCCTGTTAAGTAATCAAAGCTCTCAAATAAATAAATTATTTTCAAATATTAAGAACAAACAGCTATTATGTGGGTAATTATGCATAAGATGATGTTCTTTTTTTGAAGACCTCCTGCCCATAGAAATGCTTTTAATGCTCTTAAACTTCCTTTACTGGGTTTGTAACTCCTTTAATCAGTTGTTATATGTTAAATATATATAAATTGAAAAAAGAAGAGAACGTATTTGCTTAAAAAGTCTTACTTAATGTAATCGTATTGCGTTTCGATTTTATCTTCTGGAAGAAGAGTGGAGACATCATCTTCGGTTATTCTCCTTTTTTGAGATTCTCGAAAGAAGCCATTTAACCAGCTAAGGATTAAAAACCGGCTTGAAAGTTTGTAAAAGGCATTGTGAAAAATATTCAACTAACCATAGAAAAAATTTTGATAAAAAATTAGCTGAAGAGTAAGCAGATTTGTGTTTTTCGTGTCCTAATTAAAAAAACAACTAACTTTCCAATTAATGGTTGCAATCAACAGTTAAATATAACTACAACCTAGTAAGAGAGATGTTTCCTCACTAGACATAGCGGCTGAAAAGAAATCTTTCAAAACTAGTTCTATTGCAAAACCTTTTTCATACTCTTTCTATTCATTGTATGATATGAAAATTACCATATATTTCAAGTTGTTCAACAATGCCAAAAAAGGATTCTTTATAGATATTGACAATAGAAACTTTTCATGATGATTCTTTTGTTAAGAAACATTTTACTTTTCTGCACTTTTCTATTAAAACAAATAACAGAATATTTTTGAAAAGTAACATATCGAATCTTGTTAACTAGGCAATTAATTAATCAATACACAATGATTATAAAACAGAAACATAATTAATTTTTTCAATTTAAAAATCGTAATTACATCAACAATCGTTAACTATAATATCTCTTAAGTTTAATATTTTATCTCATCTAGAAACGCTGAATCAATGATAATATTCTCTGGAATATCAATCTTACGAACAACGCCGTCGTGTAGCACAACGATAACATCCGAATCAATAATAGTTTTCAATCTATGAGCTATTACGATTTTTGTACAATTCGTAAAATGTTCCATCAACGTTTCTTGAATGATTTTATCAATCTTTTCGTCAATGTTCGCTGTTACTTCGTCCATAACTAATATTCTTGGTTTTGATAACATCGCTCTAGCTAAACACACTAATTGTTTTTCACCAACACTTAAGTTATTTCCCCTTTCTTGGATTGGAAAGTCCAATTTATCTACTGATTTCGCGAATTTATCAACTGATTGAGTCTTATGTAAAGCTGTCCAAATTTCTTCGTCTTCAAATTCATCGAAAGGGTCAATATTCTTTCGGATGGAGCCATTGAAAAGAAAAGGTTCTTGGGGAATTACTGAAATACCAGATCTCGCTTTTCCTAAAGGTAACTTTGTTAAATCTATACCGTCCAATACAATTTCACCTTGTGGTTCATATAGACGAAGAAGAGCGGCGATTAAAGAACTTTTACCGGATCCAGTTCTACCAATTACGCCAATCTGATTGAGAAAAAAGTCAGTCAAGTTATAGAGAGAATAAATTTAGAAAAATGAGGAAAACCTTTTGATTATGTTGAAAAGTGAGATTGATGTTTTGCAAAGCCGCTTTTTCGCATCCATCATAGTAAAGATAAACATTCCTAAATTCTAATTGTCCACTTTTCGGCCAATCACTAGGCACGACAATATCGCGATTAGAGTCATATTTTTCCAATTCTAAATTCGAATATTCTATTATCCTCGTTACTGATGTCATCTATAAAAGGGTCAATTTCGCTAAAGATAGATCATTACCATGCTTTTGAAATACTACTTACATAATTTTCGAATTCAGTAATCTGCCTTACTAGCCATTCATAGTATTCAACAATATCTAAATTCGAAATGAATGCCACACCCAGAATCCTCAAATTAATTGAATCCGTAACAAAAATTGAGATTATTGAAAGGGAAAAAATTATAAAAGTCACTATATATCCATTTCTAAACACTAGCCACCTTGTTGAAAGGACAAATAAAATCCATATTTTTAGATGTTCATTTGTATTTTTAAAAAATTTGTTCAAGTAAGTATTTTCCATATTGAAATTTCGTATTGTAATTAAACCATCTAATGTATCAGATATATGAGAATAGAAAGGGCTTCTCTTAGCCGCTTCTAACCATTTAACAACTTTTGTCAGCCTAATAGCGTAATATGCAAGATACATCGTTACAATGACTATAGGTATTATAACAAAAATCATCCAGTAAACAGCTACTATACTCAGTATCATGTACACTACAATATCAAAAGATACAAAAATTGCCCAATGAAAAGTAACCGCAAGTTTATCATCAATAAATAGTAAATCTCTAGAAAATCTATTCAATATATTCCCCGATGGAGTTTTACTAAAAAAGTCCAACTTTGAATTTAAAACTCTTTGGAAGAGTTTATTATGAAGATTCTCTCCAGCGCTTGTTGTAAACGATAAAGCTAAATAGTTTCGAAGAAAATCAACAATGAATATGGCAAACAGTAAACATAAATAAGTGATGAAAATAGTTTCTTGAGACGTTTTATCTTTATCACTATTAGTTGTTAGTGTTGATAAAAGATAGTCTGAATAAATTTTCAATGGATTAATAAGTAATGAAAAGAATATTGTAGATATTAAAAGCAGATTTTTTCCACTTGTGAAATATGTACGATATGCTTTCATATCTGATAAATTAACCCTAAAAGTTTCTTCATTTTCTTCTGTACCCTTATCTTTAATTAGAAACTTATCAACAGAAATTTTGCTATCTTCTTCCTTCAAATAAGATAAATTAATATCATTTTCAAGTTTCTGAAAGTTTTCATAATCTCCTAAGAATATCGTTTTTCCTTTATTGAGTATAAGTATTTTATCTGCTCTTTCGAAATATGCCGAATGATGAGTAACGAGAATAACTATTTTATCTTTCAGAAACGTCCTTATACAATCGTAGAATAATCCTTTTCCAACTTTTAGATCTACTGCACTTAGTGGATCATCCAAGAGATATACATCCGCCTCTTTATATACACATCTTGCTAGAGATATTCTTGATCTTTGACCTCCGCTTAGTGTTACTCCCTTTTCCCCAACGAATGATAAATCACCATTCGGGAAACGTTCCAAGTCCTACAACGTTTTAAACGATAAAGAGATTTGTCATTTGATAAAAGATTAGAGAACACTACCTTTTCCAGACAACAAACGTTTAAAACTGTTTTGTAGCGTTCCTCATCATAATCCGAATGAAACAAGATATTCTCCTTGATAGTACCGTGAAATATCCAAGGTTCTTGAGCAGCATAGGCGTATTGGAAGCTGTTATTGAATTGGGTATTGGAGGATAAAGATAATTCACCCATTAGAGATTGGAGGAGAGCCGTCTATGTATAAAATGAATGTAAACAATGACACTATATGTTATGGCTAGAAAACTAACCTTTCCAGATCCAACTTCTCCAGTAATGATTAAGACTTGTCCTTCTTCAATGGAAAAGGTAATATTTTGAATTGTGTATTCTGAATAATCGTTTTCCTGGGTTTGCCAACTGGCAGAAAGATTGTTGACATATAAAACATTTCCGTTTGGTTTTATTTCTCTTTTTACAAAATCTGGTTCTTGAATGAAATCCTAAAAGATAAAGCAAAAATAATGAAATACCTTAAGTAACTGATAATAAACATACCAATATTCTCTGAAGAGACTCATGAACTTGAATGAAATAGCTGAAATTGTTCGTGTAGATGGATAGTGAGAGAAAGTACAGCACATTTAGAAGTGACATTGCCATAAATGTCGTTGATAAAGAAAGAGTTTGGGGATTTGTCTGTAGTTTCCAGTACGAAAAAAATGTTGTCAAGAAGAGAATTTTAGCACAAGTAATAAATAAAGAAAAATATAAAGATCTAAAGAAATAGGCTTTTCTATAACAACTAAGTTCGAATTTTCTTAATTTTGCAATAGTTTGTCCAAAAGCCTTTTCCCAAACATTCATCTTTATAATTTTCATTCCTCGAATTATTTCACCCATCATTTCAATTCTTTTATCTGTTGCCCTATTTATCCTTTGGCGTTGAACACCTTCATAAAATGATAGAGATAATCCTATTGCCCAAAAAATTAGTGCAACAATAGCAACAATGACTGTAGTCCAACCAAAATATGTGTATAGGATTAGTAAAATTGTAATGCAAAGTATTGGCACTGAGAAAATATACAGAAAAGCATCAGCCATTGGTATTTTTTCAACGTCAGATGAAAGTAGATTTGTGATATGTCCAGTACTAAAATTTTTCATTGATGAAGTAGATAGTCTCAATATCTAAATGTTTAAATTGTAACGAAATGGATAAGAACATGTTTTGATTGAATACCTTGGAATAAATCATAGTTGAAAATGCTGCTCGGTTTTTAGCTCCTATGATGCTTCCGAAGTAGAAGAAATAACTATTTACTTGGAGAGTGATTGCCAAGCAGAGAGAGAACAGAATAGCCATTGCAAAAGTTGATAATTTAGTAGCTGTTTTGTCGTGCAAACTCTCCAGATATGAAAAATACTCCTTAAATAGAACTTGTGTAATTATTCTACATGATTCCTTTTAAATAAATGAATGATTTTTTATTGAGTTAGTCATTTATTAAATGAAAAATACCAACTGCTATTATATGGCAAATCAAGAATAGGAAAACGTTCTTTTTCTGAAGACTTAATACCCAAATAAACGCTTTGAACACTCTTAAATGCCCTTTACTTGGTTTATAGTTCCTGTAATTTTGTATAATTGCGTAAATAAAACAATAGAATTTGAAAAAACTTACTTGATTTCATCATAATGACTTTCAATTTCATCTTCAGGAAGGAGAGGGAAAACGTCTTTATCGGTCAATCTCCTTTTATGAGATTCTCTAAACAGGTCGTTGAGCCAACTATTGACATCAAGAAATGTTATTAGATATTTAAAGTACGACATAAAATAATTAAACTAACCATAGAAAAAACTTGGATAAAAAGTTGGCTGAAGTGTAAGGATGATCATTTTTTTTCTTTCTTTTGTCTAATACGGATTAAACATTTTTGAGATTAGCTTGCACCTTTAATATATTAAACCAATGTATTTAACGAGTATTACCTAATAACAATAAAGCTGTTTCTTCACTATCCATTATGGTAAATTTTATAATATTAAATCGTCTTGAGCATAATTTTTCTCCATCACTCAGTTTTACAATGGCCATAAGAGTTAACTTGTCGCTTAATATCAACGTTTTCGTTACGATTACTTTAACAATAGAATATAGAAAGCATTTCTCAACTATGTTATACATTGAAAATTTTTTGAATGGTTAATATTCTTTATAGAATAGAAGACACTGCTCTGTAGATGAAACTGCCGTGACTTTTTATGAAAAATTTGTTAAAGTTCATTTAGGACTTGTTTCCTTAAAGATAAAGAAATCTGTAAGATACATCAGTAAATACTAATTCAAGAAACAGGTGTTCTTCTTTATTCCGCTTTTAAGTCATAGTGTAAATATCTTTCCTTATCATAAACCTGATTCTGACATTGTTCGTGTTCTTTTTTCAATGCATAGTATTAATTTTAAACATGTAAATCAATTTTCAACATCTCTATTATAAAACTTATCCAGCATTATAAACTAACATTCAACTAGCAAGTAGTTAGTCCGATACTTTTTCCCCTCAATATAAAATCAGCATGCTTATAAAACTGGATTACTATATTTATAAAAAAAATGAATATTTAACGCGATTCAAAAGTAATGATTAAGATTTGATGATAGCGATATCAGAAAAAGCATAACAATTGTTTTATAAGTAACAAATTCAACTTGATAGTCATATTTTCTTATTTATTTGTTTATTAATCATATATATGGAGGCTATTCACTTTAAACCAGTTCCAATATTGCACCATTCAAAGAAAATCCACTTTTTCATGCTTTCATGCTTGTGTTCAAAAAATTTCTGTCATGATAAAACTGCCTTTTTTGCAATATCACTTTATCAGCGTTGTTTGATTAATATTTAGAAAGGCCCTTAGCATAAGCAGCTTCGTGCGACAAGACTATTTATCCTTTAAAATAGACACTATATTGTTGTTTGGAGGAGTTCCTTTGGCTCCTTCTACGGATCCAGTACAACTAACCGGAAATGGAAAATTATCCAGTAAGAAATTGTTGTAATTAATTCTGGGTGAAAGACAATACACGATGCCAAATAGTAATCATAGACTAAACTTCAATAAAAATATAAACTATTGATTCAATTACACATGTCTTTCAGATGAACAAACTCCAACATTATATTTCATCAAGACTAATGGCATCATTGAATATATTCTCTGGAACATCAACCTTGCGAACGACGCCGTCGTGTAGCACAACGATAACATCCGAATCAATAATAGTTTTCAATCTATGAGCTATTACGATTTTTGTACAATTCGTAAAATGTTCCATCAACGTTTCTTGAATGATTTTATCAATCTTTTCGTCAATGTTCGCTGTTACTTCGTCCATAACTAATATTCTTGGTTTTGATAACATCGCTCTAGCTAAACACACTAATTGTTTTTCACCAACACTTAAGTTATTTCCCCTTTCTTGGATTGGAAAGTCCAATTTATCTACTGATTTCGCGAATTTATCAACTAATTTAGTCTTATGTAAAGCTGTCCAAATTTCTTCGTCTTCAAATTCATCGAAAGGGTCAATATTCTTTCGGATGGAGCCATTGAAAAGAAAAGGTTCTTGGGGAATTACTGAAATACCAGATCTCGCTTTTCCTAAAGGTAACTTTGTTAAATCTATACCGTCCAATACAATTTCACCTTGTGGTTCATATAGACGAAGAAGAGCGGCGATTAAAGAACTTTTACCGGATCCAGTTCTACCAATTACGCCAATCTGATTGAGAAAAAAGTCAGTCAAGTTATAGAGAGAATAAATTTAGAAAAATGAGGAAAACCTTTTGATTATGTTGAAAAGTGAGATTGATGTTTTGCAAAGCCGCTTTTTCGCATCCATCATAGTAAAGATAAACATTCCTAAATTCTAATTGTCCACTTTTCGGCCAATCACTAGGCACGACAATATCGTGATTAGAGTCATAGTTTTCCAATTCTAAATTCGAATATTCTATTATCCTCGTTACTGATGTCATCTATAAAAGGGTCAATTTCGCTAAAGATAGATCATTAACGTGCTTTAAAATACTACTTACATAATTTTCAAATTCAGTTATCTGTCGTATAATCCATTCGAAAAATCCAGTTAATTCTATGTTAGAAATTAAAGCAATACCCAAAACTTTCATATTAATTGAATTAGTTACAAAAACTGAGATTATAGAAAATAGCGAAATTTCTGTGATCAATATATATCCATTTTTAAAAATCAACCATCTAGTTGAAGCCAGAAACAACTTCCAAGTTTTCAGATGTTCATTTGTATTTTTAAAAAATTTGTTCAAGTAAGTATTTTCCATATTGAAATTTCGTATTGTAATTAAACCATCTAATGTATCAGATATATGAGAATAGAAAGGGCTTCTCTTAGCCGCTTCTAACCATTTTATTGTTCTAGTTAGCTTAATACCGTACAAAGCAAGGTACAATGTAGTGAACACAATGACTATTATTATAATAACCATCCAATATACAGCTACTATGCTCAGGATCATATTAACTATAATATCGAACAAAAGAAATGTAATCCAATGAAAAGTTGTAGCAAGTTTATCATCAATAAAAAGTAAATCTCTTGAAAATCTATTCAAAATATTCCCCGATGGAGTTTTACTGAAAAAATCCAACTTTGAATTTAAAACTCTTTGGAAGAGTTTATTATGAAGATTCTCTCCAACACTTGTTGTAAATGTTAAAGCTGAATAGTTTCGAAGAAAATCAACTACGAATATGGCAAACAGTAAACTTAAATAGGTAATGAAAACAGTTTTTTGAGATGACATGTCTTTATCAGAATTAGTTGTTAGAGTTGTCAATAAATAATCAGAATATATTCTTAATGGATTGATTACTATAGACAACGCTACTGCTGTTATTAAGAAAAACACATTTCCCGATGTAAAATATGTTCGATATGTTTTCATATCCGATAAACCCAATCGTAAACTGTTTTCTCCTTCTTCGGGACTCTCTTCAATAGCTTCCAACCTTTCAGGCGGATTATTCATTTCTTCCTTCAAATAAGATAAATTCATATCATTTTCAAGTTTCTGAAAGTTTTCATAATCTCCTAAGAATATCGTTTTTCCTTTATTGAGTATAAGTATTTTATCTGCTCTTTCGAAATATGCCGAATGATGAGTAACGAGAATAACTATTTTATCTTTCAGAAACGTCCTTATACAATCGTAGAATAATCCTTTTCCAACTTTTAGATCTACTGCACTTAGTGGATCATCCAAGAGATATACATCCGCCTCTTTATATACACATCTTGCTAGAGATATTCTTGATCTTTGACCTCCGCTTAGTGTTACTCCCTTTTCCCCAACGAATGATAAATCACCATTCGGGAAACGTTCCAAGTCCTACAACGTTTTAAACGATAAAGAGATTTGTCATTTGATAAAAGATTAGAGAACACTACCTTTTCCAGACAACAAACGTTTAAAACTGTTTTGTAGCGTTCCTCATCATAATCCGAATGAAACAAGATATTCTCCTTGATAGTACCGTGAAATATCCAAGGTTCTTGAGCAGCATAGGCGTATTGGAAGCTGTTATTGAATTGGGTATTGGAGGATAAAGATAATTCACCCATTAGAGATTGGAGGAGAGCCGTCTATGTATAAAATGAATGTAAACAATGACACTATATGTTATGGCTAGAAAACTAACCTTTCCAGATCCAACTTCTCCAGTAATGATTAAGACTTGTCCTTCTTCAATGAAAAAGGTAATATTTTGAATTGTGTATTCTGAATAATCGTTTTCCTGAGTTTGCCAACTGGCAGAAAGATTGTTGACATATAAAACATTTCCGTTTGGTTTTATTTCTCTTTTTACAAAATCTGGTTCTTGAATGAAATCCTAAAAGATAAAGGAAAAATAATGAAATATCTTAAGTAAGTGATAATAAACCTACCAATATTCTCTGAAGAGACTCATGAACTTGAATGAAATAGCTCAATTGATTAGTGTAGACGCAGGTAGAAACATAGTAAAATGCGTTTAAAAGTGACATTACGGTGAATGTAGTAGATAAAGTGAGCGGTTGTGGATTTGATGATAACTTCCAATATGATAAAAATGTTGTCAAGAATAGGATTTTAGCACTGGTAATAAATAGAGAAAAATATAAAGATCTAAAGAAATAGGCTTTTTTATATCGACCGAGTTCGAATTTTCTTAATTTTGCAATGGTTTCTCCAAAAGCCTTTTCCCAAACATTCATCTTTATAATTTTCATTCCTCGAATTATTTCACCCATCATTTCAATTCTTTTGTCTGTTGCTCTATTTATCGTTTGCCTTTGGATACCTTCACAATAGGACAGAAAAAATCCTGTGATCCAAATAATGATTGCAACAGCAAGCACACAAACAACTACCCAACCAAAGAATGTACTGAGAATTATTAAAATAGCAATACAGATAAACGGAGCTGATAGAATATATAAGCAGCCTTCTATCATAGGAATTTTTTCAACATCCGAAGAAAGTAAGTTTGTTATATGACCAATTGTAAAATCTTTCGTTGACGAAGTAGAAAATCTTAATATCTGTTGTAAAGTTTACATATACTGAGTATGCTATATGAACATTTAATAAATGTTTGTATAGAATACCTTAGAGTACATCATTGTGGAAAACGTTGTTCGTACTTTAGCACCGATAATGCTTCCAATATAGTAGAAATAATCCGATAATTGTAATGTCACAAACAAAGACACAGAAAACGATATTGCTATTCCAAGAGTAGTTAGTTTATTGGCTGGCTGATCGTTTAGAGTTACTAAATATGAGAAGTATAATCCAAAAAGAAGTGGCGTGAATATCCTACATAATTCCTGTTATGTTAATAGAGTTGTTTAAACATAGAGTAATCTTTGACAAAATATTAAGTACAAACCGATATTATATGACAAACAATGTATAGAAAGAAATTTTTCTTTTGAAAACCAAACGCCCAAATTAAAGCTTTAAGTGCTTTTAAACGTCCTTTAACCGGCCTATAACTCCTTTAAAATTGATTATTATTTTAATGATAATTTGAACAGGTAAAGAAAGCAATCAAATTGCTTATAAAGAAAAACATACCTAATATCATCGTATTGTTTTTCAATGTCATCTTCGGGAAGAAGAGGGAAGACGTCATCATCAGTTATTCTCCTTTTTCGGGATTCTCTAAAGAGATCGTTGACCCAACTATTATATCAAAATATAGTGTTAAGGATATTTAAAATATATAGTGTAAATGTAAACTGACCAAAGAAAAAATTTAGATAAAAAGTTAGCTGATGTGTATGGATGATCATCTTTTTTTCTCCTCTTTTCTATTATATATAAAAAAGTTTTTTTTATCCTTAATTAACGCTTTTTGACATAATAACTAAATTTTATTACTTGTTGCTAAAAAAGCTGCTTGTTCACTGCTCATGTTGCAAAAATTGTAACGAACTGAAAAAATAAATCAGTACAAAGGTTATTAGACTGGCATATTTATATTAATGCTTATATTTCATTTATTTTTACATTTTTCCACTTTCCTATAAGATAGTTAATTGATATCTTACATTAATTGAATATTTTAGTAAGAACTAATTCAAAGACCCGGCTTTTCTATCTATGTGCCTTTTGAGAATATCCTTTAGTAATTTTTAGTGAAAATATTTTTAGAGGTAAAATTTTAGATTATAGTAATATTATAGATGATACTAGTCAATCAGTATATTTTCACTTTTTACTCTCAACGTACGAAACTTAGTTTGTAACCCAACTTCCGGTTAAAATTGCCCGTATGGTAGTGCGAAAAAAAAAGTTTTGAAAGTTGCTATACTTTGTTTCGTTTGAAGCAGTTTATTACAACTATTATTATACAATATATTTAATAGTATTAACAATATTAATCAAACGAACAAATATAACAATCATCAAATATGTTCCCTTCCGTATCCATTCCACCGCAAAACAGTAATAGCGGGATTTGATGTGCTCCACTTGCCGCGTTTCTTGTATCCTCTTCTGGTAATTCTGGTGGAGGTCTTGGGGTGATATCCTCATCTTCAACTGCATTTTCCGCTAGGAGACTACTGACACTTCGTTGTGAACCAGCGGAGCTGGGTGCACTGCCAATATGGCTTCGAATTACCTTAAAAGGATTGATGCCAATATAATTTACACGGAGAGTAATGACATTAAGCAAAGAGACAAACCTCTTTAACTATATCTTTGGCTTTATCATCATTCTGTTCGTTATTTTTCCAAACATTTATATGAATTACGCAACTAGCCATATCTAATCTAGGTGGAGGACGAGGTCCATCCATAGTTATCTCAGTCCACTTTGAAGTTGCTAGATCGAAACGCCATAAATCATCAACAGCCGAACCAGAACTTGTTAAACCACCAAAAATGAACAATTTCTCTTGATAAATAACACCAGCATGAGCAGCTCTGCCGCAAGGTGTTCTACCACTACATTTAACGCTATTCCATTTATTCTTCTTTAGGTCAAGTATGTGTAGGTCGTCGTAAAATTTACTTCCAGCCATTCCAGCATGCAGAATAACTATAATTAAATAATAAAAGTTAATACTACCGCTTATAATTAATATGAGTGTAGATTAATGATAATTAAATACTGCATGTGTTTCATTCTATCAGTTTTACAAACCTTTAGAATCGTTAATTTCAGCTAAAACATGACCGTGACGAGGTTTAGGTGTATCACCAACAATTCTTAAAACAGTCCATACTTTTGTAGAAGAATCGAAACGATAAACTTGTCTGTCTCCTACCGGATCCGCTCCTTGATGTCCTCCGCTATAAACGTATAATATACCATTTTTTCCAACAAGACCATGACAAGTTCTTGCCGAAGGACAACTTCCAGTACATTCAATATTTTTCCATGTTTTAGTTTGAACGTTGAACTGTTGCATGTCAGTTAAATTTTTACCAACTTGAGCTCCACCCCATACAAGCAAATCAGAATCATTAGAAGAAAAGGCGCAATGTTCGTATCTAAAGATAAATACTATAGTTAATAAGTTATATACTGTATCTTTTAATCAAATATGACAATTTACCTCCCTAAAAAGCCTACTTCATCAAGAGTATCCCATTTTAAATTGTCTAAATCTAACTCGTATCCATCGGAGAAAGTTTCATGTGGATTTGCACCCCCAATAAATAATACTTTTCTACCCAAGGTCGTTGCAGTAAAACCTACTCTTAGAGATGGAGATTCTCCAACAGCTCCTAATAGGTACCAAACATTTTTTGTAGGATTTAAACCTACTTCTAAATATGGATATAGGTCTAATTTTGCGTTTTCCATGCTTTTTTAGCCAAAACTGGAATATTTCCGTAGCTTGAATACAAATAGTTCTTTGAAGAATCCCCAAAAGTTAAAAATCGTTGATACGTTGCAGATTTTCTGTCCAAAAAATCCTTATGTATAGTTAATGATGTATTGGAATATCTTTTTTTAATAGATGATATTTCTTCCTCTGTAAGCTCCGTGGATTTTATTTTATTCATTAAACTGATGTATATATTGGTATTATCACTCAATATCACTCTACACTACTTAATTTTTTCCTAATTTTGAACTACCTACGCTTTCTTTCTCTTTTTTTAACAAATAAAATATATTTTATCCAATATCTTCTTAATCTCTGTGTTAATTACGTATTTGTAAGCGAATGGATAAGAATCAACGGGTTTCAGCTTGTTTCTAACGACGCCGAGCCTTCCGAAATAATCATGAAAAAATTCTGAAAATTCAGGCCGATGATTGGCTAATTTTCATTGATAAATTTGTTTACGTTTTTCAGTTAACTCTACACTCTAGCTGGTTGTTCACCTACCAATGATTACAAAATAGACAGTCAACTTAAATCTTTAATTTATGATAACTTAATTGCAGATTTTGAAAAGTAACTTAATTAATCAGACCTTTAAGATTGAATAAATTACATAACAAAGATGTCACTCTTGCTCTTGAACAATACAAACGATCCTTATTTAAATCCTGTTTGTATTATTTTTCGGTGTCATTCATATAGTCAATGAACTGACACAAATCTTATATTTTGCATTTTTGTTATTATGCAATAGATAATAAAATGTTCAGCTGAACAAAACATATATATATATATATAAATCTTAAAAGACAAATATGAATGATGTTTAAAAAAAATCCATTACAACTTTTTACGCTTTCTGTTTTAGCATAAACTTTACGTGATGAATTCTTTTTTATAATCTAGATAAGTCTGTAGAGATAACACTGTATATTACAGTAATATTTTAAGCGATAGATGTCAATCAGTATTTTGCTACTTTCTCCTCTTGCCATACGAAACTTAGTATGTCCGAAAAAAGTATACATTTCTGACTTCCGGTTAAAAGTGCCCGTATGTTGTTGCAAATTGACAAATGAAAACATTGCCGTATATGATTCCGTTTGAAGAAGAGTATTATAGCTTACATTTCTATTTGATTTGAAAGAGGGAAACTGCACAATTTCTCTTTCAAAATAAGATACGGAGATTTTTCGGAAATTAATTAGTCGGCCAATCGGTCATCTGCAGGTCAATCAAGAAAAAAAAAATGAGCAAATCGGAGAAGCATAGTAAACGGCCTAAACCGACTTGTTTGTTATACGATTCAGAATTATGGAATAAATGTAAATCAAACTTGAAATTAAAGCCAGTTGGTTTGCAAAATCTTGGAAACACTTGCTTCATCAATTCGGCTTTACAATGTTTATCGTATACTCCCGCTCTAATTGATTACTTATTCGGTTACGGACATAGGCAACAATGTAAGTTTTGTAATTATAAATGCTTAAAGGTATAATTTTAACTAATTTATACAAAATTGTAGGTAAAATTAAAGATTATTGCTGCTTGTGTCAATTACAAAAGCTGATAGAGGAAATGGAAAATTGCAACGGTTTGGGTTTTATACCTCCTATAACAATATTTAACCGTTTAAAAGCGACTTGCAACATGGAACCGGGGCAACAACAAGATTCTCACGAATTTCTTCGCTATCTAATAGATCGTATGAGCAACGATGCTTTATATGAATTTAAGGATTATACAGGAATCGAACGTGAAACAACTGCTATACATCAAATTTTTGGTGGCTATTTAAGGAGCGAAGTAAAATGTTACACATGTAAAAATAAATGTTTCACCTATGACCTTTTTATGGATTTATCCGTTGATGTAAAGGTAAATTCTTTTTTTATCTTCTTTTTGTTATATAGTTTTTGTTATTGTTTTTGCGCAATCAAGATAAGAATTTCTGTATATAAATAGAGCATGAAAACTCTCGGAGAAGCTCTTAGAAAATACGTCAAACCCGAAGTGTTGAAAAATGGCAATGCTTATTATTGTCGTACCTGTCAGAGTATTATGAAAGCTAAGAAGACAATGACAATTTACCGCGCACCTAACGTATTGACATTGCATTTCAAAAGGTGAGTCGAAGAAGAGAGCATCTACTTTTATTTATTCAAGTTAATTAATCTTATTCCTTTCTCTATCTTTTATCAACAAGATTCAAGTTTGTTAATAGACCTCAGAGAATACAAAACACTGTGGAATATAATTTGAATTTAAATATCAAAGATTTTATGACAAAATCTAAATCTGACGATATAAACTACGAATTATACGCTGTTCTCCTCCATCATTCTCAGCACGCTAACGGAGGTCATTATACTTGCTACGTTAAACACAACAACATTTGGTTTCATTTAAATGACGCTAAAGTTAATATCATACCAGAAGACAAGGTAATTAACGATTCGGACGCTTATGTTCTTTTCTATAAAAGATCCAAAATGAATTTCTGGGAGGCTTATTCGGATAAGAAAACTTTCTCTTGTTCAGAAGATGTAAGTAGCATAGTAGTTTTCTTTTATTTAAAAAAAAATAAAGCATTTATTCCACTTTTTAGTCGGAATCTACAAATGATAACGTATTATCTGAAAAAGATGAACCTAAAACTTCAACTCCTATCTTGTTTAATGAAAATAATAGTCTTCCTCTAGCTCCAGAGAGACCAAAGATATCATTTGCCATTCGCCCCCATTTTACGACAAGACTTTCAGGAGTGAAAACTTTCAACGGTCGTCTAATGACCCCAATCAGTAGTCTAATTGATGACGACAGTGATAGTGAGAAAGATGAAGGGCTCAATGAAGACAAGAATGAAAAGGAGAACTCTGAAATTGAATCTAATAGCTCAGCGACCCTTTTATCTAATTTCAATAAGACTTATGAAGAATCGTTCAAATTATTTCCGGATGCCAAAAGTTCAGACGATTTTAGCGACGTCTGCGATCAAGTTGGAAATTTAATGAAAGATTGGTCAGAAATGCAATCACCACCCCAAGATTTTTCCTTTGACGATCAAATACCAGATTTCACAACAGATCCTATTCTTATAGAAAGGAATGAAAAGAAAACCACTCAAGCTTCGTGGAAATCTCTCTGGGCGTCCATTGATGCAGGTTTAGATGATCAATCGAGGCAAAGTCCAACAACCGAAAAATTAATGGCTTTAAAGCAAATGGCGAAAGAAAATGCCGGTGAAATTAAAGACAATGGGGAAAGTTCTCCTCAGTCTGGTGACGTAACCAGTTCCGTTTCTGACGCCCAAGACAAATGTTCTAGTCAAGAATGTGTAGAGGAAACCGCAGAGAAAAAGAGTATAGTTGAAAAAGATACAAATGAAAAGAAGGACAAATTGACAAAGAAAGACAAAAATGAAACGGAACCCGTTAAGCAGAGATATCAAGAGTTCAATTTAGCTGAAAAATTAGTCCCAACCGCTAAAGTATTGCCCATAAAAAAGAAAAAGAATATAATAATTCCTGAACGATCACCCGATGTATCCAATCCAAGTAAAAAAACTACTCAAAAGTCAAAAAACCAAGTAAAAGCAGACAAGAAACAAGATATATCAAAAAGAAAAATCAAAGACAAAACGAAGAGTAAAAAAGAAAGAAAAGATAAATATTATGATCAAAAGGAAGATGCAAATGAAAAATGTTTACAATCCGATTTGCTATTGGACGCCGTATTGTTAGAGGATGATGAAATTATACCAGATCTATTCGACTCACCAGAATCCTCTAATCTTGAATCTTCTAAGGAGATTAACAAAAGTATATTGTGCTATAGTAATTCTACTGGTTACAGTATAGGTACTTTAGACGCTTTAAACGCTACAAATGAAACGATGGAGAGTAATACTGAAGAGAATAGCTTAACAGATGTAGAAGGGATAAATATTGTGAGTAGAAACGCCAACGAATCTAATGCACCTAATACCTTCGAATTTGATCAAAATCAACAGTGTGATGATACCCTACTAAAATCATCAATAGACGCTTTACGTAAGTATTAAAATCTATAGTCATGTTACTTTTTGGTAGAGCAAAAAAAAACGCTTATGTTTTCTTTATCAACAGACAAGTACCAAGATAAATTTCGTTCTTGGGAATCAAACGAAAATACTTCACAGTCTGTAAGTAGAATGGTTTAAATGTATAGTTTATAAGGAAGCTAAACATCTGGTATATATCTTCTGGAATTTTGTTTCATTTTCTAAACGATTTATATTAAAGTTTATTGTTTTTTATTTTGCCCTTTCATAGCGGATGTTTATTTTCGTTATTCATTAAAGAACTAATCGTTCTTTTTATTTTTATTTCAACAGGCTTTTCTACAGAATAGATCCAGCACGCTATCGAAATATTTGTACAAAAATATCAAGAATAATTTGACAATTATTCACAAACATGTAACAAATAACTGGGATAAACTGGGATTTATATTTCTATGGTTATAGATTAACCATGCAGATTAATTAACGTTGTATTACGCAACGATTTAATGGAAGAACTTGGGTTATTAACAACTTGGTACATGTTACAAAAAGGAATAAATTGCTATATATCCTGTAACATTAAAAAAAAAAACACAATGTTGATAATAATATCAACAAAGATTGCAAAAAATCAAAATCAGAGAGCCTTTTATTGGTTTCATACAAGACGTTGGGTTTTAATAACATTCTTTTTTTATTTAATTAATAATTATTTAGGAAAAGGAGCAAATTCATCAAACTCTACACGACTTAGAGGCTTTAGATCGTAGCGTTAAAAGTTTGTCAAATTCAAGAAAATTCAACGACGACAGCTTATCTGTTGTATCTGAATCTAGAGAAGAACTTGGTGGTATATTTTATAAACCAAAGACAACGTTAAGAAAGAATGGTTTAACCATTCGTAGACCCAATGGGCAAAGTTTGAAAGTTATGAACAAAAAAATGTCTGCCTTCGAAAGAACATATAAAAATCTTCAACGTCACAGCTTATGGGATGGCAAGTACTTCCAAGTGAGAGATCAGAAAACGCAAACATTTACTTATCATAAAGAATTGAAATATGGAGAAAGGGCAAATTTAAAATCTCTTACTGTTGACCCAAACAAATACGACATAGGTCCACCTAAATTTACCAAAGATCTCCATCACATTGAAAAATGGCTAGTAAAATCCATCATAACTCCTGGACCTCAAACTCCTACTTCTTGCTTTAATTCATTAGCAAATAATCCAGAGGGGCATCGACATATTACAAAATCAACTACAAGTGCTTTCTGCACTGTTATTAAAAAAGAACGACCAATGCAATCGGCTATTGACTTTATGACGACTGAAAGAAATCTTAAGAGGCCAGAAACTCCTGTCGTTCAGCCTATTAAACTAATCGAAGGCAGTAATAAAGGTGCCAGTCCATTTGCGAAAAATATAGTTAAGGACAACGACGATGTCGTGTCATTGGTAGATGAAGAAACAGGAGATGTGTTTACATTTGTTCCTATGAAAGAAACTAAAAATCCATCTTCTACTCGTTTTGAAGTTCGCAAGAATAATGATGATTTAATGGAATTTGAATTAACCCCTCATTTAGACGACTTATCTTTTCCAAAAAGTAGCAAATTACTTACTAATGACTCGACCATTAAAACTGAAAGCATAGAAGAACAATCGAAAAACGTTGATATAACGGATGAAAATGAGATATCGGAGATTCTCTTGACCGATCTGTCTTGTCAATCAGAATTGACTATTCATGAGGAAGAACTAGACATCTCTGGGGAAAATATTCCAAATGTAACAAAAGACCCAACAGAAAGAATTGATGAACAAGAAAATTGTAACAATTTTATACCTAATTATTTACTCGATTCAAATGACAATGATCAAGATAACCTATTAAGTACAGAAGAGAGCGTCAAAAGCGTCTATTTTATAAAATCAGATATTGCTTTAGAAAATCGTAAAGATTTAGAAAATGTTAAGGAAAAAAAGTTAGTATGTACATCTCAAACAACTTTACCTCGTGTACCAAAAGCAACTATAATGAAAAACTACATGACTCGAAGTCGTGTGATGTCCTTTTCTTCATCTCCTGCTAGAAGCCATCAAGATGATGATCATGATAACAATGATGACGATGATAATAGTAACGATAACAATAATGACAATGATAAAGAGAATGATGACGAAGTTGCTGCAATCAATGAAGATCACGCACATAGAAATAAGAGTCTCCGTATTAAGAGTGCTAAATGGGGATCTAACAGTTTTAGAACCGAATCGGCTGTAAGAAAAAAAGAAGTTGAGGCTAAGAGATTAAAAATGATAAGAGAAAATGCAGACTATTTAAAACGCTATACACCAACATGGGCCAATAAGACGAATCTAAGTAGTATCCACACGATGGAGACTCGTAGCAAATCCAGAACGGAAGACAATAGTATTGAAGAGATTAGACATCAATTAGGAAATACGGGGAAAAGAACAACGAAACGAAAGCTATCTGACAAACTCATACCTACTAGAGAAAAGAAAAGATGTAGATTACTGGATGATGAACAAACACCAATCTTAACGAAGGAAGAACCGTTAAATAGTAATTATCCTGACGATAATAAGCAAACGTCACCGACTTCACTCAAACAAACTGAAAATAGCGAAAATGTCTTACATTTACCTGATCAGCCAGAAAAGGATGCTAATAATGCAAATATAATTAATAAACTACCTTCAACTCCTTTCCTAAACGATTCTTCTGTACATAAAGAAGCGGAAACAAATGCTCAACAACTTTTTAAACGAATGTACAGAGAGGAAGCGTTAATTGATGAAGAGGTTCGGGTTATTTTTTATTTTCCATTTACTTCATATTAATATTTATCAAATTACAAATTGCAGATTAAAGACAATAATCCAGATAGGCCTGTTCATAAGAATTCAGTATCAAAGAACGAAAGTGAGAAAGAGAAAAGAACGAACGAAAATGAGTTATTGAAAAATGTAGACGTTGATCCAATCGAGAATAAAACTCAATTATTACAGCAAATAATAAATGTTAATAAACAAAAAAGTTCAAACAATCGACCTGATGATTGGAATGCTGTATCGGATTGTGGCTATTCAAGCGACGACGATTCAACAAAGAGAAATAAAGCTAATAATGAAGCAGCTGTACAATACCATAACGAATCCAAAGTTAGAGCTAAATATCGGAAACAAGGACCGTTTAAAATAGTTACGGAATGTTGTCCTCGTAACTGTTATTTAAATATTCCATTAGAAGTGCAAAAATATCAGTATGAATTATATTATTCTAAAGATTTTAAAGAACAATCTGAACAGTTGTTGGATTACTTATCATCGGATTCGGCAAGTGTTAATTGCTCAAGAAGAAAATGGTACTATCACGTTCTTACCAAAGATAATAAGGAGGAAAGCGTTTGTAGGCATTTTCTATTGAAGATGCTGAAGATTCCATTAAAACGATTACGAACGGTTATAGAGAAAGTAAGAGCTAAGGAGAAAGGAGAGAAAAATGAGATACAATTGGACGATATGAGAGGACGTCACGTTAAGCGTGGCGTTCCTCCAGTCGTTTACGAAACGCTTCGTACTTTTTTCAATAGATCTGGAGCAACAACACGCAATGTTTTAGAAGTATTTGGAGGTGTAAAAGAACTGTATTATGATTTTGTGTCTTACTACGAAAGTCTTCATCATTCTAAGCCAGATATAAAGCTCAATACTTTCTTTAAAAGGTATAAACTACATTTGCCCGATTAACTTTGCTTTTATGTCTATTTTAAAATATATATAATTATTAAAGATCGTTTTATTGCTGTTTCTAAGACGGGTAATTTATATTTTGTTTCTTCTTGCATTTTTTGTGTTTTCACTCTTATTTGTGTATATAATGGTACACATTGTTTATTGGTGTTTGTAAACTTGAGAAAACTTAATTATTAAATAAATAAATTACAGTTTTTTCGATGAATTTTAAGATCGTCCTTCAATTCCCTTTTTTTTAATAAAACTATTATAAATACTATGCTGCCACCTAGCAGGAATAAAGTTTATACCACCAGATGGCAGTTTGACTTGGATTTTGGAATCATGTGATAATGCTATTAAATTACCTCGAATGGCATGAAAGGCATAATCGTCTTCAATAGTATAAATGATGTTTCATTTATGCACTTGGATAGTGATATTACACTTTACATTAAAAATTTGGCAATAAAACAAGGACTACTAAGAGTTTGTAGATTTAAAATTCGACTTGTCACACTTCTCTCTGACCCACGTTTACTTTTAATAAAATGATAGTCTGATGATACCTCAGCCAGTGTAGATGCTTCAGTCATCACCCAAATATTCTCTCCGTTAGTTCTAATCCAAAGACATTTAACTATAAATGAAAATTTCCCGTACCAGGTAAACTTTTCCTATTCTTTTTCGTTTTTTATTATTCTGTATTCTTAGTTTCTTTATACTTTGATTTTGTAAAGAATCTATTTAACTTAACGAAGAGGTTTTATTGAATTATGAAATCAAACATTGTATTTCTCTATCGTCAGGCATTTGCAAGTCAATCATTTTCGTTCGTTTTTGATCAGGTTCGTATTTTAATCTCAAAGCGTTAAGAAGCATTCTTTATAAATATATATATATATATATAGATATATACTAATATATACTTGTTCAATAGCTGTATATAATCTTTTTTCTCTTATCAGTTGTTAGATTATGTTTTTGTTTACATTTCGGCTAACCGAAGTAATTCTGTCGAATCAATACGAAAAAAAATATGCATTCTTCAAAAAATTATTATGATGTTTTGCGGACCAGTTTTCCAACAGTAATGCTAATTAATCCATTAACTATCTAATTAATGACTTATAATATTCTCTAATCAGTTTAACTCCAAGAAAAGTTAGCGAAAAGTTAGAAATGTGGAAATTTATTTCAGAATTATTCGATAAGTATGAAGAATTAGCTGAAAAAGATGAAAATTATTATTTGGAGGTAAATAACATTCTATGGTTTATGAATATAAATATATAAACACAAACTTACATTAGGCCATAGAACGTCTACTACTGAGCGATAATTTACATGGAATGTTTACTAATATTCTTCGGAAATCATGTCACACTTTGAACAAACTTTGTTCAATTGATATTTCTCATAGTGCATTTTTCTTCGAATCGAAGCTTATATCTTGGTATTCAAAGTGAGTTTAACGGTTTTAAAGTTTATTCTTGTTATCATTAATTGAATTATAATTCTAAATTAATTTCTAGAGCGAATGTGAAAAGTCTTGTACCTGGTGATGTTTTAATATTAACAATATTGATAAGAATTCTTCTTGATCAATCGGACTTGGAAACTGTTAGTAGGGTTTCTGTAAGTTGATAATATATAAAATATATAGGAACTGATATCCTGACATTCTATGTTTTTGTATTAAGAGTCAAGATAGTCTGAGAAGATCAGTGGATAAAAATTCAATTAATGAAAGTCATAATCAACACCAAAATCGTCTAAATAGTTTATTAGGCAAAATTCTAAAATCGCCAATACTCTCACCAACATCCTTTTTGACTAGAAGTGCATCATCATCTTTCAGCTTGCCAAAAAGTGACTGGGATTCTAGTCATTACGAAGGATATCACAGTTTTACTGTCATGCTTGATCATAGACCGGAATCTAGATATACTCCATACACTGCATTCATTCTGCAGTTCTTTCCAGGTTTAACAGCAATGTTTCTTGGTGAAGTAGGTAACGATTTAATTATTATATTCATAGAGTTTATATTTTCATATTTAAGGCTTCAAATTCTCATCATTCCACTCTTCTATGTAAAACTTTAAACATTCTACGAAATATTTATAAGAGCAACATTGTTGAGGGTCGATCATGCTTTTACGTTCTTCGTAGAAACATTGCAAATATTGTGAAAATAGCCACTGAAAATAAGGTTCTTATTTATTTACCCATATTGAACTGAATTTAATTGCGTATATCCTATTTCTTTTATCTTTAGAAATTACTCAACATATCTGTAATAATTGATCAAATGTGGAAAAATTTAATACAAAATGGTATATATGATTATTTAATTATCAAAAATAAAGAAGATAGACAACCTTATCAAAGCAGGTTTAAATTTATTGTCTTTTAAGTTTTAATAATCTCGGTGAAAAAATGATTATTAATTAATAATAATATTTTCTGTTTAGGATAGAATCGTCTTTGATAGTTCTTATAACTAAAATAAGAGAACTTTTTAGAATAATGTACCTTTTACCGATAAAAGTTAATAAAAGAACATATGAGAAAGTTGAAGAAGCTATGTTGGCTACCTATGCTAATTGTTGTCAAGAAACAAACGACTACTTTGAATATTTAGCAGTAAAATCTTCTAGAAATTTAAGCATATCACAGTAAGATAACAAAAATTTATGATAAAAATTATAATACGAAAATTACATATTTGCAGTTTTAATGTCAATTATCCAGGCCTCGTAAATTTTTGGCACATTGATAGAACGTCTAATGTTGTTGTTAGCCCTTCTTTAAGATATGATTTAGAAAGAATTGATCTCCAAATAGATGAATCATTTGTCGTTAAACTTGATGATTTAAACTTAATTCGAAAGACTCTAAATCAACTCTGGTTAGAAGTTCGATGTGGAAATATGAAATGGAATAGTATGGACGAAAAGTTTTATTACAACTATACACTCTGGTTCGAAGATGGCATGGTTTGACAACAAGTTTCGTAATAATAGATTAAAAAGTATACTGATATATTTCTTTGCACTTAGGGGCGTCGATTGTATCCGGATGAAAATTCCTTATTCAATGGTATCTTTGACGGATCGCTTCCTAGCGTTCTCGGAAATAATTTCTATCAGTTTGTTTACTTTCATCACTTCTTATTATATCTATTTTTAAAGATCCTACTTACTTTATTTTTTCTTTAGCTATTTAATTCAACATTGCTTTCCAAGGGTTGAGCATTTATCCATCAAGTGCTATGAGCAAATTACAATACACGCACGCCCACTGGTTACTCTCATGGACTCAAAAATACAACATGGGGAAATTGGGAAACGACTTGTTAGTGAAGATATATTAGAGAGAAAAAAAATTAGTCTTCTGCGATGAATTAAGGAGATGAAAGAGACGCTTAACGACAATGAAAATTCAATATATTTCTTTTTGTACAAGGGACTGCAGCTTTTCATTTCATGAATTATCTACTTAAGGTTCTATTCAAGTAGTTAATAATAGGTTGGGAAATTTTGTCTAGAAAGGATAGCTAATATTAGTGCACATTGCTTTTCCCATGACATTTCAGAAAAAAAATACATATTCTTTATTACAATTTAACAACTCAAACTTAAACATTAAACACAGTTTTTTTCAAAAACATCGACAACTATAGTAAGTCATAAAAATAATCAAGTCCCTGTCCAATCTCCCAGATTGAAATACCAGTATTTAATTCTCGTGCAAGGTCAATACGCATTAAAATTGACTTTAACGTCGGATAATAGACGGTATGTTCTCCAATTCCAGTTCTAAAATAAATTTGAAGTTACCTATAAATTAATAAGATATTATACAAACAAAAATATGTTACCTATAGCTGAAATGATGCTCTGCATATTCAGAATTCCAATGCAATTTAGGTTTATATTTACTAATGATATCAATATACTGCGATCCAATTATTGGTCCACCGCTACCCGTTACAAAGTCAAAACCATAAAAATTTAATCCTAAAAGAATTTTTTTGCGAAGCTCTGATGAAGGATCAGGTACGAGACTTTCGACACAAGCTTTCATCTAATTAATATTCGATAAATCAACAAGGGCTTTTCTAAACTTAAGTAATTTATTATTTACCCATTGTAAAGGACTGTTTGGTCCAGGTCTAGAAGGTGTCGAAAAATCATATGTCATTAAACTGACTGCATCAACTGACTGGGATAACTTTTGAAAGTCATCTTTAGATATCATTCCGGGGGCATTGCTGTAAAAATAATTATACAATCTCTATTTAAAAATATTGATAATTAAAATATTAGATTGATGACATACTTGCTTAATAATGGAGGAGGTATTACAACCACAAATAATTTCTTATTCTTTCTTAATTCTTTACCAATGTGTTCAATAACATGCAGTAATTCCCTGAGATGATAACTAGTTAATATCTTTGGAGATTTATAAAAGCAAATCTTAAACCTACTCTCTCCTGTGCCCTCCTAATTGAGACCAAAGTTCCAGAACAATTCCATGAAACCTATTGGACTATTATAAAACAAGCATAGTCAATACATAAATTTCTGTTGAATATAAAAGACACTCTTACTTTAACAAACTTAGCAATTGTTTCTGCGCATTCTTCAACTTCATCCTCAGACGAAAATAAACGATGAAAATCTTCGCCACTCCATCCATCAAATAAAAGTCTAGGTAACATTTTAACAGGCTTATTTTTTGTGACATCTTTTATCCAACTTTTATCAATATCATGGCCTCCTTCTATTACGTAACTTTGAACTCCTCTACGTTTTAATTGTAACCATACAGGTGCCACATATGAAAACTTCTTGCTAAAGATTTTTGCAATATCATAGCCCCGATTATTCCACTATGAAAATACCGTATAAGATTATTATAAAGGAGATAAAAACAGGAAAATTTAAACTTACAGGTGTAACGTAACCTAAAGTTAATCCTTTAAAATTTTTCAACTCTCTTTCAACATCGCAATATGAACGATATTCTTTAACTATATCTTTCGTTTTCATACGATCGGAAACAAAACCTCTTTTAATAACATTTTGTGTTGATAACTTAATCTATGATACATAAAAGTATAATGCAAACTAAAATATGGTTAATTTAAATTTTACCTTATCGTGGTCTTTTTTACGTTTGTCCTTATCGTTCTTACTTAACGTTCCTAAAGCCGAATACGTACAAATCACCGAAAAGAATAATAAGGAATAAGTCTGTTTTGGGAAAAAAAGTTAAATGCCTTTGTTGCATAATAATAGAGATCACCCGTTTATCGACCATATAAAAGATAAACAATTCATAAAAGAGCAATATTTAAATATTTTGTACAATTTATAATATTATACTTAAACTAACTAGATTATTGATTTTCATCTCATAAATATTTGCTATTTAACACCAAGTCGCACTGTTCAAAGGCCGCAACAAAAGTAGGATCACTGGAAGTACGTGTATGGACACCGTATATCAGACGCGTTACACTCTCGCTATTCTTTTAAAACGCGCCAATATTCATAGAGTTCCAAATTGAACAAACCGTTATAAGTACTCAATAATGTCATGTTGATTTATATAAATGTTTTATTATTAAAGATATTTTAAAACTATTTTATCACTTTATAAAGTTAAAGAGGTTTTATTCTTAATTTGTCAGCAAACAGTAGCGACATCTTCTGCGCACTTACATTTTCGAACGCGAAACAGTTAGGAGAGAACGGTCAAAACATGGCGCTCGCTTATATTTTCTACTAACATAGTAATTTCTAAAGCATCAGTGATCGATCTCAAGGAATTTCAACTACAAATCTTCTAACTTTCAGCAAGTAAGTAAAATATATAAATAATGTATTCTATTCAAAACTAAAGTCATATTAAAAATTCGATAGCGCTTTTATCGCTCAGTCTAGGTTTTATGATCGCATTACTTCCAGTAGCCTTGATGTAGGAATGGCCTCGAAAGTTGTTGATGAAAATTTGATACTAAATTTTGGAGATCTGCCCTCAGAAGGCGAAGTCTTTAGGCAAAAAATTGTTTTTGTTGATGTTGGTTCTGATGAACACGAATGGCGAGAAGTATGCAAATTTATAGCTTCTTTAGGAGCCACGCTGATAAGTCGTGTTACGGATTGTGTAGATTTTTGTGTGTTTAAAGATGGTAGTAAGACAACGTGGGATGCCTGTAGTAAATACAGCGTACCTCGAGTCAGAGTTACATATGTTATGGAATGTAAAATGCTTAATTTTCTTGTTGATATGGACGATTTTCTTTCACCATCGCCTTATCAAGAAGAAGAAGCTGTTCAGGAAAAACTTCCTTCACCTGCTGTCAGGTACCGGTTTTCACCTACTAGGGCTTGTTCGCCTTTAAAAAGCGATGAAGAACTTGAAGAGTTAGACGTTGTAATGAGACGGCATATGGAACGAAAGTCTTTACAAAATGTTCAAAAAAGTCTCTTAAATTTTGATGTTGCTTCAACACCCGAGCCAATTGCATGTTCATCAATAAGAAGAGATAACCCTATGAAAAGTCGAGTAGACGATGATTTAACTCCTAGAGATGTTAAGGATAGCATGGATAAATCAGAGGAGGACTTGTTTAAAGACAGCGAAAATGAACATGATGTTGAAACTACTTTAAATACAAGAAGAAATGCAAAGAAGTCATATAAAAAGTTTTTTAATGATAGTGACCTTAGAGGTGATAAGTCCGATGACAATGGAGTTGAAAATTCTGATAGTCCTTCCGAAAAAAAATTATGTAGTTGGCGAAATCGTGATAGAGAGATTGATTATTCAAAAAAAATATTTCCAAAAGTCGAACAAAATAAAGACAGTTCTGATAAAGAAGCTGAGGACGAAGATGATGAACTGTCATCATTTATTAATCCTTTTGATGGAGACTTTGAAGATTCATTAGATGATGATCCAAAAAGAAAAAGCTTTACCCATAGAAGAGTCGTTCGAATGCAGAATTCCCAGCTCTTGACTTCTTCGCCCATTTGTGATGAAGAGGAGCTGAGAATTGAAAATCTGAGAAATTTAGGTAAATTGCGATGTGATAAAGTGAATGTTATAATTCCTAAGCAAAAATCTCAAAGACGTAAACGAGTCGTAAAAAAGTCTGAAACAAAGAAAGAAAAAGCCTCTAAAAAAAAAAGTGATGATTTATCTTCCAACAGAACAAAAATTAGAAAAAGAAAAGAAACACTATCTGGTCCTCCGAAGGAATATCGACGTATTTTAAATGCAAAGAAACATGACATGTCAATCTATGACTTTCCTAATACACAATCTTCCTCTCAACAAACAGAACAACTCGTATTCAAGAAATCTTCAGATAATGACGAATGCCAGCCAAAAAATATTCCAAAAGAAAATAACACTTCAAATCCAAATTCGCCTGAAAGAGAAAATTCAGTGAAAGAGAGTGTACGCGATACTCCCGCATTAAAAACAACAAGCTCTGAAATAATTAATGAGGAAGAATCAGATACCGATTTTTTCCCAAGCCAATTAGCTGAATCGATATCAATAAAGGATCATAGAAAATCCCGCAAAAATGGAACGCTTTGTGCCCCAGTGAAAACAGATTCTACTACATTCCTCTGCGAAACTTCAAAAAATATTAAAACAGAAGAAAACAATGATTCTTCAAGTGAAGACTTTTGGTCTTCCCAATTGTGTCGCAGCTTATCCTCTAATTCAGTTAAGAAGTCAAGAAGAAATGGAACATTGTGCTCTAATAATACTAAAACGGCAAAAAAAGCAAGAAAAAGTATTGAACAGGCATCTGCACTAGAAAAAATAGCAGCCGTGATAGCCGAAACTGATAATTTCCTTTACGAATCTTCTGAAAGGGAAAACAAACTAAAATCTAATAAGCCTAATACACGCAAACGGGCCTCTAATACTTTATTGACCTCCAAGTCACCAAAGTCAACGAGATGCGAAACTGTAAATTCTTTAAAAGAATCTATGCATAATGAACAAATTTTGAATGAGGCTATACAGCCAACAAAAGCGAAAACTTCACCAAATAATAAAAGTAAAAAGCAAACAGCACAGCAAAGACGTCGATCCAATCGTATTAAATCTTCTGCGGAAGAAATTTTATCTTCTGCGGACAATGAAAAGAATGAAGCAACACTTTTTAAAGTTCCTCTTGCTAAAAAATCTAATAAAGCTGCTAAATCATCAAAATTGCCAGTTCCGTGTTCACACTCAGGAAATTCTTCTAATGACGAAAATTATAGTTCAGAAAATAACAAAATTTCAAGTTTTAAAACATCAAAAATAGCTGTGAGGCGATCAACTAGATCGGCAACATCTAATCGAACGTTAAACTCAGGTACTTCTACCAACAGTACGACTTCCGCAAGTTCATTAACTGTAAAAAAAGATAATGTAAGCAAAAATGAAAATGTGAATTTGCCGCGAAAGACAAACGTAAAATCAAAAAAAGACGAAATCTGCTCTTCAGATGAAGGAATGGATTTTAAAAAGTCGAGCAAATTGAGTCAGGCAGACTCGCTAAATGTAAAATTGATAAAAAGAAGGAAGAGGCAAACAATTTCAACACCTCCATCTCATTCTTTGAAATATACCAAGAGAAATGTTGTATTTAGCTCATGTAACTCGAAACAACAGCAACTCTTTGCTAAAGCCTTAGAAAGACTTGGAAAATTCACTTTGAAAAAAAGTTTAACTAGCAAAAATGATATCTTGGTTTTAGGAAATAATAAAAGAACATTAAAAGTAATACAAGCAACAATATCAGGTTGCATGATAGTATCCTTTGATTGGATAGAAAAATCACTTTTAAATTGTAGTTGGTTGGACTTGGAGACATTTGAAACTAAAGAACTGTTTCAAACAGCCTCAAAAGTTAGATGTGGTATTTTTAAGCTGAATCTCCTATTTCAAAAAGTTGGTAAGATATTCATTGCTGATGATACACAACCTGATAAAGTTGAACTGGTTAAACTAATAAAATCATGCGGTGGATCTGTAACAGAAATTCGTAGCAATGCGAAAGTAATAATAGGAACAAAGAATACAAAAGGCAAATTAAATGGATTATCACCAACTTGGGCTATAGATTCTATTATGGCTAATAAACTAATGGCTGTAGGTTCAGAATATATTTTGTAAGTGATTTTTACATGAGATTGAATATTTTTTGCTAAATTTAGTTGTGTTAGATGATAGATCTACATTTCGGTTCAACACTTTGAAGAGACTCGATATTAACTCAGAATTGACTTAAAATCAATTTTGTATCGAAATCTATATACTGTTGTATAAGTATGGTATAATTTTGTTATAGCTTTTTTCTATAAAGCCTTCTTCTATGTCTTCGAAATTCTGATATTTTATCTAAATTCGCTAAAGAGTCTAATTCAAGAAAGTTGACATTATATTATTAAACTTTTGCAATAAAACGTTTTAAAGCAAGATTGAGATTGACAAAATTATGTTCAATCAATAGCTACTAAAGGTCATCTAAACTAACAAATTTAACAAATACTTCTTATACTGCCTGGAGAGAATCGTAAGGTAAATTTCTTGAACGACAAGGAAAAAAGTATGTCCAGAAAGGTCCTGGTCCACAAACATCTGATAGTGCGTTTGGTACCGTTTTTGTTGCTGGCAGAGAGCTCAGCGGGATGAATCCAGCAGCACCCATTTGCATTGTTTCGATTGTAGTTTTATCAGCTACTACTAGGAGTATCTGCGAAATAAACAAAGCTAAACATGCACAGCCCATGAAGACTCCCATACACATCAGTACTGCTATGTAATAATTCTGATAGATATATAGGGAGTCATCGTCGTCGTAGACTTCTCTTTCAGGTAGGACGCAAAGGTGAAGAAAAGCAGTTAAGAAACTTGTTCCGCTTAACAAAACAGCATAAAATAACAATTGAAGAAATGCAAACTGGGACATGATTCATATTAATAGCAATATTTTATGGATTCCCTTTTATTTTGTAAAGGCGAATAAATGATTTTACTTTATATTTTCTAAAATTTATAAGTTAACTTATTTTGCTACGAGTTTCTTATATAAATCACGTCCCTGATTAGCTTCGCCAACGCAATTATTTATCCAAGGACAATGATGATCCATTTTCAAAACGCATTGTTTACATCTTTTACAGTGATGTGCCCTATCGGGCCTTCTCTTCTGACATTTGTCGCAGTATGTCTTTGGTTGAGTCGGTACTTCAATTGAAATTGAGCTATGTTCAATAAGTTTACTCTCTGGTTCATAAAATTGAGAATCTGGTACTTTTCCTGGATTCGTCATTGTAGCTCTAAATAAACTTAAAATGCAAAACAATGAAATAGTACAAAACATTGCGATTGATAGTAAGGAGACATGGTTCTCCTTATAGTGAGGAATTAAAATAACAAATAAAGTACTCCAAGAGCCGTAGATCCAATATGCTATAATAAAGCTCATATGTAGTAACCCCTGAAGATCGCAATTAAATTTAATATTCCTAATCATGATTAGTTGTAAAGATGAAATTGTATCTAAATTTTACGCAAATCTCGATGGTTACGATTGTTGATTCTAATCGAAAGCCGCTTAAACTGGTATTCTTTTCCTAAATGTCTTGGTGAAAGATTCAAAAACTTTTCAATTCGTTGTTCCTTCACTGCGATTATTTTGGAGGTGGAACACTATACCTAGCAGTCAACGTGACAATAATCATTGTATGTTATCGAAGTAAACATATGCAGGTCGATTCGATAAATACACTGTTTTTTATTTTATAAAGTTACAGCTCATGAAAAAAAGCATTATAAAAGTGATTATGAATAGTGATAAACTTTATTATAGTTGATAAATTAATTATGCTAGTAAAACTTAGATCTGGACGCTTATTTGAGACATTGACATTTAAATATTTTTGTTAAACGGTTAACAGTAATATTTGAAAAATAACAAAATAGTTAATCCTTATGTAACTATGAAGAGATCAATACACGAATGCCAGTTGTCACGGGCAAACGACAATCGATCAGTTTTTTGAAAATTCGAAATATGTTACCCTTGAAAAAATACAAATTGACAAGTTATTGGAAAAGTAAAACGGGAATATTTATAATAAAAGCAGGCTATAAATATCAGATAATGCAAAAATTTATATTCGGGGAGGGGAGCAAAGGTTATTTCTAAAACGATTTCGATTCGATATATCTACAAGCAATATCGGTATTATCGATTTAATAGAACATTCAAATATAGCGTTTGGAAAGTATATTTGGCTTTTTATGTTCGACTGTGAAAAGGATCACAGAAGTAGCGGTGTTCACTGTGTTCAGCAGTGATAAAACATTGTTTATCGTCTGCTGAGCGATTCTATATGAGGCAATGGAAGAGAGAATTATTGAATCTGCAGAGTCTGATGACCACCTTTCAGAATCTGGAGTTGAAGAAGATCACCGTCAGCCATCAGTTCACTTATTTACAAGACGGATTCTTTGTTTGGGACTGAAAACGATCTCAATGGTTCTACTGTATTATTCTTTTTCAATCTCTTTGACTTTCTATAATAAAAAACTAATGACGGTAAAGGATGCTTTAAACTTTTCCAAAATTCACTGATAACATCACTTATGATCTCCATACAGGACTCTAAACTTGGTTTATCAATAACGATGGTTCATTTGATTACGAAGCTTGTGCTGAGTTGCCTCGTTAGGCTAATATACACTTGTTATACAGGCATTCAAAGAGTAATAGTTCCTTGCTCTGAAAATTTTAAGAGAATATGCCCGCCCGGTTATTGTCTATTTTTTTTCCCTTTTCTTTATTGTAGGATAAACGACAATTACGTAATGAGATAAACTAACCACGTTTATTCTGCCTATGGCACGCATATTGAAAGTCTTATTTTGAATTTATTAAATTGTTTATTTTCTTTTTGTTAGGTATTGCCAGCTCTCTTGACATAGGTTTCTCAAATTGGGGCCTTGAATACGTTACTGTTTCCTTGTAAGTTATATTTATAATATTAAATATTCTATACATATATAACATACATAGAGATGAAACAAAAAAAGCATAGAATGTTTATGAAAAGATCAATAAAAAATCTCTTTTAAGAAGGATTTTCAAATATTAATCAATGTTTAAATGATTTTTCTTATCTCAACAGATATACAATGACCAAATCTACAGCAATTATTTTTATCCTTATATTTTCTATTATTTTCAACTTGGAAAAGCCAGTAATAACTATTAATTTGTACTATTTCCTTTATAAACTTCTACAAAATGTTCGTTTATTTCTAATTTTTAGAGAAAATCAATTGTGGTTGTTGTTATATTAATATCTGTTGGCTTGTTCCTGTTTACATTTGAATTGACTCAATTTTCGCTTTTGGGATTTTCACTTGTTCTTTCTGCATCATGTTTAAGTGGTATTCGTTGGACATTAGCTCAACTTGTCATGCAGAGATCGTCGTTAGGTAAAAACTTTACTATACAATTCTTACATCTCACTTTTACTATTCAAATGGTTTAAAATAGTAATCAACAGATGTTTTGACACTTTTGACTCGATCTTTAAAATCTATTATCTATAGGCCTACCTAATCCAATTGATATGATCTACTATATTCAACCGTGGATGATTATGGCCCTTTTTCCTTTGCTATGCGCAGTTGAAGGTATGAAATTTCTTAATTCTAATGAGTTTCTTTGTTATAATCATTCTTATGTTTATCAGGAAACCATTTAATTAAGATACTTAAAAGCCTCTTTAGTGACAAATTTGGTGTGGGTGAATGCTTTCGTCAATTTGGTCTCGTTTTTGCTGGTGCTCTTTTAGCATTCGCAATGGAATGCAGCGAATACCTATTATTATCATCAACGTCTAGTCTAACTTTATCCATATCGGGCATATTTAAAGTAATTTGATTTTAGTAAATGATCTATATGAAGAATCAATTCTTTCAAATTTTTTCCAGGAAATCATTACCTTAACTCTTGCTGCCCTTATAAATAATGATAAGTTAAATCCCATAAATATTACAGGCCTTGTTATGTGCCTTTTTGGAATTATCTTTCATATAAGTATTAAAGCTCAAAAAGAAGGTATAAACACCTAATTGTTTAATTAGATAAAAAATAAACAATTTTTTAATTTCTGCTTAGCTCGAAACCAATTAAGAAGCCAAAGTACAGATAGTGCTGAATCGAGTCCAGCAAAGAAGGAAGACGTTTTACGGTCACTTTTACGAAACTCAAGGACTATTAGTGAATCTAGTTATACATTTGAGTGAACTTACTATACAGTATATACTAGTTAGTTTCTTGTTTTTATGACGATTTCTATTATTAGTACCATTATTGATGTCATATTCTATACAGTATATGTACTGTATATTATGGGTGGTACTTATAGACGACTTACGTTATTATTAATATTATAAAATGCTATTATCAAATTTTCGAATAAAAAATAACAGTGGTTATTCATTACCACAAATAAAATGCAGTATTATTTTACTAATAAACAATGTACTGTGTAAATAAAAAAAAAACATAATTTGATACGTTCAAAGAGTAAGATGCAGAACAATCAATAGATTTTTTCAAGATCTTATAAGAAACTATGAAGAGATTTTGTTGATTATCGCATCTTTTATCAGTTTTTTTCATCAAAGTATTTTTCACGATAGATACTATTCTGTTATTTTTTTCTTTTTTTGTAAACATAAAATAACGATAAGAAAGATAATAGATAAAAATAGATATCCTCTTATTTGTTTATTAATATATCTGATGGTCGTTTTCAGTTTAAAGTATATTTTAAAAATTTTATATCCTCAAGATTTGATATCCTTAAAAAGTATTATTTGTTGCATATATTTGAAAATATTCCATATTTACTATATTAATATTATATGATAATAAATTACAAAACGATAACATTAAATGAACTGTTAGCGCCTTTGATAGAAAAAACTAAACTGGTTGATATTTGAATATTTTACCTCGCACGTTCTGTTATAGCGTGGATGTGATTTCTGTTACTTATTATCGTTCATACAACTAAGCTTCAAAATGGTATTTATATTATTTGAATCTGAATTAAATTCCTTTTTAGATAAAATTAATAAATCATTTCTTCAGGGAAAGGCTAAAAAAACAAAAAAATTCGCCATGACAAAGCGATTAATAAGTCTGAAAGATTCTCGAATGTATGTATTCAGTTAAAATTGTGTAAATTTTAAAATCGTTCTAAAATATTAATTTAATATAGAAAAAAGGAAGATCGTGCCGCGAAGAAGAAGAAGAAGAAAGATCCTCAAAATATGTCTATTAGGGAATTGTGAGTATTTTCTTTCGAGCGTCATAGAGATCTCTTTTGTTATTGATAAAATCTATGTGATATTATGATAAATATACTAAAAGAGTTACTTTCTGATTAATACAGACCCCAAGCATCCTCAGCCCTCTTTTTTCAATATAACGATCAATTGGGGCCACCTTATCATATTTTATTGGATACAAATTTCATAAATTTCTCAATAAAGAATAAACTTGATTTATTTCAATCATTAATGGATTGTTTATATGCTAAATGTGAGTTTTTAGACATTTATTAATTGTATTATTACTAATATTACTACTACTAAATAATATATTAATATTGTTTACAGGTATACCTTATGTAACTGATTGTGTAATGGCCGAATTAGAAAAACTTGGATCAAAATATCGCGTAGCATTAAGGATAGTTAAAGATCCTAGATTCGAAAGATTACCCTGTTTACATAAAGGAACGTACGCTGATGATTGTCTTGTTCAAAGAGTAAAAGAGGTAAGAAGTAATTTTAAAACTTGTACTGTTTAAGCGTTATTAAGTAAAGGCCATTAAAATAAAGAATACTACTGAAATCTTACCGTAAGCAGCAAGTTTGCTAAAGTGATTAATGTAAATATTCTATATTTCTTTCTGTTTGAGAGTACTTGAAAGAGCAGATCTTAGATTTTATTACAGCCTTTTATTATTGTCTTGCCTATTAATATTCATTATTTTTTTGCAGCATAAATGTTATATAGTTGCAACTTGCGATAAAGATTTAAAGAGAAGAATTCGAAAGATTCCCGGTGTACCAATAATGTTTATACAAGCTCATCGTTTCTCCATTGAAAGAATGCCTGATGCCTATGGAGCACCAAGAGTATAAATATTACAAATACATTAAAACGTATATACTTTTTTTCATACCCTTGTTTAATTAACACAATAGTATTAATAATAAAGGCAACAACAATAAAAAACAATTTGCGCTCCGATCAAAGACTAAAAAGCTAAATAAAATTGGAAAAATTCGTGACATTCTTGAAGAAAAGGATAATAAAGACAGTGAAGATTAGCCTTAACATTAAATATTTTAAATAATAATTGCTGCATTATTATTATAATATGAAAATCAAACAAGATTTTGGCAAAGTATTATCAAATATATATATATATATATATATGTTAAAGGTCTTTATATCCTATATTTTAACTATCTCCACTTGACTCTGTCATACCAGAAATTCTTTATGCCATTAAAATGCAATACTTTGCTGTCTTTACTGAACAAGTAAAAGCTAAAATAGTTAACAAGTGTTTAATATATTGACTACATAACAACCTACAGGTAAAGTTATGGTCGGTTTGTTTTGCTTGTAATTTTATCCTATAGTCTATTTTTAACTCGTACTAAATGAGATATAGTAGTTATTAACAAATATATAATGTGTTATATTAATATATATATATGAAGGAAGAAAGTGCTAGTTTCATTGTTGATAAAATATCTTATATAATAATATTTATTTAATAATAAGACTGATAAATAGCAAAATAAGCATAGTTAATATAAAATGGGATTAGCATTAATACTATTGTAATTTTAATTAGCTAATCCTTTTACTTTTTTCCCTCTTTTTTCAACGATAAAGTGGGTGGTACTGGATAAAAGGGGGCGGAAATTATAAAGACTAGGGAAGAGAAGAGAAGAAGATTAAGTTGTGTTTATTTCTAGATTTTTTGTAACATATACGAAATAATTAAGATCTTGGTTGGAAAATCCTTTTATGTTGTCGAAAGTAATTAAATTCCTTCTACGGCTACTTAAACTCTTCTTCTAACTTGGCACACAGACACCAAAGTAAACGTTAAGCCGATAAGATTAAGGCTAATCGATAAAATCGCCGTTCAAACTTGTTCCTTTTTTTTCAATTTTTATACTTTTCTATTTATTTTATAATAAAAAAAGAACATTTTTCACTTCTACGTTCAAATTTTCTTCATTTAAATAATATCTTGGTGAATAGAAATACTATAAATTTATATGTTTTTTATTGTTATCTTTTACTTATGAATATTAATTAGGAGAATGTGATGACCAGCAAGTTTGTAATTGTGTGGAGACAGTTAGCATTCTTGAGGTACTCTAGTTTTGGCACTTGTAGGCGTTCTAATATACGGATTCGTCTAATTTAAATAAAATGATAATAGTGGTTAATTAAAGGTTAAATAGGGAGGATATATCTATTACCTTTGGATTATAGATGTCGTCGAATTTAAAGCCTGATAGTTCATTCTTTAAGTTTAATATTTGATTTTCCAATTCTATCTTATCAGTTTGCCATACGGCGTTACTGGCTGATAACTGTTTTTCCAGATTCAACCGAAAATCGTCATGGAATTTTTGGGCGAAATGAGCGTTATTTTCGGTATTTTGTGGCGATGGTGATTGATGATGATTTTGCTGTTGTGAGTGTGAGTTAACAATCTTCTCCTGTTGAAGGCAGGATTTTGATAACGTCTTTTGCAGTTTATTTATTTGTTCTACATGCTCAGCAATGAGTCTCTCTTTGAGTGCATCGAGGGCAGCCATCTATTGAAAAATATATTAGGTTATTAACTATTTGTTAATCCACTTGGCCTTTATTAGAAGTGAACGGGGCAATAGCGCTTACCTTATCTTTATGGAAAGATTCCCTTATCTTGTCAACGTCTGAAAGGCGTTTCCTTTCCGACGAAATAAGAAGTTGCTTAAGTTGTTTAGCCTCTGTTTTAATGGCTTGATGATTTCGTTTTAGTTCCTCAATTATATTTCGTAAATAGGCTATAGAAGAAGCGAATGAACTTCGTCTGTTGTTCGATCCACCTTCGTTAGTTGGAACTTGAATTGCGAAATACTCGATTATTTGCCTACATTCGTCGTTCATTTGGGATACAGTTTGTTTCTCGTATCTATCCAGTCTACTAGTAACTTCTCTTTCCTTAGTTATTGCATCGTTTCTTTCTTTTCTAAAAGTAGCCAGTTGTTTTTCAACATTCTTTAAAAGTCTCTTTTGTTTGTCACAGTCTAATAAAGTTTGATTTTCTGCACAGTTTTTAATCTGGCTTAATTCTTTGTGTTTTTTAATGGTCAATTCATGGCGAAGGTCGGCTAAAGCCGATTGTTTTGAGTAGATTGTATCGTCCAATAACGTCTGTAATTTATTCATTTCTTCGTGTAGCCTTTCAATTTCTTCACTTTGTCTCTCCGTTATTGATCTTTCCCTGAAAAGTTCCTGTTTAGTTGAATCATTAATTTGATTCAATTCTGCCCTTAGAGCATTCATTTCAGCTTCGTGATGTTTTTTCTTTTCGCTTTTCCATTGTTTCATTTCAGCTAAGCTCGTCATATGATATTCTTCTTCCCTATTCCTCATTTGCTCTTGTAAATCTTTAATAATTTCGTTGGCATCTTCCAACTTTTCCTTAGTCTGTTCGTGTTGTTCCGTTTTAACATCGATTTGCGATTGATAAACTTCAAGAGTTTGCTTATGGGCTTCTTGTGCATCTTTAAATTGCTCTTGAAGATTAAAAAGACTTTTATTCTTCTCCTCTTCAATCTTCTCCCTTTCTGCTTCCATAACCCTTTTACTCTCGTTTAGGGAAGCGGTAAGAGCTTTTTGTGCGTCCTCCGCCAAGGTTGTCAGCTTTTGATCATTAGATTTAAGTTCAATCTGCAATTCTTTAATTTGATTATTCAAGCTATCGTTATCGTGTTGTTTCTCGGCTAATGAGCATTTCACTTCGGTTAATTCCTCTAAAGCCTTTGTTAATTGTTGCCTAACCTGATCAGTTTCTATGTCAGCGGTCGATTTAATTTCATTTAATTGCGATTGAAGGTTTTCTTTCATTTCTTTATGTTGAGCAGTTTTATCGGCCAACATCTCTGAATTTGTTTCCTCTAATTGTTTCAATTTTATTTGAAGATTTGCATGCTTTTTCTGAGCAGAATTCAAATCTCTAGAGGCATCTTCATACTTTTTTTGAGTTTGTTGAAGCTGTTGAGAAAGACTATCGGTTGTTTCTTGCCATTGTTTCTTTTCGTTTAGCATATCGTTACGTATATTTAATAATTGTTTCTTAAAGTCATCTTTTTCGTTAACAACCACTTGTAATTGGTTACTTAACGATACTTCTAAAGTTTTAAACTTGTCCATCCAGTTTTTTCTCTCCTTATCGATAACTTCATCGATTGATTTATCAATCTTTATATTAGACGCCTTTGTCTCGTTCAATTCTCTTTTCGCATCGATTAACTGTTTAGTTAAGGTTTCGTGTTCTTTTAATGTGGCGTCCCTTTTAAATTCGGCCAATAATTGTTCGGCTTTAACCTTCTCTAAAAGATTTCTACATTGTTTTAATTCCGTTTGAGTTTTACGAAGCATTTTTTTATGATTAACAAAATCTTCCTGAAGAACTGAAAGTTCATTTGTGCTAATTAAGTCAGTTCCTACCGAAGAAGCGTTAGAGCTAACAGAATAATCGGCAGCAACATTCTTTAAAGCTAGTTTACTACGTTCTACCATTCTTCTATAATCCTTTTCTAAAACTGAATCCCTATCTTCTTCAACAGTTTTACGTTCAATTATTGGTTCAACTGCAATATTCACATTAGGCTTATTTGACATAACAATTTTTGAGAAGCATTTTTCGAAATCTTCAGTTCTAATTGAGTCGGTTTCTTGTCTATATTCTTCCTCAACCTTATCTCTGGGAGTATACATCTCAAAACGGTATTCGTAATCTGTCATTTCATCTGAACTGCAACTTTGGACAGGCGGAGGTAAAACTTCTTTAAGCTGCGCAAGGCGAATGCCTTCTGAACAGTCCATGTCAGCCGGTGTGTATATTTATAAAGATAGGATTCTATGTATACAAAAAAAAAGAGCCTTCGATCAGTTAGGCGCATAAACGCGTTTAAACACGTTACTTATTGATCTCTCCTTCTTTTAACGTATCCAATAGCCCATTGTTGGCGCCACTGTCTACAAATAACTTTTTATCGTTAAAACTAAGGATTTATTATTTATTAATACCTTTTATATGAGATTAAGGGCCCAAGAAAACAGGTATTAATGAGTACTATTAATAACACTATTTACGCCGTTAAAATCCCCCAATCTCTCCTCCCCCTTCCTCCTTTATTTTCAATCCAAAAAAAGTCATATTTTCTTTTATTAATTGATTAACTCGAATTAAAATCTGAATAAAGCAAAAGTTTATGATTATCATTTGCATAAGAACAACTTAACAAAGAGATTTTTTACTATATTCAAATATAATGTTTACACAATATATAACTTTATATAAACATATTTGTTTACATAGTATATACAGTATATATATATGTGTGTGTGTATGTGTGTGGGTATTATCGGAAATCATTCTCCAATAGTAATAACCCTCTATAAAGCTCATTTGCATAAATTTTTATTTTTTACTACTGTTTAGATAGCGATAAAAATTTAGATACTATAAACAGTCATTGATAAGACATTTTTTTTTTATAAAGATGGATACAATCTCCAAACAATTTTTTTATTACTTGATTATTATAAATCTGTTAATTTTAGTTTTTATTTAATAATATACAATATATGATTTATAACTATAGATTAGTTAAGTACTCAACTAGAAACCGATTAGGATAAAGATAAAGAAAGAGGGTGATAGATAGATAGAGAGAGAGAGAGAGGACGAAAAAAAAACAAGAAACATAAGAGATATGACTAAATTAACATTATTTAATAAGAGTTTTTCAGAGACAAATTCTGTAACAAATTGATGAATAATAACAACAATAACCAATTTACTATACTGTACATCTATATAACTAATGACGTAATAAGTTACTCAAATTCTATATTTGTTTCATTCCTAACTGTTTCTTTTATGTGTTGGTGAAAGAATCCTTGATTTGGTCTACCTTTTGGTGATACTCTCTTGTCTAGCTTGATAGCTAGGTCAATTAATGAGCTCATGCCTTTCATTCTTAGTAGAATACTATCGTGATCGTTTATATGAGCACCTATTATCCAACTATTCTTAGACTCCAAGACCAAAGAGACTGGAAAGATAAATGAATCTTCCATATATGGTCGAACCATCTTGACCCTGTCCATTACTTGTTTGTTAACTTGAATTCTATGACTGATATAGACAATACGATACTTTTCGACGTCGAAGACGAGCACGTGGGATGAGTAGAAGCGTTTATGATTTTGCTTTTTGTAAAGTGTTGAATGAACAACTCCAACGTAGTAAGGATACTCGTAAACTTCTAACGGTGTCCCTCCTCGCAAAGGCGATGTGTGACGATGAAAGGCGAATGAATTCTTTTTATCCTGTTTGAAAATAAACTCACAAAATCCACTGGGAACTCTACACTTCATCACTCGAAGTGGATCGAGGCAATGAACGAAATATAATTGACCTTTCTTTGTAAAAGGCATCCAATGTTTATCTCTTGGAACTTCACCCTTCGGTGTTACAGACTTCATTGGAGTATCTCCATGAATTCTCGGTATTATTGGCAATGATTTTTCGTAGTCAAACAGAAATGTAAAATCGACAAGTTCATCCTTAGCAAAGAAAGCTGCAGTGTTAAACGATACATACAAAGTTTCCTTAAACTTAAATATGCGGGGTTCGATGGGACCATCTCCAATCCAACCGTTTTTAGGAGTTTGAACTCCGAGTATTGAACCATTGGAAATGGGTTCTAAACGATTATTAAACTTCTGAGTAAATAATACATTATCGGAGAAGCTATTTGCCGGCCATTGCTTATTCATCTCATAAACTTCTCGATTTAACCAGATTCTTGAAACAAGAACTAGTTGGTTTTTGTGCCACGTTATAGCAGGACTATTAGCATAGTAAACGTTACCTCCAGCTGGGTCTAGAAATCTTTTTGACGCCTCTTTTTCAAGGTTAGGCGAAAATGAATGAACAAGTCCAGTAGTTACGCTGGCCCAACTCTTGAAAGAGATTCCATATTGCCTAAATGTATATCCATACAAGGAATACGAAATGCGATAAGTATCATCTATAGCAATTTGATTCCCATTTCGATCTTCTTTAGGTGGTTTTCGATTCTTCACCGTTTCGTAAGGTGACTCTCTAACTCTATTCTCAGTATTCGACGACAAGATAACATATATAAGGGCAATCGTTATTAAGATAATACATATTTTTAACGCATCCGAAATAATCTTTGTTATACGAGGCATATCTCCCTTTACCTTCTTCGTGTCGTGGCCCGAAATAGACCGCGTCGTGTTCTCGAATCTATTATCCAAAAGGCATATTGCGCTTTAATATTGTATTGAAATCTCTTCTGCCCTTTTTGGCCTACGTACATTTCAGACTTTTGAATTTTCCAGAGTATTCCTTACTTTTAACTTACTATCCAAAAAATTAAGAGATGAAAATAAATACTATTAACGTCATATTTTTTTGTATATTTCGAGAATACATATCTTTAGAACAAAAATGACACAGATACAGACTTCTTCTATTTATAAACATACAATTAATTAGTTTTAGCTCGAATAGCCGCTCTTTTTCCAGTAACGGCTTGAAATCCAGATTTAATAGAAGCGACAGAACATCTCGATCCACAACTTTCACATTGCAAAAAGTATAATCTTGTATCTTTCGATAATATAGTTTCAGGAGACTTGCATGTATGGCACGTGACATATTCCTCTGTTTAATTAGAAAAAATATTTTATAAATAGAATTTATATTGTCTTGTTTAAATGTTTTAATCTTACTAATATATCTTCTGAGGACACTCTCGATTTGCTTTTGCTGAAACCGTCCCTTGATGATCAATTGATTATTGCCATCGATGGCTCCGCTAAGGGTAACAAAAAGCAAAGTAATATTTAATTACATGAACATGTATAACATATTTAAGTATTTAGGTAAATGCCCATACCTTGTACCCAATTCAGCCAGTAAAAATGCCATAAGATGCTTTGGCGTACGATGCAACATTTTACAGATTTCATGAAAGTTTGCAAAAGAGCTCTTTTTCGTTCCTACTCTCATTACTTGAGGTGGTTTCATAACAAACTTTCTCTTTTCTCCAGCAACCATGTCGGGATTCTTTTCTCGCATTATATCGAACACTCTTTGTAATAATTCTTCATAAGTGTATTCTCTATCTGAATCTATCAGTAATGTGGTACCGTTCTCCTTTCCTTTGGGGGCCATGGAATCTACTTGGTCTAGGTCTGTGCCGCGTACTTTTTTCTTCTTCTTTTTCTTATCAAAAGAGAAGTTATCATCAAGTCCTTCATTATCACCCTCTTCAGTTTTCTGCGATTCGGGATCGAAATAGACCTTCTTTTTCTTTTTTTTTAACGAATTGAAATCTAAATCTAAGATACAATATGTGCAATATAAAGACAGAATGACGTAATCTTTATATAGTTACCATCAACTTTTTCTGTTATTTCTTTAACTCCTTCATCTTCCACATGCCCTTGGCTCTCTGATGCCTGTTCTGTATCTTCTAGATTGATTGGCTTCTTCTTCTTCTTCTTTTTCTTCAAGGTCGGATCAAAGACCTGGCGTAAAATAAAAATCGAAAAAAAAATTATCAATGAATTAAGCTCGCATAAAAAAAATTCTTAAGACAATTTTTTATTGGTGTTATAAGACATATAGAAAAACTGTATTCCACCATCAGCTTATATTATTTGTAATGTTACGTATACAAATATAGTAGCTGGTAAACGATTCATACCCATTCAGGGAAATGATTAAAAAGTAGCTTTTGTAATATTTTACTTACGGGATCTTCTTCAGTCATTTCAATTTTTCCTATTAGTATTAGTAGGCTGTAAATAAGACTACTTATTCGCGTTACAGATGGAAGTCTGACCCAAACGTGCTGGAAGTGCTATAAACGGATGTGTATTCGAATTAGCTACTTTCGTAAGTAAAAATTAAAAAAGAATTATTACAGTCATTTAATTGATCAAAAAAATTAAACGGTGTATACAAATTTTAAGACAATAAAAAATAATACATTAATACGAAAAAGTGTTTGGAAAAAATCGTACGAAAACAGTTTTGGGTTCAAGGACGGATTTGAGTTTTTAAATTAGTAGGAGAAACTTTCACAGGCATCATGTCATCGCAGTGTGACTGTAAACCAACTACAAAATGTATTAATAGCGAAAAAATATCGAAGACTGAACTAGAGAGGCATTTAGCTTCTTTGGGAAGGAAAGAACGTCACAACTATGCAATTAATCATGATATACCGGTGAATCCCTTTTCTGGGCGTAAAATTGAATGGAGCCCTACAACTTTTAATACAGTCAAGGCAGTTGATTTGTTTGACGATAGTCTGCCATCTCCAAACCATTCGTTAATGGATGATGATCGACGAGCTTCTATAACTCACCAACAGTCAATTGTATCATGCGAACATAAGGAAATTTCGGAAGAAAGAAGGGAAATATCTAGAGTATTTTTTGAAAGTTACGTTGGACCACCATCGCCCAATCATAGATCAATTAATATTGTAAATGAAACTCAGGAACAAGAAATGAAATTTGAAAAAGTGAAGTCGGAAACAGAAACAAAAGATTCTTCAACTCAAACTGAATGGTGTATAGACCCGGATTGGGCTCATTCGGGATCTGTTCCATTTCTCAGGTTGTTATCATCAGGTGACGATGAACTTTTTGACGCTAGTCATATTGTATATTTACCGCTATACAAAAAGTCAAATTGGCGACCGTTATTGGCAACGGAAATTCTTCCGAAGGCCTATTTTACAGATGGCCGCGGTAATTTAATGTGTGATCAATATAGAAAAGTTATTGACGGTGATGATGGACCCTCAGGTATGACCCCAAATGAATATCGTCTCATGCAAAGAACTCATAAACTCGATGAATCGCCAAAGATAACGCCGAAATTCGGAAGAGAAAGATTCATTGAATCCCCTTGTGGCCTTAGCAAATTTTCTCCAAAGCTCTCACCAATAACACCTCAAACCAAACCTCCCCAACGATCAGGCTCTTCAACTTTCCGTCTAAATATTTCTCCTATTTTAGCCAATAGTCCTAATTTATACGGACCAGTCGGAGTTGGTAGGATAAGAAAAAATTCAGGAACCGTTGCACCATTCGCTGGACAATTGAGCTTTTGTTTAGACGATGACGATGAAGAGGAAGATGTTGAATCAAACGAGAAAAAGCCGAGAAAAGAAGAAAATAATTTTAATCGTAGGAAAGTAAAACAGAAAGGACCAGTCGTAAATAGTACAATGCGTAGTATTAGTCAAATGGACGAAAATAGCACAATTCCAGACCAAGGATATTTAACGATGAGCACAAGAATGTCGGAAAATATGGATGGAACGGATATATCAGATGCTGCAATGGCTTCTACTCCATCGAAAAATCGGCTCTTTCAAGCTCTTTTATCAACAAATTGCGAACAAGTGGAAGAAAAATAGCTTGTTCGGTCAACTTTAAGCCGTATATTTTTTTTCCTTTAATTTAGAACACTTTAAAATAATTACAAATGAAGAAAATTTTAGTAACTTTATTCTCTTATTTAAATTAGCCTTACTAAAAGTTTGGCTATAATTTTCATTTAGATTATAAAAAGTCATAACGTGTCAGTGTTCAATAAAGTCTTATTCACATTTAGAAAAAAAATCATTTGTTTTCTCTTTAACGGTTTTTATTCTTCTAAACATGCATGTCAACTTTCTAAAATTAACAATAATGAAAACGGGTAAAACGTTTAATTCAAATCGATTAAAAAGCAATAAAGACCCGATACAATAGCAATAAAAACTGGTATTAAAGGAATAACTAATTCAAACAAACAAGTTTCGTTTATTTACTAATATATGCAGTCTAATTGAAAGTTCTTCTTTGAAATAGGTAAGAAATTAAACAAGGTAGTTTGTCAAGTAAGAAACTTTATTATTATATTAGTATAAATAAAAACATAAGAAGATAACAATAGACGAAAAGAACTCTTTAACATGCGTTTATTTTAAATTATTAAATAAATTAAAGTCTTTCTTTAATATATAGTATTTTGATTGAACGTAACGTAAACAATGTAAAGTATAACCTGAAAAGCATAAAGACAAACTTCGTAAAATATATACTGTGATTGATTTTAATTATATATAATATATACAGTGTATATATACACCATATCCGATATGTAATCGCTTATCTTTAATATTAACTTTTAATAATTTATTATATTCAAGAAAAATAACGGTTAAACAAATATTTAATAGCTTTATAAATAAAGGTTTCCCTTCTCTGATATTATTTTGGTTTTATTTCTTTTTCATTTGTAAATGAAAGTTGAAAAATATAAAAAACATTCTCAAATAGTTATTATTTTCTTTGTTTTTATAGTGAAAATGGGAAAAACGTCTCGTACTATTACAATTATCATTTCTCTTAGAAATAATAATAAAAAAGAGTTTTAACAGTCTTTTTCTTAAATTTTAATAAAAACGGAAATACAAGAAAACTTTTCATATTTGCTTCGTTTATAATTGAATATCGTACAGACCTAAATATTTCTTTTTGATTATATTAATTAAATTTGATATTCTTTTCTTTAAATATAAAAAAGAGAGCGAAAGCAGAAGAACAAAAATATATAAAATTGATTAAACTAACTGGATTTTGTATTTTTTTTTGTTTTGCTTACGTTTCATTTCGTTTTTTCCAGACAAATGTTAGGCATTCAATTTGTCCCATTCAAAATCTTTTAGTAGCCATTTCTGTGACATTTCACCAGTGCATGTACTTATAGTAGGCATATCACCAGTTTTGGGAGCACCTAAACACTGTTTGCTATTTACGTGCTTTAGAGCAAATGTCTCTTTATCATATTCCCATAACTGATTACCAGATAGCCCATGACATTTGAATAATTTAACGGGACCCCCAATGGCTGAAACATCTAAGCACAAATCATCAGTTTGAAGTTCCTTCTTAGCAGTAAATGCGAATACTTGATTTCCTCCTAAATTATGGCATCCAACAGCTCCTACATTTTCTCCTTGCTTCCTTCCCATAGAATCCAAACATAAATTTGTAGCTTTTTGTCGAATTTCACCAAGATACGCGTAATTTAAAGGCATTTGAGACTCGGGATAAATGTTTTGCAAGTACCATCGGAATGGTTTACACTGTAGCTTTTCCCTCAGAGCTAATCTCTCAGTTATATCACCAAAATCTGTTCCCTTAACACCTGTTTAAAGAGAAAAATATTATTGTTTTAAAGAAATATCCAATATTTTTTTCTATAACTGATTGTGTTGAGCACAGATTAATATACATCTTTTATAGCAATATTTAATTAAAATTCTCTACGAGTTATCAGTGGTTATGGCAGAAAAACGAGTTAAAACAGCAAAATATCATTAAAGATTAGAATGAAACAAAAGAAATTAGATATTCAAATAACAAGATAAATTGAAAGAATATAATTAGTGAGCCATTAATACTGTGCCAATAGAATAGGTAATTTAATTATGTTAAGATAAATAATGAGATTCATTCAATCATTGACGGTAAAAATTGTTTGTTTTCTGATACAGGCAAAAAACAGAAAAGAAAAGAAACAATGCTAAAAGGACGGGGAATCGTTCTAACACAATCTAAAACGGGAGGGAAATAAAAAAATATAAATATTGAATGTTACTAAGTTATAGTGCTCAGTTATCAACAACAAATAGATAAATGAAATAAAGTCTGAAAAGAATTAAATAATTTTATAAAATCTACACCTGGATTGACTTTATAAAAGAATTCTTTATAACTATCCATCCATACTTCAACTGTTCTCCTCGTGTTTGTATTTAATATCTTGGCTACACCTCCAGGCCATGAATATGGTGATAGTTTTCGAAACACATGACCTACTCTGGAGCAAGTTACTATCATTATTTCACCACCGCACTGCCATATCTGTAAGGAATTGTACAACAGACATGCAAAATAGGAATCAATAAAAAGAGATAAGTGTCAAAATATATATATATATATATTTGTATATATGTATAAATATATAAATGAACTGAATGGCTAGAAAAAAAATGCAGGCACTGAAAACAAACAGGTGCTGGCTCCTAATGTTTTTATATTTCCGTTATTTCATCTCTAATAAAAAGTACCTGGATTAACAGTAAAATAGAAATTCTTCCAATCGTCCATCCAGACGCTTGCTAAACGCCCATTGTTATGATTTATGATATATCCAGTACCGCCGGGAAAAGAATACGGTGTTGCCTTTCGGAACACATGACCTACGTGACTGCAAGTTACTATAAGGACTTCGCCTCCGCATTGCCAGACCTAAGTGCGAAATAGATTGAAGAAAATATGAAGATTGTTTGATTCCGGTGTTTTTGTTGTTGACGCTAGGAATAGGGTTTTACATGTTGAAAGAAAAGGAAAATAAAAGTAATAAAAATAGCAAAGTTGTTTCGAGTGAACATCTCGGCGATGCCTTCCAAACTAAGGAAGTAATAATACTTCATTTGTCATAAATCGTTGAAACAGCTGAAAATTTTCATTACTTCTCACTTCTTAGTCAAAAGCCTTATTTTCTTCTTATTTTGTAAGCAAATCATTGGTTAATACTTTTTAACGCAAACAAAATTCATTAGCAAGGGAACAACATTTGCACAAGTAAAGTTTTGACTGGTTGAGTATAAATGATTGGGATACTTCGTTTTAAAGATTAATTATCTCTACATTATATAAATCTATATATATATATATGCAGGTAAACAAAGCTAATATAAACAGCTTTGTGCTACAGAGGAAAACAAAATTATGACTAAATCTTTAAATATATAAAACAGGTGAGAAAATAGGATAAAAGTTGAGATAAGGCCAGCATTTTTTTAATAGAGAAAATCAATTTTTAATATATGGGTAAACATTGCTTTATTAAAAATCCTTTAAAATAATATTTTATATAGTTTTTAGTATTCTATGTTTAAAAATAGACTTTCTCTCTTTAATATTTGGGTTAATCTGTTTTCTTAAAAGTAAAATGGTAAAATAATAAAGATAAATAATCACCCTGAAAGACATTTCCAAATTCTCTCCACCCCAAATATCCATACCCGAATCGTAGGAACCCACTTCGTAAAAATAGTCTCTATGAATTGAAAAGAGCCCTCCAGCCATTGTTGGTGTTCTTAATGGTAAACTTCTATCATTACCTCTTCTGTCCATTTCTCGTTGGGATACTGGATACCAACGAAAGTTTAATTTCCAATTGAAACCTCCCCACGTCATATCTGAGCCAGTTATATACTCAAAAGTATCATCAGAAATAACATCGATTATTGGGCACACAACTGCCCTTCGGTTTTTTCGAATCTCTTCTAAAAGAGGTTCTAACCATCCTGTTGTACATTCGCAATGGGCATCTAAGAAAGTGAGAACTTTGCCTAGAGACCTCTTTGCTCCTCTTAAACGGGCCCTCACCAAGCCGTTTCGTTGTTCCATTCGCTCAACGTGAACAGGAACAGATAGGTTTTTAATGTAATTTTCTAGAGGTTTCCCTAAGAATTCTCTCTCGCTGGCATCATCAACCAGTATAATTTCTTTTAATAGGTGGCGGGGAGATCGATTTATGACAGAATGTATCTGGAGAGGAAAGAATATGGAGAATTTATAATATTAGCTTAAACAAGACAAAGAAAGATTTATTTTATAGAATAAACATTATTTAAAGAAAAATCCCTTTTTATTCTTGCTTGTTCAGATAAAATAGTAGGAAAAAGACTTAAAATAATCGAAGTAATAGGAGATTATTAATAAATAAATTCATTCTTACCGTTCTTAATAGTGTAGACCATGCCTCGTTATGAAATACAATAATTACAGAGGTATCTAATTCAGAATTTTCATATGATTTAGATTTGCAAGCCTCCATTCGGACGTCTGGAAGAGACCTATTGACACTTATTAAATCAGATGCCATTAGATTGAATTGATTGATTTTAAACATTTCTTTCATTCTTTCTTCTTCAGCTTTTGGTATATGAACAGCTTTACCCATTTCTCCGGGTCCAGTCGGTGCTTTATCTCCAAAGCCGAAGATCTTTTTTAACAAACCCTGCTTTTCAGTCTGTTTTACTTTCGTCTCACAATTTGCTGTTGGATTTGCGCACTCAAAAAAGTACATTATCAAGAATATATCCAATAAAAACCATACGACAGAAGTCGCAAGTATAATTTTGCAGTATTGAAGGTGTTTGACTTTTATGTATCTCATTCTTTTATGCTATAACATTTTCCAATAAAAAATTCATATAGATCCAGGTTAATTAAATAAGTAACGTATATTCTTCTACAAAAGTATAAATTCCTAATAAATTTTTGACAAACTATAAGTAGAGCAAAATGATAATAATCAAAACTTGACGACAATAGGTTAATTTATTGCTGGTGTGACGCTGAGTCTAGTTGACTGCCCATTGCATTTCCGTTTCCGGTTTCAACAATTATTGATAGCAACTTGATGAAAATAGTTAAAAATTTCTCTCATGACTGAGAGAGAACATTAATAAGTTTTACAATAAAATACGAAAGTATCTTTAATGATAATAAAAATTTTGAATTTATCTACTGACAAGATCAACTTGTTAGGCTACTTAACTAGGTAATAAATAATTAAGATATTGACAAAATACAAAATGGAATAATGTTTTAATATTTATTCTATGGTTATTTAAGAAGAAAAAGTTTAAATTTTATAAATTTCTGAAGGGGAAGTTGTAATATATACAGTATATATGTATATAATGTATTTACAGTATATCTTTATCTCTTTCTTGAAACACAAACAATTCATTTCAAGTTCACTTTTTTATTAATTATACTCTTTGTTTTAAATGAGAATATCAATAAGTATTTACATCAATATATTAAATATTAATAAGTCATCATATTAAATATAATATAAATTGCACTATCATAAAAATGATAAGTTAAAATTCTAAGAAAAAAAATTCTGTATCCCCTTTTAAACTAGGGTGAAAAAAAACTCACTGCACTGCCCGGGACTCGAACCCGGCTCGCAAGAATGGGAATCTTGCATGATACCCCTACACTAGCAGTGCTTAGCGGTAAGGCGCTATTGTAAACAAGCCTATAAAGTCTAGCTGGAGATTTTGATAGATTGTATAGATTGTATAAGTTTTAAAATTATTTATTATGTTTCTAGCCAGTTTATTTCTATTTAAAGAAATTTAACTAAATATTTAACGTAATAATAAAAAGGTAAAATATTGATTAATGTTACAGAAAGTACAAATAAAGGAAGAACAAGTCAATTAAATGACAATTTGTTACATTAGTTAAAAGTAAAGCGAAAGAGATTATGATGAATTCTATCAGTCCATAGATCTATACATAAATATATATAGCATGTATATATAGACATGAATATAAATATTTTAGCTGTTTTGCTATTGTATCAGCTGTATTGTAATGAAAATAGCTGACAACGGCCATTTAGCCAGCTCTCTTAATAAGTTTTAGTTTAGTGAAAATACAGAAACATTGCGTAATTTTTTATGGTTACTAAATATAGATATTAATATATCCATTGTATAGAATAATGTACTTTATCTATATATAAATTTATATATATATATATATCTACAGATGTCTATATAATCTAGGTTATTTATTCTCTTACTTCCTCGTTTCGTAATTTCAACGATTTTCCTCTCTATAATTGTTTAAAGGAAACCTGAATAATCATCTATTAGAGGAAGTACTTTCAGAATCAAGTATCTCCGCAATAGACAATATTCATAGTTCCTATATTTCTTTCTTTACTTCTAACATTAATCAAAACATACGGGAACACCTGCAATATATGCATTTAACTATACAGTATACTGTACTGTATATATTAAGGTATTCTATATTAGAAAACATCGATTAATATTATCATTTTTTAAAACACAAAGGTATATAATTAAATCTAATTAGATAAATTTTTATGAGGTTTTCATGTCGCTTTTCCTACATTGATGAGTGTTTTATAGAGATGAAATTTTTTTTATTATACTTTTTTATTACGCTTATAAAGTTTTATATATCGAAACAATATGAAACAATTTTTTCTTTTTATTCATTCGTTTAAGACATTATAGGCCTAATTGTACTTTCTTATTTTAGACTAGTTTTTCTTTGTCTTACATAATAAAACTAGGTAAGTATTAGACGTCTTTTTTTTATTTAGATCATAAGAAGGAGTAGAATTCATTGAAAGATCGAATATGAAATGAAAAAAGGTAACTGGGAAAAAGGAGGAAGAAGAGAGATAAAATTGAAAGAAGTGAAGATTAGAAATTATTAACATCTCAGTAAATTTTGTCAGAATTTTGAATGCTGTTTTTATTTTTATAAGAAAGCTGAAGGCAAGTTTCATGGGAAGGATTCTTCAATAAAAAGAGCACCTTTTAAATTATTTGCTTTTCTTCATTTTATAATTCCAATACTCTTTCAACTCTCTTAAAAATTTTCGTCCCAACCAGAAATTTCATCTTCGGGGATGGTCGTATCTTTTTCATAATGGTCGAACACTGAAGTATCTGTAGGACCATTTAGAGTTGGTTTGATGGATTTTGGTACTGGAATGGATCTAGATCTTAAACCATCCCAATCGAAACCTTGAAACCATCTGTGTTTCCTTATTTCCATTAGTCCATTTTTACCATACCCTAATCTTTCTGTTGGATTACTTTTGCATAATTTTTTTATGAGGTTTGTGGCGTTCCTTCCAACCTTTTTAGGCATATCTAACTTTTCTACACCTTCTAAAATTATATTATAAGTTTTCATAGGATCTGGAGCAACAAACGGAGGGTTTCCCGTTAATAACTCAAACATTAAAATTCCTATGGCCCAATAATCAGCGGCAAAGTCATGGCCTTTATTTAAAATAATCTCTGGAGCAACGTATTCTGGAGTACCGCAAAACGTCCACGTTTTTCGTCCTGCCATTAATTTCTTGGCAAAACCGAAGTCGACAAGCTTAACGAAGCCGGATGAGTCGACAAGTAGATTTTCTGGTTTAAGATCTCTATATATAATATTTTTGTTATGAAGATATTCAAAAGCCTCTAATACGCATGCCACGCAAAATCTAGCCGTTGGATCATCAAAAGTACCGTTAATTCTGAGCACGGTCCATAATTCTCCGCCTAAGCAGGCTTCCATTAGGAGATAAACAAATTTCCTATCTCTAAACGTCTTAAACAATTTAGCTATAAATGGCGAATCAGCTTCCATCATTATCTTCTTTTCTGATTTGACATGTTCCTGCTGTCTTGTTTCCACAATATGCTTCTTCTTTAAGCATTTTAAAGCTAATGATTGGCCAGGAAAGAACGAGGAGGTTACTAATTCAACTCTACCGAATCCTCCAACTCCCAATGTTGCAACAATATTTAAATGATCCAATTCTATATTCTTGTATTTATCGAGTACTTGAATGACGGAACCGCCTGAGGTACCGCTTATCCTGTTAAGCGTTAAATCGTATTAAGAAATCATTATCGAGAACTTTTTATAGGCTTAAAAAGAACTACTTGTATGTGTTTGCAAATACTAAAATCTCTCACCTGATCAAATAGCTATAGCGTATTTATTTAACTAAATAGCCGCAAATAGTCAAATATAGACCCTAAAGCACCCCAATAGCACTAATAATGATAATATTGTAAATAAATTTTTATACCTAACTAATTAATACGAAAGAGATTATATTCGTTTTGTATGTTTGTTTTTTAATTAATTCCATTAATTACTCAAAATGAGTTTAATTAGATACTTACTTTTTATCATCTTCTCCCGTATATCTTTTATTTGCTAATTCGTCTCGTAATTCGTTTAAATCTCCCACCAATTGGCAGAAAGCGTCTCTTTCAACAGTTAAACAGACAACTTTTGAAGCTGCTATTACAGAAGCTGTCCTGTATTCTTCGCTGAGCAACGCTTTTTCCCCGAAATATTTTCCAGCTCCTAGCCTATTTAACTCAATAGCCGTTCCTTCGTCTGTTCTTTTTTCAACCCTGACATGTCCTTCATTAATAATAAAGAAGGTATCTCCTCTTTCACCCTCCCTGACAATATGATCTCCCTCAAAGTAGCAATCTTCCTCGATAACATCAGCTATTTTGGCCAACTGCTCTTTTCCCAATTTCTCCAGCAATTCAACTTTTTCCAGATACTTCATATATCTATCTTGTCTTTCCAATCCAGATTTCATCATGATAGTCTTGAACACTTTTCTATCCAATACCCATAATTTTCCGTCTTCCAAAGCTTGTATGGACGCCGTCCTGGAACAATTGTACAAAATGGCTAGCTCCCCGATTACTTTGCCTGGTTTTATGTGGCCCAAGGTTTTACCATCCTGCGTCACTTCCAGGCATCCCTGGGCTAATACATACAAGGCATTTCCAGGTTCACCTTGTTTACATATGAATTCTTTTTGGGAAATCATTTTTTCGTACATACTTTCAACAACCTCCACAACCTGAGATGTTTCGAGGTTCTTAAGAAAGTCATTGTTAGTTATAGCATCTTTAATCAGTTGTTTAGAACTGAAAAAGAAAAGAAAAAGAAGCGTTTAATCACAGTAAACAGTACCATTGGGAATGATCCAGGCTAAATCGTAAGTAAATATTATTGACAGAACAGTAAGAATATAACTAATTGTGGAGGATTTTGTAAGAGGAAAAGAAACTGATTTATTAGTACAATGAATAATGAACAATTCGTGAGTTTACAGTTAAAGTTAGCTTAAAATATTCCACTTGAAGGCGTCAAGAGTCTGTACAAAAAGTTACTCTCATTTTTTAAAGCCGACAATACGCTATCCTTATCAGTAATTTTTATTCAACGACGACTGTAAAAAGATTCAACAAAGAAGAAATAAAATAAAGTATAATTTACGAGAAATGACTGTTAAATGACACGCTTGTACAAAAAAAAGGAAAGAGAGAAAGAGAAAGGAGAAAATCGGAAATCATCTCTCTCTCTCTCTCTCTCTCTCTCTCTCTCTCTCTCGCTCTATTCTTTTAGAGAGATGAATAGATTTCAATTATCTATTTTTAAGAAGGTAAGAATAAAAAAAAGCATGACGGGAAAAGAAAGTCGCTTTATCAGTTCCTTGGAGTATGTAACTTTGAATGATTTACGATAAGGCCTACGATTCTATGACGACGAGTTTTCGCGGTGTTTACCTAACGCAAACAACCGCTTGCAGTTTCTCTAGCGTTTATACATAACAAAAAACAACTGACAATTTTTGTTTAAATAATAATATCATGGTAAAAATGAGGTTTTAAAAAACACGACAAGGAAGAAATAGACAAGAAAGAGGAACGAGTGTTGAATTTGGTGTAAAAGGAAAGATGTAGTAAGATGAGGAATGAGAAATAAGGAAAGAAAATATATTCTAACCGGAAATCCTTATTGTGATGGATCAGTTCAAAGGCAACATTTGTTGCGTTGCTAGCCGTCCACGTTTCACCCGAAACGGCGAATTTTGCCCTCCTCTTTTGACCGCTCCGTAAGATCGGTTCTATCTCTAAGTCATTTGTTTCTCGTAAGACGGATTGAAGTTTTTGAATTTCATGTTTAAGTTTTTCTATTTCACGGTCCTTTTCATTAAGTAAACGCCGACTTCTCTCTAATTCTTCACCTCTACCTTCCAACAAAATTCGAAGTTCGGTGGTCGAATGACCAGTCGGTCGAACGCCACCACTGGCTGCCGAACCCATGAATCTATTTGCCAATTTTTATTTTTTTCCACCAGCGCCCTCTATGAATGATTGAATTATTAAATAATTTTTGTGATGTTGCACTTTTCCTCTCGTACTCGTTAAAGTTTATATTATACTTTACTGGAAATATCCACGTTTAGTAGGAAATAGCTTTATTCGCCTCAGAAATAAACTTCATCATAAGATGAATGAAAATAAACAAACAAACTTTTTTATTGCATATTTTACTTATTTACGTAACAGATTAAGAAGATTTATTATAAATAAAAAAATATACCTTTATTGGTTATAATTGTCCACAAACTTTATGTATAGATATCAGTGAAGTCTTTTAATAGTATAGTAATTTATACAATTATAACCTGTTATATCAAATATCTATTCATAATTAATTCTTCCTTTTTATAAGTGTTTTTTAAAACTTTATATTCATTAGGAAATCTATTATATTATTTTACTGACTTAGTCTCTTTTTAATCCAATCGATGACTGACTTTTAAAGAAACTTATAATAAAAATAAAAAAAATCGTGTGAAATACTCTTAACAAAACTGGTATGAATATTAAAAATTAAGAAATGATGTATTGTTTTTTTTTTATTAAAAAAATCGTTATTCCTGTAAAGATTTAAAGTCAAATTAGACTCTTTGTAGTATAATTTCCTGTTCAATACTTTAATTTTTGCCGTTATATTTTCGAGTTGATCATATATAAAACAGGCGGTTACTTAGTTTTATCGAATCCCTATAATATCGAGCTGTTTTTCTTGTCCTGAAGGAACTAATTTTGTTTTCTATACATCATTGACGGTTTTTGAAAGACGCATATTCTCCAAATTGTTTACAACAGGGCGTACTTAATACAAAAACAATATCCTAATTTTACTTTCTTCCATTGGTGTGAAACTTGTTTGTAAACAATGTTTTAATCTTTTAAAACTTCTTTTAAAAATAGTATGAGAAGTTACGCGGTTGTATTTGTCAAGTAATGATCTTTCCATTTCTCTGATCAGACCAACAGATTCCATAACTGAAAAAAATAAATACGATATTCAATGAAAGGCATTGAGAAGCATTCTTTTTTGATTGAAGTGGACAGTTCTCTCATGAAAGAACTTCCGCCGGAACTTCTAAGGCAAATGTCCTAAAATATATAGATCTATACAAAAAACTCACCCCATTCTACACCTATCGCTTTATATAGCAAAATATCTTCTCTTCTAACTAAATAAAACAGTCATTTTAAGACTAATATTCAAAACAGAAAAACAAGCTAATATTTTATATGTTATTGATTTTAAAACATATAAGAAAGGTATTTTAAGAGACTATTATCAAAGATTTAAAAGATATATAATAGCTTGATATTAGAAGGACATACAAAGTAATAAAAACAAAAATTTGTCTGTTTTTTTGTTTAGCTCATTAAAAATTACATTTAAGAAGGAGGAACTAATTAAACCATATACAAAATGATAATAACAATTGCTTAAATTTGAGTAATATATATATATATATATTTGTTTTAAGAGGTCTAATATCTCATTTGTACCTTAAAGCTTGACTTGGGATAATAAATATCCATTAAACATCTCTCGGAAATAATAGAGAACTAATTTATAAAAAAGAACTTTTTTTCTAAATTTCTAATAGCGTTCTATTCTCTTTCACTTTTGAAAAAAATTTTGAGTTCAAATAAACTGGTGAAAAAATGTATGTTTTACTATTCCAAGTCGACAATTTCTAACAAGACTAAATATCTCTAAAAGTCGAATAGCTGATAGAAAATAATTAATATATCGTTTTGATATAACTGAAATATGACTGCAGACGATAGTTTGTATGACCTACCAAAGCCACATGCTAAACTATGCTTTGATATTGAAGACTTTGCTAAAGTATTATTTCATCTCTTTATATATTATATTATCGCTCATTTTATATTTCAGGCGAATTTTGATGTTGATCAATTTGTGATAGAATGTCGTAGAAAAGTTCCTCTAGAGTCTTTAAGGGAAGATTTACAAAAATACCTGGATATATTACAGGATTCTATGGTTGAAATAATTAACAAAGATTATGCCGATTTCGTTAGGTTGTCCACTAATTTGGTGACCCTAGATAAGTCTATTAATGGATTAAAAGATCCTTTAGTGAATATTCGAGAAAAATTAAATGATTCCAATGGTGAATTGGAAGTAAAGGTTTCCGAAATTGAAATGAAACTTCAGAAAGAAGATGATATCAGGGAGAAAAAAGTATATATCTTTTATTAATTATATTTATAGAATGCAATTATACTCTTTCTTAGAATTTAATAAGGCGACTTATGAACATAATGAGCTCGGTCGAAAATATTGAGGGACTACTTGGTTTAGAAGAAAATGGCACAATTTCCGAAAATGAACTGTAAGAGTTTTTATTTAATTAATAAAATAAAATAGTTTCTGTTATCGCACGTTTAAGCATCACAAACGATTATAAATTGGAGAGGGTCGCGTCAATATTCAACAAACTGCAGTTCGACGTCAACCAGTGCAGAAATTGTTCCTTGGTGCAAAATTTAAGACCTGTAAGTTAATCTGGTAGAAAATTATTTAAAAGAGTTAGATATAAAGCTCTGACATTAATATTAATATTATCTTTATCGTTCTTGTCATTTTTAGAGGATTAGTGCCATAACAAGCGCTCTTCAATCAAATTTGGAGACTGCTTTACACCAGAGTCTAATGTTGAACGATGTTGCTGTGATAAGAAAATGTCTAAGAACATACGCCCTTATAGATAAATGTAAAGATGCAGAAGAGCTCTTTCAGTCAGCCATTGTGTCACCTTACTTTGAAAAGGTTTAGATATTTAGTGCAATTTATCTTTAAATTAAAAAAATTCTTAATTGATCCATTTTTTTAGGTCATTACAGAGGAATACATTGCTAATAATCCAAGAGGTCTGCAAGTTGTCTATGAAAGTATATTAAACTTTATTCCAAAACATTGCAAGAGCGTTAGAGAAGCCGTTATCGGACCAAAAGATGAAAATGCTCATATTCCAGGATTTGAATTTGTAGTAAATGCCGTTTGGCCTGAAGTAATTGGTCGAATTCTCGAAGATCTGACGTCAATTTTTAATGCTGGAAATCCAGAAAGATTTTTTGAGGTTGTTTTGTGTTTATCATAATGTGACACATTTTATTTCTTGTAAAAATAACTAAATGATTATGTGTTATACAGAAATATACTCTAAGTATGGAATTTGTAACAAATTTCGAAAAGCATTGCTCTTCTCAACAATCAGTGAAAAAGTTACGAAGTTCTCCAGCATATCAGTCATTTATGAACAAATGGAGCTTACCAGTTTATTTTCAAATAAGGTGATTTAATCTTAATCATAAAATTAGATTTCTTAATGGCTATTAACTATTAATATTTTTCATAGATTTCAAGAAATCGCTGGTCAGTTGGAGGGTGCAATAGAAAGTAATAATAATGAAATGGTCAAAGAAGGAAAATTCTATTTGAAAATTACAGAAAGTCTCTGGCATTGTTTGAGCAGATGTTGGGCAGGCGATGTTTTTGTACCGAGTTTAGTTCATAGATTTTGGAAGTTTACTCTTCAATTAATATCTCGATATAGCTCTTGGATGGAAAGTGCCTCTGGTGATGAAACAATTTTAACACTAATAACAGTTGATGCTTTCTCTTTAATCGCAAAGGTAAACATAATTTTAATCTATTGAAAACAAAACAATTAGAATTTTTACCGTTACTTGATAAATAAAGCTTCCTTCATTCTACCAAACCAAAATTCTCCCGCGACTTCTGGCTCTGGGCCTGAATGATTATAAGCAACTCGAAAAATCTCTTAACTGCTGTTATGAAAGTTTAGATGAAAAAGCAAAACTTTTATTGAATAAGGTACAAAGAATTGTTATAAACAAAAGCTCGGAGCAGTTAAAGAGTGTTAATGAGTTACCTCGCCTGTATAGACGAACAAACAAAGAAGTAAGTAAATATTTTATTTGCTTTAACTTTTATTGAATTGACTTTTTCCTTTCATTATAACAGGTACCTACGAAGCCTTCGAAATATATTACTACATTTTGTAACATTCTAACTGCTTTTGTCAATAAAGCTGCAACCTTTCTCCCAGAAGAGAAAAAAAAGAGTGTTATTTTAGAAATTATACTAGAAATATCCAATCAGTAAATATAATACTTTATCATTAAGTAAATATCAATTTGTAAAAACATATCTCTATTATAGATTTGAACTGGTAACGGATGAACTTCTTGTATCCGTTAAGAAAACAGAAGAAAGTCTAAGAAGACTTAAAAGAAAAACTCGCGCTAATACTTCGCCAGGAAGCATATCGGATGATGATAAAATTCGCATGCAAATTATTTTGGACATTGACTCATTTCGCGTTCAGGTTGTTTTATATTTATGTTATATCAAATATGTATCTTCAATTGTAAATTGTTCGTTTTTTTTTAAACAGGCCAAAGAATTTGGCGCAGAGAGTCAAATTGAAAATTTATCAAAGTTATCGGATAGGGCGAAATCTGATATGACTAGTTGATAGAACAATAACTATTCAAATGAAAACTGTACATATTAGGAAATTATTTTTCCAAAAAGCATGAAATTAATTCAATATTATTAAAGAAGCGGGAAATTTAAGATGGAATAATAAATATACTCCTATTCTTATTTGAGAATAAGAAAATTTAAATTTAAAATGATTTAAGCTGCAAAAATATTTACATATTTTTATTTAATAATCCTTTTGAAGTCTTTGAAAAAGATTGAAACACGAAAGAAAATAGTTAATAAAGTCTTAGACAACAATAACAAGAGTGCGTTTTAAATAGAAACGTCTTGAAAATTATATAAACAATATCTATTGGCTTCTTTGTTGGATATATTGCTGTAACTAAGGAAAGTACGTGTTTGCTCAGACTATTGTTTAAGTACACAAACAGATGGAGAAAAGGCTAAAAATACCAAAGACAGGTCATATTAATTTTTGTATTTGTCATAATTGATAAGCATATGACTTGGAAATGCTGATAAATAAATACTGAGTAATAAATATTTACCATAAATTACCCAGAGTAATCATAACAAAGTCGCTATGAGATGGTAACTTTAGCAGCTTTCTGAATAAGATTGTTTATGATATATTTAAAGTTAAGCTTATTGGAAAAAGTCGTGTCGTGTAAATATAAACATACACAAAACTCTTCACATGCAATTGAACATAGTTTAGTTAATTTTTAAAAATTTCTTGTTTACCGGAAACTTTTCCAGCGAAAAATGGTAGAGATGGACAATTTCTAAAAAAGCATGGCTACTCCTAGCGAGAAGCGCGAAGAAGAACAAGATCAACCAAAGGACTCTACAGAATCCGTTGACTTGCCAGATAAACGAAAACGAAATTTACTTGAGTTTGAAGATGTTCCGCGTTAGTAATTAAGATTGATATTCTTTTTAAAACAAATTCATTTATGATCTAATAATTTACATCCATTATCGCTCATTTTATTTAGCTATTAAACAGAAATTAAATCTTAAATACAAGGAAAAACCTAGTTGCCTTAAAACAAGAAAATTACCGGAAAGTTCGGGTAAGTTAATTCTGTACTTAAATCATGTAGAAATACAATAAGCCTTTAATTACAGTATTATCAAAAGTTAAAGCTTTTCTACCAACTTTCAAAGCTGATAATGAAAAGATTTTATCAAATGCCGAAGAGCATCAAATAGAAAGTCGAGAAGAGGATGAAAAGGTTATTGAAATGAACATTGCTTTGTGCGAAATGAATAGTAGTGACGAAGAATCTGATGAAAACGTACAAAGTAGTTCTTTAGACAGTTCTTCAGATGAAGAAATGCAACCCAGAAAAAAAATCGAAGAATTATAATATTAATAATTGCTTTTAATTGTTGATAAAATGTTGTAAAGATAGTTATATTCCTTATTATTTTGGAGCAGGGATGATTTAATAGTTATTCGTAGATAAACGTTTGATAATTATCACATAACTACACAGCAGGATTTTACAATAAGAGTTTCATAAAAGAAATTAATGTTCATTAACCTATGACTGAGCAACAGCAACAGCTTCACTTGTTTCTTTATCGGATTTTTCATCTTTTACCTCAGGAAAATTTGGCTTTCTTAATGTCCTATAAACTGGTTGCGTCGAAGGTAACCAGCTTGGTACTATTTTACCATGAATTCTCCAAATACCATATTCATTTGATAAATGTTTTTCGAATACAACATAATCTAGAACGTCTCTAACCATATTTTCGGATCCGTACATTAATCTATAAGTTAAAAGTTGTGTACATTTTGATGAACCAAAAAAATTACAATTTCTTACCTTCCAAATCTATCATAAACAGCTAAAGTTTGACGAGTATGAAATCTTACTGTTACTTGACCATAAACATTATCCTTAGATAACATATCTAAGGTTCTGACATGAACAACTCTGGGAGGCTCAAGGGATTCGATAAAATCCCATTTAACCGTTTTCAAATTAAAATTCCAAGTTAACTCCTAAAGTTTATTTAAGAAAAACAAGGTTATTTGGAAAGCATCGCTGATTTTAATCGAAATTTATTGAATGAAAAATAAAGAACTTACTGGATAGGCTTTTTCAGAAACTAATTCGTGTAATTTTTCTTCATTGGCCTTAATGCTGTTAATTTTAGTTAAACGGCTTTAGAAAAACATGGAGAGAAATAATTGAAAACTTACTCATTTAAACAGAAATTAGCCTCTTTATAAATTGCATCAGCTATATCGGGAAAAGTCTTAACGTTAAAGTCTTCGTCGAATTGACGAATTTTCCTAGTTTGCATGTAGCTCTTTCCTTTTTTTTCAAATTCAGTAAACTTTTGCTTTGTACCCTCTCCAGAGAGCAAGCTGGATCTTCCGTCTCCCTCTGGTGGAACGTATGGTTCAAATATCGTACCACTCGCAGATATGGTTAAATCTTTCTCCTTAAATGTTCGAGGGGGAGGTTGACCAGTCTTTTTAGTATGAGAACGTAGCTCCTCCATCGTCATATTTGACTCTCGGCGTAATTTGTCGTAATCGGGCTTGTCGATTTTATATGTCTTTTGCCATCTCTCTTTACGGAACTTTGGATTATAGTGCTTGTCTAGGACAGCCGTGGTATGAATACAGGCATTACTGGATTTATGTCCCTGAGGATGAGCGATAAAAGAGTTTAAATAGGATATTGCTGCTTTAGTAAAATAAATCGCGAGTAATTTTAAACAAATTATACTTGCAGAAAATTTTACAAATAATATTATATAAACATGATAATCTGTTCAAAAAACAAAGACTTACTCGTAGTGTTTGGTCAAAAATCCTGCGAGATAAAAGTCTCACATGGAACGCCATTTTAAACTAAATTGTGTCTGTAGTTATGGACTTTGCAAGTATTGCTTTTCGGTAGTAGATTGTTCTATTATCGCCAATACTAAAAGCTTATTTAATGATACAAAATAATAAAGCGTTCAATTTTTAAATAGAAAACTACACATTTTTTTATTTTGACTATGACTTGTGTAACCGAACGAAACATGATTACATATTTCAAGTTTCAAAGATAATTGTTCCTATAGCAATTGCCACATTTATAACCGGGGATCTGCCTTTGAGCATGCGCAGTTTAACCATAGCAACAAAGCGGGTACATAGTTACCTGAGCATACTATCCCAATTTGACTGTTGTTAATAAGAAATTTCAAAAAATAAACTAACAATATGGAAATTCAGTACGTTTATACTAAGAAACGTGCTGATTTCGGAAGACAATGTATATTTCAAGATAGAGCAGCCGAGTTGCATGTTGACATAGCACCAGATTCCTCCCTTTTGGATGATTTTATCGAAAGGGACCCTGTAGATTCTGGAATACAATGCGTACAGGAAATGAGCGAACATGATGTTAATACAGAAAGGTTTGAAACAGATTCTCGAGGAATAAACCATGCCGAAGGTGGTTGGCCTAAGGATATAAATCCAACGGTTAGATTTCATAACTTTTTTCCATTACAAAAAGATATAGAAAACAATAGAAAGAAACGAATCTGAAAGAGTTTACTGATAAAGTTAATTTCTATTTAAACAGGAAATTGAACAAGTAATGAGGTTCAGGAAGAAAGTTGAAAAAGATGAATCTTATGTTAACATTCTAAATAGTCTATTTCCACAAGTTGAAAAGATGGTTATGCAAAACAATGCAGTAGATATATATGAAGAATATTTCGTTGATGTTGATGCAGCTGAAAGTGAAGAGGTACCATCAGCCAAGACCATAAGCGTTTTTAGAGATCCTAATGACGATAAGAGATCAGCTACTCATATATCATGGTATCCCGACGGTGCTAGGAAATTGGCTATTGCATATTCTAATCTTGAATTTCAAGGTTCAGCTCCAGATATTTGCATGGATTCATATATTTGGGATATTGAAAATCCTAATAAACCAGAATTTACATTAAAACCAGTATCACCATTAGTTTGTTTAGAATACAATCCAAAAGATTCGCACGTTTTGCTTGGAGGTCAATATAATGGACAAATTGCCTATTGGGATACTCGAAAGGGATCTCAACCAGTAGAAATGTCACCAATCGAACATAGTCATAGAGATCCCGCTTATAAAACAATATGGATTCAATCTAAAACGAATTCAGAATGTTTCTCAGCATCATCTGATGGACAGGTATTTATATTTTTATTCCATAAAGATTCTCCTTTAATGCATTCATATTTAGATTCTGTGGTGGGATATCAGAAAATTAGGAGAGCCTACCGAACAACTTTGGCTTGATCCTACAAAGAAACAAGATAAAAGCAAAGCACTTGGAGCTATGAGTTTGGAGTATGAACCGACAATCCCTACTAAATTTATGGTTGGAACAGAGAAAGGAATGATCATGTCTTGCAATAGAAAAGCTAAAACAATTCAGGAAAAGATAGTTGCTACCTATCCTGGTCATCTGGGTCCTGTTTATTCAATACAACGTAATCCCTTCTTCCCAAAGAACTTTTTAACAATTGGAGATTGGACTGCAAGAGTTTGGTCAGAGGACGTGAAAGAATCTTCAGTTTTATGGACCAAATATCATACATCTTATTTAACAGATGGTTGCTGGAGTCCCGTAAGACCATCTGTATTTTTTACCACAAGTATAGGTGGTACTTTAGACGTATGGGATTTCTCTTTTAAACAAAACGATCCAACCTTATCTTTACACGTGTGCGATGAAGCCTTACAAACACTCAGAGTCCAAGAGCACGGACGATTAGTTGCAACTGGATCTCAAAAGGGTACAACAACTTTACTGGAGCTTTCAGATAATTTGTCTAATCTTCAAAGAAACGAAAAACAACTTGTTACAGCCATGTTTGAGAGAGAAACTAGACGGTAATTACTTAAGACATCCTATTTCATCTTTTATCTTATTATTGAGAGAATTATTTGTACAGAGAGAAGATTCTAGATTCCAGACATAGAGAGATGAAGTTGAAAATGAGAGAAGGAAAAGCATCGGCCGAACAGAAAGACGAAGAAAAAGAAGAGGGAGTAGACGGCGAAGTAGATCTTGTCGCCGAAGCTGAGAAAGAATTTTTTGAGATTATTGAAAAAGAGCAAAGAAATAGAGAAAAAGCTAAGCAAAACGAAGAAGAGAAACAGGATGAGAGAAAGGTTAATTTTATATATTCCCAAAAATCTATAACGAGTAGATGATTCATCTATATTAACCTTTAGTAATGCTTATTATATATCTTATATAATTATTAGGCGAGTCCGATTGCTGAAGAGGACGAAGAGGAAATTAATTCTGGAAGGGTAAGCTTTTAGAGACTTCCTATCTTTAATTTTCTTTCTTTGTTTTTTTTTGCGTTGTTTTCGTAAAACTAAAAACGAAACAAAGGTTCTTTTTGGCACTAATTAAGAGATATTTTGTGTTAAATTTTGCCTTTGATAATATTGTGCTAGAATGAGATAAAACAAGATTTAGAAAAGGCTGATACCGAAAGGAGCCAAAAAGAGGAAAATCCTAATGAAGAGCTTGAGGAAGATGAAAAGAGAGAAGTAGAACTATCTGAGGATTTTGATGAGAAGCATAATAATGAACATGAAAATAAAGAAAAGGAGGATGAAATAGAGGATAAAAAGTCTCAAGTAGATAATGAAAATTATTCAGAGAAGGATGTGCAGGAAGATGAAAATAAGTCAGATGATGGAAGAGAATCAGTTCAAGTAGGCCCATAAAAGAAGCACACCTTGCTTGCAAATCATACTTGTAGACTAAGCTTATTTAGTATTTCCATTCCGCCATCTAAGTAGGGAAAGCGTAATAGATAATGCATAAATATTTAGCACACATTAATAATATATGACCAACTTTTATTATATAGTTGAGTAGTTCTTGAGTAATAGAATACCGATAGGAGAGAAATCAAGACTAAGACGATGCCTAATGTTTATGCATGATAAAGAAAAAAAAATCACTTTAAGATATGAAAGTCACACGATATTTCACCGAATTGTTTTTTTTTGTCTTTGTATGTTATTTTTTTCCTTCCTTTCTCTTTTTACTTTCTTTATGTGGGTCACCTACTTAACTTTAAAGAAAGCAATAATTTAGGGTTCAGAATCCTCAATTTATTCAAGTGATCACGTTCAATTTAAAAGAGTAGGTATCTATATTATGTAACACTTGAAGACAATTTATCCCTGTAAACCTTTCAAATGAATTGGTGAATATTTTAAATCAATCATTCATGTTACAGTCCCCTAAAGCGACTATTCGTAAATCACCCGGATTATTTAGTATTATTAATGAGGTATTTTATAGTATTTTGTTAAGGCTAGTTAATTATTTAGGTATTTCTTAAGATATTGTAAATTTAATGAAGATAAGAGATCAATTATTTATAGATTAAATTGCCTAAACAGATAATCTATTTCGTTTTAAAAAAGCTAAGTGTTGAAATAAGTTTGCTCATGATCTATTTAGCTGGGTTTTTTTTTATGTTTTCTTCTCTATCTTTTAAATTCATTCCGTTCGTTAGTATTCCATTCTCTATATCCATCCTCCTCCAATCACCTCCCGCTTACTAGTAAAAAAAAACATTAGACACTTAAAATAGAAGAAAAAATGATGTAAAAAAAAAAAAACAAGGAAACAGCAACAGTACCCTTAGGGAGTGTTTAGTTGCAGCACTTTTGAATGATATAGAACAAGAAAAAAAAAACTAATGAGATGTTTACTTTGTAATCATTGTCACTAGAAAGAAACAATATACTCTGATGAAGAATTCCATAGGGAAGAGGATGAAGATGTTAGTGAAGCCCGTCTAGAGGATGTACGTTTATAGATTTCATTTAAAGCAGTAAATACATCTAGTACTACTCCTTTCTTTTTTCTTTCTTTGTTGTCTATAAACGCGAACAACAGTACGAGGCTGGAAGTCTAATGGTATCTATCCATTGTTCATAAATGTAACAAATTATCATCCGATTCCCAAAGCCCTTTCCAATCATGAACCGTTAATAGTATTCAACACATTTATTACTTGTATTTTCAATTAAAAATCTCTAGCCAAAGCAATTTTTCGCAGTCAGGCAACGAAATTGAAAAAGGAATAAAAAGAGAGAAGGAAACCAATGATGAATACGAAGAGGATTTTAATGTATATAAAAACTAAATATGTATCATCTTACACCTATCAACTATAGATTGTAATTTTATATAAAAAGCCTATTAGATAAAAGAAATCTGCATTTTTGCACTTAATCTACTCATTGAAATCAGTAAACAGAGATAACAGAAATATAGAGAATGAAAAAGGGTTTTTAGATGATGAAAACAAGAATAATATTTCTTTTAAAAGTTAATAATAGTACTCAAAATGGGAGAAGATGATAAGAAATTTCTTTCTATTGTCCTTTTTTAGCTAAAACATAAAGAATTTAGGATGTTTTAATTCAATTAAAAAAGAGATTGAAGAATAGCGCTTTGCTGTATTTCGATAGTATTGTTATTGTTGTAGTTTTTAACCTTATCTATAATATTTACCTATTTTATCTATTTATTTGTCAATTTATCCACTGAATATCTTATTCTTTAGAAGAAAAAATTTTAAGAATAAGATGAACAGAGAGAGAAAGATTTCTGTTTTCTCTTTCTCCTACCCTGCCCTGTTCTTCCCCCTCTCCTTCTCTATTTCTTCCATTTATAGATAATTGTTTCATCTTTTTTTTAACTATTAATTATGCAAGCTAATCAGAGCTGTCTATGCTTTAATAGTTTACAGCAGTTTAAGTAAAATGCACTGGCTTATTTATATAACCTGCCATATATCAACCTTTTTTATATAGTAATGGTGTATGTATTTGTGTCTATACACATCCCTGTCTGCGTATAAAATTGTTATTCAGGTCACAATTGCTCTTCCAAAGTACCTATGTTTTTTCCCATAGAAGAAAAAAGGTTACACAAAAAATCAAATGATGCTATTTTTAGATAAAATTAATAGCTTTTGTCATATTTTTAATGTTAATTTTTCACTAAGAGCCGTTCATTATATATATATATATATAAATTTATATTAACATTAAAATTTTTTATCATTTTTTATCCTTAAACAACAAAAAGGAAAAAGCCGAAGAAGAGGATACGAAAGAAAATAAGGAGGATGACGATAACGAAAACAATGAATAATAATTCATAATTAATAATAAGAATGATAATGAAAAGGACAATTTTTAATAAAGTTTTTCTTTTTCTTTTTTTTCATATTCAAATGTTTCATTTTAAATAAAATGCTGAATTGTTCAAATTATATTCATATTTATAAGAAAAATTTTATAACAGTACTCACAAGTATTTCTTTTCAATACAACAGAAGCATATTAGTATATACAGTATTAAAAACAGACTTTAAAAATATACAATTATTGATTGGGAAACATTATAAAAAAAGAGACGAAACAAAAATAAATAAACAATAATAATAATAGAAAGTATAACGGAAGTTTTCAGATATATTTTTATAAACAAAAGATAAAACCAGAGTTTTGTTCACTTAAACTCCTTTTATATGTCATGTTAGTTGATTGCGGTAAAAATAGTATCAAATGGATAGTTAATAGGCCTATATAATAATATATTTTATGTAAAAGCATAGACACAACATATACAGTATATTATTTTTAATTGTTTATCTCAATTTTGTAAATAGTAGTTCTTTAAACTTTTATTACCATATGACAATTGAAAGACTGCGGGCATTATTTACTGACAAACTAGACCTATAACTGCAATATATAAATTTTATGAATATTCATATTAAACAGGATTTATAAATACATACAAATATATATTATATATCTATATATTTATACAGATTGTATATGAAATTGTTATTTTTTATCTTTTGACAAACTTCTTTCACTCTCTCTCTCTCTCTTTCTCCTGCCTCTTTCTTTCTCTTCTACTTTCTTAGTTAATTTCATACGATCGTAACTCGTAGGTTTTTTCGTCTTCAACTTCGCAACATCTGTCAAATCGGTGTCTCTTTTGCCTATTCATTATACAATTTGAAAAATGGCTCATAATTTGTTTACCCCAACTTTCACGCTTCATTGAAATTGAATAAATAATAATTAGATGAAATAATGAAAAAATAGTTTAAATAACACTGTTACCTCTTGTAAAGTTTTTCTTAAAGAATCTTTTATTTGTCTATTAACGATTAAATGAGCAACAGTATCTTTATAATATCGAGCGTCGCAGAGGAATCCTTTGAAACCTGCTAATTGTCCTAGCATACAACAGGACCAGTGGTGTTTTGGTACTTCTGTTATGGTAAATGAATAAAAAATAGAATACTCTTAAAAGGATACGATAAAAGGCTTACTTTGAAAATACCTAACCATTTCCTGTGGCGGAATTAATGGCTGTAAATTTTCTCCCTCGAGTTTTTGTAAATTCTCAGAATTGGTCGTAGCCTCCATTAAATATTCTGTAGAATTTTTATTAATTTATATTAACAATATTTATAATATGTTTGTCAAAATATTAGATGTAGGTATATATATATATATATATAGTATATATATATAGCTTGCTTTTTCTCTAACACTAACGATTGTAATTTTTCTTACCTCCGAATGATGAAAAGTAGACGCCTCTTCTACTTCCGCCTACACTTTTTGGATCTATCTTTTCAATATGCAAGGAAACTAACAATAAAGCTGCTAGTACGTGGAGAGGCTGCATATTTCTGAATGTCAGAAAAATTCAGATTGAACTGAAAAGAAATCAGATATTTTTTTTTCCTTATAGGCCGAAAGTACTTAATTTTTGGTAATTAACACGGACGCGCCACTTATCAGGAGTCTTATTTTAACCAATCAGAATCGATCAATTGGAATAGTACGACTATTGAATATTTATTAACAGGGCTAATTGAATACACATGTTGTTTTGTCTTTGTTTTAAAATAAGGTGAGGCCCCTATCCGATATCTTTTAAGGGAGGAATCCTTTTCTAATTTTTAATATAGAAAGAGAAATCTAAAAAACAATCTGTCATTCTGTCATTCTGTCTCGCAAAAATATGTTCTATGTTTTTCTAATTATTTTGTCTCTTTTTTGTTGTCTTCAAGTAAAACTAAAACTTATTTTTTGGTAACCTTTGTTTTTTAAAAAAAAAAGAACAACAACAAACAAAGAATAACTACAAACATACATAGATAGAGAGCTAAATGGATTGACAGAAAAAAGGAAATAAAAAAGATAACCATATATTTACATTATAGGATTTTCAAATCTTAAGTCGTCTTTTTTTTAATTTATCCCATTCCATCTTCTTTTCCTACTTTCTTTCCCCTTTCTTACCGATGTTAATTGATTTCTTAATAAAAAAGAAAAACATTAAAGATAGGTTATTTATATACCTTTTATAAAAAAATGCATTGAAGAATAATGAATCTATTCAAAGAGACAGGAAAGCGATTAGTAACAATCAGCACTATTTATTCTACTATTAAATATTTAAAACCTTCAATGAAGCTAACCGTTACTGTTCCTCATAGGCCTAGATTTACCCAAGGAGAAAATATAAAATATTACATAATAAATGAACAACCTTTCCTGAAAAAAAAGAGAAAAATTACAAATTTGTACTTTCTTGTATCATATCTTTTTCATGTTCATAAAGGTTAAAGGCAAGGTAGAGCACACACATACACAGACACACTAAATATATTTATATGTACATACACACTGTGTTTTTAATGGATGTCACACTTCTCTTTAAGTAAAAAGATTCCTTTGAAATTGTTGAAAAGGGAAATGGAAATCAATTGACTTTCAATTCATTTCTTTATTTCTTTCTCTTTCTCTCTCTCTGTCTGTCTGTCTGTCTGTCTGTCTGTCTGTCTGTTTCTTTCACTTTCTCTTGCTCTCCCTCTCTCTTTTCCTCTTTTCCTCTGTTTCTCTCTTTTTCTATTCTCAACTCGTTCATACTATTCTTCTCTTCACGCGCTGGAGTTAATTGATTATTGTTAAAAAATTTCCCTGAAAATAGAGACGCATTAAACGCCAAGAGGGAAGGAGCAATAGGAAAAGTGCGATATTAAGAAACTGATATAGTAAACAGACTATGAAAAGTAGTGTATGATGAATTATATAAGCTAATTTAAAACAGATAATTACAATCAAATGAGGAAAAACTCCATCTATCGGTAGTCTTTTCTACTAGATGACATTATATAGATGTTACAAAATACAAAATCTATACGTCAATGTCAGTTAATATGCTAGGTACTAAAGAAAAGACGAATAATTTTAAAGGGCGAAAGGATAAAGGGTTGCGTGCTAAAATGAATTGTCAGTTAATCCCTCAAGTACAATTTAGAACGTCCGCTTGACGGCAAAAATTGACATTTTATTATTTTTTTACCATATAAATCTCTAAAATTTTCTCGATTTTATAAAACCTTGTCAAATTTCAATGAATTGCTAAACTTGAACAGTAAAATAGGATAAAATATGTAAATGATGTATGAATATTTGAATTAACATTAGAGATTAATAATATAATAATGTACAAATATCTATAAATAAATATATATATATATATATATTGTGAACGATAAAAAGAAGCAAATAAACAAAAGAGTAAGGGTAAAATAAATATTTTAGAGTATTAGTCTTTATAGTTGCTTGGAGTCAAATTTTCCTTCTTCTTTCCTTCTCTATCCCATTCTTTTCCCATATATTCTTTCTTTCTTTCTTTCTTTCTCGCTTTAACCTTTTCATTTTCAACCGAATAGTTAAACTCTATTTTCTCTTCCTCTCTCTTCAACTTATACTAAACAGGATCTTTTACAAAGAGATAACGAATTTTTTGCCTGTGTACAATTTCACTTAGCATTTCTTTCATTACGTTTTCCAACTTTACTCCTTTTATCCGTTACTAGCCGAAAGGACATCATATTGACTGGGCTTTTCAAATTAAATTATCTTATTAAGTTGTTATTGATGATGTATATAAATTATATACTATGTAGATAATAGAAAAAAAACTGTCTTGGTTAAATTCACTAAACTATTTATAGATTATTCAAATAAAGAACAATTAGTAAGAATCGGGTGCAAAATTAAAGAAGATATTGAGAACAATTGTGTTCATCAAACGATTTATATGGGTTGTTTAAAAAGAAAAGAAAATTAGAATTTGAGTAAAAGACGGTAAAGATGGTAAAGACCCTCAAGAATAAGATAAATAGAAAGGAAAAGTACGAGAGAGAAAGAAAGAGAGAGAGAGAGGGAAAAGGGGGAAAGAAAGTGATATGAATCATCGTAATGGTAAGAAAATACAATTCTGATAATAATACAATATGTAAAGTTCATGGAAAAGGTATATAAATCGTATAAAAGAGAGAGAGAGAAAACGCTAAAGACGAAAATGAAAAAGGCGCGAATGAACGATTGGGGAGATAGACAGATATAGAGAAAAGATAAGGAAAGTAATCGTTGAAGAAATAAAATGGTTTCGCGTTGATTTCCTTATAATAATTAATAGGACTATATAAGGATAGGAAACGATTGGATAAGTGAGACTCGAAGAGAGGAGAATAAGAGGTACAAGGGAAAATAATCAATTATTTTTAGTCTTAATTAGTTTAACAATTACGAACAGCTCTTCTATTGAATTTTTTTTAATTTTTCTCTCCTTCTCCTCAGATCTTCCTTCCTCTAACTTTATTTCTTCAATTTTTTCTCTATCAGTCTATCTATCTATCCCTACTCACTTATAGCTCTACTTTCTTCCCTTTTGCTTCTCGTCCTCCTAACATTTCAATAAACGACTATTATATAATGCAATATACTCGAAAAATCATCATTGAACGCTTTTATAAAGGGCGTCTAATATATAATACATAATATCGTGAAACAGACAGGAATAAAAGCTATCCAACTTATTAATTAATAGGCAAACCATTTTTAGCCTAATGGAAACGAGTAATACATTCTCATCTAGACATAGAAAGCTTGATTGTACTAAACGTACATAACTATATATTTGTCTCTTAATTATATTATTAAAAGCTTCATTTAAATACAACGCCACCTACAGGTCCCAATACACATCTAAAGAGACGCATTTTTCAGAAGTACGCAAGTGAGAGCGTTTAAGCTTTAACGTGATTCAAGTGGCTAATCGCTAGAGGAATTAACAAAAGGAGTTTATACTACAAACAAACTTTAAGATAAACCTATCTAATTAATAAACATTGGATACATCTTCGTATTTTATTTCGTATCTAACTTTGCATATACTTTTATAAATAGTATATGCCTACTATTGATGAAAACTTTATATACAATTAAATTTCATAGATAATTCCTTTATCTTTATACAAATAGAAGGTAAATTTTATTTTCATTTAAATAATATAACTGTATTATAAGCTTTATATATATAATATATATATATAGTTTATGATTAACTGGTGACAAACTTTTTACGCTGGAAGAAAGAGAACTTATGGTGGAATATAACAATAAAGGAATAATAATAAGGAATATCACTATTTATGGATCATAAAACGTTTTCTGTCTCTCTGCAAACTTGACAACGACAAACCTCAAATACTTTTAAAATATAAATATATGTAAATATATATATATACTGTAAAAAAAAAAATATATATATATATATATAAACTATACTTTACTGTGTATATACAATTCATGTATATATATAGTCATTTATGGTCATTTAATAATTATGCTAAATTCAACACCACCAACACCTTTTCATCAAAACGGAACAGAAAAGGTCGAAATAGGAAATCGTCTATGGCGTTACATGGCACCAGTTATTTTTTTTACTGGCCTAATAGGAAACGCCATTATATTATTAGTGATGAGAAGGAAAAGGATGGGTCATACGTCAACGAGTCTTTACTTAAGATTCATTGCCACTGCCGATTTATTAGTTCTTGTCTTTGGAATGATACCAGAATGGTTGGAAGCTAGTGATATTGTAATTTTCAAAACTCTGCATCCGGCAACTTGTAAGATAGAAAAATTCGCTCATTACAGCGTTAACGATACGGCAACGTGGTTCCTCGTAGCGTTCAGTTTCGATCGGTTTATCGCCGTCAAGTTCCCATTACATAAAAAGGTATTTGGTACTGCCAGACGCATAAAGAGTATTTGTACGGCTATAGTTCTCCTCTCTATGGCCAAGAATATTGAGGTATTTTGGACTAGAGGGTTTGAAAGAGTGAACGAGGATTATCGTTGCGGCAGCCCTACACAAAAGATACTCAATTATAACAAAAACGTACGGCCGTATCTGGTATTTACTCTAGCCGTCGCAGTCCCGTTACTCGTTATCAGCAGCTGCAATCTGGCTATCATTTGGACGCTTTATAGGCAGAAAACACCAACAACCGCAAATGTCGGTAAAAGTCAGTCCCGCACAAGGATAATGACGCAAATGACACTTATGTGTGTCAGCGTTTCATTTGCCTTTATTATCTGTATAACGCCGACGTTCGTCATGTACATTGGCAAACAGTACTGGAGAGATAGAGATTGGTATGATGTTGCGAAGGCAGTCTCCAATCAACTCCTATATGTTAATAACTCTATTAACTTCTTTCTATACTTTGCTACTGGTACAAAATTCAGGATCGAAGTCTTCGTTTTATTCGGCGGTCGCCGACAAATTCCTGTAGTCTGTCGAACTTCAGTTCCAACAGAGACAAGCGTTCAAATGCGTACGTCGCGACAGTCTAGTAGTCCGAGAACTGGACTATTGAATGGTGGATCAAGAAAATTGTCGCAGCATTTTTTATGAATAAAAGAAAAAAGATAAAGAAAGTTTAAAACTTTAAATAAAAGGAAATCAACTTTGAAAAAAGAAAATGAAAAAAAAATGGAAATGATTGAAACAGATAAATATCTACATGATAAATTTAGTATATATATTCTGTACAGTACGTATATAACAGCTCGTGAATAATTGCTTGAAAGGACGGCGTCTATAATTCACTGTTTGTCCTTGCGTGCGTGTGTAAATTTCTTTTCTTCCCTCATTATGATATTCTATACTGCATATCCTCACTTTCACATATAGGTATTCTTCTTTACAAAATGTACCAAGTAAATATTTAAATATACAATATACAGTATTCCGTATTTATTCTTAATCTCTTATATTTTCCTTCCTTTCTAGACGCATTTTTCTCTACTTATATACATATTTAGTAGCTGTCTAGTTCCTAAATAACAGCTTTAAACAGTTATCAACTCGATGTTGAATAATTATTATGCAATTGAAGAATATCTTTGGAGTTTGTAGTCGTTTTTGAAAGGCTTATCGATTAAATATTGATTCAAGACGTAATACAGCGTTAAAAGCCAATACGATCCTTTCTACTTTTACACTTTTCCCCAACTACTTCTTTCTGCATTAAGCCGGAAACTGGAATGAGATTTCCAATTGTATAAGGCTTTTAAAATATCTCTAAAATCTACTCATTCTACTTATTCTAATATATCCGTTCATTATGAAAGCTATCAAAATTATCCTTTAAGTTAATTAAAACTAGCTTTTAATAATAGAGGTGTAACAATTGAAACTTTTTGTTGTATTAACGTACTTATGAAATACTTCTCAACCTTATTTCTTTACGTATTTTGTTCGTAAAGCGATCTAAGATTTCTCTATTTTCATCTTGACTTACTTTAAGCGTATGGTGTGGGATATGAAGAAGCTTTGTTGGAAGAGAATGAAGAGGGAGAGGGAAAAAAAGGCGCATTTTACAGTCCATCCATTGATTTTTCGGCTTTAAAATAAGCTGTCTAAAAACATTTAGCCTATTTCAATACCGTCAATTTTCTTCTTCTGTAAAGGGATTGGCCTTGACGATAATATAAAGGAATATAACAGATCTGTCGACCCGCTAATTCCAGTTTTCAATGGGATAACACGATGAAGACAGTCGTATAATTAGGGAAGACGATAGGCGTTTAAGTATAATTATGAATTGAGAGATTGGATAGTAAATTTTTCTGAGACAGAGAACATAATAATTAAAGTTACCAGAAGATAATAAAAGGGCAAAGATTTGTAAATAACATATATTCACGAAAGAAAAGGCGGAATTACGGAAAAGATAGGAATAATTGCTGTGTTAGAAAAAATAAAAAAGAGAAGAGTTGAATCTATTGAATAAAGAAAACTAGAATATAAGTGCAAATTAGTCACACATCACCGACGTTCTAATATTAGAATAGCTATAGCGTCCGGCTATAGAACAATTCGAACTTGTGTTCAATGACGTCAGATCTGCATCGATTAAAAATAATTATATAGCGGAACGTCGGGCCACTTTCCCATTGGGAATCTAAAACTTCTGTTTACGAATACCGGTGTCCATTTAGTGTCGTACAATGAGCTCTCCTATACTCTCCTGACGATAAGCGAAGGGGAACGAAACAAGGGTTGTACTAGAAGCCTTTTCTCCCCTAAAATCATCTTTCCGTAACCCCTTTCGTACGACCCCTTCCCTCCACTTTCCATATCAATAAATCAACGTGTGGGAATATTTTCACTCAATTAAATATCCTTTACCAAACTTTCTTCTCTTTAGTCTTCTCATTTTTCATTTTCCTCTTCCTTTTCCTACTCCTATCTCCTTCAAAAAGTAACAAACAAAAACAAGTATTAATTTTTAATAATAGACTTTGTTTACTTCTTAATTATGATTCTCCCACCTTTCTCCCTTCTAACTTATTAATATTTTTATTGGAATAATTCCCGCACCCTACGCGATCTAGCATAATTAGGCGCATGGTATCGATCTTCATTTATTAATGAAATCGTCCGCGTGACTTTTTAAACGTCTACCACACCAAAGACTGGAATTTCGACTCTTGGTTGTAATCAGCTTTTGACACACTTCCCCATTCAGTTGTCTAATTGAGCCGCTTGGCAGGGCATTCCTGACTTCCTGTAGAAATGCAAACTGAATTACGAAGTGTTCCCTCTTTTTTACGTCTATTTCTTTGAAAAAAAAAATCGAAATTCCTAAAATGCGTACAAATACTCGAAAACTTTTCCCTTCCGTTCTTTTCTTCTCTTCCACTACCAATCCAAGATTTTCTTGTTCGCACATTGTTACCAAAAATCCTTAATCTTGTCTCTTTTCCGCATAAGCATTATTCTATTCTAGGCCTATTCGAATTTATCAAAAATTTTTAGTCTTCGCTTGGGAGAAAAGTAGTGGATAGAACCCTAGAGCTATTGTCCTGAAACAGTGCTAATTAGCATACAAACGTGATATTGTATAATATACATCTTTCTTAGGACAAACAGTTATAGAGAGAAAATCAGGGAATAAAGCTGAAAGACGCGAACGAGGGGAAGGGAAAAAGGCTAAAGTTCGCCTTTCAAACGTTCATAGGGTGTTTGTAGTGAAACCGTGAAAAATTTCGGTCGCCTCGGGTCTTCCTATCTGTCTTCTTCTTTGTTCCTTTTTTTCTCTCTCTAACGTGTAAAATAGCTGCTAAAACGAGCAGTAATACTAAGAATTGTTCCTGAAATGATAGATAGCTATTCCCTTCTTTCCTCTCGGCTTTATTTCCTTTTTCCGACATTTTCTCACTCGGTCATTCAATTTTCTTTAGGTTATTTCCGCTCTTCCGAAGAAATCGGTAATAATCTATTATCTATAAATAATTTTCCTATCTATTCTTTTTGCTTAAATTATAGACTGTCTTTCCCTAATTCTGCAAGGAAAGCAATTCAATCAAAAGATGGCTAAAGAGAAAAAAACCCAAGGACAAACCGTTTGTTTCCAGTCGGAAAATTGGCATAAGATTACAGTAATTAGCAATTCCCTTAGATCTGTAACAACAATTTCCCTGTCTATAAGAAAAGCCAAGAGTGAATGTGTGAATCTAGAGATGTGTTTATTACAATATATCTTTTATCCTTGATTTTTTCTCCCCTTTATTTCATTTTTCATAAAATAAAAAGAGGAAAGAATGAAAAGAATGAAGGAATTAAAAATAGACGCTTTCCTTTATTTTCAGACTATACAAAAGCAAATATTTAACTCTTTTTTTTATATATTTAATCATATATTTAAAGGCTCATTTATGTTTATTTTTATATCTATGCTATTGTACTTGTATATTCTTTATGCTAAAAAACAGCGTCTATTTTTATCAAACCATTAACCGATTGCTGTTTAAAACAATGATAGTTATTTTAAAAGAGCGGAAAAGTGACGCTTATAACGTTAAAATTCATATTTACACAACTAGAAAGGAACGTATTTATTCGCTAGAACGATTATCTCATAATAGGTAAATCATATATTAGTTAATTATTTATAGGTTCTACCGATAGCAAATAGAGTGAGAGATGCTTATTTAAGATAGAATAGAAATTTGCTCTTTTATATAGTTGGTAAAAGAGGGTGAAAGGTTTTCTCCTCTGCTGTTATGTAATAGAAGGGTAGTATCATATTTTTGCTAACAAAATCTCTTGTCAATCCATCTTCAACAAGAGGTCCTTTTTGACTAGAGTCAAATTATCAATCTAAGGTCGAATAACATTCCCTCTGGTACCCCTTCCACTTTTCAATAGCTAATGCTAATGTCGAATCATTTTATATACTATTATAATGTTAAATAGTAATATCTCATTATAGAAAACTAGAGTCTTTGGGGATAGGATTGAGCGTGTTTGCGAAATGAGAAAGTTAGTTTTCCGTTTCCTTGCATTTTCTTTCTAGATAAAAAAAATACTTAAACTTGTTTTATTAGCCTACAAATATTTTTCAAACAACTACAATTAACTGTATCTCGCTTCTCATCTTCATCTTGTCTTTCATTCAATGATAGTCTTGTTGCCAATCCTATTAAGACTTATCAATCAACAAAAGAACTATGCCTTTTCCATCCTTGTACAGCAACACATTTCATATGGATTAATTCGTAAGTATTAACAATATTTTAATTCTCTATCCCCTCCTAATTGTTCTGTTCAAATCTCAATGTTCTCTTTAATGGTTTAGTCGAATATTCGATTAAAACAATCCACTTGAATTAGTTGATCTAGATATTCATGTTAGTTGCTGTTTTTTGCAAACATTGGATTTGTTGCCAGATAGATGGCGGACTTATCGAGTGATAGGAGATATTGGCAATGCGAAAAGCGAGAAAAAAGCTAATGAGAATAGTAAATTTCATATTCGTTTGCAGAAGAAATATAATCGTGGAACGACAGTTACAAAGCTGTTGTTTGTATCCATTATTAATTTCTATCATGTATTATCATCATTTTCCTCTGATAAATAATAGTAAAGTTACAACTTAACAAAGAACAAGTTTGTTTACTTTATAACCAGTTAAAAAAAGTGTTGGATCGCTTTTCTTCTTTCTCTGCTCGTATGATAACTATTTCCTATGGCAGTTGTAATCAATAAGCTAATGTTAATTGCTATTCATAAGAAATTCCTAAAAAGACTTATGCTGTTCTGACTTTATCTCTTAACTATTACTTATCATTAGTAAGAAAAAACCTTTGCGACAAGAAGCACAAAAAATAAGAAAACATCTAACCAATAGAAGTATTTTAGGTTACATTTGATTACATTGTACCTTTTATTAGTTTTGTATCGCTTACCTTAGTTTGTCTGATTCAATGAGATCGAATTATTCTTGTCCTGAAAGTGGGGACAAGTTTACTGGCTCTGCTGGACACAATCTAGACCGCACTTAAGCAAGTAAATATTCAGGTTTTTAATAAGTTTGTTTCTTTAAACTCATAATGAAAGTTCTGATGAAAATTAATGGGCCTATTAAAAGATCAAATAACCTAAATATAACAACGTTAGAACAAACAAATTCCCTTTATAGTCTGTTAGTTGAGACACGGTGATTCTCTTCCGTAAGCACGAAATACCTTACGAATAATAGTCTTGATATCGTTCATAGTTATGTCTTCACATAAAGCACTCCACCATTCGACTTTTGCAGATTCATTTAAAGGAACATGAATACCATGAACACATAGAGATGCATAAAATAAAGAGACAGCAATATGCTGAGAAGGGTATTTCATACAGATATCTGTTACATAACTATCCTGCAATAATGACCATGCAGTTTTCACTAAGGGTACTCTAGATACAACGCCAGGCGGAAGCCACGATAAAAGCGATTTCGCAAAGTATAACAGATAATTATGAGGAAGGTCCACATCCACTTCGTACTCGATAGCTCTGAGGACTTGGAGTTCCATTTTCGTAACGGATTCTCGTAACTTCCAATATGTATCATCTAGTTGCAAAGCCTCTTTGTCAGGATGTAAAATTTTATAAGAAACGTTTATGACATCTCGTAGGCGCACCGATTCTTCACACACTTTTCCGGATAGGTATAAGCAAGCAACAGCAACCGTCTGTAAAAATAGCGATATATTAATTACAATAAAGTTGATAAAATAAAGGAAATAACTTACATATACATCGTAATTCTCTTGTGAATATATACTAAAGAATTTACGATATAGAGTTGTTGCGTGCGCTATGACTATGACTGTTGTCCTTACACGTAAACCTGAAAGAATAACAGGTAAAATTTCATTGAGTTTGTCTCTTATATTTCAGAACTTTTACAGAAGAGGAAAAAGAATAAGGTAAGGAAGTGCGTAAGATGATTACTAATTATGCAATAGCCGTAATAAAAACCCATAAGAATCATCCCTTAGCGTCTAAAACTACTACTGATGGACCAAAGAAATGCAATATAATATTTAGACTTTTCCATTTACTGTGCAAATATACTTAAATATCTAGGAAACGCCTAACTCGAGATGTTTCATAAAAAACATGAGAATCTATTGTTAAAAAGATCGTATTCATTAATCTTGTCCCTTTCTCCCTATACTTTCTGGCAAGCATTGCTTCGAGAGGATAAAAATAGAACTTAAGTATATTTTTAACGTTTGCCGGTTACATTTTAGGTATCGGAAGAGAAATGGAAATATTAGAAATTCTTAATATCTTAATCGTTTTTTTTAAACATTTTATAGAGGGCTTTGAAATTAATACTCATTAAAATAAATAATAAAAGCTGCCTAAATGCAAATAAACGGGAAATTGAAAATATTTTCCGAACCTGCCTCTCTTATAAACAGTGATACTTCATCGTGCACTTTACTTTCACTCATAGCTTCTAGTTGATCACGGCCAATTTAATGCATAAGAATTGTGTATATTTATTAATTATGCTTTATTTAGAAGCATATAAAGGTTATTTATTAAAGTTCTTTGATAACGTTTGTTACAAATACAAGTACGAAGATGACACTTCCGGTAAAGTAAACTTTGTAGGAATTAAACTGTTTTCGTATTATATAGTAGAAGTTCATAAATACTATTATGAAAGAAAAATTTTTATATTAAGTTATATTTTAAGTAAAACTTAAATAAATTGTTGTTTATATATAGACTTTTTTATTTCTATGATATCCCAATGAGTGATTTCGTGCATAGTTAACCTGGAACGAGGCTCGTCCAAAGATGGCTGCTGAAACGACTATGGATAAAAAATCAGGTAATATCTCGGGAATCGTTAAAATTAATTCCCCTAAAATGCGATTCTTCAGCAAATCATCGCTATTTACCTTCAACTAAGCCGTAACGCCAAATTTATTCACATAATAACAGATCAGTTTTCGACCGGAAAATATCGTTCATCTTACCTAGAGTATTTTTGGGCTAAAAAGTTGATTAATTCGCGTGACTTGTAAGAACGATCAAAATAGATTGCGTTTTAAGATGTATATGTCGAATGTTTATATTTTGTTTTTTTTTTTTGACTTAACAACAGATGCTGAGGTTAACTCAAATGGGCAGAGCGCAAAGGAGACTAAAGAAATTGCCCTCCAATGGGCAGATTATTACGAGAAACAAGCTGAAAAAGCTGCTGCTGAAGGAAAAACAGACGATGCTAGCTTGGCAAAGCAATGGGCAGATTATTATAGGCGGCAAGCTGAAGCAGTTCAAGTAGAAACAAAAACTGATGAGAACGTAAAAGAACACGTAAACAACTCGATGGATACATCTGATGCCTCGCCCAATGAAGACACAGTTACTGATTCGAAGAAAGAAGAGCCACTAAACGACAGAAAGGACGCCAAAAAGAAAAAAGTTAATCCAGAAATCGAAAAGTATTGGAAAATCGTGAAAAAAGATTTTAAAGACTTCAACTCCTGGACTTACTTATTACAGTTGATTGAAAACGAGGTTTGAAAATAAGTTAACTTTCAGAGTATATGAAATTTGGATTTAAGAATTCGTTGATTATTAACTTACTTGTCAAAAATAGAAACTAAAGTATGTTTAGTGTATGATAACGTAAGCAGTAGTCATTTTTAAATATTAAACTTTTAATGTTGTTGATCAGTTTTAAATGATGTATACTTAAAACAGGATGACATCGAGGAAGTTCGTCATGCCATGGATTCGTTCTTAAAGCATTATCCGTATTGCTACGGTTATTGGAAGAAATATGCAGACATTGTAAAAAAGCACCATGGATTCGATGAGGTGGAGAAGGTGGGGCTAATGCTATTGACGCTATTTTTTCTTTTTGTAGCACTGTTCCGCCTTACAGGTTTGGTTAATAAACCAAAAAACTAGTACGCGAACCAAACAAAATTATAGCTATGAAGCGTAGTACGTTGGTATACGAAATGCAATAAAGATGCATAAATACTAACAGTTTATCTTTTTATACTTTCCAGTTGCCGAAGTGACTGTAATAATTGTATTTCAGGTGTAGAGGAAGTGTTTATAAAAAACATGTACGCGTCAGTTGAATATTTTTATCTCCAATTAAAATTATTACTTCATGTATTTACTTGACAACAGATTTTTGAAAGAGGAGTTGAGGCTATACCGCTATCAATCGATTTGTGGATTCACTATCTGGAATGGACGATTAAGCAAAGATTTAAAGATAAAAATGAAAACAATGATGAGCATATTCGGAAATTATTTAATCGGGCATTAGAAGTTTGTGGAATGGAATTTAAATCGGATCGTTTATGGCAAATGGCTCTGGATTGGGAGAGCCAAAAGCGAAATTCACACAATGTTTTCGCTCTGTACGAGAAACTAATCACCATTCCAACGCAGTCGTATTCCAATCATTATACAAGCATAACGGAGATTGTACAAAGTACAGATCCATTAGAAATTCTTGAAGCGGAAGAGCTTAGGAAATTAAAATTACAGATTCAAAAAGAAAGAAAAGAAGCTGCTGAAGCAGCTAAGGCAGCCCAGCCGAATGAAGATGCTGTTATTGCAGCCACACTCATTCCTGATACAGCAGCTGATGCTTTAGGTAAATCCACCGATGCAATTACCGATCCTCATGATCTTCCTTTATCGGAAGAGGAAGAGCAAAAGTTACTTAAAGAAAAAATTCTAGCATCACGCGAAATCATCCATAAGAAAACGGCAGAAGAGGTAACCAAAAGATGGCAATTCGAAGAAGCCGTTAAAAGGCCATATTTTCATGTGAAACCATTAGAAAAGTCGCAACTAAAAAATTGGAGGGAGTATCTGGATTTCGAAATAAAAGAGGGCTCCAAAAAGCGTATAGCATTGTTGTTTGAACGATGTTTAATTGCTTGCGCGTTGTATGAAGAATTTTGGATAAAATATGCTAGGTACACATACGATTCTCTCAAGAATATAAACGAGGCTCGTAATATTTTCCGAAGGGGTTGCATTGTTCATTTACCTATGAAAGTAAATTTAGTTTTGGAATGGGCAGAATTTGAGGAAAAGGTGTCTGGTTTTGACGAAGCCCTATCTATCCTCGATGAATATGAGAAAAGATATCCAGGAATAATAGCTGTTAAAGTTCACAGGTTGGGAATTTTAAGACGATCTGGTAACCTAGATTCTTGCGAAAATATACTAGAAGAAACCTTAAAGTCTGTTTCGAACGCTACCGTTAAAGCTTTTTGGGCACACAAGTATGCACGATTTTGTTTGAAAGTGTTGCAAAATTCTAGTAAAGCTAAGGAAATTCTCACTGAAGTTGTCAAAGAGCAACCTTCGAATGCTAAGTTAGCTATGCATCTGGTTGATGTTCTTTATACTGACAATGACATTGATGGAATGTTAAATGTCTTAGAAGAATGTACACAGAGAGAAAATTTAACAGCAGAAGAGCGTATTGCGTTTTCACAGTGTAGACTTGACTTTCTCGATGACTTAGCTTGTGATGTAAAACTTGTTGTAGCTGCCAAATTAGCACACGAAAATCTTCACTTTGAAATAAAAGAGAAAAAACAAAAAAGAAAAGCTGAAAGCATTGAAGGGGGTGGTGGTGGTGGTGCTGCTGCTGCTGCTGCTGCTGCTGCTGCAACCTATACTGGAGGTGATGGAGCAGGTGCAAAACGAACTAAAGTGGACCAAGACTGGTATCAACAATTTCAGCAACCATCAGGATCAGGCGATTATTCTTCGCAACAGTTTTACCAACAGCAGTGGGCAAATTACTATAGTGGTAATTGGCAACAATAGTTTTAGAAGGGTTCAAAATTACAAAACGATTTTTGTTGTATTGAAGGAAAAACATTTGCGACTTTTGATAAAAAAAGATGAATAAAAGACTTGAAATAGTGTAAAGTATATTCATAACATTCTCGTCGTTTGATTTTTTTTTTTTTTTTGCATTTCTTTTCTATTGAAAAAAAACATATCTTTTACAAAATTGCCAAACTTGTCTTATTTTCTATTTTGGTTATACCTACAAACATTGTAAGCCATACACTGTTTATGTATTTATAAAATAAGACTAGATGCGTGCTTAGATCTTGCTTTCATTTATACGCTATTATGAGCTGGTAAAGATGCGACGGAAATGATCTAGAAAAAGCTATCTACTGTAATAACTATATCTAGACTTTCACCGCACCTTACGTGCAAAGGAATAGTTGCACGATTTATCTGCAGAAATAAATGTAGGTCATCTATTAAACATAATAATTTATTTGATAGCAGAAGAATAAAAAATACCTATATTCCTTTCAACTAAGTTAATCTCAACAATATAAAGCACTAATTGATGAGAAGCTAATCTGGGGAAAAAACTGCATTATGCATACACAAGAGCAATACAACAGCACGAAAACAAAAGCGCATACCAACCTTTTACGATAGATTATATAGAACTAAAAGAAAGGTTAATTCAAGAAGAAAGAGATGTCATTGCCAATACACAATCAGTTGAGGATTATCTTTAACATGTATACTACTTTTTACTGCTTTCCAATGAAAAGTTCCCTACTCTTTTCCCTTGATTTTCCGCAACCCCTTTCATGTCTATTTCTTTTAAACCCGTTAGATAAAAGAAATAACTAGTTAATTAATTAAAAAAGTTAATAAACCTTTCCTTTCTTTCTATTGTAGCAAACAATCAGCAAACAGTATACAACGTAAAAGATAATTTCAGATCATGAGGATATACATGCATACAGTTTATCCTGTATATATGCATCCATATATACCATTACATTATGAGTAGCCCTATACAATTCTTAAGCAAATGTTTCTTATGATAAAACTCCACGCAAGAAATCGACACCGGAAATAAAGAACAAGATATATATTTTAGTATATATGTCCTTATACATATCAAGTCACTTTTATATAAATAATAAATTGATTAAAAAAGAAATTGTAGATAAAAAAATAGGCACAACTGAATAAAAAACAAAAATATGAGATATCAAAGAAGGAAAGAGGAGAAAGTCAATAGAGAAATCAAAATATAAAGGGAAATACAGTAGTAATGTTAGAAGAGGAAGAAGAGATTTCACTCATTTCATCTTCTCTAAATATTCAAACTTTTAACAAATCCGATTGAACTTTCAAAGTATTTATTAATTATTAAAATAATTAGTATTTCTTTTTTTTTAAAAAGAAAGAGAAAAAAATAAATAAAATCCCTAGAATGTTCTATTTCTTTTTGTACTACATAATAATCTTATTATTTCAACTCATTCATTTTTATCTTTTCTCTCCCTTTTTAGGTAATAATTAAGAAATCTAGTTCATTTTTTATGTCCTAAAAAATTAAGCTAAAGGCAAACGATTGCTTCTTTTTTTCTCTTTTTAAAAAAGAAATAGAAGAATTAAAAGAAAAAGAGAATTAGACGAAGAAGAAGAAGAAGAAGAAGAAGAAGAAGTAGAAGAAGAAGAAGTAGAAGAAGTAGTAGAAGAAGAATTAGAAGTAGAAGAAGAAAAAATTGAAAGAATACACTTAATTACCTAAATAAGAAACTGCAAAATACTAAAAGCAAACAGGAGACTGAATAAGTAAATTCAGATGAACTATTGTCGTCCTTATTATTAATAATAATATTCTTTGAAATCTTCATATTGACCGTTTTCGCTCCTATATTTCTATCATCTTCGTTCTTTACAATTGAAACGTGAGCAACCTCGAATTTTTGCGAGGCTCCAAACATTTTAATATTGACTTTTGTTTCTCCTAGACCGTATACCATGTAACGGAAGAAGCAGCTAATCGATTCGCCAGATGGCGTATTATTCCTACAAGGTAAAGTTGTTCGAAAGCCTTCTTCCATCATAAAAGTTCCAGTACTATATACTTGAACGACATCCGATTTATGAATAGATTCATAGTTTTCGTTAGGATTGAATAGATAAATACTCGGTGTCCATATATCTGTTTTCCTCATAGATGCATTCTCAATAGTCTTACTATCATTACTAGGGGCCCATTTTCTTGTTGAATCGTTCCAAGACTGCCAAATATTTTTACATTAAACAAACATAACATTTAAGTTCTTTTTACTATCTCCCTTTGGTTATATTTTAAATATACCAATAGATAATTAATTATATAGGTTAGTATATTACTTAGTAATGTTTTGTATATATGCATATGTATATTAATGTACTTTTTTAAACTTCATACATTGATCGCCAGGGGGCGTTCTGGTGAAAGAATTTCTATATAACTTTTTATATAAATAAGTAATAGATAAAGGATGGAGAAAACTTTTTAGTTTGAAGAAAAAAAAAGAAAACTTACAATTTCTTGCCAAACAAGAAGAGAAAGTTTGCTAAAATCTTCTGTAAACTTCCAATTTCCTTCGTCGAGTTTTAAAACAATTTCACCGATAACGTTTACGTTAGGCGCCAGTTTGTTTAAGTAGCCTCGCTCAAAAACTTCCGTAAACGAACGCAAATCCATGCGAGAAAGCCTGAAGGGTTGAAAAGTTTTCTATAATTAAAGCCTATCATTCCAGAGGGGGAGAGGGAGAGAGCAAGATACGAATCGGTTCTTTTCACTTTTTCTCAGTTGGGCCTACTCGATCAAATTTTATGGCAAAGTAGGAAAATACTATCTATATGTTTTTTTAAGAGCATTTATCGGGTGATTAATTGTCGAGAAGGCGTGGCCAAAAGTATTCATTTTTATGTTAGTCGCTGATATATGTATACATATATATGCTCATTAATGTGTCGTTTATCGTCTAAACAAGTATTTAATCATCATATTAGAGTGTTATATACTGTAAAAAGGTCGATTTATTTTAAAGTTACTCTCAAAGTGAAAGTAGAAAAACATAGCTATTTAAACTACTTGATTGATTTTACAGAAGAACATTTTCTACGATAAAACCAAACAGAAAATTACTATAATAATATATAGATAAAAATATGTATATATCTTGATTACATCTAAAAACAAACCCGTATAAATTAACCTATATTCTCTCTTTACGATTCCCATCTCATCTCTTCTTCCTTCTCTCTCTTTCTCTCTCTCTTTCTCTTTTTTTTGTTTTCTCGTATTCTTTTACTCCTAATCTTCTACGTCTAATTTTTTTTATTGCCTTCATGCTTAACGCCTACTTAAACGCTTTAGGAAAAATGAAATAATATAAAGAAAATTTTCCGAATTCTTGTATCCTTTTGGCTAAATATCAACATATTTAGAATAGAAACAACTATTTCTCGGTTAATGAACGAAAAACGGGTTAAAAAGGTGGAAATTTTTTTTAATAACCTTATTAAACCATATAACTAATTAAATGTAATTTATTACTTTATTAACTTAATTGTAATGAGACTTACTTAACGCCAAAGACAGTGAATAGGAAGAAAATGGTAGCTAATCTCGTACAGATCATTCTTCACCCTTGAAATAATCCAGTCTCTACTGATAGCTTGAGTGGATGTTGAATAAATGCGCACCATACGGCCCCGCCAAACTAGAGAAAATGCCGGCAAAAGTCACTATATATTTTTTTCTCGTTTTGTTTGTAGAGTTTGTGGAATTAGGTGTATACAAACTCGATCGGCTACTTTGCCCGAAAGTGATTTACGATCGCTATCGGCTAACTAGTACATGCTGTATAAATTAACTCGTTACTTGTACCGGCTTAAGATTAAGCCTATTTTGTAAACAGTAAATGCTTTTTTACCTTTTTTCTTATAACTATCCAAACGCCTAGTTCGTTCGCTCACTCACTCTATCTTTCTCTTGAGCGCCTGCTCCCCCCCCCCTTCTCCCTTGTTCTCCTTCTATCATCTATCAGACCATTCTATACTTCCCTTCTCTTTACCTTTCTCCTCAATCAGTTGGCTGCTTTCCTTCATCTGCATCATTTCACCAGTCAAACTTTTCCTTCCACCCCTAGTTTTTTTTTCTCTTTCACTTTCTTTTCTTTAGCTCGCCTCCCCCCGCTTCCACCCCCCTCCCCCGACTCTCCCCTCACCCCGTCTAAATATATCCTAATCTCAGGTCATTCTCAAAGTAGTACGGACGTTTTCTAAAAAAAGATGCTTCATAGAAATAACAGATATGATATATGCCTATGTTATTGCATATCAGTTAGATATGAATTACCCTCTCATAGGCCTGGGTATTTTTCCTGTATAGATTTACTTGACTCCATCAAATAATTTGAGTCGGTAGAAAACACCCGAGAGAATTTAAATTTATAGGCATAACAAAAAAAAATAGTCTGCTAGTTACGCCATTTGCTTATTTTATTTATTCTTTAACGGTCTATTTCTTTGATCTAAGTATAACTTATCCCATTGATATTACACATGGCGCTGAATGTTTTTATAGTTGCATTTTATTTTTTAAACGTAGCAAATATTCCATTAAAAATAAACAACGTAGTATATAAAAGTTATTTTTTTTAAATAATTTAATTAAATTTTATAATCCACGTGTTTCTTATCAGAGAATTAAAAAAAAAGAAAAGAAAAAGATGAAAATAAACTACCTAAATCGCGCAAACCTAACCTTTCAAACTTAGTTCTCAGGCTGTTTTCCGATAGAATTCGAAAACTTTCACCTTTCGAAATTTTACCGCCAAATATTTTTCAACGTCAGCTTGTAAATATTCTTTTTATTCTCTTTCCGCTTCCGGTTAAAGCAGAAAAATATGACGAATGCAAAAAAAGTCACAGATTTTGATGCATTTCTATCAAATTATGATACTACAACATTAGCAATTGCTGCAACATTTATTTTAGGAATTATAACAGGTTATTCATTTTATAAGTTTCTATTGTGTTTATATTTTCCACCAAACGACATATGTTTTCATGAGCGATGTTAAATAATTGTTCGCAACTTGACAGTGTTAATATTCTTCATAAAAAGATCCACTGGTTCTGGAAATAGTATTTTATTTATGGGAATTAATAATGCTGGAAAAACAGCAATTTTCTTAAATGTAAGTTAAAAATATTTATCTAATACTAAAGAAAATTTTCATTTTATATATTTACAAATATAAATTTCTATTGTAGCTCATAAAGTCAGAGAATCGTCTTACTATAACATCGATGAAGCAGAATGAAGGAACTGTTCAAGTAGGAGGAAAAGTAATTATTTTAAACAAAGAAAAAACACTTTTATTACCTGATAAATTCATTAATTATTTTCTTTTTTATTCTTGCGTAGAGCTTGAAAATAATTGATCTGCCAGGAAATGAAAGAATAAGAAAACAATATATGGACCAATTTAAAAAGAGCGTTAAAGCCGTTTTTTTTGTTGTTGATAGTTTTACATTGCCAAAAGAAGTTAAAGATGTTGCTGAGTAATGAAACCTATTAAATTAGGATTAAACTCTAATACTAATCTATTTAACAGGCTTTTGTATGATATTCTTATCGATGGAACGTTAACAAAATATTCTCCAACAATAGTAATTGTATGTAACAAGCAAGACCATGCTATGGCTAAAAGTTCTTCAGTTATTAAGAATCTTCTTCAAAAAGAACTGTAAAGTTTTTCTTTTTTGTGTTTAGTAATTGTAATGTATAAATAATCAATTTAAACAATTATCTTAGCAACACCCTACGTACAACGAGAGCTGCTGCCTTAGATTCGATTGATCAAAATGAAAAGGTAAACCTTCTTGGAAAGAAGAACAAGGATTTTGAATTTTCGGATTTGAAGTTTAAAGTTGAATTTATTGAAAGCACAATAAAAGATAACGATGGTAAAAGCGGTTTAAGCTCCGTTACTGATTGGTTAGAAAAGGTCGCATGATCCAACTATATAATATTATGAAATATATGGAAAAAAAATATCAACAGACAAAATGTAATTGGAAAAACCTGGAAAAGTAAATCTTTTCGGTATATGAAAAGAAGAAAGAAAAATATGTTACGTGTTATGGTTAATTATAAGTTATGAATACATCCTTTCTTTGAAGCTTATTTTTTTTATTATCTTTTGTTTAGACTTTTTGCTTGAAAGCCACTTGGCTGGATAAAAAAAAACCTCATTAAACGTTATTAAGTACGTAAAAACAATGAAATGTAACATCTTCCTAACAGATGCAATATTCTATTTTCATCTTAAGTGCTAAATTAAGACTTTTGCTTAAGCCTCTTACTATAACTAATATTAATTAAAATAGTTGTCACGCTTCAGATGAGAAAAACATTATAAATTGATTTCTATATTACGTAAGTATTTACCCTCTCCATTTCTAGATTGAAGAGTACCTACAGAAACTTCAATTTAAACTATATATACTATTCATATATATATATATATATAAATGTATATATTAATTGAGTTGAAGAACCTTCTCGTTTTAATCCTTTAATTTTCTCCTTCTATAGTTTAAAAATAAAGTGGGTTATTCTACGTATTTCTTACACTGCACTCTTATTATTAATAATACATTAGAATACAAAATAAGAAATTTAAGGTAAGTATAATAGAAGCAAAGTAAAACATCTTTAAAAAAATTACATGATTATATATCATTTTAATAGAAGTATAATAATGAAAGGAATATTTTCTGATGGTATTTTAGCATCATTCAACCTATATATATGCTTTTATTCGAGTTTCGCAAACAGATGATAACATTGGTTTATCAACACCTCTTTCCACTTGGTGGGAAAATTTACTGTTAATATTCTATTCGTAAAATCTTCTCCACCCATCTAAATTCTTTCAGTTTGAACCAACAATCTTTTCAATGTTAACAGTATATAGATTTACATTTAGATCACGTAAAGGTTCTAGTTGTTATTTAAATATATCTCATTACAAACTTTTGACTATTAAATACAGAATACGATATAAAAGATTTTTTTGTGTCTATTTTCCTCCCCTCATTAGGTCAGTTAATATTCGATTAACCATTTTAGGATTTAACTTTCCACCACCTTCCTTCATAATTGATCCAATTAGAGCATTTTTAGCCTTTTTCTTTCCACTTCGATAAGCATTTACCTGTACGGAATAGTTAAAGATATTTATAGTTTTTTTAACGATTATATAGGTCATTACATACAATATCCTTATTATTTTTAATGGCATTTATACATATTTCTTCTATACGGTTCGAATCATTTTCCTGCCATAAATTAAGGTTGTTTACTGCTTCGGTAGTAGTCAAATCTTGGACGTTAAACAATTCGCTAATAATCTATTACAACAAACATAGAAAGACTGAGAAACTCTAGAGTTAGACATTAATTTATGCTTTTAAAAAACTTATTTACAGATTGAGCGGCGGTCTTAGATATTTTTTCACTTTCTAGTAGATTAACTATTTCGGCAATATTGGAGGGTTGTATAGGGCTAATGAGATAATGCAATAATGTTCTAAATATAGCTAATTTCGTTCAAATTATTGGATAAACTATTCACCATTCTGCAAAGGTTAAATTTCTCGAGTTAAGTTCTCCAAGTACATTATTAACTAAAAGATTATAAATCATCATCACTCTCTTCTTTATCTTATCAGTCAAGAAATTGACCGAATTTTCAAAGTATTCCCGTAATCCTTCTTCATTCTATAAGGTTTTTTATTTGAATACTTGGAATAGTATATTAGGAGTCTAAGAACGAAATAATTTATCATACCAGAAGAATGGAGGTTTGTAGCAACGATAAATCAAATCGTTCTCGTAAACTTTCTCGAATCTTTTTTGGTAAAGCTGGTAATGATTTCCGAATAGTATCCACATTAATTATCTGAAAGGGGTAAACCTTAATTTTATCCAATTTCCCTTTGATTTGATTAGCGTTTCAATATCTTTAAAATGTATTTTTAGCTATATTTCCGTTCCCAAATTTAACCCTTCCCTCTATCTTTAAGTGAAATAGATGGCGTTATCTACCGAACATATATGGTAATGTTTTCTCTCTCACTTTCTCACGATAATAGTGGAGGGTACCTGATCCGAATCGGAATTCGGAGGGGGTGGATGAAGGTCATCATAAATCCTAAGAGGGGGTAGGTTAAGTTCCGGCATAAATCTATAATCTTGAAGTTTCTCTTTATCTCTCATTTCAACAGTTTCGCTTTGTAAGAAGAGTTTAAAAAAGGATAGCGAATAATCATGTAAATTTAATTAGAGAACATACTTATTTTCCGAATCAAAACTTCTAGTTTCATTTTCTATCTCCATTCCTTTTTCAATTAATTTCAATTGTCTCTTTATTTCAAAACCTAATTAAATTAATTTATTTATTATAATTCTTTGTCCATTGATTAATTACTTATGGCCCTTGCAACATTCTTAGGACTACTTATATTCTTAATTTCTGTTCGAGTACCAAGCGGGGTTCCTGGTTTGTGCACGGAAATATTTGCATCAACCCTGAGAGATCCACCTAAATAAGATATTAAATAAACAGAGAAAAAAAGAAAACTTGTAATATAATTAAGAATGCTATTTTAGGCGGAGAATAGAATAAGCTCTTACGATCCATTCTTCCATCGGAGGCGCCTATTATTCTTAATACGCTTTGTAGTTCTCTTACAAATGATGCAGCCTCAAGTCCTGATTGAAAATCCGGCTCTGTGATAATTTCCAATAAACCGATACCTTTTTTTTTAAATAGAAATGAAGGAGAACCAAGCAGATTTAATAAAGAGTGTTAACTAATTTATTTTTTAATTTACCAGCTCGATTTAGGTCAATAAAAGTTTTTCGATTATCTAAATCATGTATGCTTCTACCAGAATCTTGTTCCAGTTGAATTCTTGTGATTTTTGCTTGTTTAACATTAACTTTGTTGTTTTCCACAACTAGATACTCTAATTTTCCATCTTCAGCTATAGGTTCCCAATATTGAGTAATTTGGTAGCCAGCCTTTTAAAAAAAATACGGCTTTTAGCTATTTTGATAATAAATTGAGCGGGAAATCTAAAATTTTCACTTTACCGGTAAATCGGCATAAAAGTAATGTTTTCTATCAAATTTTGACACCCTATTAATCTTGCATTTCAAAGCAGAAGCTGTTAGAACAGCTACTTCTACACATCTTCTATTTAGAATCTGAAAATGTTCTTCTATTAATAATTAAACTTCTTTTCAATGTATGAACAGTTGTCTTTCAATTCGTCTGTTTTTTTTTAAAGGCATCCACCCTCTTCTTACCCACAGGCGTTCCTAAGTCTAATTTTAGAATTTTATACGGACTACTTTATAGTCGGTAAACAAACCGGTAAAGTTCCTGGCAATGAAGCGTCTAAAGGAGCGACTTGATTATTTGTTAGACCGAAAAATTCTGTGCTCGCACCAGAAAATAATTTGGTTTTTGAGTTAATTTGTGCGTGAACCTCCAATCCGATCACTCCAACATAGCCCCTAAGTGTATGTATAGGTTATTAACATAATATCGCTCAAGACGGCGTGTTCTAAGTCAAATAAAAATTAGCAATAAAATTAAATTTACAAACTTGGATTTTGGGATTTGGGAGTATAACCTTCTATTATTATAATACAGTAACGGAAGACGATATCTTGTTAGGGTTATAATTGAGCAAAGCCTATTCTTCATGCTTTTTTTGGACACTGTAAATTTTTACCAGATTCACAATTGATTCTATTTTCATCAAGTGAAAAAGTTATGAAACATACTTTCATATATGATATATTTAATAATTTTATTTTCAAGTTTACAAATAACGTACAAATTTACATTTTGAATATGTTTTACTTTTTAAGGACTTTAATGTCTAATCAAATCACCATAATATGCTGTTATTGTTTTTACGCGATTCTTAAAACAATTCTGTTCAATTTCAACCGATTTTCCCTCTGGAGCATAAGAAGTCAATTGTCCAACATCACTATTTCGAGGTACAAAATAGGCTATATTATTAGTCACTCTGCGAACAATTTTGAATAATTCAGAGCTATAATTGAATAGAAATATAAATAAGTTAATCTTATAAATAAATAAAATAACTAAATTTACATATATGTTAATTTATATGTTACCTTTTACATGGTTCTATTTTTTCTAGATCAAATACATCGGTATTAGAATATTCAGGACCTCCCCAAGGAGGACTTAGGAAGGCAACATCACACTTTAGGGTTGGATAAACTTTTAAAAAGTCTCCTTGTATGAATTCTATCTTATCTTCAACTCCATATATCTTTGCATTATTCTTTGCACATTTTAACTTAACTGGGTCAATATCAATTGCTATAACTGATAATATAATGAAATTATAATCAGATAATTTTGTTATTATTTACTATTTATATTTTCTTTATTAAATTACTGACCTCGTTTACAAGTTAAAGCAAATTGAATAGTATTTCCTCCTGCTCCACAGAATGCATCAACAATAACATCACATTTACATCTTTCCGCTACGTGCTTTGCTATAATTTCAGGCGTTACTGAAAACCATCCTTCTGTGGAATTTCGGTAAGAGAAGATATTTAATAATTGTAAAAGCGTAAATTTAGAACACAAACCGTGATCGAGCATAATGCCATCATCGAATTTAGAAAATAATAAATATCTTTGATACCAATATTTATAAATAGACCTGTCAATTTTTCCAGAATTGGAGCCCCCAATATAAATTTTCCCTTCTTTCATTTCATCAGACCAAACTTCAGCACCAGTTGATTCCTCTGTTGCATCGCATCTTTCATCAGGTAATACATTAATAGCTTCAGAGATCTTTGTAGACTTATCCTTTGCAATTAAAGCTTCAGCAGTTTCATCTTCAATTTCATCCTTATCATCATCACCGTCATCTTCAGCACTTATATACATGTCGTCTGATTTCTCGAAGCAAGAATGAAATTCTGTCTCCGAACCTTGTAAGATATTTTTAACAGAGTGTATTAAAGATTTTGAATCTAAATTTTGCTTTTGTTTTTTTTTCTTCTTCTTCTTTTTCTTTTTAACTGGTCGGCGTTTTCTATCAATTTCATCATAATTAATTATGTCAACTTTTGGGAAAGTTACATGAGCATTGAACAGCTGCTCATTTTGACTGAGGTAGAGGTTTTCAAAAAAATGCTTTGTACTTTCTGCATTTTCATTTGTTTTCGCTTCTGAAATCGAAAGCATATCCTGTTTGTCTAATGTTTCTTCTCTGTTTAAGAAAGAAATAGAAGCTCAGTGAAAATAATGACAAGAAAGATTGTCAACAATTGAAATTCAGCTTGCCTTGTGAATTTTGATGAATATTCTTCAGGTCCAGAATCATTGTCACTTTCGCCTTTATTAAGTGTTTCAACATTTGATGTAATATTTGCGTCTACAAATTTTTCAATTACTATTGTTAAATTTACGTATTATGAGTGAAATAATTTTCTTACCTTTTTTCCAATTATCAGTTCTCTTACCAAAACATATAGGCAAGTCCATATTCTCCATTAATTCTGCTTCATTCTGCAAGTAAGTTTCACCAGAATCCTCACCTTTTTCATCAGTGCTACTTTGAACTTTTCGCTTATTCTCTAAACACACAAAAACTAACTGTAAACAAGCTAATTCATTAAATTAAGCGAATAATTTTACCTATTTTCTTTTGAAGTTTTGGATAAAGTGCAAAATAATGATATGAAGTTTCAGAGACGTGTTCATTCCATAATTCAAGCCATTCTTCACTCCACCCAGTTTGTTCATTATTTGATTGATTAGATACATTTTCACTTTGACAGCTGTTTTCAATTGTAGCTGGTTCGTCAGTAGTTTCGTAGTTATCAGCAACTGTGTCCTTATTGCTATCGTTTCCAACATCTATTGTGTCTTGCTCAACATTATCACTTTGTAAAAAATCAGAGTACTTTTGAACCCATATGTCCCATGTATGCTGTTCTCCATTTTTCATCCAATAGTCATTGAAATCTAAGAGGACATCTTCTTCATTTAACGGAACAGTTTCTAAACGATCCCAGTTGACTTCTTTTGACTTGTGTTCAGACTTTTTCTTCCTTTTCCTCTTTGGTCCTTGAAACTCTTCATCTTCGCTATTCCATTGAAGAGACCTGTAATCAAAAAGCAGAAAAAGAGAACCATTTAGGGAAATTTTTGTCAAAAAAATAAGGTGCCTCGAAGTAAGAGGCATTTGCCTTAGGGTGTTTGTAGGTCACGAGGACCTGATTCCGTCCTTGTCAAGGGGAGTGCTAAACGTCTCTCCTTTTCTACAACACGATTTTAATAAAGAAGAGATTCACTTTTAAATAGCTCGCATGTTACGAAATGATATCGCATATGATGCTCATTTGCATATTACGCTCAGTTATATGAAGAATCCTTAACTTCATCATTTTTGACATAAACTATAACAAAATGAGAAAAAATATAACTTACATTATTGAAATCTGTGAACAAATTAATGTGATAGGGTCTGTTTCTGTAAAATTTGAATAGACTTGAATTTCAGCCAATTTTGAAGTGTTACCGAACATTGCAAGTATATTAACTTTAAGAAATAATTACAAAATTGAATATTTAACGAATTTTCTCATTAGACATTCTTAGTAATAGTTCCATTAAAAAATATCCAAAGATTTATTGGGAAAACGAAAATAAAATTCACGCTGAAAGTAGAAAGAACGATAATTGGTTGACCGAATGAAAATCGAAATCGATATTTGAAAAGAATCATATCGTATCGCGTACTATCGATTTGGACTTTTATTCGAAAACTTTCCACAAAAACAAACTTTTACCTTATAAAGTCCTAAGTTTAACACTATCGATTCAAAAGTCCAATGCATAGTTAATAATCAAAACAAAATATGTATTTCTTAAAATAACGTTACGTTTATCAATGTCTCTTTTCTTGTTAGTTAAAAAAAAAATAAATATCAAATATTATGTTGATAAAACAATACAGTAGTTTTGTGGTAAAAAGTAACTTTACTTTACCATCTGATTAATTAAAATTAAGTTTGATTGTCGCTTAAATTACCTCTCTTCTTACAAAAGAAAAATCAGTTGATTTGTTGAATAGACTTTGCCATTTGTTTCAACACTTGCAGATCTCTATAATTATTAATAAATTAATATTATTCTTCTACAACTGAAATTATTTTCTCTTAGTATTTGATTTGTTATTGGTAAAGCGGCTATTTTAATATATCTCTAAATACGTGTCTCTATAAATATTATGATTAAGTCTATAGAATTTATTCATCTAGTGAAGCGGTCGAAAAATTTACAATGGCAACTCAAATTTTACATCGACTGCTGCTTCTTTAGCCAATGCGACAATATCGGATAAACGTACAACCTGTTTAAAATAAAGAGTTAATTAGTAATTTAAGATATAAGTCTTTTATAAGATTTTTAAAAGAGAAAAAAATACATCGCAAAATGATTTATTACCATTTTAGCGGCGTCATCCAAATTATCACAAGACAAGATTCGAAGGCCAGAAGCGGCTATGAGAGCTTTGGCATCTTCTACTCTGGTACCCTGAAGTCGAACAACTACGGGTATATTCAGATTTAAGGTTTGAGCAGCATCAATAATTCCCTTAGCAATTACGTCACATCTCATTATTCCTCCAAAGATATTCACTAAAATTGCCTTCACTCTAGTTTTATCACTGGTTATTAGTCTGAAAGCTTCGGTAACCTGCTCGGCCGTAGCTCCACCTCCCAGATCCAGGAAATTTGCAGGAGAGCCTCCATGCAATTTGATAATATCCATGGTGGACATTGCTAAACCAGCACCATTAACTAGACAACCAACGCTTCCATCCAGACCAATGTAATTTAAACCAGCTTTGCTGGCAACTTCTTCACGTGGATCTTCTTGTGACCAATCGCGAAGTTTATGAATTTCTTTCTGCCGATATGCTGCATTGTCATCAAAGTTTATTTTACAGTCCATACAGTAGACTTTTCCAGTGGCATCCTCAGCCATAGGATTGATTTCAATTAGAGTAGCATCGTAATTGATAAATACGTTATACAGCTTTTCGATATAATCTGCAGCTTGGACAGCTTGGTTGCCAGTAAATCCCATGGCTTCAGCCACCCTTTCGGCTTGCTCCTTCTTTATTCCTGTATTAATATCTACAGGTTCTGTGACAATACTTTCTGGACTTTCTTTCGCAACTTCCTCGATATCCATTCCTCCTTGAGAACTTGCTAGCAGCACAGGGCCCTGCAAGGAAAGAAAATATGTAATAGTTATATAAAAATAAAAGAATGATGATTACAGCATGTTTTCTGTCCATGGTAATAGCAAAGTAGTATTCTCTTCTCGAATAGAGTCTTTCGCACACCATAACTTTGTTGACAATACGACCAAGCTCCCCAGTTTGTTTCGTAAATATTTTATGGCCAATCATTTTGGATGCTACCTCCTCTGCCTCTTTTTCGCTAATTTCAATAAATATGATAATTTTAATTAATAAAATTTCTTATAACAAACTAATGAATTGTTTACTTGAAAACTATTTTCACTCCTCCTTTTAAACCGCTGTCAAAGCTACCTTTTCCTCTTCCACCAGCCAAAACTTGAGCCTTAAGTACAACATCCTTAGTCCCAGTTATTTCACCTTTGGAATTAGAAAATAATATTTGAACAGAAATTGTACAACGTTTGGGACGAACCATATTTTTTAGCAATTTTATTCACTTCGTTGGCACTTTCAGCAACTTTGTATTTGGGAACAGAAATGCCATTTTCCATAAGCAGATTCATGGCAGAATATTCGTGAATATTCAAATTTCTTCGCTGATTGACAGTCTGGTTTTTCACACTGACGGCCTGTCATAAAAAGCGGAAAGACAGCGTTATCATGCATTTTTTCTAACAAAATGATTTAATACATTTTGTTGAAATTATTAAGATTGTCATACTTTCAGTAAGTTTCCAATTGCACATTTTTCATGAGACATAAAATTTCTCGCCCGTGTTATTATGGACGCCATCTTTATTTTCGACCTTGTCGTATGGTTGGGCAAATTGTGGACTTAAAGTGGCAAAAAGCTATATACATCTTTATATACTAAATTTGATTATTTTTTATCTACAAATGGGAAAGTCTACTTTTTTCTGATAATTTGATAAATTCGAAAAATTCAATGAATCTTTGCTCTGTTCTTTCCGGTCAGAGTTTTTAGCGGGAAAATTATAAAAATATATTTTATTTTTATTTCTTATCTCTAATCCTTAATAATAATGATAAATATTCATAACAAACCTTACAAGAGATTAGACTTTGATAGATTTCGTAGTAAAAAACTGGCATACAAAGGTCATGAGTAACAATTTCTCTACCTTGGTTTATTGTTTTCTTACATAAGCACGAAAGAAATACTAGAAATTAAGTAATACAAGGCGTTTAGTGACTAATTCCTAATTGCATTACATTTAACGAAAAAATCAACTATAGTATAACTACCTTTAAGATATGTGATGTGAAGATACAGAGTACATAGTACACATTTCTAAATATAATTAAATTTACATTTATTTTAAAACAATAACATTACACGAGACAATAAGATAGTTAATAAGTGATATTTATAAGAAGTATATAGATACATTATGCCATGATTATGTGATATTTATTTCTTATAAGTTTAAAATAACCAATTTGAATTAAAAGTAAATAGGAATATTTTATATTCTTAATCTTGTTAAAATAGTTCAACTTTAAAAATTGCTATAATGTAATGTATAATATACAATATATAGTTTAGAAAGATATAAATAAATATATATGCTGTATATATGTATATATATATATAAGACAATGTGTAAATGGAAATAAATTGAGCAGGAAAAGACATGTTTAAGAAATATACGAGTATCTGCTCATTATCAGTCTTTTTCTCTTTCTTTCTCTTTCTTGCTTGCTATTCCTCTTTTTGTTTTCTTTAAGAACGCTTTAGAAGTACGGAGAAAATACTTGCTGTGGCAATTACTGCAGCCGAAAATGTCAACCATTGAGGTGGGTTTGTAGACTCATCCTGGGAGAACTCTTGTAGAAATTCCTTCCAGCCTCCCTTTTTCTCAAAATATTCTCCAACTTTTTTATATAAATAATAACCAGTAAAATCTCCTATGGCTTCCACAGTTTTATCAACATTATGCTGCAATCTACAAAATAATGAATTTTCGAATATTATTATTATAAATATTAATAATTTTAATTTAATTTAGTTACCCAAACTCAATGCATTTTTTAGCTATCCATCCACTAAAGGCGAAGACAACAACAAGACGCAAGCGATGATTATCTTCCAAATCATCTGAAAATGTTTCATCTATTATCTTCATAATCCAATCAAGTCCTTTTTTCTCTGCCAGCTTAAGTCTAGTGACGAGTTCTTCAAATTCATCCGAATGACTCTTAATTATATCTTTGACTAATTTTCTTGTTGTTTTTATAACAGGGTTAAGAGGAGTATAACTATCATCATCTCTCAAGTCCTTTGTTACATATTGAGCAATATCTATACCCAGTAAGCGAAAACTGGACAAATTTTTTGATTGAACACCATAAGGTAGGCAAGAATTTTGGAGGTTAACCCCATCAGGTAAATCCTCTCTAGTAAATTGCCTGACAACCTCTGGAGCATCCATTTTATTGTCTTTATCAGATTTTAAGTCTTCTACGTATTTTAATAACAATTCAAGTTTATCGCTCATTTTTTCAATCTCATCTTTATGTTCGAAAGGATTATTTTCTTTCAAAACTTCATCTTCATTAAAGACTTCACTAAGTTTTTCAATTAAATGGCCGTTATTACTATTTTCAAGTGCCTTATAAAATATCTTTTTAATATTTTCGTTCCTACTGTTATTAACAAACTTTAAAAGTTTTCTTACTGCAGGTATTGGTCCCTCATGGTTGATAGTCAGATAAATTCGATCTTTTTGCTCATGAGTTAAAATATATTCTTGGAATAGATGATCCGTCAACGATGCGGGCTCTATATTGTTCACCAAATATGTATAATTTTTCCGAAGTATTAGTGTGAAATTCATATTCATTTCTCAAAATCTCAATAGTGGTCAGACTGCACAAAGAGACTAGAGAAATTGTTGTCTGCAAATCCTAGTCCCGCACTCGTATTTATACATATTTGTTATTGTCTTGTAAGAAAAACCACTTAGCTAATCTATGATTAATTTACACGTGATGAAGAAATATTATATAGTTCACTTACGGCTACAGCTAATAAGATTTTGAAGTAAGATTTATTTTCTTCCCTTTTTCATAGATAAAAAAATATTTGCAAACACGAAGAAAAAGTTAAAAAGAAGCTCAATTAAGATATTCATAAATAGGTTTATAAATGCTTATCTCCTCTGCCAAAGCATTATGGCAATTTATCAGATACACATTATACTGTTAATCTTTAGCATCAGCTATCCCACCTCCTGTAATAGCGAAAGTAGCCTCGTTCTCAGGGAGATCAGGGCTTGTAAAAAATAATTTATTTTTAGTTTTTCGATGAATAATATAAATATTTTTATTACCTATCATATATTTTGGCAATACGAGTTTCCCCACGACCTTTTCTTAAACTTATTCGTGTAGTAGAAGCATGAGCTAAAACATGTCCACCTATTGGCTTTTTCGGATCAACCTGAAATCTATAATTCAAAAATAAAAATTTAAAGGTAATGTCATAATGTAAATTTACGTCATAGTTGCTCCAGGGTCGGATGTCATTTGATTTGTTATCAAAACTGACAAATTGTATTCTATTTGAAAAATGTATATGTAATTATTATTAAGAAATAATTATACCACTACAACCTTCAGAAATTTTCTGTAATCTTGATAATAGCTGTGCTAACTTTTGTTGACGATCAGCAAGTTCACCTCTTCCACTAAAGTCAACTCTAAAAAGAGCCATAACTGAATCCATTATCTGGAAAAATAAAAAAAAAAGTTTCAAATTGTTTAAGTGTCGTATTGTATAGTTTACGAGAAGTTTGAAAACTCCCATTTCTTCGTGAAGTTTAGCTGCAGCATAATCCAATAAATCCATTTGATGTTCGCCTAGAAATTACTCGTATATTTTGTTAATCCTCTTAGTAGTCTACACTTTACAAACTTGTATATGCTCTTGCATATAAAATATTATCCAAAACGGCCTCTGAATCCAAATTGAATCTCTCAGCAATTTGTCTTAGGCGTTCAGGTCGGCTAAAAATATGTATTGGAAGATAGATTTTGAAATATTATTTGTAAGTGAAAACCTACAAAGTTCCTTCGGTGTCTATATAGACAACTTTACCTCCTGGATAGTCACTTCGTGGTATTTGGGATGTAACTAATACATAATAAATTTTAATGACAGTTGACTTCATAATTGCGAAATACCACAAAGAGTATGTGCCAATTGGGTTTTTCCCGTCCGAAACTCTCCGAATACTTCCGTTATAGCCATACTCTCAACTCCACCACCAATTACTTTGCTGAAGATAAAAGTTATAGTTGATTAAATGATAGCTTAAATATAACTTTTTTCAACTTCAACGCAACATACTCTAATTCATCACTGCCTGAACAAATTCTAAAGCAATTCTTTCGGACATCTGCGTATTCTAAAGCAGTTGTAAATCCCCCATGCTGAAATTAGTTTGCTTTTTATTACATACTTCTAGGCTAAATACATATAGTCTCAATATAAAACTTTAAATAAACTATATAAAATATAGTAAAGAATAAACCAAATATCTCTATTCTATCTAGTAGATTAAATGTTTCGAAGGTAATGGAAATATCATGTACTGTACTTTCAGCGAGAATATCGTCTTGAAATTGAACAAAATCTAACGTACCCCTAGCAATTTATTTGCCACCTCTTTAATTTTTTCAACTTTATTTTCGCTAAGGCCTTTAATAGCACACATTCTTTTACGAGTTGTCATTTGTATACCCTATATATATAATAGGAATAATTTCGTGTTTATAAATTATTAAAACATTTTCCTTTTACCTTTACGGTACATATACCAGCTGCTTTTAACTTTTTTATATCAGCAGCATTCTAAAAATCATTTTTATAAAATTTATAAAGAATTAATTCTGGAGATAATTATATACAATGCCATGTTCTTGCATTTGGTCGACATCAATAAATAATTCAGTTTCATTATCGAATAGTTCGTTTTGTGTTCCCATATCAGAAGCTTTTGTGCAAGTACTATCAATGTCCTTAACTTTACTCCTTTGAGTGGACCTTTGAGACATTTTAGCTTGTTCTTGCATGACTTTAATAATATGAAAATAAAGTATTTATTCCAATTGAATTAGAATGTGCTCTGGTGATTACTATTTAAATTTTGCAAACGCTATAAAGTTAAGAAAGTAGAAAATATAAAGTTCAAAAGTTTTTTATACACTACCTTCAAGTATTACCAATTATTTACTATAAAGTGTTTTCAAAAAGAAATGTAACACAAAGCTTGAAATAAATTCACCCAATGTTCTGAAGAGAAGAATTCGAGCTGTTCGAGAAGAACTCAATGTTGTTTTCGTATCAAAAAAATACGAAATACACCGGAAGCTCACTAAAGCGTGCGTTTTGTTTTCGCTCAGTGAAGTAGTCTACGGAGAGCATTAAAATGGTATGTATCAGTTGAAAATATTAAATAGATCTAAATATCATGGTACAAAGATTATTGAACAAGCATAGAATATATCACGTTATAAATATTTGACTAATATTGTGTTCTATCATTATTTTTCGACTAATAGATTGCGGTATTCTTTTCAGACTGAAGAAGTAAACCCTAAAGCTTACCCTTTAGCTGATGCTAAACTTACTCAGACCATTCTACAGTTGCTGCAACAAGCTCAGCACTATCAACAATTGAAGAAAGGGGCAAACGAAGCAACCAAGACTTTAAACAGAGGTATTGCCTCGTTTATTGTTTTGGCTGCAGACGCAGAGCCTTTGGAAATTCTTCTACATTTACCTATCTTGTGTGAAGATAAGAATGTACCCTATGTGTTCGTCAGAAGTAAAACGGCATTGGGACGAGCATGTGGTGTCTCTAGAGCGGTAATCGCAGCTTCAGTAACGAATAACGATGGATCACAACTGAAGTCGCAAATTATTCAGGTTCAGCAGAGTATCGAGAAACTGCTTATTTAAATGTTTATTACGATCGTGGAGTTTTTTAGTGTTTAAATAAATTCAAAGTTATCGGAAAAAATTTTAATAAAAGATAAATATTAATAAAAAATAACAGCTAAACTTATAATTACCAAATACAGTACATTAAAGAGTATATTTAGGTGAGATGTGCATTTATAAAAGATCATGTGAACTGTTTCAAAACGTATTTACTATCGGTGTAATTCACTATCAGTCGGAAGCGGAAGTTCTTCTATTCGTTGGAATTAATAATATCGAGTTTCTATAAAACGACGACTGATCGATTTTAACATTATTCAGATTAATTTGGCTTAGAAATGGTAAGATCTATCTTTTAGTGCAATTCAGTAGTCATTTACAATATTTGTCTATTAATTTTATTTTCCAGGGTGAGCGTAAGGGCCAAAATAAATATTATCCACCAGATTTTGACCCAGCAAAACATAAATCTCTGGATAATTATCATGGAACACACGCTCTACGAGAAAGAGCACGAAAACTGCATCAAGGAATTATTATTATCAGGTATGATTTCATCGAAAACTTGTAAAGAATTAGCTAAATTTAATTAAAAATTTAAGATTTGAAATGCCTTACAATATTTGGTGTGATGGCTGTAAGAATCATATAGCTATGGGTGTCCGATATAATGCCGAGAAATCAAAGATTGGGAAATACTATACAACACCAATATATAAATTTCGAATGAAATGTCATCTTTGTGACAATCATTTTGAAATTAAAACAGATCCAGCTGTAAGTGGAATTTTTCTTAGTAGTTGTTTCATTATACTTATTTAATTTGCCAGAAACATGATTATGTGATAACAAGTGGTGCCAGACGAGAAGAACAGCGCTGGGATCCGTTTGAAAATGAACAAATAGTGCCAGAAGGTAATCAGAATAAAGAAAAGTAAAAATCTTTAATTATTAAATATTTTTAGATAAGGCAACGCATAAGAAACTTGAAACTGATGCTATGTTCAAATTAGAACATGTTTTTGATGATAAAACAAAAAAGATTGAAGCTGCACCAGGGTTCAGTGAAATTGTAGATAAAAGGAGTGAATGGAAAGACGATTATTCCTTGAATAAAATGGCACGAAATATTTTTAGGGTAATCATTTCTTGTCAAAAATAATTAATTTTTAAATAGCTAATTTTTTGCTAAATTAGACAGAAAAAAAGAAAATTAATGATAATAATAAAGCAGACGATAATGTAAGGAATAGACTGTGTCTAGATATTAATTTAATGCCAGAAAATGAAGAAGATGTAAAATTAGCCGGTTTAATTCAATATGAACAAACTGATAGTAAGTTATTAGAATAAGAATATATTTTATATGTTCATTGCTTATTAATCATCATTAATTATTTTTTGAAGATGAGGATAACTCTCAATTAAAAAGAAAGCACGAAGTAATTAATCAATCTATTTTCTCAAAAAAGTCTGGTTCTAAATCAAAAACTTTTCCATCTTTAAAATTATCCTCAAACCCCGTTCAAAAAGATACATCGTTAAAATTGTCGTCACCTTTAGTAAGAAAGAAACAAAAAATGGAGACTGATAATGTACCTACAGAATCTAAAACAATTGATGATAGTGGTGGTGATAAAGATGAAATTAAAGTTGAAAAAACTTCTGGCATTTTATCACTATGCAAATATGACAGTTCAGGATCATCTGAAGATGAATAAAAAGTTAAAATTATCTCACTTTTCTATTCAATTTACTGTTTTGTATATAATTTAAATGTAATAAAAACTGTGGTCTTTATAACTCAGTCAAAGGATTGAAAAAGTAGTTTTATATGCAAACAGCTTCAATGTTTATTTTTATGTAAAGTTTCTTTAGTCTTGTTGAATAATATTAAATGTATAAGCAAGATATAAAATAGAGCGTATAGGAAAAAATAAATATTCCCGCCAATTAATCCGGATGTAGTAACCCTCACTATGGTATTCATTGGTTATTCAAAGAGTTGGCGACTGGTCACCCTAGTAACATCGCAAATTATCGCTCGTCTATCATGACAGTTTTAAACTAATTATTTATATTTACTGTTGAATTTAAAACTAACGGAAGATGACGGATATAATTTGTAATTGGTTAAATAATGAAGTAAAGTTATCGAAGACGATAGGTTAGTTTTTATATTTAAATAAGTCAATTTTTTTCCTAATCGAATACTTTTCAAATAGACGAAAGAAATTTTGCTTCTGAGCTCTCCTCTGGTTTTTTAATTGGTGAATTATTAGATAAATTTAAACTTCTAAATGATTTTGATCAGTTTTCCCAATCTGCGTAAGTTTCACGATAATTTTATCAATGTAGTTTGCTGTTATTAGGCCTGTTCATTGTTGTTATATGTATAAAGACTATAATAAATTCTCAGGACCGAAGATTCTAAGCTTAATAATTTTACGAGACTTGAACCAGTTATGAGCCTATTAGAAGTTCCTTTCGATATAAAAATTGCCCGTAAAGTATGCATTATTTATTATCTAATTATAGTATTCTAAAGTAAAAGTATAATAATTATAATCTATTTAGATTATGACTGAACAACCCGGAGTTGCGACAAAGCTTCTATATGAGTTATTTATTGCATTGAATAAGAAAGAAAAGAACAAATTAACTGGAGTTGCTATGGAAACAATGAGACCAGCAGCACCAGTTAAATTGGAAAGAGTTGAATCGACAATTTATAAAAATGTAAAATATTTTGATAAAAAGACTAATTTTTAATTAAAGTTTAACTGATTTTTCATTTTTTCATTAATATTATTTCTATTATAGAAATTAAAGCAAGTTACACCAAGACAAACTGACAACAATCTTCAGAGTATCTCGAATAGATATATTGATGCTAGAATTGAGAAGGAAAAGACCAACTTTCAAGAAGCTTACGAAGAAAAACTAGAGCATGAAAGATGGATACAAGAAAAAAGACAAGAGGAGCTTGATCTACAGAAGAATCGTATTGAAAAACGAACGGAAATGTTGGCTAAAATACAGTAAGCATATCTAGCATATTTACAATATAAAAAACATGTTACATAAAATTGTTTTGATAATATTTAATCCTATTTTATTGTGTTATAATTAAAAATTAGATATATTACTTTTCCTTTCCTTTCCCTAATTAAGCATTGAAGAAGATTATTTGTTCAGGAACAAGAGTATTCAAAGTGGTACCAGTGTATCAACTAGGCATGAAATCAATTTTATTATTAATAGTTGCAAAACAACAACAACAAAAATATGATAAAATATAAATATTTATGATTTATAGCATGATTGCTTTATATATTGTTTATACGTTTTACCTACTGTATGATCCTTGAACAAATTATACACCTTGTTTTTTTATGATTAACGTATAATCAACAAATTTGCATCTTCTAAAAGCATTCTTTTCTTTATTATTCTCTATTCTCTTTTAGTATCAATAAGTAAAATATCACTCTTTATCACTTTTCTAGAGCTGCTATTGTAAAAATTCCAAAACCACCACCGAGTCAAACTGTTAAAGCTATACAGTACAGGAAAAAAATGAGAAAACTGCAAGAGGCCGAGGTAAAAGTTTCTTTCAACTCGATTAAAATCTTTATCGATTGTAGAGTAATTTAAAATTTAATTAATTAATAGAACATGAAGAATGATATTGATGCTTTTGAAGCGAAGAAAGTTAGACAATTACCTCAAAGCATGGATGACGAGGACATGATGTAGATTATTTCCTTTTTCGTTGTTCTTTATATCACATACTCTAATATTTTTATGATAGGGACGGTGATCACGGAGGATTAGCTATGGGAACACACGTTGAAGGTGTAGAAATGATAAAACCACGCTCCAATGATGCTTATATCAATAAAATTAAGAAGAAATTAAATGAAGACCACTTGGCGCGGGAAGAGAGGGAGAAACGTCGGCGTAAAATTCTTGTCGATCAGATGAAAGCTCACGAAGCTCAAGAGGTAATTTAGTTTGTTATAATTAGTGACTTGTTTCTTTCTAACTAAAACCTTATATCTTAACTAGGAAGCTCGTAGGGAAGAGCAACTTGTCAATAGATTACTTAGACAATCCCAACAAGAGAGAAGAATAGCTACTCAAATGCTTCAGTCTCGTAAGGAGAAGAGTGTTATTAGGCAAAATCGAATTGCAAGAGAAGAACAGTACGCTGAAGCCAGAGCCAAAGAATTCCAAGAAGCCTTGGAGAGAGAAGCTGTAAGTTTTCTGCATATTTTAAATCATATGAAATTGACATTAGTAATCCTTTTTTTATCAAACAAATAAAGGAAATTGCAAGATTGGCTAAATTGGAATATGAGGATGAGGCGAGAAAGGAGAAGGAATTGCATCAACAATTGATGGAGGAAAAGAGAGCTGCTCAATATCAGAAACATTATGATAAATGTATGATCGACGTTCTCGATATCATTGATTTAGCAACAAAAACTGCAGAATACAGAGAATTAACTCAAAAGTAACTGAATCAGTGGCAGACGTTATATTTAATTTAATAATGTGTTACATTTGTACAGATTAATACCCCCAAAAGTTATGAGAGACTGGTACACATTGTATACAAGCGGACTTCCTTTGTACGAAAATCCTCTTCCCGCTAAAATATCCGATGAACCAACTGTCGAAGAGGTACTTGAAATTGAGAGGCAAAATCTACTTGATGAGGCTGACTTCAATGAATATAGAGTAAGAATTTTTTTAAATCTATCTAATTTGTTATTCTAATTAAACCATAATTACTTTCCTTTAAAGAATTTCTCAGGAGAATGGAATCCACCCGATGGAACAGAAATTGATGGTCCACCCGGGAATAATCCTATTTTAGGACATATAGTACAACGCTTATTTGATTTGGTTCATCCACCTTCGGTAAACAATTGTAAACGTTATAGTATTTACTACAATTAATATGCTAATTATAACTTTTAGCCTCCACCGGAAGCTCCGGTATTACCTGACTTCCCAATTAGATTAAGCGTACTTGGAAAACCCTTTGCTGGAAAATCAACAATCTTAAAGATGATTAGTGGCAGTTAGTTTATCACTTTGAGAGAGATATTTCTCTTCCGATTAAAAGAATGCGTTGTTTTCTTTCTCTAGCTCGAAAAGTGAAAGTTCTTCAAGTTGATTCTCTTATCGAAGAGTGTATTATGGCTTTTAAGAATAAGGAAGTAATCGAACCTCCTCCAGTTGTTGAAGAAGTGAAAGAGAAACAAGATACAGAAGATCAAGAGAAGAGTAATAATAAATTCATAAAGCGTAATCAATAAATCAATTCTATTTTTGTACTTTCTACCTTTAGGTGTAGAAAACCAATCGGAAGCCGAAGTTCCACAACCCCCTCCAGTAATTAAGAAAGAGAAAGCAAAGAAAGGCAAATCTCGAAATGTTGGTCCCAAGGTGATAGATATTGTAAAAGTCTAATAATGACAAAAAAAACCCCTGCCAAAATATTAATATATAACTAATTTTACATATCAATTTTTGCTTTATTAATACTAATACCAGCAGTTATATTTTTTTAGTTCTGTTTGTTTACAACATTTATTCACAATAACTATGGGATCAATGATAAAAACAAAACAAACTCGGGTTTGGCTTTCATTGTAAATATTATTAACAATATAATAAATAAAAATAGAAGAAGAAGAGACAAAAAGAGAGAGAGAGAGAGAGAGAGAGAGAGAGAAAGAGAGCAGGAATCGGGATAATTGTTTTTATTCATTGTTAATCTATTGTTGTGTTATTTATTTTAAGTTTATGTTGTAAAACTTTTAAACTTTACTAACAGCAATAATTAACTAAATGAGTAAATTTATGTAAGATATCATTTTGACCCTTTTCCTTCTCTTATTAATCTTATATACTACTTAGCTTGTTAATAATAATACTAATAACTATTGGTCATTTCTTATTTTTGCCCCTATATATTTTTATAGCCTTCAGTAAGGGCTGAATTAGGGGGAAGAGCTCTCGCTTTGTTGAAAAAAGGAAAGCCGATTGATGATGAATTGTTAGTAGAGATATTTAGTGAAGCCATCAAGTAAGTTGCTTGTGTATTTTCTCTTTTAGTCATACTCAATTAATTCCATCTTTTTATTAAATAGCCGATTAGAAAATGGTACTGGATGGGTACTTGATGGATTTCCAAATAATTTTAATCAAGCTAAGCTTTTAGAGAAAGCTTTAACAGGAGAGGATCCTACCATTGACAAGAAAGGGAAGAAAAAGAAGTCGGAATTGGCCCCTGATCCAAGGCCGCCTCCTCCCCCTCCTGAGAAGAAAAGCTTCTTGAACGTCATTGTTTATTTCAATCTTTCAGATGATCTCTGCATGAAAAGGAGCATAGGTCGAACTAGTTAGTTGAAGCATAAGTCCTTTCCTTCCTTAGTTAATAAACCCATATTTTTCCCCTTCCAATTCACCTAGAACAATTGCAAAATGAATCTGTCGAATATCATCCAGAATTTAACCCTCCTCCAGAAGGTTCATCAACAGGCGTGAAGGGAGAAGAAATGCTCGTTGATGTAACGGATTTCTCTCATGACAAAGAACAGCTTCAAACCAGACTAACAAACTTTCATGAGAATTGGCCTAAATTGGAGAAATTCTATAAAAAGTACTGTCGTCTTGAATCGATCGATTGCAGTTTACCGGCAACTAGCGTTGGTCTGGAATTGGAAGATATAATGGATGACACATTAGATAGGGTAATTTATATATAGCAATAATTAGTACGGTATTAGTACAAGATTTCCTTCAAATTTAGATTTTGAAACGC